AATCAATGCAGAGGTCAAGTCGAACAGAGCTGCCCAGCCCCTGAAAATACCACAGGAGCCAATAAATATGGCAGGCTAATACACACGTCAACACCCTGGCTTTCTCACCCCATTGACTCACAGTGGATAATGTATGTGTGTGTGTGTGTTTGTGTGTGTGCATGTGAATGAGTGCGTACACGGACAGAAACACAAATGTTGCTGAGTGTGAAGCCGTTCCTCATGCAGACGTTTGAGCCAGTTTGACCTGGTGACATTGTGAGAGCCGGAGGTGAATCATCTCAGCCTGTTTGGTCTGTGTGACATCATTAAAGGATAAATCTGCGGTTTTTCTTGTCAGTGATTAATCCCTCAAGAAACTAAAAATAACTCTGTATGGTACATGTCAGTCTTTATTTGCCAATTTGAAACCAGTGTTCCAGTTACCAGGTCGGGAAAAAGCAAAATCGGAGGCGGAAACAATGCTGCGTTCAAGTTACCACGTAAGTCAGATGTCGGAGCTGGGAATGACGTCACACCCGAGGTTACCAGCATTTCAGTTACCAAGTCGGAAAAAAAGCAAAATTGGAGGCGGAAACAAGATGGTTACATCTACGAAAATCATTTTAGCGCTTGCCTTGTCCTTGCCTTATATTCGGACAAGGCAAGCACTAAAATAACTTTCGTAGATGTAACCATCTTGTTTCCACCTCCGGTTATGCTTTCTTCCGACTTACGCTGGTAACTCGGGGGTGACGTTATTCCAAGCTTGGACTTCTGACCTCCGAAGTAACTCGAATGCAGCATTACTACCTGGCTTTGCTAGATACATCATTCTGATTGGTCAAAACCTCACAACAACAGGATGCTCTTGACCTGATCACTTTAAATCAAATCTTCATGAAGTTATATTACTGTGGCAAAAATGTGGCTTCTGCTGGCAGTCTGTATTGATTACATTTGTGACAAAAGCATGCGCGTCCGTCATCGGCTATTTTTGAGACTTAGGAAATAAAAACAGCTACAAAGCACAGATGTGAGAGTAGCATGAGGTGCCTTTAGGCTCCACCTCCACCTTTTTATACCAGTGTCTGATTTTACCAGTGTTGTCACTGATACCCACACTGGGTCTTTGCTGCTGCTCTCCCTGCCTGGGCTTTTCATGCATGCATATGAAACAAAGGGGAGGTGTGCACTCACTAGCTTTAGATTTCACATATACAAAAATATCACTAAATATTGAATGATAATAATTTTAATAAATATTCATTTTGACACAAGTGTCCCTGTTTGAATGACATTTTGTGTAAGCTTGGTTTTATCTTTTTGTTGGTAGCCAGGTAATACGCAGGATAATGATCAGTGAGCAGGTGGCTGTGCAAATGAGAATCCCAACAGGGTGAGCAGGACGTTTCTCACCCTGAAGCTCTCACTCAAATCATTACCATCAAATTATCATTTTTGAAATATATATATTATACTGTCCAACGGCTGCAAAGCCTCAAGATAGGACAAGACATTTATTGATGTTTCAAAAAAAAAAAAAAAAACCATATAAATACATAATTTGGGGTTATTTGAGGACTATCAATTAAAAGACATAGTTTTTTAATTGATAGTGAAAAGCCATTTTTTCTATTTGAAAGTTTTGTAAAGATGTACGTCTTTAGGAGTAGCAAAAAGACAGAGGTAGTGTAATAAAATGTGAAGAAATAAAAGTATGGCACTGCTGGTCTCAGTCTTTGCACCAGGTTTTTGAGAATAAGTCTAACATATATTCCAAGCTGCTCAATTTAACACAGTAAAAGCGTGTTTGATCTGTTTCCTGAAGATACACCCTCTCTGGGGGATACAGTCTGGTTTTAAAAACTGTTTTTGCAGATACATTTGAATAGTAATCAGCCAAAGAGTCACTGAGGAGAACAGTGTGCTGCTGTTTGTGTGTGTGTGTGTGTGTGTGTGTGTGTGTGTGTGTGTGTGTGTGTGTGTGTGTGTGTGTGCGCGCATGTGTTTGACTCAGATCAGCAGGGGGTCCAGAGAGTGGGAGATGGTAAAATGTCACTTTCTTCTCTTTATGATACCATGTTAAGGTCAAGATGTGCTCTGGGTAGCAATGTGAAGTTGTAACAATCTCACACATACACAGACACACATCTTTTTTATTTATTTAGTCCTACTGATGATGATTTATGAGAGATGAGTATGAAAGTGATATCTATCATTAACCTGGATTCCTATTGTTGTTTCTAATATCCATTTCTGTCTCATCCTGACTCCGCTCCTCTGCTTTCTACCCTGACTAATCACACCGTAATCACTCCTACACACACACACACACGCACACACACACACACACATCTCTTTTACCCCTCACCCCCTTGTCAAATGATCATTGAAGAGCAGGCGTGTGGCTGACACTGTCTCCACAGCAACCAAAGACCAGGAGGGGGGCTGGGGCATCTTTAAGTGTGTGAATGATGACAGCACACACACACACACACACACACACACACACACACACACACACACACACACACACACACACACACACACACGCACACGCACACGCACACGCACACACACACACACACAAATTGAAGGGACAGGTGTAATAACACATATGAACACTTTTAAACACATGCACAAAAAAGCACAGTCGAGTTCACACACAAAAGTGCACACTGACGTTCAGAAGAACACACACACACATATGCACACACACACACACACACACACACACACACTCACACTCACTCACTACAGGCACATTCAGCCAGACCTAAGAAACAAAAAAAGAGAAGATTAAAGCGGCTGTGTAAGGAGAGAGGAGGGAGGGGTGTTGTCACTTCCTGCAGAGATTTTTCCTCCTCTATCTGTCTTTCTCACACACACACAAACACACACACAAATACAAACATACAAACAATGACAAACAAGCACATAATCACTCTGATTCAATCATTTATGAAAGCAGATGTATTATTTAAAAAGCAGCATGAAAGATTCACAAGGAAAGACATTGTTCAATTTTCCCCCAGCCCACATCATCCGTCCGTCCAAACATCTCTCTCTCTCTCTCTCTCTTCCACTTTTCACCTCAACCCACATGGGAGATTTTAATCACTGACTGCAGTCTGGGTAAGACAACTGCAAGGTCAAAGGTCAGGAGGAATGACACATTGAGAAGGTCCACCTTCATGAAATGATCTCTCTCACCTATCATCCCCCTTTATTCGCTCTCCTCTTTAAAACGATCTCAATCCCAGTTTACACACCTGTCCTCCCTCCTGGACTCTGATGCTCCTCATCACTCTGCCCTCTCTCTGACTCCTCCCGCCCCCTCCCACTCGCTCCTTTCTCTTTTCGCTCTCCTTCTGTCATCCTTCCATCAGGCATGTGTAATCACCTCTCTCAGGTAACCTCACACCTGTCCCCATGCTGACACTGTTGGCACACTCTTGTACTTCTCACATAGTCGCCTGCTAGATGACAGATAATAGACGTGCACGCTGTTTGGTTTGAAGGAAGAGGCAGAAACTCCAGAGTGAAGACGACAGAGCCAAACAACAGCTGAAAACAAGCTTTATCATTACAGAACATTAATGACAGTCATTTCTACTTTATATATCATACTAAACCTTTTTTATAACTTATCAAACCACAGTCTGTTTTCTCAGGTACTTGATCAATTTGTGGAAATGAGGTCAAAATTCATGTTGCTTTTCAAACCAGTGTTCAAAAACTCATAAATTTTCATATAAGACCAAGAAAGTTAGCTAATATTTAATGATATGTATCATACAAAAACTCTGAAATGGGAAAAAAAGCCACACAATGTGGTCTAAATTGCAAAACAAACCAACATTTTATAGATTTTATTCTTGCAAAAGTGGAAAAATGCACATCTACAGCTGCAATGTGTCTTTTGTAAAAATTGTTAAAGTAATTTTGTTTGACGTAAACATCAGAAGTCTCTCCGTTTAAAAGGCTGGACTGATTCTAATAACATTATTCAACACAGTATTTGTGTCGACAATAGAAGCCCACTGTAACTCTCCTCACCTGTCAGCAGACAGTAAATCAAAATGACAGCGCTCAAGCTTTTAATTACACCATGAAAGAATGATTGAATGAAAGTGAAACTCCCTCCACCTCCACTTTGATACACTTTGACAGCACGAAAAAACACAACCTTCAGTGTGACCAGGAGAAATTAACACAGAGTCAAAAATCGGTCTTACCTTGAAGGTAGAAGTGTGGGGGTTTTAATCCAAACATGGTCCTGGATCACTCATTCACACTCCGAGAAGAGGAGTCAGGGTTAGCGGGGGGGATCTAAGCTGAGGCTGTCAGGGTTCGGCGACACCCCCCTCCTGCTCCTCTCTCTCTCTCTCTCAGCCCTGTGGGTGTGAGGTTGACAGAGGGTAAAGGTCAGCTCCTGTCTACCTCTGTGTCCTCCTCTTTACCCTCTGGACTGACCCCCGTGTGGACCGAAAGAGATGGAGAGATCAGTGGAAGGGGAAGGAGAAAGTGACAGAAAAGAGAGAAGAAGAAAAAAGGGTGACAGTGTGCTCATGCCACCTCGAGAAAGAGAGAGAGAGTTTGTAACAAAAAGGACAGAAAGAAAGGGGGAGGAAGTCCAATACAGAGGGAGAAAGAGGATTCAGCTGGTGTTTCCAGTCCTGCGGTTTGTAATCCTTCACTCCTTCTTCACTCGTTTGCTGTATAATGATCTGTTTCTGCTCCCCTCTCTGTCTCTGTTCTTGCTTTATTCTCCTTCTTTTGCCTCAGATAGTCCCACCACTGACTGCTCAGCTCAGCCGGCACAGAGGAGAGGGAGGAGGAGAAGGAGGAGGAGGAGGGGGGAGGAGGGAGGAGGGAGAGAGAAAAAAAGAGGGGAGGAGAATCACAAGACGGATGAGTGAGGGAGAGATGAATGAGTTTGTGTGTGTGTAGGGCTCGCACGTGTCTGTGTGAGTGTGTGTTTTTGTGAAATATGAAGAGAGGAGGATGGGTGGATTTGTGTGTGTGCGTGTGCGTGTGTGTGTGTGTGTGTGTGTGTGAAGAAGGATTGAGAGAAAGAGAAAGAGAAAGAGGGAGGAAGAGAGGCGAGAGGGTGTTGATGCAGTTCTCATTATCAGTAGATTGGACTGGTGCCTGAGTGACAGCTGATTCATCATGGGAGAGAGGACGAGAGTGAAGAGGGAGGAAAAGTGTGCACGCGTGCGAGCGTGCGTGTGTTGTGTGTGTGCGTGTGCAAACGGGGCTTAAAACTTGCCCTTAAGCATCTGCTTCATTCAGATCTCCTCCTCCTCTTCTTCTTCCTCTTCCTCTTCTTCTCGTTTTCAGCCTCCAGTCCTGAAAATCAACAGTCTGCCTTGAATCTGCAGGCGTGGTTGTGCATGACAAACATAACTGTATCACCCACACTCACACACACGTACACACACACCGACACACACACTCACGTAGCCCCAAAACTGGTCACATGCTCCCATTGATTGGACAAGCCTCATATGACTGACACATCACGTTAGCCAAGCCTTCCATCACTTACCGTCCACGTCCCGTCCACTGTCACTGAGACCCAATTCTATCACAGCCACACACTTCAAACACACACGCAGACACACACTCCACGGGGTAATGATGGTCTATTAGGAGCGGCTATTCCAGCCGTTCTTTGGGCATTTGTCTTCATAGGTGGTGAGAAGTCAATAGTGCATCTTTTGCTTCAGTATATGTGCTTCTACGGGAGCCTGGAAGGAACCCATCAGCTCTATCACTGCCTCCATCTGCCCTCACAGTGTCTGTTTCATCACACACCTCCTTGTGTAAGAACATGGACACACAGACGTGTTTCCAGACTGACTGACCTTTTTTTTTTCTTTTCTCAGCTCCTCTGACATTTCCTTTTATTTTCTTTCACCCTTCTTCACATTTTTCTCCTTCTTTTCTCCGTGTGTTGTGAGGAGGAAGTGTGTGAGTGATAAGGTTGATCAGGAGAGCTATCTGTAACCCAGTCTGCCGAGGAGAAATCAATAGAAAGAGACTCCTGTATACAGTCCAGACGCACACAAACATGAACACGTTCAGCCGTAGACAAGAGTGTAATGATGCACAAAGACACACAAAGACTGATGAGCAGCTGTGGGAGAAGTTGTGAAACATCAGCCGACCACAAACTGACAGTGAGGGCAGACTGGGAAGGAGAGATAAAGAGTACCGAGGAAACAGCAAAGAGGAGGTGAAGGAGGAGGAGAGGAGGAGGGGCTGGGAGCAGAGAGAGTGTGTAAGTGTGTGTCGAATTTCAATCACAAAGCTCTCACACTTAGTTCTTAGTTGGACAAAACTGTCATTATTATTATTTTTGTCTTGAGATTAACCCAGGTTTGCAACACACACACACACACCATAATGCCGATAAACACAGCTGACCTCAAGATCAAAACAGTGGGGACCCTTCAGGCCCCGAGGGTCACGCTCTGCGGCACAGAGCCGGGTCACGGAGGTCAAAAGAGATGGAGAAGGAGGAGGCTCTACAAACACACAGCAAGATCTGTGATGATTACAGACAACAGCCAATAACGAGCTGTGACCTCTGACCTCATTGCCGTGGAAACGTGAGGGAATTCCTGTCACCGAGGGAGAGGTATAACTCAATCTATCAGCCAAGGAAGAAAAAGGAGGAGTGTGTTCAGAGATGTGGTCAATAAAACATCGCCTTAATTTTCCTCGCTGGATTTCTCGCTCTGTCTTAAAACGCAGACGCCATTACACCCACAAGACGCCCATCCCCCTCCCTGCCCCCCACCCCTCCTCCTCCTCCTCCTTCGCCGCCCTCACCCTCTTTCGCTCTGCTCTATCATTTGCCTGTCAGATTCATGCTGTGGCAGAATAAGAGCTGACACCCCGATCCCAGCAGCAACCAAGGGGGCTGCCATCAGCACTTAAACATTTTCTCCCTCTGCTTCTCCCTCCCCCCTTTTTCTCCCCCCACTGCATCCACGCAGCTCTCCGGCTGCTGACAAGAAACACAGAAAAGATGACAAAAGGAGAGAAATGATGGAATGGGGGGAGTGGGAGTGGGGGGCTCCACCACCATCCTATCATAATTCTTGCTTTTCCATTCTTGTTTTCTCCACATCTCCTTCCCTCTCTTTCAAAACACACACACACACCCTCCTCGTCTCGGCCCCCGAGAGGTCAGTGACCCCGAGTGAGTGAGCCTCATTACCCAGTCACTCTGAATCCACTCACACAGAGGGGTGTATGTGTGTGTGTGTGTGTGTGTGTGTGTAACAGTAAATATATTTGTCATTCCTGAAGTCACTCGGGTGCGTTTGGAGAGGATGTTAAAAGAGACGACAGGATGGAAAAAGATTAAAAAGATGGTGGATGGAGGGGAGAAGGATGCTGGGAGGTGTAGGGTGGAGGATCAAAGATAATTGTCAGAGGAAGTCATTATGCACATATTGTATAGAGAAACCTGAGGACGCTTCTTTCAGCTGATCCCTCTCATCATTCCTCCTCTCCGTGTCTTTCCTACCATCGGGGATTTAATTGGACGCTGATGGGTTCACTGCGACCTCCAGATACAGAGAGAGGGACAAGTTATAATTGTTGGGACATGAAACCAAACCCACACCAATGTCAGCACAAGACATAAAGACGGACTGTCTCCACTCCTCCAAACTTATGACAGGGCCCCAGACGTTCACTAATAACACCCTCAACTGCACTCTTGAGGTTTGGATTGTGTGTCTTAGAGTGATGGTGTTAGTTTGAGTGTGTGTGCATGTGTGTGTGTCAGCCCCTTCAAAAACTTAATCTCATCCCCCCCAAGCTAAACTCTGGACTCAGGCTGTCTGGTGCCTGTCTGCCCACCAAAATATCCTAAAAACACCAACTTTTGCAGATCCTGCATCACCACACACACACACACACCTAACGCATACACACCACACACACACATGGCTGATGTTATCCCACCACAGCGTGCAGAGCAGCATAGATCAGGACTGTTAATGGGCCTGAGCCACAGGGCGTCACTCTGCTTTTCCACAACTCTTACTTCCCTCACCTCTCTCTCTCTCTCCCTCTCATGTCCATCTGTCTGTTTGCGAGTATGACAGAGCCCACTGACACACTCACTGAGTGGGAAATGAGCTTGCTGCTCTGACACTTGCTCTGGTGGCTGTACTTGTGTTGTTGTCTGTTTGTGTACACCGTATGCACATGATCAGTCTACATGTGTCAGCGGGTGTGAATACACACATACATGTAGCATAAACATCGGCCTTTACGTTCTGGGGTTTTCAAAAGAAAGAATCTCCACACTTCATCCTTTGAATTTAAGAAACGAGATCTAGTCCCACAATCCTTGTTCTTTGAGTTTCCCCTCAAGTGTACGAAGCTTTTGAAACACTTACTATATGTTCAAAACCTGGATAATGCGGTTGGGGATCGTTTTTCTCTTTTATGTACACAGCTCAATAGAAATTAAACTGGCCTAAGCCGTCAGTGCATGCTCTAGTGTCCGGGCTTTGATTCAGAAGTTGATCAGCATGGATCCCACTGAGTAATAGATGCCTATTAGACATCTAGGTTTTTTTAGACCTAATTTCAACCATCTAAATTCTGTGTATCTTTAGATGGAATTTAGGCGTTGCACTTTAACCTATTATTCGATAACTATTTATTTCAAAAGCAACTGTGAGTTGCATAACTGATCTACAAGTACTATAATTATGATAGCCATTGAGCAATATACAGTGGAGTATAGATATAGCCCACATTTAGATTTAGTCTCAACTTGGTCTAAACTGAGACGTCTAAAAAACTTTCATTTTTAGACCTGTGGTAGCCTGATTTTAGACCAGCCATCTAGGCTACATTTAGACGTCTATTAGACCTCTTTTAGTCCAAACAATGCTAAGTGGGATGTGTTTGTAAATAACGCCTCGACAGATAAAGAAAGGACATAAAAAAGACAAAACTCTCTGGTCGTACAAAAACATGACATGATTCCATCGTTTGACGGACATCCAGGTTGTTGATTGTTTTGATATGAAATGGGTCAACCAGGAGATGACCCAACTGTAACCTGCTGAAAGGGGGCAATGTCCTGATCTGCCACTGTAGAGGCGGACATGTTTCTGTCAAACATTATATTTTTACCTGCTGCCTGCCTAATTAATTAACCCTGCATGTAAAGACACTCTCAATAAATCAGCATTCAATCTTAGTTAAACTTTGGAGTGCCCATCCTTTATTATTTTAGATCATTTTTTTATAAAGAAAAACACAGCAACCACTAAAGCATAGGCAGTGATGTCTGCAAAGCCACAGACAGTGATTCTGCACTGTCTCAGAGCTGGGTTGTAAAGTCAACAGTGTCACAGCAAGAGGCTTAGCTGGGTCTGCTTTTAACTTCAAGGTTGCGGGCGTTAACTTCCCCTTAAAAGCTGCTTACATAGTTCATCAAGATAGCGATATTTCAAGCTTACCACAGACTCCAACTTATTTTTCTTCTTCTTTCTGTTCTGGTAGGTGGCACTTGGCCTATAAGTGCATTTCCTATATCCACTGTGTTGTAGTGCGGGCAGGATTCTGAGCAAAGTTACCACCAAGAAGTTATTTTCAGACATGACCAGGAAATCAAGAAGCAACATCAGACGGCTATAGTCGATTATCCAATGTCACTGCAGTGCTGCAGAATCACCCATATCTGCAATGTGATGCAAAAACAACTAATTTCACCATCTTTTAGTTTCTTCCATGTACAAAAACTTTAATGATTTGAGGCAATCAGTTTCCACACAAATTTATTGTCATATTAAGTAATCTGGGCTAAAAGTAAATAAAGAATGGGCCTCTATCTCCTCTCCTTGAGAGACGTAAAGCCAAAGCACTGCAGGGGGTTACTGACATATTGCGCCAATAAAGCGTCAAGGATCCCCAGGCTGCTGTAGTTCACAGGAGAATGGATTTTTGTGATGATGTGAAAAAGTCATATAAAAATCAATGATTCTTGCATTTGTGATTGTTATTTTTATTTTTTTTCTGTTCCTCCCCTATCCTGCTGACTACAGGAGCCACACTGGTCTGCAGAGCTGTCAATCACCCATCTCTCTGACATCAAAAAGCTAATTAAACCTCTCTGAAAAATGAATACTCCAAACAAATCAAAACCACCTGCAATGACAGAGAGCATATTTAAAAGCATTATTTGTTGTTTTTATTGTTTTCTAGTTTGACCCCATTGTTATCAAGAAGAAGGCAGGCGTAAGGACCTATATGACAGCTGGTCAGCAGGGGGAGCTCTAACGAATTTGGCTTTATTTCGGACAGCTGTTGTTCTGTTCATGGTTTTTTATGCTCTGTTCTGCAACACAGAGCAACTGATGTGGAAATTACCCTGCTGCTGTGACACTGATCTACGGTATGAGCGTGTGTGTGTGTGTGTGTGTGTGTGTGTGTGTGTGTGTGTGTCTTTGTTTGGCCCTGCTCTCTCCTCTGATGCTGATATCTGTGATTATCTCTGCATGTTTGTATCTGCTGCTCCATTCTGCAGCCCCTCTGAGTCAGGCAGGTCCCACACTCGCTCTGCCACCATCCGCTGGGCCACATTGATTACTATCCCCTGGGAAACAAAACACACACACACACACACACACACACACGCACACACGCACACACGCGCACACACGCACACACACACAGGATCATGAGCTTCATGGGACTTTCAGCACATTTTGCTGCCCCGCTCCGGCCACCACATTGACCTCTGACCTGGCTCTGTGGCCTCCAAACCTGTGTCTGTCCCCTCTGATGCTTTCTGACCTTATAGGACATAAATCAAATCTCAGACACACACTGAGACTTGCACCTTGTTCCCGGTTTGTAAAATCTTGTCTGCATGAAAAAAGGAAACAGGAAAAACCTCAAAATAATGGTGTAAATAAACCTAACACAAACCTCTGTGTTTGCACCTGTACAAGTGAAGACACGAAGCAGCCTAAAATAGAGGATGTTGTGTCTTTAGGGACAAGCACATGGGTCTTTGCAAAAGTTGCATTAATTGTAATCCTTTCACTGCAGGCACAGTAAATCAGGGGTTATTGTTGCATTATTCAATAAGAAAGAAAAGGGAAATTTTTATAAAGGAAAAAACATCAAATTTCTCCTCAGGGATCTTATCTTAAACATTAAAGTTGTTATAAAATATGTCAAAATACTTTGATTAAAACTCTTATTGGTGTATCACTAGGTAAAATATCAGTCCAACATGTAAACCTGCAAAAGAAAAAAAAAAGTAGGAGTTGTTTCCGAACAAAAATAACAATTTTATATTAAAAACTCACACTTGCTGAACCCCTCCTCTTCTCCATTATCATAATTTATAATTTATATTCCAGTCAGCTCCCTTTTTTCTATTCCAGCATATACAATAATCATCTCTATTTGAAGACTGTCTAATTTTCATTATTTATCACATCTTGTCACAGCAGACATAAATAAACACAGTGACAAATCATGCATAAGAGCTTCTATATGAAATAAGATGTTATATGAATACTAATTTAAAAATCACTCTTGGTACAGAGGATAAAAAATCCTTAAGAAACATTGGAAACCGGCAGAGCGCTCAGCAAACTGATTGCAAGTCTATCTATAAAGCTCACTTAAAACAATTGCTACTGCTAGATGTAAACACAATATGAAAAAGAGAGCAAATGTGGATTTGAATAACACGTTAGAACATAACATAAAAGAAAACACAAAAAGTGAAAGCAAAAAAAAATCATAGCTGATTTAAAAATGTTTGAATGTCTTGCTCAATTGGAATTTAACGTCAAATTTATTTGGCTGTTTTTTTTTCCTTTTGACTTTTTAAATGTTTATTTTATTTGAATTTTTAATAGAAATTATAAATATGGGATGTATGTAAAAAGTTGAATCTCAGAGAAAAAAATGGAGACGCAAACATCTGGCAGAGTTCTGGCAGATCTGCTAAGATATCTCAGAGACATTAATGATCCTGCAGATTTCAAGCCCTAGAAATCTGTTGTTCTGATATTTATTGTTATACACACCACACCCAGTGTTTTAAAGGCCACATGGCATGCCAATTTCACACAACTTAAAATAGTCCCCTGGTATGTTAAAAGCATGTCTGTGACGTCCTTCGGTCAAAATTTGATTTGGATCAATTATTTTAGTGCTCTTTTAATAAGCTAAAAACAGCTCCGCTCAAAATCCTCCATTTGGGCCATGTCTCTTTAGTGAAATGAGCTGCACCTAAGCCACGTCCACTTTACACCCATCTCTCTGGATGGGGTTGTGGCTGTGCTCCGATAGCCATGTGCTAATGTTTACACTGGCTCGGTCATGGCTGCAAGAAGATCGCTCGTACAACCCTACCAGTTTGAGCCAGAGTCTGACCCAGAGGGAGAGGCTCCGGAAGAAACTCTTAGCCGCCAAAACAGGCGCGTCGCCGCACGGGTAAATGCTAAAGCTACATGCTGCTCCGGAGGGGGATTTTGTCCCCCGCCGCCGGAGTTGTCGGGGAAGAAGCGAACAGCTAAAATACGGGAGAATCCGGTAAACCGGCGCGTGTTCATCAAAGCGTGGTGGCCGTGCTGAGGCACTGGGGGGAATTTAGGCTAAACAGTAAGTCAAAATAAAACGTTCACACTTACAGATGCCACGTTTGTAGTAGGATCACGGATAGTTGGTACGGATCCATTCTTTATCTTCAGACATCTAGCAAATCCAGCGTTGAACTGTCCCTCGTTGATAAAACAGTCCGAAGTAAAATGGTTCGCACATACGTACAGATATTTCCAAAGTGCCGCGGGTACATTCCCATTGTAAATAAAATCCACCCATTGAGTCCTCAAATCCTCCGACGAGGGAGTTTTCAAAAGAGTTTTGTGCTCGTTTGTGCAGCCAACAACAGAGCAAACGCTGCCTCTTTTTCAGGTCGTACTTCCGCCATGGTTCTAACCGGACGTATGCGAGCGAGCGGCCGGGAAAATGGCGCTGTTTAGATAATTTAGTGGGCAGGGCAGTGGGCGGCTCTATGGGCAGTACCATCAACCCGCCAGCACTGACATGACGTCATGTCAGTGGAGTTTTCAGAACGGCTCTGAGCACACAGTTCCTGAATACGGAGATAACTAAACAACGACTGGATGGAATTTTTTCGAACTTGGGGGGGATTGTAGCGGTTTTCTATCCCTGATATGCACCCCCTTCCCGTTAACAAAGTCAGTTTTTCATGCCATGGCCCCTTTAAATCTGCCTTCAACAAATATATTAATTCCTGGTCTTGCAGACACTCAGACACAGTGATGCTGTCGATTAAACAACACTTTTTTTACTGAGGTGTTGTTTTGAACTTTACCTCATCATACTGAGAAGTGATCCCTCATACTGTGAGCTTTGTAAAGCAGAGGCAATATTGGAGCGGTTATGGGTGCTGCCAGGGATTTTTGGCACCAAATACTACAGAAATATTACACTGGGCCCCACCTTTAGACTGATGCAAGTGAACTTATATTTTAGGGCCCCTGCAGCATGGGCTCTTCAAATCATCCTCACTTCCTCCTCCGATGCCATGCCCCTGGTATTGGCTCACATTTTATTGTCTAAGTGTATAGGTGTCCCACTGAAGAGGCCAGTGAGGGTGTATACACGCTGTACATAACACGGTTGTCATATTGAATCATGATTTCCTGTCTCCTGAGATATTTTGCACGCTGGTGTCTTCAACCTGTGCCGTCACTTGTCAATCAGCTGTCAGTTTTCATCTTACCCTGTCAGGTAAAGACACTGAAAATAGACAAAGGATATCTTCTGCTTCGGACCACTTTAAAAATCATTTTTATCAAGATGTGATAGATTATTCATATTTCATAACTCTTTGGGGAAATCCTGACAAGCTGCACTAACTAACCAGTTCTAGCTCCACTAACAACACACACACACCTTCACAAACATGTCCACTCACACACACATGCACATCCACATTACCTGGGGGGTCTGAGCTCCCCCTGCACAGGCCTTCACCCCACATGCTCATCTCAATTAATCACCCAACAAAACAGATGTCAGGAACAAAGGAACAATCCTCAGGCCTGTGGGGTAAAGAGGAGGAGGAGGAAGAGAGGAGGAGGAGAGGGGAGGTAAGAGGGAGAGGACAGCATCACAGAATTAGAGCTGGGTGGTTTTGAATGAGGCAGGTGAGAGGAGGTCAAAAAGGGGCAGTTCAAGTGGGTAGTGTGAGCTGTTTTTTATTTTTCTTGTACTGTAAAATACAAAAATGAAGAAGGAGAAGAAGAGTAGGACAAAGATGAAGAAGAAGTCACGATGTAAGAGGGGGAGAGAGAGTGAGAAAACAACAAAGCCCTGGAGATGAAAGACAGTCTACAAAACAATGGATAGAAAATAATGCTCCGCCGTGTGCAGAAATAGAGCAAAAGATTGAAAACCTGCCAAGATAAAGACAAACCCTCGCTTTTGAAGTGTCACTTCAGCAAGATACTGTCAGAAAACAAATGGCAAGCCTGACAGGTTTCAGCTGCTTTGAAAGAGACAGAATCATATTTTATTCACAAACGCATATTTTATGGCTTTTATAGCAAAGATCGTAACCTGTTGTTAAGCACTGAATTCTTGAATCTGGTGCTAAATTATTGACATCTACATAATGTGAAGATGGAGAGAGGGAGAAGCAGAGGGGGTGAAAGTGGAAGAAATGGAAAGAAAGGGAAAGCTGCAGGGTGGAGGAAAAATGTCTTTATTTTTCCAACGTCTTGTTTTTACATGACTCTACGAGGAACCACACACACAGTCTGAAGTCTGATCATTACAGAGAAAGCCATCAATCTGCCGGCATTATCACTCCACTCTTTCTTTCCCCTCAGCCGTCTGCCTGTGGAGCCTGGACAGTGAGAGTTACAGCCTGCATCAATAACAGGCAGATAACGGCCCGGTCTTCAGTCTTCAAGCACAGTCTTAAATCACATCAGGCCTGCAGGGAAGCAAATGAAGAGAGAGAGAGGAGGAGGAGGAGGAAGAGGAGGAGAGGGGGAGAGCCGAGCACTGATGAGGGACATTACTACAAAAACAACAGTGCAGCTTTGGTGAAATACACACCAGTGGTACAGAGCTGGGAAAAAACACAAGAATACATCAATTTATGCAGCATAAAAACAAGCCTCAGAGTTGTTACTGGGAGCTCTCTCTCTCACACACACACACACACACGCACACACACACACACACACATGCTGAGGAAGGAGGCATGATGGCTGAGTGTGTGTATGTCACTTCATGTCACCAGGCCCATTAATCTGCATGTTGGCATGACAGAAGCACATTACTGAGCTGCAGAGAGGGACATGAAAAAGCACTTAATAAGGCGCTCCATCCCAGCAGCTCACATTGATCCACAGAGCCAAAGGGTGGCACCGGATTCAAAACACAAACACACCCACACACAAGTACTCCTTTTTCTGTCTGATTGGGACCTTAATGTTTTGGTATTTGTTCTGTCTCATCTTTCAAAGACAATGTATCAACAATGTAATTTGAAAATATGATTTCAAAAATTTCAAAAGGTCAATAGTTCACTGTCTGTAAAAATATATCAGATAGATTTTTTTTCATTTTTTTGCATAAATCTTTTAATCAACCTCAGTCTTGATCAAAACTACTAAATATAAAAAAATAAAAAAAATCTAATTTTTAACCCTTTGAATGCCAATTTTAAAAAAAGATAGTTACTGATATGGAAAAAATACACACAAAATGAGCTATTTTCAGTATAAAAAGTGATTGGACAAAGAAAAGGATGTTTTTTAGAAAATCTGTTGCTGCACAAAAATTAGATATGAATCGAAACCAATTATGTTACTAATCTTTGACATGTCCAAGACTGTGATAGCAGGTAAAAAAAATTCCTGTCTCCTATCATTTTTTATATTGAAAATAAGTAATTTTGTGTTTTTCCCCTCCCCAAATCACTGACTTCATCTTATAAATTGGCACTCACAAGGTTAAAATTTTGATTTTTCTTTTCCTTATATTTAGTAGTTATTGATCAGGACTGAAGTTGCTTGACAGATGTATGTAAAAAAAAAAAAGTAGAAAGAAATATTAATCTGATATATATTTAAAGCAGTTAAAAGCTAGTGGCTGAAAACATTCACTAATACTGCTAAAGGAAGTATTTTAATGCTGTATCAGGGTTAAATGGTAACACATTACATGCTTGCATTATGTAAACAAAAGACACATATTAAAGTAAAAATAAATATCCCTTAAACCTTCGACTTTTTATGCATGATAGAAATATGATTGGTCAAAAGGGATCCCTTCACAGCAACATCTCAGATCATCTACTGTATCATTTTTCCTGTTTTTCAAATTCTTGTACAAAACTCACAACATTCTGCTTATGGAAGAAACAACCGAAGACGCCTCTGGAAAAACTTCCCCTCAGAGCCTGCTTTATACCCTGTCTTTCATCATTTTTCCTCTTTTTACCTTTGCTCTATCCTTTCAGCATTTGTGCCGACATCTCCTCTGCCTTTCCTTTTGCTCTGCTGCCCATGTACACACACATCGACTCCCTTCACACCTCACAACATTTTCCTCATTTGTCTTGTTTGTCACTTTTTTCCTTCAACATAATGATCCAGCGACACGCCTCTTTTCACCTCAGTGTCACAGCAACAGGGAGAGTAACCACACACTCTTACAACACATACACACACACAGACTCGGGAGGTATAGTACGCAGGTCTGCTTTAGTCCATGCCCTACAGTAAACAGCGTGTGTGTCATCCTCCGAGCTGAGGTCAAAGGTCAGCAGGAGTTACGACTCCCTCTTTGCCCTCGGAGCTGTGTGGGTCACACATCCTTCACACACACAGCTGCTGTCCATCCTGCTTCCATACTCATGATCCAGAGTAGAACAGCTAAAGAGATTAAGAGGGATTACTCAACTCTGCTCAATACACACAATCACACTTACACACACACAGACACAGACACACACACAAACTGTGCGTGCACTCTTCATAGAGAGTAAAGCTTATGGACTTTCATGTTCTGGCGTGATGAGAGTGTTTGTTCTGCAGCGGTGTTCAATAACTTCATTGTAGTTTCTGACCTTCTGACCTCTCTCCTTGCGCTCAGCACCTGTCGACCCAGTTTACAGAAGAGGTCAAAGATCGCACTGTGGCTGGGGGGAGGGGGGTACCTCTTGGTCACACTCCCAGATGGATGGAGCCCAGTTAGAAGCAGGGACAACACCTGTTATCACACACACAAAACACCAATACTGTTCAGCATCACTGACCTGTGAGAGGCACATTAGAGGGTATATAGAGGGTCTGTGAGGGATTTCAGACGAACACACAGAAACACACATCATGCGCTGTTTGACACGTGACGAGTTCAGTCACTCAGAATGAGCAGCGCTTGAATGATGAACTTAAACCCGATAACTCTTATCGCAACAACGGGAGGTCACAGTCACACAATACTGCTCTGTGAGTGAGTGTGTTTGTGTGTGTGTGTGTGTGAGCTGTCACAGGAGATCTGGTGAGAGTGGGCTAATTGGAGTTAATTCACCATCTGTCTATGTGAGCCAGCAGACAGGGTCATTAGCAAGAGACAAGTCCAGCCACAGGGGAGGCCGAGAGGAGAATCACCACCCCACACTGTCTCTCTTCCTGCTTTTAGTTCCTCTTCTCCCTCTTATTGTCCATCTCTCTCTCTCTCTCTCTCTCTCTCTCTCTCTGTCTTCATATCTGTCTGATCCTCTCATCACATTTTTAGATCCTCTTGTCTAAACACCACAGACTTCAGAAAACAAATCCTTTGTTTGACATGCATGTTCAGTAATATGTCAGGGACAGTTTGAAGTGTTGGTGATCTGACTGTGTGTAAAAAGTGATCAGGGAGTAAGAGAGTGCGATGACTCTGTCAAATCAGCACTGCCCTCTGCTGGACAAACATTAGCCTGAGCTAACAGCACGTTGTGGCATTTCAGGATCACAATCAGAGCTGGGTTTTTTGTCAAGCAGGTTTACAAATATGAGGAATTCACATTGTTTTTTTTTTTTCAGGAGCTAAAACAGAGAACAAAATAACAATAGAAATAAATCTTGAGTGATCGTGCCACTAGGGGCTGTCAAAACATATAAACTGTGCAAACATACTATATATTTTTAACCGATTAAATCCATGCAGAGGAACTTAAGAGCGATCTCAAATTCTGAGACAAGAGATATTTAAATATAAAATTGTTTGTGGCTATGATCACAAATTTAAGCATCTGAATTGTTCTTATTTCAAACTTTAAAAGTCTTGAATCCTTGAAAAGTCTATCAGAGTAATCAAGTTATTTCAGGCACATCCAATGCAATGTGTCAAAACAACACTGATTGACTTCAGGGTTGCACTGTGTCAATTAAGTGTATATTCTTGCAATAGAAATGCAGACACAAATTTTCCTACATTTTTTGTTTTAATTTATTTGCATCTTGTTTACTGCCCTAATGTCAAAATTATCAGTTCCCTCAAAATGATCTTGTCACGAAGTCTCAGACACATCCTCAGACTTAACATGTGAAAACTTTTTTAGTTGTTTTCTTGTGAAATCATTTGAGGATGTTGCTGAGAAATACCTTTGAGCATTAATAAGACTCCTGAATATTTTAATATGTTCAAACAACCCCAAGTACCTGAACAATCCTTGTTCATAAGCCTTTTTAGGGAACTCCTGACCCTGCTTGGATATAATCTGCAAACCAGAAAGCCACCCATCTTAACATTCAACCTTCCTCTATTAAAGAAAACAGATTGTGTGCAAGCATTTTGACACCAACCTGTGCGCTGACAGATTATGCTCTGTACATGAGCTGAAACTTTGTGGGTGAGACCTGCTGCCTGTGACACATGACATTTTGGCCTGTGCTGCACATCAGTAGCCACTCTTTTCACTTTCCTCTTGAAACTATCAGCTTCTACCGCCAGCTTTGACATATAAAGCAGACAGCTGTTGTAGAGTTATGGCACTAAAGCCTCGGCCAGCAAACAACAGCCACCCCTCCAACTGAGACCTCTGCCAGTGACCTTCAGTTTCTCTAACAACCTGCAGCCTCTACGAGCATCAATCAGCCTGTCCCCTGATCAGGAAAATCCCTCAATCTAACATTTGCCAAACTACTACAAAGTATTTAGCACACATGATAAAAAAGACAATTTCTCTCATCCTGTACCAGTACCTTCCTTGGCAATTTTAAAGAGATCTGCCTACAATATGACTTTTCTACAATTTATACAAAACCAAAAAGTAATTGTACTCCGTCAGCAGTGTCCAAATACTCTGCCTCCTTCTTTCCCAGTCTTTTGGTTCAATATAAGAACCTCTGCATCAACCATCCAGTTACAAACAAAAGGAATGATAATTATGGATTAGGCTATAACTACACAAAGGCTGAACAATGCACCCACACTGCTGTATTATTTCCACTTGAACCAAGTGATTTGATCAGCATGTGTTGTTTACACGTGGTTTTAACCCTAGAACACTATCACCGGGTGATTTTCACCCAACCAAACATGTGTATGTGATTTTCATTATGTTATTTGTCTGAGTATCATGGGTCCCTTGGTAGCTTCAGCATTGCCTTTGCCATATTTTGATGACAAGTACTTTTTATTGGGTATATTATTTCGGGTAAAAATCACCTGGTGCTAGTGATGTTACTAATTTTAGCGATAATGTTCTAGGCCAGGGCACAGCTGTCAAACTCAAGGCCCGGGGGCCAAATCTGGTCCGTGGAACAATTTTTTCTGGCCCAAGAGATCATATTGTATTTCTGCGGATTTCTTCCAATATAATAATGTAAACTTTAGCACCATTTTTTAAAATATGCTTAAAAAAAGACAGAAAAATCGGGGACAGGAGAGAGTAGGGAGGATTTTATAAATAGTAAAGAATGTGGGGGGAAAAAATGTGTTTTATTTCATATTTTCAATTTTGAATCCCAAGATTACAAGTCAAACACGATTGGATTTTTTATTTCATGCATTGATTTTTTTCAACTCAGTATTTAGACTTGTCATTTTTATACTTTAGATTCAAATTTAACATTTTAAGTCATATTTTGACCTTTAAACATGGTTTCAACTTTCTCCTCATATATTTGCTCTTTAAAAGCATTATTTTTCTATTTTTGATATCATGTTCTGATCTTTTGAACTAAATAAAAATAAAAATATATATATTTTTCTATCTCAGTTTGCCTTTAAACTTATCTTTTTTATCGTTTTTGAATTTTCAAACGATTTATAATCATTGCTGTTTTTGTTATATATATATTTTGAAAAGGAGGTTGACAGTTTTGGTTAAATGTTGACCCTGTTTGGTCCTCAGGTTAGAACTAAATCCAGATTATGTCCCTTGCAGCGGTTGAGTTTGACACCTCTGTTCTGGGGTTCATCTAAAACGATAACTCAATAACACAGTCTCTGTAGTCCAATGAGATTTGACGGAGTTCTCAAACCTCAATAACACACTCTCTGTAGTCCAATGAGATTTGACGGAGTTCTCCTCTAACTCGCTGTCTGAGCGATGCGCGCTCCCGCGGAGTGCGCGTGGTTGTCGGCGGCAGAACACCGGGATGCTCCTACGCGGCTGGAAATGCCTCGGGAGGTGAAGGAGCCTGCCGTGTACCTACTTGAAAGCAAACAGCTCCGTAGGTTTTATTTCCTTCAAACCAAAAAAAGTTCTTGAACACATTGGAGCTAATTGTTTTGTTTTGACATCTCCAGTGAGGATTTTTTCGCCTTTGGAGCTCATAAGTTTGGACGGCTAACAGCTAAAGCTACACCGACTTTTGCTAATGCTAGGTAAATATCACGAACGCCTTTCGGAAGATTCATCTCAGTACCAACAAAAACTGTGCGGTTAGAGGTCATACTGTACCAAAGTTTCATTAGGAATAGCAGTATGCTTTTCTCGAGCAAGATGCGACGCTTTTTCTCACGTTATACACAATACTAAATGTCTGTGGTTAGCCTGTTCTTATGTTAGCCGTCGTTGCTAGTAACTTCAGCAAGAGATATTCGGCGAGCTAACCACCACCACCATAGTCCTGCTGTTCACGATTACCCTCCACTGCTTAAAGCGGGCAACTTGCAGTCATGTTTGAAATGGAGACGCATATATCGTGCCTTTTCCCGGAGATCCTGGCCATTATTTTCAGCTATCTGGACGTTAAAGACAAAGGAAGAGTCGCCCAAGTGTGCGCGGCCTGGAGAGACGCGTCCTACCACAAGTCTGTGTGGAGGGGGGTGGAAGCCAAGCTCCATCTGCGGCGAGCTAACCCGTCTCTGTTCCCAAGTCTGCAGACCAGAGGGATCAAAAAGGTTCAGATTCTCAGCCTGAGGCGAAGTCTGAGCTACGTGATCCAGGGGATGCCGCACATCGAAAGCCTTAATCTTTGTGGATGTTTCAACCTCACAGACAACGGACTCGGACATGCCTTTGTGCAGGACATCCCGTCCCTGCGGGTACTCAACCTCAGCCTCTGCAAACAGATCACTGACTCCAGCTTGGGGAGGATCGCTCAGTATCTAAAGAACTTGGAGGTGCTTGAACTAGGGGGGTGCAGTAATATCACGAACACGGGCCTGTTGCTCATTGCCTGGGGGTTGCACAGACTCAAGAGCCTAAACCTGCGCAGTTGTAGGCATGTGTCCGATGTCGGTATCGGTCACCTGTCCGGCATGACCCGCAGCGCCGCAGAGGGCTGCCTGTCCCTGGAGAAGTTAACACTACAGGACTGCCAGAAGCTCACTGACCTGTCCCTCAAACATGTCTCGAAGGGCTTAAACAAGCTTAAAGTGCTGAACCTTAGCTTCTGTGGGGGGATATCTGATGCAGGCATGATCCACCTCTCACACATGACCCACCTGTGCAGCCTCAACCTGCGCTCATGCGATAACATCAGCGATACAGGGATAATGCATCTAGCCATGGGTTCCCTCCGGTTGTCTGGACTCGACGTCTCCTTCTGCGACAAGATTGGAGACCAAAGCCTGGCTTACATTGCTCAGGGGCTGTATCAGCTCAAGTCCCTCTCTCTGTGCTCCTGCCACATTAGCGATGACGGCATCAATAGGATGGTACGCCAGATGCACGAACTCAAGACTCTCAACATCGGACAGTGTGTACGGATCACAGACAAGGGGTTGGAGTTGATAGCTGACCACTTGACCCAGCTGACTGGGATTGATCTGTATGGTTGTACTAAAATCACCAAGAGGGGTCTGGAGAGGATAACACAGCTGCCGTGCCTTAAAGTGTTAAACCTCGGACTCTGGCAGATGACTGAAAGTGAGAGAGTGAGGTGAAAGCTCTCTCGTGGATATGATACTCTGTGATGTACTAAAAAGGACTGCTTGTATTCATTCTTAATTTTACCTTCTACTTTGTGACTAAAAACAAGGCAAGGGACTCTTGATTGATCACTGGAATATTGTTGCAATACTCCACTCTCTCTCATTCACATAAACATTCAGCCTTGAGCTCCTTTTTGATGTGCATTGTTAAATCTCAGCCTGTGTACAGTTCTCACTCTCTAGCTACCTCATCTGTCAAACACAGGAGTGCCTACTACCGCAGAAGACTAAATTACATTGCGTATTTTTGTGATTTGAATACCAATGGAGATTTGTTATTAAAAAGATTCTCAGTGAAGATTAACAGTTAGGTATTTTTACTCTTAACAAAAAGGCTGGAGTACCTTGGCCTTAAGTTTTTATAGAATGTCTTTTCGGCTGATGTATTTTTTACTTGTGTAACCAATATTTTTTTGTATTGAATGACTGTTGTTGACAAAATTGTACTTCAAATTGAAGTGGGTGGATTACTCCCGTCTGTCTTAGTTTACTTCTGTATAGTTGGCTATGTTTCATATTCCTGAGGAAATAACTATGAATGCTACTCCTGCAAAGGTTCAACAACATAGCTAGGCAAGGTGTAGTAATTCACAGCTGCCAAGGCCATATGCAATAACAAACTGTCAGTGTTTTTCTCCTGAGGAGCTTCCAACAGTAGCGTCAGAGTATTTGTTTAAAAAAAGCAGTAATTTAATATTGTTTTATACTCATACCATAGTGATATTTATGAATAAAGATGGCAAATATGTTTCAGTTCTTTAACCTGTTTGTGGAATTTTTTCAGAATCAACTACTGTGTAAAAAATGCTGTTTGTTCAATGGAGATTCAGGTTTGCACAGTTAGTACTTTATATGAAACTCAAGATTAATAGCAATGTGTTCGATGTAAATCCAATCCAGGTTTATTTATATAGCACATTTCAAAACAACAAAGCGCTGACCAAAGTGCTGTATAGTAAAATTAAAAACAAACTAAAAAGAGCCAGACAATTAACATGAACAATAGAACAAGACACAGGAACACATTAAAAACAGGGGGACATGGATGTTCAGTAAAAACATGATTAAAAGGCCAAGTCCTCAGGAGTTAAAAGCCAGGAAGTAAAAGTGCACTTTCAAATTTGATTTAAAAACAGGCAGTGAGGGGGACAGTCGGACATGAAGAGGAAGAACATTCCAGAGCTTAGACGCAGCGATGGAAAAAGCCCGGTCACCCCTGAACTTCAATCTTGACCTAGGGACAGTCAGAAGGCGCTGGTCAGAGGATCTGAGAGTCTGAGATGAAATATGGGGTTTTAAAAGGTCAGAGAGATGAAAAGGAGCAATCCTGTTTTAAGATTTATAAGTTAATCAAATTTTAAAATCAACCCTAAAACGCACAGGAAGCCAGTGAAGAGAGGCTAAAATCGGGAAAATGTGGTCATATTTACGGTGACCAGATAAAACACGAGCTGCGGCATTTTGAAGGAGCTGCAAATGATTGAGATGAATTGTGATAAAAGCATGCATAACATTCTCAAAATCATTAAAAGATAAAAAAAGACTTGACCTTGTTTAAAAGACGATAAAAACTCGCTTTGACAACTGCATTTATCTGCTACACAAGAGACTGCTTTGTTGTCTTTTAGATGCTGAATTAAATTTGGTTGTGCCATTATAATTGAGATCATATACTTGCAAAGCAAAAGGGAGAACCACAGCTGAAAAGGAAGCCTAAACTAAAAGACTTCCCACCACGATACATTACTGTATAAGCTAGGAAAGTGGTTCTCAAGTCCAGTCCTCGAGGCCCACTGTCCTGCATGTTTTGGATGTCTCCCTGCTCCAACACACCTGATTCAAATGATCAGCTCGTTATCAAGCTCTGTAATGGCTTAATAACGAGCTGATCATTTGAATCAGGTGTGTTGGAGCAGGGAAACATCCAAAACATGCAGGACAGTGGGCCTCGAAAACCACTGATCTAGGATATATGAAGCAAATTTTAAACATTAAAACACATCAATTTCAATTTGTCTTATTCCAAGAGTGGAGGTGCAAAACAAAACAAAGCCACTCCAGCGCCAAACTCTAGGTAATTTTATCTTTCTTTGCCTGTAAATCGAATTCATTAAAGCTTTAAATGTGATGTAGAGGAGAGCTTAAAGAACACAAAAAACAAGGCTTATAATTTATTTATTTACATTCATACAAAATCCAAATGACTCACAAACATGTCTGTTTTGCTTTCTTTTTACACAGTTTGATTCTTAACATGAACAGACAGAAGGCAGTACATTTCTTCTACAAATCCGAAAAAAGAAACAAACGCCATGACGTTGACAGAAGCCCCTTAATCAGCTCTGTGTTCCTCAAAAGGAGTCAAGAAAAAGAGATGACAAGACATTAAGGCAAGGGCAGGGAGACACAGGCCAAAGTAAGGGCAACAAAACACTTACAAAAAATGCTATATTCATCCTCCGAACCCCACAGCGACGACTGTTAAGTTTAGAAGGGACGGGAGAAATTAACCTGCACACCATGAGGTTCAACAGACAAAGACGAAACAAGCTTTCACTAAACCACCTCTTTACCAGGGTGTGCTCTGCTCTCAGTGAACTCTGTTAGTCCAACAACCCAAATGTATCTGTAAATCTACTACACCCTTAGGAGGTTTGTTAGAAAAGCTTCCTGATCCACTTCTTCACTGTTACATTATTTAAACATTGTGTTGTAACAGAAGGAGGGCTGTGATAGCTGGGGACATTTCATCCATCAGGCTGCCTTTGACATCAGCAAAACATAAACCAACAACGTAAAAAGTGAGAAGAAAAAGACAACACTTGAATCTCAGGATAATACATTTACATCACCATGTGGTGAAAAGATATAAAAAATGACCATTAGAAATAAATGCAAGAAAAGTACTCTCCCATCACACAGTCACGGTTTGAAAACATTTGCAGTTCACACGTTATTTTGACACAAGTTTTTTTTGACACTTCTCTCCTCTGTCTGTGCTGAGGACACTAACTCGATGGTCTTTTTGTTCAGAGCAGCTTGCTCTTCAAGATTCTGTGCAAACATTCAATGCATATCCATACAGTAAACATTTTTATATATGTATTATATTCATTTATATATATCTCTATAGAACATGACTTTCCGCAAGTTATGGCAGTACTGTCACACACACACATTTTGTCCTGAAGACAAAATTAGACACAAAAGACAATTGCACTGCTTTAAACTTTTCAGGGTTTTTTTTGAAGAATGCACAACACCTTCCACTTAGTTACCTTTATTCAGTCACTGCACGTGTTAAATATCACGTTATTTACAAACTGATCTAAAAAGTCAAAATCTGCTGAAAAGTGACCTTGATTTTCTTCTGTAAATGTAGATGCACCTAGGAATTAAAAACCTCAGCCCTGAAGATTTCAAAAAATACAATAAAATGAGGCATCACTTTCATTTTTTTGAGTGATCTCAAAAATACAAGAAGAAAGAAAAAACGAGGGTCGCTTGTTTTCTTCAAAGATTTAGTTAGCAAACCAAAGGTCAGGTGGGCTTAAAGTAACATCTGTAGAAACTTTGGATGAAACCAAACGATCAGTATCAGATTAGAAGTCCTTAACATCATGCCTTAGCACCAAATGGACAGAGAAACTTACTTCCCTGCTTTAGGTCCAGCACTTCTCTCTGTGACTGCTCCAAGGCCACTAGAACAATCTCAAATGAAACATTGCATACCTCATAAACAAGTGGACACCATGTGCAAAACCATCTGAAACTTAATACATCACTAGGAATAAAAGCTTTGTTTTGTTTCCTCTCTCTCTCTCTCATTCAAATTTGAAACAAAGAGTAACTCAAAGTTGACCTTTGATCCCCCTCCTACGCCAATGACAGCCACAGACGACCTAGTCAAGATGTACCTACAACCTGATCCTGGCTACGGTGACACATCCACAGCTAAGAGCTGGGAGGGGAAACATTTGGATAACATGCTGCATATTTTTGGTTAAAAAGTGGCTTTTCCTACGAGTTCAGAAGATCTGCCACCAGTAGCTGTAATTTCTAACTAGCGACTGTGTCTCGAGTCTTTATTTATGCTGAAATATGAAACAAGCATCTACACGGCTTCACGACTTGCCCTCTGAGCTCAGCTCCTCTCAGCTCCCCTCTAGTTGTAGCAGCTCCTCAGTTCTCTGACTGAAAAAGTGCTCCCCTTCCCCTTGAAAGGAATGAGCTTCTTCTGGAGGAATCTAAAGGGGTCAAAGACTGAGATAAAAGTTGGTGAGGTAACTGTGCTTGATCTTGCGCTTCTTGCTGTGAGTGAAGACCTCTGGGTAGAGGAAGCCTGGCAGTATACTCAAAGACTTTGTGCTGAAGTTTGATTCTTTCATCTGACTTCCTCTTTCAACACCTGTGCTAGAATAACAGCTATGCAACATCTTATTCTAACTTCACCACAAGCAGAGAAAATCGAATTTGGTGAGTTCACAAAAGCTAAATACATTTTCACTTTTTAATATGCTCCAGTATGCTGTTGACTGTCTGATTCATTTTTTACAGTCTTCTCTTCCTACCATCTGGCAGGGCTGTCTTTAACTTTGCTGCTTCAAGACTTTGTGAACATCTCAAATTCAATTTAGCAAGCCTGACATCAGGAAAGCATGACACAGGAGAACACTTTTGAGTCTGAGGGTTTCTTCCAGAGTGGACGAAAGGAGCGAGGGAGAGAAGCTCAGTGGGGGTCTCAACAAGTCCTCTCATCCTTCCAGGAGCTTTGATGAGTGGAGGTAGGGGCTCCTGGACTCAGCTACGGGTTTCTGTGAGGGGCCAAGGATCATCCTGGTTGTGTGTCTGAGGTCAGAGATGTCAGCATGACTCCTCCAGGGCGTTCACTACCTGCTCCAGGATGTCCGGGCAGTAGTCTGCGATCTGCTGGAGAACAGAGTTGGCATACTCCTGCAGCTCTCCGCTCTCCTTCTCACACACCTCCAGCTCCCGCTCCAACTAGAGGGGAGAAAACATAGTTCATATTTCTGACATATTTCTGATTGCTTGAAGGCCTCTTGACCTGTTTTAACACAACATTTTTGTTCCTCCCCTACCTGCTCTACACTCATCCTCTGGACCTCCTCCTCCCAGTCTCCAGGGTCGCTGTGGTGGTAGTGAGAGGGCGGCGTGAGCTGACTGAGTATACTGGGGTCCCGGTCATGGCAGAGGTCTGTTAGGTGAGCGATGTAGAGCTTGAGCTTACTGCGGTTCTGGGACAGGGCTAGAAGAGGGGGAATCATCTGCAGAGGGGAAGAGGGTAGAAGAGAGTGTGAGGCGGTGTGGAGGCGAGGACAGAGACTGTGAGGAGTTTTTATGGATAGAGTCAAAAAGGAACAAAAAAAAATCTTCTTAAAACAAACTTATAATAAACCCAAACACAAGACTTTGACTGGAGTAACACATTGTTTTTAAGTGAGAAAACAGAAAATCATAAGGCACATGCATGATTATGAACCTTATAGTTGTCTATGTGTAGCTCAACCTGGTGACTTACTCCACAACTCGTTATTCCAGTTTTAAATGATCTAATATAGCTGCCTGTGTGGGTAAAAGGCCAAAATCCCAAACTCCACACTCAAGTACTTTAAAGCATCTTTCTGGGAGGTGTGCCAGTGCTTAAAACTGTCACATAAACCTGTGTGTAAGCGCTTTCACTGACTGTAAAACACGAAATGATGCACTTTCTAAAAGTCTGTATTCCTGCAGACTTTATTTTGGGACTCACCAAGAGTTCCTTGCAAACGTGACAATATAAACATGACTCATTATCTAATGGCTTATTTTGTTTTCAAGGCAAGGTGTGACGTAAGGGTAGTGTGTCCCAGTCCTCACACACACACTGTTAGAGTCGTGAAGGGTTAAATGCTTAGTCTTCAGGGTGAAGACTGGGATTAGGCCTAAGTGTTAGGAACTAATGATAAGTTCCAGAGCAGTAGCATGCAAAGCGAAGATGCTTTATGGCGATCAAAGCCATCTCATCCTCTTAACCCCGTGCATGCAAACGCACAGACACACACAGACACAAACAAACACAATCGATCCCTGCCCTTCATAAGCTAATTAGACGCAGTGAATGAAAATCAACATTTACGACACAGGATGAGGATAAGCAATAATTAGAAGAGAGGAATGAAATGAGTGAAATTATGAATGGTAGAAAAGTCAACATGCCACAGAACAACGATGAAGAGAAGTATGACGGGTTTGGTTTTTCAGACGGGCTCACCCTTCTGAACAAAAATGGCTGAGAGAGAGAGAGGGAGGGGGGGGTAAAAGGTTGGCTACGCCCATATACCCTCCTCGTCATCCTTTTAGCCACAAGGCAAGCCAATCGCAGCGTCAGAAAGGAACATTTTGTTAGTGTGTATGCTGACAAAAAAGTTTATTAACTTACATTTCAAAACTTTGGTTTAAACATCATATTTTACACATTGCAGACTTGTTAATGATCAGTTTCATCACCTCTGTTCAGGAATAAATAAAAAAAACATGACTTGGATGTGGTTAGAGGAGCTACCTGATCTGGAGAGGGTTTGTGATTTGTGTGGTCGGGGGCTGTCTTCAGGTGGTCATCCTCATAGTTGTCTGCCATCAGTTTCATTCTGTTCTGAGTCTGCAAAGCAAACATATTGAGAGTAAAAATCTTCAAAAGAAAAAAAAAAACATCAGATTTTATAATACTTGGTTTGACCCACAAAAGGCCAAAAATGTTCATCAGAAACTCACAGACACCCACATGACGTTTTATTTTCCAATGAGGACAAATACGCAGAAAAAGCAGAAAACCTCACATTTACGGAAGTGGAAAAAGCAAAAGTGTGATATTGTTGCTTGAGATATTATTAAAACAGATATTCAGTCGTCAGGGATGCCCTCTCTCCCCCTTATTGCTTACCTTGGCAATTAACTACTAGCAATAGCATTTAGGAAACACACTGGAATTACCGGGATTAAATTAAGACAGATCCAACATAAGATCATGTTATATGCAGATGATGTTATTTTGTTTATTTCACGCCTCAGTGGTACTATCCCTAATCTGTTAAAAAACTATAAAGTTATTTGGCAACATTTCTGGTTAAAAAAATCTATAGAACTAAATCCTCCATTTTAGTGTTCAGTGATAAAGCAAAAGTAAACCTACCAAGTCAAGCTTTACAATTTCAGGTGGTAGATCAGTTCACATGGGAATACAGATTATGTCAAGTCTAGATAAGATCGTTAAAGCCAAGAATGAACTATTAATGGAGAAAATAGTGGAATCAACTGAAAGGTGGATGTCCTTGTCCATATCTTTGATTGGCAGAATTATTGTTTGTTTGTTTTCTCTTTCTTTGACATGGACATTAATCTGTATTGAGTTATGGCACATAGTCTGAAAGGCAGTTTACTGAATGTTTTATTGTATCTGTATTCTATGGCACTTTTGTTTGTCAATGTTTTGTTATAAAAATCTATAAAACTCAATCAATATATAGGTGAAAAAAATATATATTCAAAGTAGCTATGAATGAATATCCTTTGATTGATGAATGTTCCAATCGTTTCAGTTGTATGTCAGTGATGTTAGAAACTATGCCCTTGAATAGGTTTTGGAAACTTTCTGGTTTGAACATCATCTGCTGCAGATTTGGTCACAGCTTCACAGCTGCATCGTCATGAATAATAACAAACTGCATCGTTCGAATAGTTTGTGTACGTCTTTCTCAAGTTTTATCCTAGTGAAACAGATCGCCTGGATTTATTCCCCACTGATAAACATATTCTGTGTATGTGATGTTCAGACAGGATAGATAACATTGGTTGTGTTCTGGTGTTGGGCCCCCCCTGAATAACAAGAACATCTTGATTATGTATTCATGCTCAGCCCCCACCCCACCTGCTGCTTCAGCTGCTGCACCAGCCTGTCCTTCTCCCGCTTCAGCAGAGCCACTTCATCCTGGGTTTTCTTCTTTTTCGAAGAGGACAACTCCAGCAGGGCAATGTTGGCGTCCTTCTCACTAATAGCAGCTAACAGCGCCTCCTGTCTGTGGGGTGAGGTGGAAACAACATGACATTTCACCAAACAAGTAAACAGCACAGTTATCATTTATTATTCATGCTGCAAATTCATGCTACCGGCTGGGGGAGGCCAGAAATGGATGACATTTTGCAAGATGAAGGTAGGTGATCAATAGTCCCGGATGAACTCCACCCTACTGTGTGTGTGCCTGTAGGTGTGTGAGTGTTTCTTACTTCATCTCCAGCACCTCCTCCAGGTGTTTCCTGCGCTCAGCTCGCAGGGTGGAAAGGTGTGCCTCCTTCTCACACAGAGACTGCTGGGTGGAGGACAGCTTAGCCCTCATGGATTCCAGCTCCTGCTTTACCTTCTCCATGGCCCCCAGTAGCTCCTCCATCTGGGAACACACATACAAATCCATACATGTCAACAACTCAATCACGAACAGATTAACAAAGTAGAACTAAGAACATCAGGAAAGGTTGAGGCTTTTTTTTTAGGGCAGGGGTGGCAGATAATAGGTGTCTTTTTTTTTCTTTTTTTGGGGAGGAAGGGGGGACTTAAGTTGAAGATTACACGGATAATGCTTAAATATATCAGTCAATTTCATTTACCTGTTATTTATTTATAAGGATACAAGAGCACCCTTCTTTCACAAGACTTTAATTACAATTGACTCCAAGAAAGGGTGAGTGATTCATCACAAGAATGATCAATTTTATTGTTTACTTGTACAAGCTGGCAATTAGTCAGCCTTGAGGTGTTTTATACTCAAACAGCAGGTAAACAAAATAACGTGAAATACACGGGCTTAAACAGCAACACCTTACAAAGCAAAGTGATCCAACGACATGAAACTTTTATTCCTCTAAAATGATCGAACTTGACAAAAACTTTGACTTTGGCCTGTTGTCGGACTGAATGAAATGTACAAGTGTTGCTGTTATTGTGTCCAACCCTGTGAGTGTTGTTGCTCACTGATGGCGGTCACACAAACTTGGGCTCATACCTTTGACAACTTTAAGTGGGCGAGGTTGGACTCATGCATTGGTTTGAGTGAGTGCTTCTGAGAGGCAGTGTGTCGCAGAGAGAAAACAAGAGAAAACGACAAGCAAAGATAAAAGAACTGAGAAAGAGGCAAAGAGCAAAGAAGAGAAGACAGGAGGTAAAGAAAGGATGAGAAACACCATCAAAAGATGAGGGAGAAAGAGTCTATCCCCAAGAGGATTTGTGTTTAACTATGTTTGGGAACACATGTATTGTAGGAGTGATTCTGAGTTTTTCATAATAACGCTTTGTAGTAGGTGTGTGTGTGTGTGTGTGTGTTCAGGAAGAAACTGGTGTACCTGTTTCTCTTGGAGGGACCGGGCAGCCTCCTCCTGTGCCAGCACCATCTCCCTCTCTGCAGTAATCTGAACACTCTCTCTCAGGGCCTCCTCCAGCTCCTCAATGCGATCCATCTTCTGGCGTATGGTGTCCTTCAGTGAGAGAGGAATTCGGGGTATTTTAGACTCAAAACAAGTGAAATCGATGTAACAACATGTAAATGTGCCTACCTTCACCTGCTGGGAGCTCTCAGACATGTTGTCCTCCCTCTTCCTGGCCTCCTCCATGAGTCGAGCGTTCCTGCTCTTCTCTACCTGCTCTTTGTGCTTCAGAGATGCCACCTTCTTTGTCTGGTCCTTCATCTGCCTGCAGAGACATTGAATGATACATGGGAAAAGTTATGAGATGTATTAGCACTGGACTTTTGCTCCATTTAAATTGTCAAAGTGATTCTATTGTCTATAAAAAGGTTAGAATCATTTTTCTGCTTGGTAAAAACATGGCAAGAAATAAAATCATTATTTCAAGGATATGTGTTGACTAATGTAATGTGCCATGGATTACTGTCTATCTCCATAGCCAGCTGGTTAGTAGATACTTTATAAATATGGTGTCAGAGACCAAACTAATGGCACTTTCAAACTTAAAGATATGATCCTGATCCAGTGAAAAGCTACGCTTTGGAAACAAAAACACCATACAAATACCTACAGACTTGCTTCATATAGACTTGTTAGACAGACCTGCAGAGACTGAAACTTAGATCGCACCTGATAAATGACGAAACGAGAAAAGAAAATGAGGGGAAATAAGTATAAGAAATATGGGAGAGGTTTTAATATGGCAGAAAGAGGCAATTGTTTGTGGTATCAAACATGGAGAGGTAAAAGGTAGAGAGAAACAAAGGAGAGAAAACTGAGACAAGGACAAAAACGATACTGAGATTGGGAAAAAAGACAAATAGAGCCAATACTAACCTGGAGGCCAAACTGGTGGGGTGAGAGATTTCCGATGTAAAGACAAGAAAGCAGTAAAGAGAAAAAAGTCTTAGCTAAGATAAAAGAGTCAGTGTGAAGAAACAGGGGAAGAAAGAGGGAACCTCACATCTCAGGATTTTGTTATACTTTTGATTGGCCAGTCACAAGATCACATGCCTTATTTGAGAAAAAAACAACTGCAGATACATTCATAAAAGAAACTTGTGTAGCTTTACTCCCTAGATTTTTATAACAGGTCTGGAGTCTGTTGTGGTGAATGTTGTTAGCAGGAGTCAGCTGATACTGGATTTTCAGGGCTGATAATGACACCAACTAAAAATGTGCATAAAACTCATAACCCCTATTTGGAATCAAAATGCATTTACAATAAAACCAACAATCTTTCTGTCAAAAGTTAGATGTTGTAGGAGTTCACAATTTATCAGTCACACATGCAGTACAATAATGTCACTGTCCTGTGATGTTTAGCCCATCAGAAAGTGTTGTATCATTTAATTGGCTACCTGTGAAATAAATGACAGATACAGGCAGATGGCAAAATACTACATGTCGGCCATGGTAATAATCTGTTAACACACTACGTATTCTAGTGCCAAAACACAAACATAAAACTGACAAACACTCATTACAAACTGGATGTATTGTATGTCTTAAGCATGTGGCATAAAGTGGACAGTATACATTTATACCCACCTCTCCAGCTCATTGATCTTTTTGTCCTTATCATTCTTCTCATTCTCCATTTCCCGAAGGATCTCCAGCAGGCGGTCCACCTCAGCCTGGGCCTTGCCAGAATCCTCTTTGTGGCGAGCCACTTCCTGTTCGAGGTTCTTAATGCGTTCAGCCAGCTCCGTGTTGGCCTGAGCCTCCAGGGCTGCATTTTGAGCCTGAAAAAAAATCAGTTCAAAACACACTTCTAAATTTTAGCTGTCTCTTTATCTTTGATAAGTGATTCAAAATGATTGTATAGAGTAAATATTTAGTTGAATCTTGTTTAGCTGGTAGATGTCTCTACTTAAGGATCTCACCCTCTTAAGATGGTTCTCCAGTTTAAGGCACTCCTCCCTCTTTTGCTCCAATGTGATCTCTAGACTCTTGAGTTTGGAGTCCTTCTTAAGCCCTGAGGAGGCCAGGGACGAGGCATGCTCCTTGAGATCCAACAGAGATGTCTGTATATATACACACACACACACACGCCCACACACATATATGAGTATAGATGCCCCTGTCCCAGGATATCCATCTGTCAGAGTTTAGGACTGAAGAGACTGAAAATACACAGACCTCAGTGACTCACTGCAGAGCGAGTGTTTCTGTTTCTGCTCGTTTCTGGCTATAATGTTTCACTGTATTATTAGAATCACAATAAACAAGAGTGGCTTCACTTTTGCTGTTTTCTCATGTATCCCCTGTTTCCCACCTCTCTGTCTGACAGGTCTCCCTGCAGTAAACTCAGCTTCTCCCTCAACTCTTTCAGCTCCTTCTTTGCGCAGTCAAGCTCCTCCGTCTTCTCCCTGTCGTCTCTGTCTCGCTGCTCCTTCAGACGTTCGATGATACGCTCCTGAGAGAGGGGTGGTTAAGAAAATGATCAATCATGCTGCCTCCAAATAACACATTAGACCAACCAGATAAGTTGCCACAAATGAACAATGTAAAATAAATAAAATCAATTATTTGTAGCTAGTATTAACTCGGTTTGTGGAGGCATGACCCCACCTTTTCCGCAAGAGACTCCTCCAGCGTGGTGAGAGCCGTGTCGGTGTTAGATGTGTCCGCTTGCAAAGACTTGACTCTCTCCTTCAAGCTGCTCATCTGCTTCTCCTTGTCCCTCAGCTGCTCCTGGAGGTTTTCAATCTGCAGAAAAGCACAAGCAACCATGAGCCACCTAAGATGCACACAATATACTGTAAAATGTATATTATTTTTAGACATCGGCTAAAATCACCTTCTTCTGTAGCACATTGACTTTGCGCTCCTTCACCTCAAGCATGTCTTTGAGGTCATGGATCTCCCCGTTGAGGGTGCCTTTCTCCTCTGACATTTCTTGTATCTGCTTGCTCTTCTTATTCAAAGTTGCCTCCTTTTCTTCCAAGCGCAAACGCAAAGCATCCACCTAGCATGGAGGGCATTTTCAAATAAAGACAGATTGGTACCACTGTGCTTATTTGCACTGATAGAAAACAAGTTTCCCCCTTATGTAAACAACCTTAAGAAACCTGTGATGAACACCTATTCCAACGCCCAAGTGTACAGAAATGTGTCTGGTTTACCTCTGTCTGTAAAATGGCTGCTCGTTGCTCCTTGGCAGTGAGGGACTCCTTGAGGACTTCAATGTGCTGTTTGCTGTCTGAGAACTGATTGTTAAGTGTCTCGAGCTTGGTCTGCAAACCAAGAAGCTCAGTGTCTTTCCTGGAGAGGTCCTGCTTCACCTGTTCCATCTAAAGAAAGAACAAACCACGGCAAAAGGACTTCAAAGTTAATCTTCAATAAGTAATACAGATTTTATTTGCTCTGCTTGATGTAGACTCGAACCTTGTTCTTCATAAACTTGGTGTGGCTGCGGTACACCTCCATCTGCTTCATCTCCTCCTGACGCTCCTCGCAGCTCAGGAGTCCGTTGGATTTCATCATTAGCAGCTCCTCCTCCATGTCTCTAAGGTTACGCTCCATTGAGTTGATTTTTGCATCCTGAGGTTGATGAAGAGGGCACAAATGTGTGAGCAGAAACGCCACAGACATAGTCACAAACACTTCTCTGTGTAAATCTTCACCTTCATGTCAATAACAGTCTGTAGAGCCTTGGTTTTGGTCGACTCTGGAGTTCCTTCGTATCGACGGTGCAGCTCCTGCAGTGTCAAATGAAGAGCAACAAATTGCATGGATGTTGAAAAATCGATGTGCAATATCATATTAACATATACACTCACCGGCCACTTTATTAGGTACACCTGTCCAACTGCTCGTTAACACTTAATTTCTAATCAGCCAATCACATGGCGGCAACTTAGTGCATTTAGGCATGTAGACATGGTCAAGACAATCTCCTGCAGTTCAAACCGAGCATCAGTATGGGGAAGAAAGGTGATTTGAGTGACTTTGAACGTGGCATGGTTGTTGGTGCCAGAAGGGCTGGTCTGAGTATTTCAGAAACTGCTGATCTACTGGGATTTTCACGCACAACCATCTCTAGGGTTTACAGAGAATGGTCCGAAAAAGAAAAAATATCCAGTGAGCGGCAGTTCTGTGGGCGGAAATGCCTTGTTGATGCCAGAGGTCAGAGGAGAATGGCCAGACTGGTTCGAGCTGATAGAAAGGCAACAGTGACTCAAATAACCACCCGTTACAACCAAGGTAGGCAGAAGAGCATCTCTGAACGCACAGTACGTTGAACTTTGAGGCAGATGGGCTACAGCAGCAGAAGACCACGCCGGGTGCCACTCCTTCCAGCTAAGAACAGGAAACTGAGGCTACAATTTGCACAAGCTCATCGAAATTGGACAATAGAAGATTGGAAAAACGTTGCCTGGTCTGATGAGTCTCGATTTCTGCTGCGACATTCGGATGGTAGGGTCAGAATTTGGCGTCAACAACATGAAAGCATGGATCCATCCTGCCTTGTATCAACGGTTCAGGCTGGTGGTGGTGGTGTCATGGTGTGGGGAATATTTTCTTGGCACTCTTTGGGCCCCTTGGTACCAATTGAGCATCGTTGCAACGCCACAGCCTACCTGAGTATTGTTGCTGACCATGTCCATCCCTTTATGACCACAATGTACCCAACTTCTGACGGCTACTTTCAGCAGGATAATGCGCCATATCATAAAGCTGGAATCATCTCAGACTGGTTTCTTGAACATGACAATGAGTTCACTGTACTCAAATGGCCTCCACAGTCACCAGATCTCAATCCAATAGAGCATCTTTGGGATGTGGTGGAACGGGAGATTCGCATCATGGATGTGCAGCCGACAAATCTGCGGCAACTGTGTGATGCCATCATGTCAATATGGACCAAGCTCTCTGAGGAATGCTTCCAGCACCTTGTTGAATCTATGCCATGAAGAATTGAGGCAGTTCTGAAGGCAAAAGGGGGTCCAACCCGTTACTAGCATGGTGTACCTAATAAAGTGGCCGGTGAGTGTAAATCTGATAAAAAAATGGATGGACCAATCACATATCTCCCATGGTTGAAGTAAACATTACCTCTCTTAATGCATTTATCTCTCGCTCTCTCTGGTCCAATAAACTCTCGAGGTGATGCCTGTGCATCTCTGCGTCAGCCAGCCTCCTGGTACGCTCCTGGTCCTCCTCTGATGCTTTGGCAGATGGTCCTGAGATAAAATAGAAATACAGAAATCTTTGGACTCTAAAAGTTGAGTATGTTAAAATCTTCTTTAATACTGAAAGCCTCAGATTTATGCCTCTGACAAAAAAACGTATCAGCCCAGCAGGGAACAATTTCTAAAAGCAGTGTGTTCTGACCTTCACAGTCAACATAAAGCAAGATCATATGACCAAGTAGCTAAAGCTCCCATTTGAGGGCTAATGTCTTTTGTAAGACTTTAAACTATCACTAGTGTACTCAAATTTTCAGCATCTGGTCTGACAAATCAGGGTTATTTCGCGTCCCAAAGATTGTACCATGAAATTATTTTGGGAGGCATCCATGCAAAAGTCTGTGCGTGAAATACTTGGATGTCCTTAACCCCAGAAGCATTCTTGGGTTTAAAGCACACATCATGGTTAGTTTAAGGAGCACATAAAACCCATGTTTGTCAAATGAAGGAGCAAGCTTGGGTGGAGCTGAGGGGGGAAAACAAGCAAGTGGCAACCATAGTAGAAGTAACAGCTGAGAGCAAATCTTTGTTCAGAACCAGAATCTTTTAGTATGAAGTGCTTTGATTTCATTTTTTAGAAAGTTTTCTGGTCTCCTGATCGACCTGAGAGCTATTTTGTAAAGAAAAATAAATAACTGTTTTACCAAATAAACAATAACAACAAAAAACTGCTTTGTGGCACACTAATTATTGGCTTATAACATGAAGCCTGCTCTATAAGAATAAGTTAAACTCTGTGCTGTGCTTCTCTCCAGGGACTCCTAGCTACCTTTGCTCTGCAGCATCTCCAGCAGTTTCTTGATAGACTCATCTCTGGCTCCCAGCGTTTGCTTCTGTGTGTCAATCCTCAGCTCCATCTCCTCCAGGGTTTTTCTGAGGAGGAAGAGCTCTTTGGCCTGCCTCTCGTGCTCAGCCTGTAGCCGCCTGTAGTTCTCCTCTGTGGGTTCAGAGGACAGCGCCAGGTCCCGGCTTTGGCTGGCTGGGTCCTGCTGGAGCAGCTGGTTGAGGTCCCTCTGGATCCTCAGCTCATCCTGAAGGGCCTGAACAGTCATCTGAAGATGCTATAGATAAAAATAGGCATGTGCATTTAGTACCCATCACCTATTTGTATGTTAAAGTGAAACTTATTAATTAACTGTAAAGCAGAGGGGCTGTCTCCTCAACATTTGATAGGGGTGTATCCTGGTAAAATATACATGTAACAGCCTGATAAAATCAGCCTCAAGAAGACATGACTGAAAATCTAGTAAGGCCCTGACAGACGCACCCCCAACAGCCGGGAATTGTGGACAGTGTTACGTTTCATGCACAGAGAAATACAAGTGGTGAAACACAATCAGCCCAGTATAGTATTGCATTGTTTGTGGCATCTGACGCTGTGGACACTTGACGGAGTGGCTACAAGACAGTAACACAAAGCTGTGTTACGCTGCTCTGAAGCAGCTATGTGTGCTGTCACACAACAGAACAAAAGGAGAAGTCAGTGTCTGCCTTCACTTCTCTCTGTCCTCCTCCACCTCCTCCTCCTGCAGCCCCCTCCGGTCCTTTCTTTTGTCATTCTCTTCTTCCTCCTCCACTGGCACAAACTATTCTTCTCTTTACACACATGCTCGTTTACCTTGCCTGCTCTCTCCCTGTCTCGTCCCTCAAATATCCTCACCTCTCCTCTCTTTCACACTCCCTTTGCATCACCCTCTCCACCCCGTGACTAAGGCTGACTCATTGCTCTCTGACTGCACCTTCAACCCCCCCGCCGCCAAAAGATACATACACATGCACGGACATGCATGTAAACACACACACTCCTTCTGCCTTTGTCAGCCCCCATGTTCTCACTCCTTCTGCCTGAGAACAGATAACAGTGAAGTCTTTGAGAGAGCACAAAAAGTGAAAGAGATGTGATGCATCAGACTAAACTGATCTAAACACAAAGTCACAGCTTGCAGTGACACAGTGCATGAAGAAGCAAAATCCTGCTTCAAGTCATATCCACAGCAATTGACCCCTGCTCACAGCCTGAGTGTTAGACATGCTCACTGTGTGGCACATCTTTTTATCACTCTATTCCATCATTAACATCTTACCTTTGATTCACTAATATGAATTTGAATGTGTACCAGCTGGTGGATCATCACTCGAACATGACAACATCATATATCAAATGTGATACCTATTCTGTGACTGATAGTTTCTCCATGAAATACCCAATGATAATGAGGCGAATTCTGGCCTTTTTGTTTCTTATTTACAGTTTAATAGACACTTGAGTAATGGCAATCACTAATTGGTGGGTGGGTACCTGGTCTGTTAATAAATCCCTATTGTAGTACGGACTATGGCTGGTACAGAAAACACATCACAAAGATAAACAAAGATGTAAAAAAAATCAATAGAAATTGATGAATGCACAGTGGGTTGGACCTACATCAAATAAGGAAATGCAGTTTAACTTAAGCTGTAATTAGCCAAATGCCTCTGAGCGGGCGAGCATCTGTGTGTGTGTGTCCATGCTTCCCGTTGTATGTGTGCCAATGTGGGAGGTGGAGGCTGACATATGAAAGCAGACATCTTTAAATTACAGCACCCACTGATTAGCCTTGTGCTGGTTAGGCATTACTGGGAATTAGTCCACAGTGTGATTCAGTGACTCAGCAGGAGTGAAAACAGCAAATTATACAGATGTGTCCATCCGTTCATAATCACAGTGAAACAAAGGCTTTCTCTATTCATTAGTGAAAATTAATGAAGGTTATAGGTCGTGTTCCTACTCATTCATTCTCATTATTAAAAAAAAAATGAAAATTATAAAATGATAAATAGCACCTTCTTTCATAACCAATAGCTGACAGTATACAAAAAGGAGCCCTCCACAATCATAGCTGTAGGATTGCAAAGTTAGTGCTGTCCAAAAGATGACTCTCCACTTTCTGGTGCCAGCTTAAGTGTATCAGATACTTGGCATTTATTGTAACGCTAAGGTTTCAAAGGGAAGATATCATCCTACACTGTTTCAATCTGGACTTTGTTATATGCCAGTTTGGTTGACATCACCCAACCCAGAGCACAGAGCAGGTCTGCATGTGTGTAGACTGACACATGCTTAACATACTTTGATCCAGAGCCAAAGAACAAAAAAAATAACTGGCATTTAAGTCAGAAATGAGAGACTTCTGAAAGCTGGAGGTATTCAGCACCTTGAAGCAGAAATTATATTCATCACTTTATAAATAACTCCAGTAATCTTGTGTACTCATGTTTGGCTGCTAATGGAGTGTAGATGTGAGAACTTTCACACTTGGTTTCAGGAAAAATTGAAAAGGAATTGGATGCAAAAATGCACCCTGCAACAAACAGTCAACACCAACATACAGACTGTAGTTAGTACATGTAGACAGTTCTACTCTTGTACATTACTCTAAAGTATTAACAGTTTCCTCTTAATGACCTGATCCACCTGTCATCAGACGATATGATAATCTAAATAATGAATTTCATCCATTTGAAAGCCCATTATCAAAACGAGTCAAAGATACTACTCCAAATGTCCTCTCTTCAACAACCATCTTAAGCTTGTTGCTTCTTTGACTCAGTGATTGAGATGCTTTAAATATACACTGCCTTTACAAACGTGCATTCTATACAATTGTATGCACTCCATGTGAAACCACACGGTTTCTTAACCACACAGAAGGCAGCCATACTGCAGCATACATGTTAGTGGATGTACTAGATGTTTAAAAACTGACAAACTTATACAGAGAGAAGAAAGAAAGCAACACGTTACAAAGCTGGCAAACTAAAAAAAATGCAGTTTCCCAACTACTCAATAGACAGACACACTGTTGACTCTGCTCAGACTGTGAAAAACCAGTGTACAAACACGTAAGAGTGATCACTGACCTGTGCTTCATCTTGAATCACACGGTATTGTTCCTTCCAGACGGTGATCTTTGAAACCTCGTCTTTTCTGAGAGCCCGCTCTTTTTTCAATTCTGGGCTCCAGAAGGTCTTGATAGAATTCATGGAGGAACTAAGCTTGCTCTCTTTAACTTCCACCTCTCGTCGCAGCAGCTCATTCTCACGCAGAACCTGAGAGGGTCGAAAAAAGGAGTAGAACATGACCACTGTGATAGAGGAGTCTCACAGAAGCTGGCAAAAAACTGTACATTACAGATCGGCAAAAAATACAAATTGGGGGAATAACAGGCAAATACCTCTTTCAGCTGGGACTGAAGGTCAAGTATGGTGTTGTCTCTCGCCTGCCTTAGAGAATGTGGGACAGTGGAGGCCATGTGGTGGTCTCCAAAGGCTAAAGTGTCACCTGCCATCATGCCTGCTGGCAGTACAGCATTGGCAGGCACTGTGGTGGAGATGTTTGGGGTGCTTGCAGCCACAACCCCACAGCTGCTGCCCCTTGACCCATATGTCACCCTTTGTCTCCCCATCGTCGTCACTGTCCCACCACTTTTCGGTAAGTGGTCACCTGCCATGGCGACCTCATTGTCACTCAGGTACATTGGTCCAGAGGTGGCATACGCAGCATTTAGAGACTGAATGTTCTCCATGGAAAGCGTCTTGCCTCCTGCTCCTCCTGGACCCCCTCCACTGCCTCCAGTGCTGTTGGTGCGACGGTGGCCCATTCGAGGAGAGCGGGGGAGGCGAGGGGATCGACCTGATCCCTGATTACCCGTACTACCTCCATCTCTTCCTCCACTATGGTTGGCATCCCCTCTGCCAACAGATCGGGCACTACCATACATCTTCTGTTCAGTACAAGAATGGGGCTGACAGCAAGACGGGAGCACTGCCTCAGCTATCTGTGTTTTTTCTTGTTAATTTATGTGTTTGACTTTCACCAGCTGTATGAGTATGTCTTTGTGATCCTGCCTGAACTGGAGACTGTGTGCTCAATGTTCATGATAATAGAGGTCTGGTGCACTCCACTTTCACGGACAGACAATGCTTGGAGTCTCTCCTGCTTCGACAGGGGCTATGAAATACCAATCTGCGAAAAGATGAAGAATAAAATACAGTTGGACCCTATATATCGCACATAAATAGTACACATAAAGCCTACTGCATGAAATGATAGGACACATGGGTGTGCACTGAGCTGTAGTACCAGAATACATTTCTGAAACAAAGCAATGGTTTCTGTTGTGCAGTTTCAGGTTCACCTGGGGTCATGGAAGCGGCCTGTCCTCGTTTTGAACAAAATGGTGACTTGTTTATTAGAGAAATATTATCCTTTTTTAACATGTAGCACTGTGATGGTGACAAAAGCTGTCCTAGCACTGCTTTGTTTCCACTTTTAACTAGATTGCCTTCACACAATACAGGCATGTTACAGTCTGAAGTCAAAATTCTTATATGAATATAAGGATTATAGATAAGGATTCATATGAGAACCCGTTTTTGAAACACTATTTCTAGGATTACCTTTATGAATGTTACATTACACCACACGTTGCTAATTTTTAACGCTTCAGTCAGCCTTGTAACACATTTAACGTCAAAATTCCACTGCCTAACAATGTTTAATACTCTGTTTTTGTGCTCTGTGGAAAGTGCTGTTTGTAACAGTGAGACTAAACCGAGGACATGTAACGTTAACCGGCGGACAGTCTGGGTGGCCTTGTTAGCAGCGAACGTTATGTTACCTCAACGGCTAACTGTAACGTCTAGCCTTATTAACCTTTAACTCACACATTAACATAAACTGCTTTAGTCCGGCTGAAACATGCATAAACTGCTTCGTTAATGTTACATGCCGACCAACCTTAGGATATCTCTCTGTCATTTTCCAATGCGCTGACGCTGTGGATTAAAACTAGCAGGGAGGGAAAAAGGGATTGTCAATGGTGGCCGTTGCAAGGAAAAACATCTCTGCTAGTGAAACTGGACGCAAGGTTTTAAAAAAATAGTCTGTCATTGAGATAACTTTGTGTCAGATACGATAAGTTCAAAATTACTGTCACCAAAATGTGACTTAATACACCAAAATTGAAGCAGTTTGTACATTCCTAGCGACAGCGTAAGGGGTCTGCATAGGAGACACCCACATCAAACCATATCCATTTTCCTCCACCTCTACTGGACGAGTTTTTGTTTTAAGCTCAGATTTTCTCTATTTCCAGTTAACTACACCAAACTGCTTTGATAAAGCTAAAGAGACAACTGGAAAACAATATATTCGTTTTACGTTTGCTTGCCCTAACATATGGAGGCTAGTCCATCCGATTTCTGTGGTCAGGCAGAACCTCTCATTTTTTCTCGCTAACACAATAGCCAGTGGTAAAATCCTCTCAAAACAAACTACCTTTCTCGTTGTATAGTGGATCCCAGGCCGATGTCACCCCTGATTCCTCGGTCAATTGGAAATCAGCCGCAAAAATCCTTCATTTTTAATGAATCGATAGATGCCTATCAGATTTTCCCATCTTTTGCAAGCAGCAGTACCAGCGGCTCAGGAGAGCCAGGGCGCCTGAGTGACGTCAAGGGCTGGTGTGCGCGTCCTCGACGGTCTTCTTCGCCACGCTTGAGTTTTGAACGCGCGGTCACGAGTCTCTGGTATAGGGGCTCGAGACAGGATAACTTCACTTCTCAGTTACAACTCGACAGCTTTTCAGTATAACGGTGAAAATTCATGTCTTAAAGTACAACTGGATTGAAAGGTAAAATCAGTGTTAATTTTTACAATACTGAAGTAAGTAAACAGGCAACATTGCCAAAGACTTGTCTTTGTAAAAGGTAGGCCACCTTTTACAAACTGATACCTATAATTTTGGGTTAACTATGTTCTTCAGTATTTTTAAACTGAATTTTCTTCTCTATTTTATCAAGAGGGGTTATCTTATCTCAAATTGAGACAAAAAAATACCAGCAGAGGGCAGTGCTTGCCTTTAAGAAATTGTACCTCCTCAGTGTTTGCTGAAATCTAAGAATAATGGACTAATTGTTGGAACTAAATGACTCAACTTTTTTCCCCTAGCCATTATATTTGTCGTTTGACACACATCTAAGCAGCTGAAGAAGCCCAGTCAAGCACTTGTGAGACAATATCTTATGTTTCAACATGTCTCCAGCATATTTTATAGTAGATTATACAGTACTATCTACATAAAATTGATATTGTCCATTCCTTTAAGATACAGAATTCACATCAAACTTGCAAGAATAAATATATCTATGTCAAATGGAAAGGACGATGAAAATAGCTGCATACAATGAGATGAACTGATAGTTAAAGTATCGTTTTGGATATTTCAGTTATTGCATATTGGATTTTTGAATGTTTATGTCCCTTTGAAAATGCAAAATTGCGCTTTAATAAAACGGATACATGTCATGGTAAGGAGTCACTTTGTTTTGGAATTTACCAGCAAGCAAAAAGATCCGTAATTTGTGTCAAGTCTTAACATCCATTTGGTTGATTCTTCAAATATGAGAGATAATATAAGTATATCCCAATTTGTCATTCAATCATATCTTTATTTGACTGTAAATGTAATCTGATTGTAAGTGTAAATATAAACCTGATGCCATAAAGACTCGTCCATGTGATGTGTGTTATGGTTATGAAGTCATTCTTCTCTGGCGCAGGCGCTTTTGGAAAAACCCGTTTCTTGGTCAATATGAAGCCACTGCGCTGCTTGTGTTAGTGCGCCCCCAAATCGCTTCATGGATATTCACTGACGGAGAAACTCACCTGCGGACGTCCGGGGATAATATCGATACACGTGTTTCTTTCTGAAAATACAAGATGGATTCACACTGAGGACAATTTCAACGTCGACGGTCGACAGTTGTGTTGTGGATACATTCTAGGTAGGTCGCCTTCCGCCACCCGGCACCGCTCTTTTACAGCCAGGACGCGAGGGGCTACATTGCTAATAGCACTATCAGGCAGTCAATGGGCAGAAGCTAGCGCGTCGCTATCAAGCAGAAAGCAGGTGGTTGTACGCTTTTTAGGCCAGCAGCAAGACCCGCCTAGCTAACGTAAGCTAACTGGCAGGCAGTGGCGCTATTTGTCCCGGCCTGGTAGCTCTCCAACCGGCGTCACACCGAGCTAACGCAGCTGGGGGGTTTAGCACAGCCAGTAGCGGCAATGACCAAATGTTAGAGGCGGAGAAATTGTCAACAAATATTAAACGCAGGGTATTGATAGCTGTATCATGTTGACTGCTTGATAAATCTATTTGGGTTTTATTTATTTGTATCAACGGGGCGAAAAATATATTTTTAAAAAGCCGTGACGTGGATCCATCATCGGTTAACGTCTCCCTGGTCAAGGATCAGCTAACGTCAGCTAACTAGCAAGCTAACAAAGAGCTATCGCTCCTCCTTGCTTTGTATGCTCGGTGTTGTCATCTCAAATGTCTGTGGTTTCACGTATCAGTCGGTGAAGAAGTAGGTATGTACGACTAGGTTTTCTTAGAAATAAAATAGCGGTCTATCTCGGCGCTGTGTGCTGTTTTGTTAAGATGCATGGTAACATTGGTAAAGTTATCAGTTATGGTTCTGACATTGAGGTGGCTCGCGCTGGAAATGGCTGCAAACATCGTAGGGTTAAGATGTCAAAATTACTCATAATGTCAGTTTTAGGTTAAGAAGACATAACAGACGTCGAAAAGCTTAACTATCAGTACCAAGTGCAACGCAGGTCATATGGAAAGTCATGTGTGGTTTATCTTTTTTTTTCTTTTTGCATGCATGCACCGACTACATGTTGCAAGGTTGTGAAGACCAATTAATTATTGTTAAACCTACAGAGACCGTTTGAAAAGCAGTCAGCGTGTTATTATTGAGACTATTTAACTTCTTAAAATGTGGATAGTCTTCCTATTTCTGCAGAATACTTCGACTTCAGTAACTTATCCCCATTGAATTAATAAGTGTGATGCGTTTATAGGTTAGTATATGAAATGCATATGGAATTTTTCATATTGTTATATCTAAATTTAGCATTTAGTATAAATGGTAGTACTGCTCATGTCTGACAGAAAACTCAAAATGTCTATATGCATACTTGCAGCAAAGGTGCAGCAATAATATGCCCCTCAGCACATATCCTGTGAAGAAACAGCAAATATATATTTTTTCTTTCTTTTATTTAAAGTGTGACATAAATTGATCTGAAAATTATGCGCAGTGTGTAAAATACGCGTCAACCAACTTATGAGGAAGTGTGTGTTCTACTGTGCAGTGCTGTTTTTAGCTGTGCTTGAAAGCAATGGCATTTAATTTATTGTGTACTGTAAATTCTACTTGCAAATACTATTGTTGTTATGTTACAAATCTTGTTGACATTTGACATAACATTAGTGACTTTGTAGACACATAAATATATGCTTTCATTTTCCTCTTGCAGTGAGACTGGAGCAGAGCAGACTCAGAGTGTCTGGCGATCCTGTGTCCTCCAAGAGAACGACGTTGGGTACCTGTCGAAGGCTGTGTGTTTTTGTTCCTCAGCAGTTATTCCTTATGCTCAACAGAAGCTGTACCCTGTGTCTTACAGGATGGATGATGTAGACTTAAAGAAGCCGGTGTATCTTTGTCAGCGCTCTGTGTTCAGCTGTGGTGTTGAATCTTATACCATATACAAGAGAACACCTCCCATCCTACACCTCCAGTCCCTGCGCTTTATAAATAAAGACTGTCTTTAGGACAAAAGAAACAAAAGGCTGAGATAGAAGTTGCACAACTTTCTATCTTTTTTCTTTTGAAAGAGCTGACCAGTACTGCTTGCATAAGCTTATATGGAAGACATGGAACTACCTTTATTTTAACTTTTCGGTTATTTTACCCCCTTTCTCTTGGTGTGGGTGGTGGGATGTCGGAAAAGCCAGACAGCAAAATGGTGAAGTTCCTGGCTCCCCCTCAGAAGAGTGGAATTGGCCCCAGTTCTGGTTCAGATTCGATGGTGAATGAATGCCGGCCAGCAGAAGTGAGACGCCGGCATCATACCATGGAACGTGATAGATGTAACCCTGAACACCGTTTCCTACGTCGTAGTGTCATCAGTGATTCCAATGCAACAGCATTGGCTCTACCTTTACCCAGCAAAATCCCTATCCCTGCGCCCCAAAGGGTTCAACCACGGGAAGCAGTTCCCCAGCGGCATCAGGCTGCTGCCACTGCCCATTTGCCGAAGGCTGAACCAAGCTTAGCTCTTAACAAGGAGTCTGCTGCCAGTGAAAGAGGACAAGACGGAAAAGAAATAAAAATAGCAGAGGTGAATGTAGTGCCTTCGGAGCAGGAACCAGCTACTGTACAAGATATCTGTGATGGAGAGGTGGTGATTGCAGCCAACTCAGCACCATGCTTGGGGACTGAAGTGCCAAGTCAAACAGAACCTGAAAGCACGACTGAAGTGAAGGTACAGCATGAAGAAGAAGGTGAAGAAGGAGATAAGGAGTCTGCCAAGGCACGAGCAGAGGCAGAGCAGAGGGAAGCAGAGAAAAGAGTCCAGGAGGATATTGAAGAGGCAGAGACCAAAGCAGTGGGAACATCACCTGATGGGCGTTTCTTAAAGTTTGATATTGAAATTGGACGTGGCTCCTTCAAGACTGTCTACAAGGGCCTGGACACAGAGACCACAGTGGAGGTGGCTTGGTGTGAGCTCCAGGTATGAAATAAATTATAACTACCTAGTAATTACTTTTCATCAATGCCCTTGCTATCAGCCTTTATTAGTCCTGAATGTAATTTTCTTCAACTGTGTCATTCCCAGTTTATGAATGTCCAGCTAGTTTCTTCGTTACCGGCCACAGAGGCTATTTGCTGTTTTAAGGCTTGATAGACATGGAGAAGTACAATCAAGTGTCTTTTCTATAATAAGCATCCTTGAGCCACATCCTCTGTCATTTCCCACGTGAGACACGAGACCAGTATTTCTCTTTTGATATTTCCTTTTATATTTGTTGGCAAAGAAATCACAGTGTTTGCCTGTTTCCCCTCCTCATTTTGGTTCTGCTTATTATAAATCTTTTGGTACAGTTTTACTCAACTCAGTTGCCACGTTTCAGATTCAAAATTTGGAAGTGTACTACAACTACTTGGAATACAGTGTAGGGTATCAAGTAGTGAGCCAGTTGCTGCATCATCCAATACCGGATTTCATGTGGTAATAGCCCCCCAAAAATCTTCATTTTGAGCCGGTTTTCTCTTTTTAGGTTACTGTCTGAAATAGCATAGCAAACAATTATCTCTCATTGGTATTAGAAAATATTAATATAAGTCAAAACTGGCCAAATGTCAGCGGTATTTTGAGTCAGATATTTAAATTTGATACGATGATTTACACTTGTAGGGTGCAATATGAAGCAAGGCCGTATCAAAAGTTACTGTCCTCGAACGTCTTAGTAAGTCTTGTTATATATTTTTTAAACAACATTACGGGTGGAGGTGCTTTACTCAGCATTGGTCAATACACAGGTCTGGGTCAGCACTGGGAAGAAAAGTTGGAGGCTGTCAAGACTGCATCTGTTTAGCAAGGAGTGTCTGGCATTGGCACAATGACTGAAGTTACTGAGGTTTGTGTAATTGTTTTAACACTATGACTGAGGGTGACACATCAGTCACTGTAATTCAGGTTTTGCCTTTTTAGGTATTCATGGGAATGTCTGCCCATGTCCACTTCTTATACTGGACTTTCCCTCGGACATGCTCAGCTTGATTATGTACAGTGTGATGATAACACCTTTGGAAAATGTATCCTGTCTAAGTTAGCTTACTGATTATGTGAATACCTCTTTTTTAAACACATCCATGGGTCTATATTGTCTTTGATGTTTTAGAATTACTTGTATACAGAGGTTGATTTTCAAAGCTGTTTCCTTGCGTTATCTTAAATTTTTGTGTTTAAGGGTTTACTGTTTTTTCTGAAATCTCCCAAAGACCAATGATGAGTGATTTAAATGCTTCTAAAAAAAAGTAGCCCTGCTGTCAGTCCAGTGAAAGTAGCTCCATGGCCCACAGCGAGGTCTGACCCCATTCACGTCGTGAATGTTTGCTTTTACTGTCACGCTTTTACTCTGCCATGAGAGGCAAAGGCCTGACACGGCAGCGGCGAAAACCAGAGCTCCGCATGCACTCTGGTTTCAGAACAATGTGAAGATTACAGACACGTGCCCCTCCCCCCTCACACAGAGCAAATCAAGCGCATGCTCAGTGCATTCCTGCTCTGAATGCCTGTGTGAATGTAAAATGGGTCACATTCCTCATAGAGGAATCTCCTGTGTGAAGCGCAGAAGACTGGCCTGCCAAGGCCTGCTCCTCAACTATTGGTCCTCCTCACACCCTTTTGACTCTTAAACACTGTCCAAACCAATATTCGACCTACTTTTATTTAGTTAGTGTTATATCATATTATTAACCGTTTGATATTATACATCTGAGTTGTGTTCTGCTATGCTAGGTTTTTTTTCTGTCTACCCTAACACAGGTCATTCACTGCCAAGTGTTGACGTAAAGTTTGAGAAATTTCTGAATTTCTTTCTAAAGAATAAGGAATTAATTTATCAGCTGTAACTGAGGTAATGATCAGTTTATAGAAAGTGTAAATGGGTGAGAGCTGACTGACTCTCTTTTTTAGGATCAGCTAAACTTGGGGTTTGAATTATAGACTAATCCAGTACAAAGAATTGATTTATGGCTGTGCTCACACTGAAGGAGAAACCGCTTTGTTTTGTGGATATGGTCTGCTCTGATATTCCAACTTGTAACCTGATACCTTCTCTCTCTCCCCTTTGTTTCTCTGGGTACTCAAACATTTCAGTAGTGAAAACTGTTAAGCTACACCCTAGAAGCTGAAATCCCCTCACATGTAAATGAAAGCTGTCCCATGATCAACCAACTGCTACCGTTGAAGTCTTCCTGCACCCAGAGGGCATGTTTCGGAGAGTAGTAAAGTTTAAGTTTAGTTTCAGTTGCTCAGTATATTTTCAAAACTGTATTTGATCACAGACACTTAAAAGAATATTTTCCACTCTTCTTCCTAAGAGCAAACTAATTCGTCAAAAGGGACATAGTTTAAAAAAAGAGAGCAGAGGCTCATCAGTTGATTTACTTCTTGTTTTGTTTCCTGTTGATGCTGGATCAGTGATGCAGAAAGTCATCAGCCTTTCCACATGCTTGCTCAGAGCAAATTCAGTATCATCTGGTCGCAGCATTAGTTTCTTTGCCTGTATGTTAATGCAACAAGTCCGACAGGTTTTCCCTTTCAAAATTCTCAAGGGAGAGTTTGACAAAATCTAAAGTTTGAGCTGAAAGTGCTCCGAAAAAAAGTGTGAATCATTTGTAAAATTTAGCTGATGGTGTTTCACTGATCCTGAAGTCTTAACACCTCAAAAGCAAAGATACCCCCATAACTCAAACTCAAACTGGAGAGAGACTTGCAGGATTTTAGCAGCTTGTTCTAAATATGTGCTGTCATAAGCTGAGGTGATAGAAAGTGTGGTACCACACGTTCTGACAAGTCTTAGAGTTATTTCCCTCTGGACCAGAGTGTTAGATGGTTTAAAAAAGTACTTTACTTCTGCTCCCCTCAAGCTACCACAGCTAAAATCTTCATGTTTAGTTTGAATAAAATTGTCCTGGCTCGCTCAGTGTGGTAGGCCATCCGTCCGCAATTGTCTAAGAATTTTTAGGTGTCCACCCTTTCTCACCCACCCTTGAACCCACACATTTGTTATGGATCTCGCATTGCAGGCATGTCTGAACAATAAGTAGGTCACCACAGAGAGGAAGTCAAGGGAGGGGAAAAAAAAGAGATTAAATTTAGGAACCTCCCCTTTCTTGCTCACTCATCCATTTTCGACTATGTCATCCTCTGCTTGTTTCCCCACCTCCTTCCTCTGCAGTAGTGACTCAAGCCAGACATTGAAAGTTGAGGATGAGAACCCCAGGCATCCTGTAAAAGCTGCTCGTCCAGCTGGCAGGTGGACATAGGCTGCCAGTGACTCACTCTCAAGTAGTGCAACAAAGGGATTTATACATTTAAAGTGCTTATTTTTAACTGTTAAAAGCAACAAATGTGAGAAAAGTTAACTTTTCCGAACAAACCATGCAGTAGACATCTTCATGACCAAATACTAAAAGTCAAGGGCCAAACACTAGTCCTTGTGCTAGTCTTTACTTTTAACCATTAATAGGTGAATTGTCAGTACTGTATCGCATTTTAAAACATGAGAATCAAACTATCCCTCATATTTTTTTGGTGATGACTGCATTTATCCTGTTAAAGCTGCAGTACTGTGCATTAGGAAGCACCAAGGGCTGTGGATTTGGTTACTAAATCTTCTACAACAGTTATATTTACAGTTTTAACTCAGAGGAAACTCAAATGTAATCAGTGAGTTACTGGACGTTAGTCAAAAAAAAGCAGACTTGAAAGCTGGCTATGCATATCGCGGCTTTAAAAATAGAGTGGAAACATGAACTGACACAGTTAGCTGTTAAGTGTGATTCTGTGGCCTGGTTTTCGTCTTACTGTAACCATGCAGGAGGTTGTGACCTTTAAGCAGTTTCCATTTTTCTCTGCGTAACTAACCCAGATTTTTGTAGTGAGTATGCAGTTTTGACACAAAGTCCATTTTGATCCCCTCAAAAATATCAAATGATAAAGATGGTTTTGAAGGGATTTGAAATTTAATCACTAACTAAAAATAAGAATAACTTTATCTTATCCTCGAAGGGGAATTTAATAAACACACAAACCCACATATTGACAGGCATGTTTCAAGGGTTTTTCCAATCCATCTACCTATTATCTAAATAACGTGCAGGAACAAAATCAATTCTGATTAACTTTGTATTTAATTTGGCCCTGCAGGGGATGCAAAGTCTTTGTTCATCAGAGCTAAAATGGGTCTTGGCTGTTGCTTCTAAACAGCCTGACGTGTATTTTTATGGGTCATTAACTACCAGATCAAGATTGTGGTTCTTCTGAGTGAATCAGCAGAAACTCTGTCTCAATCTGTCTGAATTGGTTTGGAGGGCGCTTGTGCCTGCTGTAATGATAAAGAAAGACTAGACTGTAGAGACAGGGGGTCTGTTTGCAGCTAAGTATATAAACTGATTAGAAGTCAGCAGACTTAGGCTCATGTCAAAAAAACAACAACTTTACATAGAGAGCAGAAGCAGCCAGAACAGAGTTCACCTTAATGACTCCCTGGCATCTTGCCTTCACTCGAAACAAGTTTTAAACACGTTTTTTTTCCCTCTCCTCCCATGGACAATCCTTAAGTACTTCCATTTGAATCTGTAAATCTGAATCATGAATCTGGTATTTGCAAGTGAATCACAAAAACACTGTTTGTTGTTGTTGTACTGCTGAGTTAATACTCTGTGTAATTTATTATCCGAGACAACACAAACTTGATTATTGGACGCTACCTCAGGGGATGTAATACAAGAGGAAATCAAGGAAGTCTGTGTTACAAAGGTAAATGACTAACAGACGAGGAAGTCTTGGTCAGAAGTTCTTGAATGCAGCAAACTAAACCTAAAATGCAGAGAGGTTAGAGCCCAATAGACACACATCTTTGTCAGACAATGATAGATGATGATGATGATGATGATCCCTCATGCACTTTTCTTTTCTTGGGTCGTATCTTTAAGGTTTACTTTTTTTGAGCCCCTTATTTTCTTAGCCTTCACACTATCTTGTTTTGGTATGTGACATGATAGGTCAACAGAGAAACCGTCTATTTGTAACTAGCTAAAAGGAGGCAGGTCATGGCAGAGAGGAGACAGACACATTGTTATTCATCAGTTGGTTCTCACTGGGTGCTGGTGTACTGGTACAATAGTCCAGTTAAATCACTGAGCTGTAATCGTAGCTTGACTTAGCTGCATTTAGATGAGACGCAGACAGTCCCGGTGGCCTTTTCCCTTTTTTTTTTTTTAGAGTGTTATGAAAAAAAAAAACAGGAATGTCTGTACAGATAAGTATGACGCTCTTAATGTGATACGTGGAATAACATTTAAAATGGAGCTTATCTAACTTGACTTCTTGCTTAAAGACCTTTCCCTGTTAGCCACACCTGAACCAATGTTAACCGTAGAGTTCAGCCTAACCCTCAGTGTCAACCTCAGAGCTGTCTCCGGAGCAGGGACCTGACAGTGGCAGCCCTTGGCATGATCGCGAGCTTTTTTTCACTCAGTCTATTTTTAGGGTTGTTGAGTTATTTATGATGGCCTTTGCCTGGAAGCAGTGTTTTCAGCTCTCCTTTAGTCAAGCTGTTGTTAACAGGCATTGGATTTATTTTATTGACCATGATTCAGACAGATTTAACGTACTTAAAATTGCAACTTCATGAAACAGCATTGCTTGATGAGATTAAAACTTACTCGTGAATATTGATTTGGATTTCGTCCACCTTCATGCATTGCCCTGGTTCTACCTTGAGTTATGCTAATCCAACAAACAGAAGCTTTTGAATGGTGTGTAGCAATTTTGTGACACCTCCTTTAACTTGAAGATGCCCCAATTGCAAGATTTGACAAAGGTCTTCTCGTCTGTCTATATAGAACCACATCGCTCCTTCCTTTAATTCTTTAGTTGGACTTTCTGTTTGATCAAGTTAAACTTTGCAATTATAAAATTTCAACTACAGCAGGTACTCCAGTTTGACTTACTTAACTGTGCATCAGCTTGTTAAAGAACATGATCTCTGATTAGTGTTGTGCTGACTCTGCAGAGATGTCTAAAGAAAGTGCTGATAAGTTTGATTGAAAGATATAACCCTGAGGATTTTCAACCATTGTAAATATTTACGTCGAATGTAGGCACTTTTCTCTCACATGAGCTATGGACAAGTTGTTTGTGTATATTGTGTATATTTAACATGTAAATATCTGCAAGTGTATTCTTCCCAGTCTTCCTTTCCCTTACTTTATTTATCTTTTCAAGGGCAGTTTTACAGCTCTAAGTAATGATACAACAAAAATATGGCCGAGGCTCCAGTAGTTTACAGCTCCTATGTTAGCTGACTTGTTGCCCTTCTGTCGAAGAGAAGTGCTGTTATTTATTTACAGTTGCAGTTTCCACCTGAGTGCCATCAGATAAGTTTCCTTATTTGTGAGCAATTAAAACTCCTCCCTCAAATTAGTATGGAGAATATTGTAGGACCATCAGCCACTTGAAAGGATCCTCACAGAACCTGTAGGAGAGCTTCAGAATCATATTTTTGGCTTTGAATTTATGCACATTCACAAATACACAGAGGATATAACAGCACAAGAGTCAAAAAGTAAGACTGAAGTTAGAAAGAAAATAGTCAAAGAAATGATTAAAAATAAAATCAGATCAATACAGAATCGATAAAAGATGTAAGGGTGGAAGAGAAAGATAAAATCTGTGAGAGCTAAAATGACTCGGATAAATAACAGAAAATAAAAGTATGGTTGAAACAATGATGAAGAATGCAGTCCAAGCTAAAAAAGAAACTCCTAAATCAAAAGCTGGATTCAAGGACCAGAGTGTTTGAGCTGCAACACCAAATGAAAGTAGATCTGTTATGTAGCAGACTGTCTAGAACTTTTAAAACAAATAAAAGCTTTCAAATCCATTCAGGCTGCCAGGGAGTTTTAAGAAGAAGAGTTAAAACTCTGTCAGCAGCCTCCTGAACAAACTGTGAGTTATCAAGAGACTAAAGAGTGACATTAAACCAAATAACGCTGGTGATAAAGGTATGAGTTAAAATTTGTTTAAAAAAAAAAAAAAAAAAAAAGGTATGATCTGTTTCTGAGATGATAAAATAAAGTAAATTTACATCCTTGGTAAAATGGGCAAAAAATTCAATCTCAATTTAAAAACCCTCCCAAATTTGAAACATTTGTTGTAATCTTTTAATGGGCATACTCACTTTTGTCAGTCCGCACCTTTTGGCACATTTAACCCCTCAAGTCCAGTTTGTTCAGTCAAACAAAAACAACTGGATAAATCCTAACCCTTAATTTCAAAAGAAGGAGTGGGAAGACAATAAAAATGTGATTCCCGTGCTGGCAGAAAGGGGAATTAATGACTGAATGGAGCGTGACGGGTGTGAGTAAATCAGTGCACAAGGATGGTGTTGATCAGCGTTACAGTCTCTGAGTAGTTCTCAGACTATAATGCAAGTTTCACCATACTGACTAGTGGACCCAGTGGATGCACCCCTAGGACTGTTCTAGGAGGCCTTTTCTATTTTAACCCGTAATAGTTCATTAAGAAACTGTTTTCATTCTTCATTTTAGTTAGTTATTAGTTATTAGTTAGTTGTCTTTCTAATGTCAAAGACTTCGTGATTGCATGTCGGTACAGAAAGAATCAGAGTTGGTGGAGTACTTTCTTTTCAGAAGTTGAGGTAAATTTCTACATTTTTCAGCTAGCTTGGACTTGTTAAAGGACGACATCAGTTGTAAAGGAGGTATCTGTTTAGCATGTGCTCCTAATGAAAACGCTGCTAACAGTCAGTGCAGTACTTTGGTATTTGTGGGGGTTGGTATCCCTGCACACCCTGGAGCTAGTAGCTATTAGTTAGGCTATGAATGATGACTGACTGATGGTGAGTGTGCAAGATTTTTCACATGTTGTGCTGAAAGACAAAGAAGTACCACAAGATCAACACTCAGGAAAGTAGGTTATGTGGTCTGACTGTACAATGGAGCCTCCATGACTCCACATCTTTCATCAGCTGCAGTTTTCTGACATTACTCTCTGATTCACTGTCCTCCTTTTTCCTAAAGCTCTTCAATGTTTACATGATTACACTTAATTTCTGATTCTGTTTGACAATCTAGTCTTGAGTTACTGAAAAGACTCAGCCACAAACTTTTATAAAGTACTTCTAGTCAGGGCTGTGGCTGTATCAAGTTTGATCTTCTCAAAGAAATGTCAGTAACTGGAAACGTTTCTATCTCTCGCTGACACACTAAGGCAAATGCTCTCCACTCACAAATGGTCTGAATTTCCTGGACAGCCTGGCCTGGGTCCAGGTCTCTGGGGGTTTCAAGGGAGGCCTATGGCTGCATGGTTTAACTGGGCTTGTCTTGTTGGTATGGGTTTGCTGTGAATGTAGGTCACGCCAGGAATTAGTCAGGAAATTTGAGGAGGGCGGCTGTACGCATTCCAGATTTTTTGGTGAAGTCACAGACCCCGCAAAAGGCATTCTTGCTAGTGCCTATTTCTGTATCAGTCTTTTAAATCCCAGCGAGCAAATAAAGGGATCAGCTCTGCAAACGTTGTCTGTAAATCATAAATCATCCGGCTTCCATACATTAACACTCTGAAAGTCATTGCTCTGTTGGGCAATGATAGCATTATACCAGATCCTGTTGGTATTTCAGGACTAGGCAATAGATCCTTGTTAATTTTCATCACACTCTGTCACTGCTGATATTGTTAGTGGTGCTTAACGGTGTTTCTGGGGGTTGACTCGAAGAGAGAGTCTGGCCAGAATTACGCTGTTTCAAACAGTTATCTTTTTGCATGTAATGGTATTTGTTAAGCACTATAGAGGAGTATTTCCTACATATAAACTCATGGTTGTCAACTGTAATGGTGTATTCTTCCTTATACAGTGATAATGTATGTTTTTATTCGCCCCAAACTGTTGAAACTTTTGGCTGAATGGTTTTCCTGTTAGGATAATTGTAGCATAAGCTCTAAAGTAGATCATTAATTAAGCGTTCTTGCTTTTATATAAGTTGCACAAGCTTTTTAAATTAACTTTTATTTGAATCTTAATCCTGTTATTGCTCTTCAGTCTTGTTTTACTTTAAAATCTGGGGCTGAACTACACAAATCCCTCAGCTGTGCTGTGTGTACATAAAGATATTGATGTCAAGATAAAACTGAACAATCACTTTCAAACTCTCAGAGGCTACTTTGTTTAATTGCTTTAAATCAGACTGAGTAGATCTATAAATAGATCTGCTTACTGTGATGTTAAAACTTCAATTATTTCCTTTCATCTCTTACAGGATCGCAAGCTGTCAAAGACGGAGAGGCAGCGCTTTAAGGAGGAAGCAGGGATGTTAAAGGGGCTGCAGCATCCCAACATTGTCCGCTTTTATGACTCTTGGGAGGGACCATCCAAAGGCAGGAAGTGCATTGTACTGGTCACTGAGCTCATGACATCTGGCACACTCAAAACGTGAGTTTCCTAACATGGCAGCGTCACTAAACACATCAGTCCACAGTTTCTGCAGCGCTTAATTCAAGGTTTCTCCAGACTAGAGCTGTTGTAACACACTGGTATTGATGGTAGCAGTTTAAAAAATTAAACAATATAGTGCCTAAAATAAGCACACACTGAAATAAGTTTACAGTATAATCAAGAGACAGACAAAGAAGAAGAAGGAGCAGCAGAATAAGAAGACTCGGCAACCAGACAGAGTTTTTGTCAAATGAGAAGTTTCCATCACAAGGCTGGTGAGGCGGATAAAACATAACTCTAAAGATCATTAGAAATGGATGATCAATCAATCTACCAAACTATTGATGCAAACGGTGTCTTTCCTTCCCTTAACTTGACTGGTAGGGCTGTTCTTTTTCCCAAGTTTTCTATAAATGTATGAACTTTCACAGCAACCCTGAGATGAAAATCTGAAATCATGACAGCCCTGCTCTGAACGATAACTCCCTTGTCCCGTAAATGTGATTTAATATGTCAGAATGTAACAGCTTGTTTTTAAGTTTATTATCCATCACAGTCAAATACAGTTTATTTATATATTCATATTTCTGATTAAGACTTGTTCAGAATCGTGTTTCACCGTATAAATGTGAATATTGTGATCCACGTCTTTTAGGTATCTGAAGCGGTTCAAGGTGATGAAAATTAAAGTGCTGCGCAGCTGGTGTAGACAAATCCTCAAGGGGCTTCACTTCCTTCATACTCGAGCTCCTCCAATCATCCACAGAGACCTGAAGTGCGACAACATCTTCATCACTGGCCCAACAGGATCCGTGAAGATTGGAGACTTGGGACTGGCCACCCTAAAGCGTGCATCATTTGCCAAGAGTGTTATAGGTACGACTCCTAGTGCTGTTTCTACTTCCTGCTTCCTGCCTTGCTGTGGGACAGCAGGTTTTTTTTTTTTATAAGGTCATGCTTTGTGTTTAAGATGATTGTGTTTAAAGAGGGTAATTCCTTTGATAGTGTGGTTCCAAAACAGACCACAGCGTTTCAGCTGTCCCTCAAACCACAGCTCAAATGGAGGCCAAATATTGTGGTGATCTATGTCAGATAACCACAAGGCTTACTGTCTTTGCACTTACACAGCAACCTTTCAAGTTTGCTCACTGTACAGAGTATTTCTGTTCCATGTTTCTCCAAAAAAAGGAGAGGGTGTTTTTTTTCCAGGCATCTACTGACTGTAAGTAGCGCCTAGTGTTCTTCATATTGTTAAATATTACCATCATTATTTAAAACGATGTCATGCCTTCTTGCAGGCGAACCCGGCCATGGCTCAAGTTATGGCCTTTTGTTTCTGTCTTAGACTGGTCTTTGTTCTGTGGTTTGGAAATATGTGGTCTGTTTGCAAGTTTTACCAATAATGTTTAACATCTCTTTCTATGGATTTGCCTCAACAGGTTTTTTTTTCCTAGTGTGTGTCTCTTACTGTCTCTTAAGATATTGCAGGACAGCAGAGTCTTTTTGCTCCGTCTTTGTCCAGGGAGCTCTCCCCACTTTCCCTTTGTCAGCCTCTCTGTTTCTTTTTATTTGTTTTGTTTTGTTTTTTATTCTTATTTGTTTTTTTTTTCACATTCCTGGGCATGTTTTTAAAATGTAGGCTCTAGCTTCAGCTGTGCCCCATTCTGCTGTTTGGAATGAATAGGGTACTGCTTGTCATTGAGTAAGTATGAACTTTTGTGGGCCTGGTAAGTCTGACAGTGTGCTGTAACACACATCAATATCAAAAGAACATTTACAACCAAAATGAGTTTTTCTGTGTAAGACCTGAGATTATACGTAAAGAGAGATCAGTGAATAGAGTAATGCTGATGTGCATAGACACACTGCTGGGTAGAGCTACTAGCTATGGGACCTGCTTCACTCAGCCTTGAATGTAACGCTTTCCTCCTGCAGGTCAAAAGGAGAAGGTGAGTCACACTTGGAAAGGTGAGTGTAAAACGAAAGGAAATGTTTCAGAGGTTGTGAGGTCTTGACAAAAGTTACTTCCATAGCTAGTCCTATTACTCAAGCACAGCTCATTGGTGCCGCTCTGTTCAAACTGCACTGGGATAGACTCCCATAGGCCTCATTTAGATCTTTGTTTTTCACTAAGATTATAAATTGAAGTTGGCCTACAGGTGTGTTCTGCACATTGGCAGTCTTAGTCATATTTTGCACATTTTTAAGGTCTTACACAGACAAACAAGTGCTTTCGTATCTACAGTCTAACTGAGCCCAGCTTTTCCCTCCTTTTTTGTTTTCTGTCTCTTTTTTTTTTTTTTGCTTTCCTTCCCTTCTCTTCTCTCCCCTCAACTTTCACCTCACAGGTTCTACCGCAGGAGATGTCAACAGGCTGGTCACTCTTCTCGTCCTCCTCTTCCTCAACCCCTCATGGGTTCGAGGAGCAGAGGGACTGTGGGTTGTCAGAAGCCCACTCAATCAGTAAGGAGGTTCGAGAGTTCTGAATAGTTGTTTTGATTTAAGGTACCCCTGAGTTCATGGCGCCTGAGATGTATGAGGAGAAGTACGACGAGTCAGTGGATGTGTATGCCTTTGGAATGTGCATGCTGGAGATGGCCACCTCCGAGTACCCTTACTCAGAGTGCCAGAACGCTGCACAGATCTACCGCAGAGTTACCAGCGTAAGTCCCACTGTTACACCCTCCATTTCACTCCTCTGCTCTGCCTTCAACTCTCCCAATCTGCCGAGAAGGCTAGTGCCCCATTCTGGAGTGGTTTTTAAACCCCTGCTGACACCTCTATTATATTTTCATCATCTACTTCTTTGGTTTCACCTCGTCATGTATCACCATGATGACCTTGTAGAAAGCAAACTATGAGAATAGAAAAATACATAAAAGAAATTTGTTAACAGTGTGAAACCTCCTTACTTCATTTCGTGCTTCTTTCTATCTGTCATGAATAGTTCCTTATGTTGGTCGGGCATGTAGCCCTGAGGCCTGAATAAGTGATAAGAGACTGAACAAGCACAGTCCTGCTGTCTTTTGAACAGCTAATGATTAAGTCTTGTGACGATGCCAACAGGGTGATCGCTGTCAAAGAAAAGACATATTTATAGTCTTAATCATGCAGGCCATACTGGCTCATTTTTCAGATACGTAGTCACCAGTATGATTCACACTCTGCAATTGCAAGCCTTGCAGATAAAGAAGCTGAACCTGTTCATAGACTGTTATCTACAGTACGTGTTTTGAAATCTATACCATTACTCTGTTTATTATTAACTGCAAAGTACAAATACTGAAGTCTTTGCCACGTGATTTCTGTGCTGGATGTTTTACCTCTCTTGTAAAGTATTGCCTTTGTAGCTCTCTTTATAATCCACAAATAGCTCGTACTGCAGAGCACCACACACAGTTGACTCAGTGAAGAAACAAAGTGCTATTGTGGTGTTGAGTCTACATTTAGGTAGAGTCACATGCTTTGGTTTTACAGTATTATTCCTTTGGGATATTGGCTGTTCTTCTGATTGTGTCATGCAACTCTGCTGCTCAGCTTTCAGTCTCGATTTTCCTGTAGTTCTCCTCTCTGTAGTTATTCTCTGTGACTTTTGCACTCCCTCGTCTATCAGTTGACATTCTTCATTTTTTAAATGCCACCCTTATGATATCTAGCATTTTCTCTGTGGCTTACATTCCTGGTAGAATCATCTTCCTTTTCATACTTTGACCTTTTAAAATCATTTCTAAATCAGAGGGTGTTTTTTGTTCTTTTTTAAAGGTTGTTAGTTGAAGGTTGTAGTTACCTCTATCTTGTCATGTATGCTGAAATAGACCACAGGTTATATAAAAAAAGACAAATCCAGATAAGACACAGAGCTATCCTCATTCTGTGTTCTGTGTGTCATATAGGGGGTGAAGCCAGGCAGCTTTGACAAGGTGGCCATCCCTGAAGTGAAGGAGATCATCGAGGGATGTATTCGCCAGAACAAGGATGAGAGGTGTTTAACTTGAGTTTCTGTTTATCAGCTTGATTGCAAATAATTTTCCAGGAAAACAAATATTTACTCGCTGCTTGTTTTCCTGAATTTAGGTACTCAATCAAGGACCTTCTGAACCACGCCTTCTTCCAGGAGGACACGGGGGTGCGTGTGGAGTTGGCAGAAGAGGATGATGGAGAGATGGAACTTATCAAGCTGTGGCTGAGAATCGAAGATGTGAAGAAACTGAAGGGAAAGTACAAAGACAACGAAGCAATCGAGTTTTCCTTTGACCTCAACAAAGATGTCCCTGAGGATGTGGCTCAGGAAATGGTAAATTTCATTAGTTGTGCTTTAAACTCACAGAACATTATAAAGATGGGGTTCATTTTACACTTTTCACTTATGTGCCTCTAAATTATGTGTTTTCTTTTATAGGTTGAGTCTGGTTATGTATGTGAAGGTGACCACAAGACCATAGCAAAGGCTATCAAAGACAGGGTGTCCCTCATCAGTCGCAAAAGAGCACAGCGGCAGCAGGTGTGTCTATGAAAACAATTGTTCACCTCATATATTTGAATAAGCTCAGTATTAAGTTCTTATCTCACCTTCTTGATTTGTGTACCTTTACTGAGGTTGTCTGTCTGTGTGTGAGTGGAGGGATTTTTTTAACAGCCATCTGTCATGCAGGTCAGAGAAGATCAGGAGAAGAGAAGGCTGGAGGAGGAACAGCAGAGTCAGTTACCAGCTACGCAACAGCCAGGTCAACTGTCCAACACTGAGGTGCCCCAGTCCCAACCGGTGCCTCAGCCAACTCCCTATGTTTCTCCACAACCACCCCAACACAGCATACAGATGTCTGCCCAACCCGCACCTCAGCAGGGCATTCAGAGCTCAAACTACAGCACTCCTCAATCGACTCAGCTGACAAGCATGCCGCAAGGGGTCTCTTACGTCCCCCACTCAACTGGGCAAGTACCACCTCCAGTCCAGGGTCAGAGTGTGGCCCCAGTCCTGCCAGAGTCAGAGGAGCCTGAGCCTGACCAACACCAACAACTTCAGCACCCGACAGGAGGTATGGATCAACTTGAATTAATGGTAAAAAGAGAGGAAAAGGGAACTATTTAACCAGCTAACAAGCATCCTCTCTTGTTTCTGAAGTCAATCACATAGGAGACCGACAACCGAGTTCCTCCGTCCTTCACGAAGCGCAGCCCCCTCAGCCTGAAATACCCTTCAGTTCCCCTCCCAGCCAGCTCCCTCAGTCCCAGGTGTCCTGCCCTCCACCCCAAAATGAACAAACGCAACAGCTGCCAGTGGTAAGTCATATGAAGAACAATATGGCAGGCGTTTTTCTGTAGGTATCTGGATTATTTCCTCCCTGACATGTGCCTCTTTAAAAATCAGTGTTTCAAAAAGGTATAGGCAAAACTTATTAGTCTTGTGAAACTAGTCCCCTTAGTTTCTCCATTTAGGAGTGTTTAATCTTTACTCTCAAGTTCCTTTCTACTGCAGGCACAGTTCTTGTTGTTTGACTTTTTTTGGCCTAATTTCCACCATGTGTTGTTTTCATTGTCCCTTTGGCACATAAGGTTCAACCCCAGATGCAAGGAGTCCAAACTGAAGTGGCTCCAGTTGTGCCCAGCAGCCAGTCTGTTCCAGTGGCCCCTCCACAGGTAAATACTGTATGGCATGTCTTGTTGTCTTTACAGAGCACAGCACTGGATGAAAAGCTTTTGTTTCACTGAACTTGAGTAAGAGGTTCAAAATCTGCCGTAATTAACGACACACCTAACAACAAGTACCTGAGGTTGTTCTGAGCACACCCTGACTTTACTTCTGCATCGCTGCAGCAAGCGTGAACTTCAACCACTCAGTCAGCACAAACATGGTTTTCAGGGGGTGATAAGTTAACCTTTAAAGTATTTGTTTTCTGCTTCAGGCAGCTGTGTTGAAAGTCACTGAGTGTTCCCAGTCCCAAGTTTCCCAGTCTCCTCTGTCTATATTTTTCCACTTTTTACTTTTTTTCCCCCTCAAGTCACCCTCTCTTACCCTGTGTTATGTTTTGTTTCTTATAGTACGGAGTTTACTACCAACCATCGCTTCCCCCTCAGGTAGATAAAATGACCCATTTTCCTGTTACCACTTAGAACATGTTATCCTAAAGGCTGTGGGTGTATTTCTGAGAAACAAAATGCACTTGATTAGTATAAGTATTGGTCTGCACTGCAGCCTTGGTGGTCAGTTTTTTATTTCAGGTAGTCATAATATGCTTCTATGAATTTTGGGTATCCAGACAAAAATATGAGGATCTTTGTTCTTTTGAGCTTGCAAATGAAGTGAGTGTTCACATGACTGTTGAATGATCTAAAGATGGCATTGACTTATCACTTGTCACTGAAACCAAATTTAAAAGGATGTGATAAATACAACTGTGATATTAAACAGGTAAGTAAAGCTGTGGAGTAAAGCAAGAAAATCTCAGAAAGGTTTAGACCACATAGAAATGATTCTCACAAAGAATTCTGCATGCCACTTTAAATGGCTCAGTTTTTTCTCGAGTCTGTTACCTCTCTGATTTTAATCCTATTTCTGCCTCTCTCTCTCTCTCTCTCTCTCTCTCTCTCTCTCTCTCTCTCTCTCTCTCTCTCTCTCTCTCTCTCTCTCTCTATTCTCCCTTCTCCTATAGATTCCCACCCAGCAGGCGATGATACCGCCCTCCTCTCAGACATCTCTCTCCCAACCGCAGCAACATCCAGAGAGCAGCACTTCCCTTCCAAGCAGTGTTCTACCACAGGGACAGACTGCAGTGCAGCAGCTACAGGTGACGCACACCTCAGCTGCTTCCCTCTAAACTTTCAAGTGTATTTCACTGTGCTTCAAGACAAACTCACTGTTTTCAGAGATTTTCTCTTCCATTTCACAGTATAAATTTCATCCTCTCTGATTTTGTTTTTGTGTTTTTAAGTTTTGTTTTTATTGTTTTTTCAAAATCTGACACTATCATGGCTATCCCCCTTTTTTCTACCACTCTTCTTCTCTGCATGCTGCATACTCCTGCATGACTATTAGTCTTGGGCCAATGATCCAAGTCCTCCTATCATGTCACCTCCAGTGAATGCAGAGCACCTTTACTTCCTCTATCAGGCCTCATGCCTCTCTGTTCTGCAGGTACTCTACAGAGCAAAAAAAACAAGTTTGTGTGGGTGTACGTATGTGGGTCAAGTGTGAAGCATTTGTTTAACACCGTTTCCTGTTCCTTTTCCTGTTCCTTTCATCCTTTGCGCCGATATCTTCAGGGCATAATATTTTGAATAGATTTGTCATTTAAAAAAAGCCACAAATTCCTTTGAACTGTATTTATGATAGAGCTTTAATAAACATATCATAAACATACCAGCACAGACAATAAAGAAACTATTGAGCTGTGTGACTTAAACAACCTCACACCCTCCAGGCTATTTTGAAGACCTTACCTCTCAGGGGGTTTACTTTGACCTTAAATTCTCGTAAATAAAAAAATTCAGATATGAGCAGAAAGACGTCTATCATAACCATTTTTATTGACAACTACAAAATTCTCGTTATTGTGAGTGGCTGCAGTGCTGAAACTAAAACGTTGTAGATCGGCAGTAGTTTGTAAAAATCAAGCGCAGCCGAGCAAAATGGCCACATTCAGAAGAATATTGAATGAGAACCCAGTTTCACAGTTTTATTTACACTCTGCCTGAGAGCCGAATAATGGCGTCCATGTAGCGACCACAATAAGTGTACCCCTGTTGAGTAGCTCCCTCTGGTGGATGGTTTGGTTGATATGTTACTTTCCTCCTAGATAATTAAACACGATAAAAATTAATGGGTGAATGACATGAATGAGCTAAATCATAATTGGTCGTGATGTAAATGCCTAAAGCTGTTTGTAATGACGAATCCCCAAACTACAACACTTCCTTTTTCAACATTTGACTTTGACACGAGTTGCATTGGTTTATGCATTTATATACTGTTGATTTCTGTGTTTCAGGCCCCTGCAAGTGTTCCTCAGTCTTTACCAGCCGAGCAGCCTGCAGGATCCTCTGCTATCGTGCCCCCATCTGTGGAGAGGTAAGTGGAGAAGAGAAAAAAAGAAACCGCTGTCTTTGTTAGACACACCGGGTCAGATCTCTCTCTCATGGCTCCTTTCATCCTCAGCTGCCTGTCAGATGCAGCTTCAGGTCTCAGTGACGGCAATGATGGAAGTTCTACATCTGGAGGGCGCCACGAGGGACGATCACTGAAGCGTCATCAGCGGCGATCAGTTCGCAGCCGCTCCCGCCACGAGAAGACTGCGAGGGCCAAGCTGAATGTTCTCAGTGTACGCGCTCAAAGTGATGAGTTCATGAAGATTCTGTTGAAGGGTATAGTCTCTGAACATGTTTAACCTTAACGAATGTTTTGCAGATCTCTAATGTGGGAGACAGAGTAGCAGAATGCCAGCTGGAAACACACAACAGGAAGATGGTCACATTCAGATTTGACCTTGATGGTGATAATCCGGAGGAGATTGCGCAGATCATGGTAGGACTTGTTCTCCTCTGCTCATTCAGGAAATTTCTGTCCAAACTAAAAATGAGCAGATGGCTTCTTTCATTGACTTTTGTTTTTGCCATTGCAAAAGTTAAAAAAAAAAATCTCCCATGACTTGTTTTAGGTTGAGAGTGAGTTCATCTTGGAGAGTGAGCGGGAGTCTTTTATCGAGCAGGTCCGTGAAGTGATAGAAATGGCTGACGAGAAAGGAGAGGGCATGAAGGAAGGCTTCCCACAGGTATTTCCAAACCTCACAACAACATCGCTCCACCAATATAATACTGATATAATTGTTAAACGTTTTGATCCACATTAGCTGAGCCATTAATACCTGCTTTTTTTAAAATCTATTTGCAGATGAAAGGTCAACAGCAAGCCGAGCTGTCTGTTCCCATGCTGCCAGGTTAACAAGCTTTTATCCAGCAATACAAATCTCTACCTCAATTTGAGGGTTTTGAAGTCACACTTAACCTTTTTTCTCTATTTTCTCAGGTATTTCCCCCAGTACCACAGCCCAGGTGGTGCATTCAGCTGGACGAAGGTTCATAGTCAGCCCGGTGCCTGAGTCTCGCCTGAGGGAACAGTTCTTCGGGGCTCCCTCTGCTAACACTTCCTTCGGAGATGATCCTGCCCCAGGTAAGAGAAAAAAACTGATGATGCACTGCAAAGTAAGTCATGTCATGATGAATGAAGATCAACTTGAATTTGGCTTCAGCTGATGAGGAAAATTGATAGATACAAAGATGCTTTGCTTGGTGAACGACAAAGCTAACCCTATACCAGCAAGATCTAATTTCAGTAAAACTGGTCTCTGGACTTTAACTTAACATAATGTGTTTTCCCTACAAGACAGTTAACTCACTGCAGATAATTAGCATTGAGTATTTACTCAGACCATGGAATAAGCAAACCATCCATTAGTGAAGGCACAAATCAATGCCATGCACTCAGTGTGGCGCTGCACAAACCACTCCTGCTGTAAGAAACAGCCCCAACAGATGTTAGAGGTAATCTTTATGTTCGTCTGATGCGGGTTGAGATGCTAACACAATCTAGTTGTGGTGGTGGTGCCAGCAGAACCATGATGATGGAGCTGGTTAACCAGCAGCTTCGGTTAAACGATGCTGTTAGTCCTGCACTGTTTGTCAGATAAGAGGAAACAGTTGTATCTTGTTCTTGGAGTATCTGCACAAACCTGTTCTTATGCTGGAGGAGCTTCTCTATGACTGTTTTCCCCATTTATCTGCAGAAAGAGATGTATTGGGGACTTTACAGGGATGTTCCTCGAATTTAGAAATTTGTTGATGCCCATTGGAAGTGGTATTTACAGTAATAGGGATGATGGCTGTTTTGTAGCCTAAATCACATAATCCTAACACCTGAAATTGAGGATTTCACTCATTCTGCTGATCATGTAGTCTCCTGAATTGACTATCTATCTAGTCTAACTATCAACTGTTCCTGATACTCAAAATACTCATGAATTATTTAATGACTTTTATTTTTCTTTTCAGCAGCCCCCTCTGTGACTCTGGGGCTTTCTCTGTCTGCTCCCTCTGGGATTCTGCAGCAGGCTTTCAGTAAGATAAGGCAGGAACGTGGAGAGAGAAGCAACACCCTCGATCTGCCTGCTGTTGAGCAACAACCGGAAACTAAACCGTCCACTGAGGCTGCACTTGGTCCAAGCTCTAACAATGTCCTGCCTCCTCCAGAAGCTCCTGCCTCCACGGCTAGCTCTACATTCCCGGCAACCTCCTCGCCATCATCCTCGACTGGGAGAGTTTCACCGTCACCTGCATCCAGTCAGTCCCAGACTTCAGCTCCTGTCGCCAGTGATCCCAGTCCCCCTCCACAGTCTCTCCATGAAACGGTGCCATCCCAGCTCCCACCAGCCGGAAACATCCCTCCTTCATTAGCCACGGTTTCTCCTCCATCCACGCAGACCTCGGTCCCTGCAGCACCTGGACCTCAGCCAAGACGCAGCTCTGTTTCAGGCTCTTCACTCGCTAATGTTGCACCAAGCAGTAGCAGCGCTGTTGTTGCTCCCGAGCAGCAGCTTCCTCAGCCTGTTAATTCGTCCATCCATGCACCACAGCACACAACGTCCCAGGGTCAACCCGTCCCCATTTCAACCCAGCCCCCTCCACCCAATCAGAGCCAGGTCCAACCACAGCCAGCAGAGTTAGAGGGGGCGGAGATCCAAAGCAAAACTGCAGGTAGGGATGATATCCAAGCTCTGGATAAGAAACTGCGGTCTCTCTTCAAAGACCAGAGCTCTGCCTCCACCTCTGCATCTATGGATCCCGGGCAGAGCACAGGCACTGCTTCTCCTCCCACTGGTACTTCTTCGCCTCCACCTGGAGCTGCTCTGATGCCTCCGTCTAACCTTCCACTTCCCTCTGGAGTACAGAGTGTTCTTGGTCCCTCCACTGGTCCTGGACAGGGAATCAATCCTGTGCGGGACATGCACAGACGCCTCCGACTAAGCCCAGGGCACAGGTTAGAGAAAACTCCAGCCGTTCAAAGATATAAAGTTAAATCTCGTCACTGATATTCAAATGCCTCAAATTTGCCTTTTTTGTTGTTTTCAGACTTTACCCACTGGTTTTGACCAAGCTGCTACACCTCCTTCTGACCTAATACCCCCATTTCCTGGACCAAATCAGGTGCCTTATATCACACCACCTGCTCTAGCAATTAGAAATGGACTCATACTCGATTATTTCTAATTCCCTGTTTGTGTGATTCTACAGTCGCAGCAACCCTTGGGTAATTTGGATGCTGAATTGAGGAGAGCCTTGAGCCCTGAGACTGTTCAAGGTGGAAACAGAGTCCAGGCCCCAGCGGCAGGGTTCACTCTGGGACGTTTCCAAGTATGTTTAAGTTGAAGCATAACAGCGTAAAAGCTCCGCCTCAGTGAACTGCTGAGTTTTTTTCATTCAGTTGATCCCGCTTCTCTCTCTCTCTCTCCCTCAGGTGTCTGTTGCCACTGATGGCGCACCAGATCCCTCCAGCGTTGTTTCCTCAGCTTCACTCACACCGTCCTCGACCACCTCCTCGTCCTCCTCGTCTACATCGTCGTCTTCACCTTCAAGTCCAGAAAATACCCTCCATCGGTCATCCTTTCTACCCAAAGACATTAGTGAAACTGACTCTGCAAATCGAGCCTCATCTGTCCCTGCTGGTCCTGCCGGTCAGCCCACCACTATTGGTCGCTTCCAAGTGTCCGCAAGCGCCAAAGCCACATCTGAACCGACTGCTGGCGCTAAAGTGGGACGCTTTTCCGTCACAGGTGTGTACCAGAGTCACAGCAGAGTAGCTAACTATGGATGCCTAGATGTCAGCACTTTTTGCTTATGGCTTGTACAACTCAGTGTCCAACTAAACTGTAACACACCACACTACTTTCTGTTGCTAATTTTGTGTGTTTGGTTTCCCCCCCAAGTGACCCCAGCCCCAGCTGAAGGACCCAGTCCCTCAAATGGCTCCAGTATGCAGAACGGACCCTCGTCTTCAACCTCTGATGCGCAAAACCCACACGCTCACTACAGTAGTGACAACAATGATGATTCTGAGAATGAGGACGAAGCTTTACAGAATGAAATAAGCCGTCTGCGAGAGAAGTAAATCACATCATCACTCATACATGACATCACCTTTAGTTTCTTCTCATGTTTCTGCGTCTTTAATGGAAGTATTTTGACGTGTGTGTTTCCTTCTGCTCACAGACACATGATGGAGATCCAGGCTTTGCAGACTCGTCAGAAAGAGGAGATCGAAGCCCTCTTCACACGGATGGGAAAACCTGCTCAGCCCTCCGTCTTGTCCCCTGCTGGCGCCATGGCTGGAGGCCGACGAAGGCGCAAAAGCCACAAGTCGACTCGCAGCAGTGGACAGCCCAGCCCCAACCATTCAGGTGAGATCACAGCTTCTTAGAATAAGGGAAATACTGACTTAGATGTCAATGGGAACGTTTTTTTTGTTACGATGCAAACACTAAGACTCCAAACTGTGCTCACATGTTCAGGATCTCCGGCCTTGGCTCCGAATCTTCACAGTTCTCAGTCCCCTCCAAAGCAAAGTTCTCAAACATTAGAAGCCTCACAGGCAGAAACACGGCCGTCCATTCCGTCGTTAAGGTCTTCCCCCTCCATGCCCAGCCTAAGTAGCTGCTCCACAGGTGAGCAATTGATCTTGTCACAATGAGCCTGTTCGATCGATCCCTTGAATTCATGCTCTAGTTTACATCGTATTTCTCCTTTTTTAGGACCTAGTGGGACAAGCTCCACAAACGGCTCAGGCCACTACCAGAACAGTTCCACCTCTCTGACCCAGGCAAGTGGACCCACTCCTCCCGCCTCTCTGAACCAGAAGGGCAAGGGCACCTTCACAGATGACCTGCACCAGCTGGTGGATAACTGGGCCAGGGACGCCAAAAGCCTCTCCCAGGGCAAGAGATGTCCTCGAACTGGAGCACCGGCAACGCTAGGACATGATGTAAACATTTAGTACTTTGAGTGTAGAAACTATCCTGTTGTTGGAGCATATTATGACTAAATATGGTAACATTGTAGTAACACGTTCTCTTATTTCCACCACAGATCATCTCTCCTGCTAATATGGGCCGTAAATTCTCAGCCCCGGGGTATCTGTGCCCATCGCTTCCTACGCCCTCCAACACATCGTCCTCCACCAGCTCCTCTCACCTCCAGAATCCAACCAACCCTCCTGTTGCTGTGGGGCCCCGTAAAGGCTCTCTGGGCCCTGTTGCCCAGGGCTTTGGATACGCGTCACCCCCTTACAGCACTCCTCAGTGGGCGGGACCCACGGGCACCTGCCAGGTCAGCATGCTTAATCCCCCACAGCCACTAACACAGTACCAGCCACCAACGACAGTTTCAGTCTCCATGCACCAAGGCTACCACATTGGAACCACACCAGCCCCCCACAATTCAGTCACCCCAGGAGGGTCCAACCTGAGGCCCACATAGCCCAGTCTGGGCCCGGGTCCAGGCTGAGATGAAGGGCCACGTAGGGCAGACAGTCATGAACGAGAACCACTAGCTCTCATAGCTGGTTAGCTGGCTGGATACTGTGCATTTTATTTTTAATTAAACTTTTATCCTGTGTTGTTTTCTGTCATACAATTTGACCTGTGTGGTTCAAGTCCTCTCAGACGGACTGAAGTTTGTCTGGCGATTGGAGGGAGAGTGCAATACACTTCCACAGCACAAGAGTCTCACACTTAGCCTGCCATTAGCTGTGGAACAGAGCTGTGACGAGTCTGTTGATCGTGTCTAAAGGTGTAACACCCTAAAGACTAAGTCAGCAACAGCCAAAGATGTCTTTTCAGAGCAGACTTTGAGATGTCCGCATTCCTTAAAAAAGGGAGGTAGGAGGGATCTGGTCAAGAGTCCCGGTGGTCCTGACTTCCAGCAAAGTCAGGACTGAAAGCGGTTGAACCAAGACGCCATAAACTCGCACATTAGTCAACATCAAACCCGGTTGTGTGACTGGGGATGGAAGTTTTCAGAGAGTGAGGGGTAGCGCAGAGGAAGATAGCAGTGGGATAGTCCATCTCAGATGGATTAGTCAAGTGTTGCGATTAGAATCGGGAGAAGAAAGAAATGGAAAGTCAGACAGGAGTGTAATGGATGGAGTTGCAGTATGAATACATCCCAGTGGCTACCTATAAAGTAAATGCAATAATGGCAAAGAGTAGTAAATTGTCCCTTGTAACTGTGGCCTTAATCCCCAAACACATTCAACATACTGTACATAGATATTTCTTCACTGGGTTATGATTCCGTGTTCAGCATATTTATGTCCCTGTGAGAGTCTGGTGTCATTGTATTCATACAGCTTTGTTATTAAACTGATTTATTCTTCATGTCAGATGTGGAAGTAAGTGGAGCTGTCGCATAAAAAACATTGTCCAGGTGTTGACCACCGTTCAGAGCATGAAACCTGAGTGGTAATGCTGCTGTTAGTCATTGTCTAGGTTGAGGGTTTTGATTTTTTTTTGTTTCTTATTTTTTACTGAAGAAATCTTAAGAATCCTGTGTTGACACATGAAACCCCCTAACTCAGTTAAAAACCTGCTCATCATATCACACAAAGTAGAATAGTTTTGGTTTGTTCCGGTGTTAGCTTCCCCACTTCTCCGTTTGTGACACAGATGGTGCACAGCACACTGACGAACAGGTTGTTTAGTGAATTCACGTCACGTAAAAATCTTTGCTCATGACATTTTGCCATAACGTCTCAAATCACAAGTGTCTGGGGTTCTCTCTCTGTGGTCTGTTTTTGTATGCGTATATTTAATAAAAACAAATGTTCTTTATGGACCTGTATTCAGCCATCAGATTTTGATGTTGTTTCACTGTAATTATTATTAAAGGTTGTTAAACAACATGTAGTTAAAGGAATATAAAAAGTGCAATTGCAGGGTTTGTTGTCATTGGTATCCTTCTCACCATGCAGGAGACGATCCTGCCATTTACTAAGCTCTTCTATGACTACCCTGCCCCCCTTTTCTATTTAATTGTATATATGTTAATGTGAGTATATGCTTTCATGTAATGCTCGGTCACCAGAGTATGCTTGTGATGACCCACTGTACACGCACACGCACTCGAACCTGAAAACATGAGGAACACTTTAGTGCCTTGCATCTTCACTAATGACAAGTTCCAGATTCATTTAGTCCTGTAGCTGTGACTGTACTGCAAAAACCAGTGAAATAAAAATCTGTACACAATGTGAACACAACACAAATGTCACACGGCCAACTCAGAGGATCTGACACTCTGAACCATCTGACAGCCCCCAGGATAGCAGAGCAAAGAGCACACTGAGTGAAGCTGAAACCCTGTCTTTTCTCACTACAGTTGCATTTGTGTTGTTTCTGTAATTATCAGCTGTGTATTTAGATTCGGCTCATGCATACATGAATTTGGCTGACATTTGTTCCCTTTTGAATTTGTCATTGATCTGTTGAATAAAAAGCACTTGTTCAGGCAGCAAGTGAGTTGTATAAAGGTTGAAAATTGTCTTACAACCTCACGAGTGCCATGCTGTCATTGTGACTCTTTCGCCTGCTTGTAGATGGGACGAGTAGTTAAACTTCTCTAGAGAAAAATAAGTTGCTGCAATGCAGAATATGCAAGTTTAAAAGTTTTAAAGGGACTGAGGGGAAACGGAAACATTTGCATGCCGATGAGGGTTGTTACTGACTTCAATGTTTTTGATATTAAAATATTAGACATCTTTTTTTTTTTTTTTTAAATCTTTGCCTTTCTGAGTCATCCCAAGTGTTGATCTGTTTAGCTGCCATTTAACAATATCACACAACTTCAATATCAGATTATCTGCTTATGGTTTCTGCATGCCGGCTTCACTGATGTTTAATCTTACAAATGGCAACCAGCTCACAACTGGCCACTGTACAGCACAAGCTCGACAAAGCTTATGGTCTATGTGTTTATCAGTAAATCACAGGCCTCTACACACAACTGACACACACAAACACACAGTGATAGTATCTGTTCAACTCTTACTTCTGATCCCTCCTTACTGATCTCCTGTGATTCTGTCTGTTTTGTGTATGTTTTTCACATTGTACAAAATGTAAAAACAAATAAAAAGTAATATCAATTTAAGCATTTGTCCTGCTCTTGGTCTGTTTTAATAGGAGATATTTACAAATGAGGTTCAATAACATCTGCATTTCCACATATTATCAACATGTACCTAACAGACCGATGTGGTTGTTTGCGGTTTATTTTATGAAATCAGTAAACATTTCTCCAAATATTAAAAGCAAATCAATCAAAATTGATTTTAAAGTCATAAATTAAAACAAAAGTGATGTATCTGATTTGTAACAGTGCAGAGGAAGGCGTCGGTTATCTAATCTCAGGTGTCCAGTCTGCGTTTCTTCATGTGCTGTCCTGCTCTGTAAGGACTTAAAGCTTCACCTGAAACAGGAAAAAGAAAATTGAAGATCAGAGGAATTTAGTCAACAACCTTTAAAAGCGACTCTTTAAAAAGGACCTCACCTGGTCTGGACTGGTACTGGTATTGATTTTGATAATGAGGTCTGGACTGAGCTATATTCTGTCCTGTGTTGTATGATGGAGCCTCTGGTGGTCTATTCATGTGTCTCTGAGGAGTTTTACTGCGAGTTTGCATCTGGTGATTTCCAGGTGTGCTCGGTCTGAGCGTTCTAGAGGGGGGGTCATCACCCAGCTCCTCGATCCCATCGAGAACCGAATCCCAGAGCTCAGGATCATCTGCAAGGACAGACATACTGAGCTATGCTGGCTGCAACAAGGTGAAAAGATGCTGCTGTCTTCACCATGATGACATGAGCAGAGCCCTCTGCTGGCGGAATCAAGCACCTGCTAAATGCTCCTCCCTGCCGCTGGACTTCTTGTGATCCCCTGAGCAGCTGTCACTGAATGACGGGGCACCTTCATGACCTAGAGGAATGGATACCTCAAACTGATTAAACATCAGATTTAAAAACAACAGCACTAATCCTTCAGACAATAAGTTTCCATTGTATAAATTAGCCAGAGTCCTCTGGCCAGTGAGTGAAGTATGCATTTGTGAGGATTTTTAGGAGTAATATTCTGATAACTTTGCAAAACTTGAGTATAAAATTTCCTACGCCACAAAATATATTAAAGGGATATTCTGTCATAAAATTAATTTAGGGTCAAACACATCGTAACACCAAGTTATACACCCTATCGAGAGATGAATGTTGCCGACCGCTTGCTTCTCTAGTTAAACCAACTTTAGTAATGACCGCACGATAGCAATACACAGAGCCACGCGTTTAACCAAAACACCTCTAAAGCCACAAATAATGCTCAGAACGGCACGGAACTTCATCAACAGTACATATAGGGTCCCAGCCACAGCACTAACCACTAAACATCTTTTTAACTTTGCCTAATTTCTTTAGCAAAGAGACTAAACACAACTCACCCTCTCTCTTCCAGCAGCTGTTTGTTTTTACAGAGACCTCTGAGCATTATTTGTGGTTATAGAGGGGCATTTTGGTTGAGCGCATGGCTCTCTGTATTGCTATCTGCGGTCTTTACTAAAGTTGGTATAACTAGAGAAGCAAGCGGTCGGCAACATTAATCTCTCGACAGGGTTTCTAACTCGGTGTTACGGTATGTTTAACCCTCACTTAATTTTACGCCGGAATATCCCTTTAAGTGTCACTGTTTATACAAGAAAGAAATGCAGAGATCAGAGTTTAAAAAAAGCACAAAAGATCAAAAACAAATCTGTCAATTTAAATGTGAGACCTCAGCTCTGATCCTGAACCTCTTACCTCCGCTGGTTCCTGGTCCAATAGCAACCTCTGTGTTCTCAGACTTGGCTTGATCCTGTTTCTGCTGCATCCTCTTGGCCTCCATCTCCCTCCTGAACTTCTCCTGAAGCTGCTGCTGTCGAAGCTTTCTCAGGTGTTTGGGGTCTGAGTTCCTCGCGGACCCAACAGCATCCACCGTGTCAGTGACAGGTCTTTAGAGAGGAAACCAGGGAAACATAAGACTTGTTTTTCTTCTGTAGATTTCAATGCAGCTCAGTGGAATAGTCCTAAAAAACAGAAACTAGATTAACTGCTGTTAACCTGCTACCAGCGTTTTCCCACTCCCGACAGGCAGGAGGATCCACAGCATCAGGGGTGTGAACCTCCAAACAGCCCTGGTTCAAAACTTTACGTTCCAGTGGCATCCTGCCAGCACCTCCTGCAGATACAGGTTTCTCCTCCTGGACTAAACTAGAGAAGCGAGCCTTCTCCACTGATGGCTCGCCTTCTGAGCGCTTGGTCCGAGCAGGATCCAGAGGAGGAGGGGGCTTTAGTGGAGAAGAAACAGTATTGATCAACCCCATCATTTTTGTCTAAAAAAGAAACACAAAAATCTTAAAGTTTACATTCAGTGTCTGACCTGTTTGGGGATCTTGTTGATGGCTATTAGGTACCCCTTATCCAGGATGCAGTTTCCAAGGGCATTTCCAAAGCACCTTAATACACACACACACACACACACACACACACACACACACACACACACACACACACACACACACACACACACACACACACACACACACACACACACACACAGAGTATGAGAATAAGTTTTGCATCAGTGTTGATTGAGCAACACATACTGTATTCGTCTTGGTTGGCAGACTGGTTAGATAAACATAAAAACACAGTTTCCGTACTTCAGGGCTCTCTTCATGCCATCTGTGACTGCTTCCTTTCTGGCTTTTTCCAGTGACAGAGCTTTAGACTTCAGTCCTTCACTGACTCCGTACCCTACATCCTCATGATACGCTCCGTCCTGCTCACAGAGTAAGCATTAGACACAAGAGTGTGCACACAAAATAAGCAGCAGAAGGTGATGTACACGGAAGGACAGACACAATGTGAAAGTTATCATTATCGTGAAAATGAAATCTACATCCGACCTTTAACTGCACTTTGATAAACGCACTGACTCCAACGTAGAACTTCCCGTTGATGAGATCAACAAAATCTGATGAGTTAGAAACACGGTGTTATCTGACAGTGATAGCAATTTTACTTCAACAGATTTAAGAAAGAGCTCCATCTGTCGTACCAACATTCTGCTGCGAGATGGAGTGAGACCATCCGTTGTATCCAAACATCTCATTAGCAAGGCTGATCACACGATGTCCCTCTACATAGCACACCTGCAAGAGGCCAAGCACGTGCAGACAGAACAGGGAGAGCAGATCATATGGATTTGTCAAATGAACAGTCAAGCAAATTTAGGTAAAATTTCATCCCCAGAGCAACAACATATTGCTTTACCTTATGAGGTAAGTATTTAGAAACTATTTCACATTAATGCGTTCACTCAAGGATAATGAAGCCCAAAATCATGTTAAAAGAAACACATCAAATTTTGATGATTTGCAGAATTTCTACTGTCAACTTGAAAACGGCGCCACAGCTGTGCAGAAAACAAAGGCAGAGATACAAACAAAGACTTGCCTTCTGTCCTCCTCCTGCCACTCTGGTACTGATGTACTCTGGTCCCAGCCTCTGCTGCAGAGCATTGTGCACTGCCTGGTACTCCTCAGCTGTGTACGCACACTGAGAAACACAGTCCAGTTAGGAAAGGCAGAACGCATGGATGGTTTTTTTTTTCTGCTAATTATGACAGATTTTTGATCAGTTGAGCTCAAAATAAGCCACACTGTCCCTCCTGTTTCATGGACACAGAACTATAAATGTGATCTTTATCTCTACAGCTGATTTCGTTGTATATTATACATTATGTGTCTTGCTTACTCAACTTGCAAATCAGAAGATTGCATATGGGTTGTACGCGTAGGAAAAACTAGGACTGCAACCAAGTACCTAGGGACAAACTTTTGCACTCAAAAGATGTCAGACTTTAGACCGTTGTACTTCACATATTTGTTAATCAAACAGTAGAAAGCCAAAAATCATCTCCACGACCTCAAGGTTATATAACACTGGTAAATGTAGGGCGAGGGTACTTAGACAAAGCTGTTCAAAGTATTGAAAATTTGGAGCGATTTTCTCCAAACAATTTTAATCTCATAAGTAAAAGCACAAGCTTTATTTGCAGCCAATCACACGCTGTAGAAGTCTGCACCATTCACTTAGAATTCAAGTAGAGATCCCAAAAGCAAAGTAAGGGAGAGTGGGGTAAGTTGAGCCAAAGGTTAAGTTGAGCCACCCCCTGTTGCTTGAAAATAGTAAAAGAAATTGATCATGTGACCAAATATTTAGGAGATGGACATCAATTCATGGAGTCTGTGAAGGTTAGAAGCTCATGGATGAAGAGGTTAGACATTTATTTACAAAAAACCTTTTCACTCTTGAAAGTGAATTTATTCTGTCATAAGTCTTATTAGAATTGTGTCCAGAACAAAAAAGATCATTTTAAATGTGTTTTATACATCAATTGTGGTATCTATGAGCTACAACATGAGGTCAAAAACTGAGCATAAAAGTCCACCATTTTAGCTTGGAGGACTAATAAAGTCACAATAGTAGTTCTGGGGTAAGTTGAGCTCAACTGAGAAAGTAAAGGAGTCTGATGAGAGGATCAGAGTTTCAGTTCAGATTGTTGAAATGTGTTACTTTTTCTTTTTAGAAATACAGCTGTGAATGTTCTGAGTCACTTAAAGACATTCTCATGTTAAAATGACTTTTTACAAAACAGCTTTTTATCAGTTATATGCAATAATAAGGAAGAGAATTATTGTACCAGTTGAATAGTGTATAATAGATAAAAATACACATGAATGTGAAGAAGTGACTGTGATTGAGGGAGAGAGAAGGTGAGGGAGGGCTGGGCTGGAGAGTGGGGGGGTAGTAGGGATATGGTTCAACTTACCCTGCTCCTATGGTTAACTTACTCCATACATGGGGTAAGTTGACCATAGGTGACCACTTTTTTTGGCATGCTATATTATCAAGACAGTTATGTTTACACTCATTCTGTTGGTTTGCAGGGATGCACAACATCTTGAAATAAATGCAGATACACTAGGTAGAGACAAAACTATGATTGCCTTGATGTAGTGATCGGAAATATGAAAAATGGCTCATCTTACCCCACTCTCCAAGTTGAATCTCAAACTAAGTTCTCTCAAGATCTTGTTGAACTAGAGCAGCCATAAAAGTGTTAAATTCAGAGTTCGAACCCCCCAAGGTTTAAACATCATACAATCACATGAGGAAAGGAACAACAGCTGTGAGGAAATAACCATGCAAAATCCCCTGATACTTCAAAAACTTGAAGTTAGTCAGGTCATTTATTTCGGGAAAAGTCTGAGGCATGCACCAGCCTTCCAGAGAGGTACTTCTCCAACAAAAAGACTCAGAAATACAAATGCCGGTCCAACTTTTCTGAGGGAACTCATTGGTGTTAAAACTGTGTTTGTTTATGTGAGTAACACCATGTGTCCTTGATATACAATGGTAGATATCAGAAGTTAGAAGAACTGTTACAGCTCTGTAAATTCTGGGCTACCCTCTGCAAAAATAAATCAATAAATAACCGCTTTTCCAATCAGGCAGGCTAAAGGCACAACTTCCTGCACCCTGGTGCCCTTTGTATTTGTTGTCATCGTCCCCCAAACAACCTGAGTACGCCACTGCACCCAGGATTTCATTACCAAGGATAACACAGAGTAAAATCAGGAACACAAGCTGCAGCAGAGTTAAAGATGGAGGTGAGGTGGTGGGTTTTTTTCTTTATGCATACCTGTCCGAAGCTCTTGGGTGCAGAGCTGCTCCTCTCCTCAGTGTGACCGGACATGGTGCTACATAGACCCTACAGTCATTAAAACAAACAAGCAGGAGTTAGATAATGTAGAAAAACTGCAGTCGAGACTATCCAAGCTGTTTGTTCAAAGCTTAAATGCACCTCCAACCCGAAGCTAGCTTCCAAGTGTTTCCAGACGGTCACTTTGTAAACATTATAACTTAATGTCGCTGTCTGTTGGCTAGTTTGTTAGCGTGGACACAAACTCACCAGTTAAAATGCCTTAAAAGTGACTTATTTTCTGAATATGATAGAAACATCTGCTGTATTGAACTCAACAGGAAGAGTATCCGAACTTCCCGCTCTGACCCGTTGGGGAGGAGTCTATGTCGCCTTCAGGGGGCATCGAAAAACAGAGAACTCACTGCAATGTCTGGATGAACGCCGATCTGTTTTTATTGAAATAGTCCTGTTTGGTGGTCAACGCTTTGTGGGAATATGCTATAAGATGTATGGTACAGTCAGTCTTATTTTGTTTCGCTGAAAATGTAATTTAACGTCATTTCTTTCCGCTATAGCAGTTTTCAACGAGTTTAGCAAGTCATGGCAGGTGCTGCTGTTTCCATAGAAACGGCACCGACTGTCCGGGAAACAGAAAAAGTAAATAGCTGAGCAAGTAAGTAAATAAATAAATAAATATAATAAATTAATAAATTAATTATGTTTTATTTCTCCAAATGTCAAGGTGCAGCATCAGCTCTGTTTTTTTGTTTGTTTGTTTTTTTGCAGCTTTGTTCACCTTCATTTTCCTCTTTAAACCTACTTTCAGAGGATGACTCAGAAATGTTCAACTAATAGTCTATCTATAACTTTTTAAAATCCACAACACTGACATTTTAAATGATGTCATGTTACTTACATATTTAGCCTAATAATATAAAAGTATAAAGATAATCTTACCTGGTTCATGTAGGGCCTACAGCACCCCTGTTTTGAGTTGATGTGTGTCTAAATCTGGTGTTTTTGGTTGAAACTGTGCAAATAAGCAGCTCCTGGATTCATAAGTACAGTGGCTGAGAACTGCCATCGCTGCAAATAAAAAAAGAATAAAAAAAAAAGTTACAACGGAAGTTACTGATGCAAAAAAACAAAAAAGAAAAGAAAAGAAACCACAGCCCGCTGCAAATAAAAAAAAGAAACAGTGCAGATAAAAAAATCCACAATGGCAGTTTACAATGCAAAAAAAAACAAAAAAGTAGCGATGGAAAAAAAAGTTACTCACTGCGAAAATAAAAGGATGCAAAGAGAAAAAAGTCACAACGGAAGTTAGCTGCCAGGGACTAATAATAACGATGCACCAGTGTTTTACGATATAGGCACAGAAGACGACGAGAAGACGAGCAAAGAAGTAAGTGTAAAGGTTATTATTTCATTTCGGTTTGTAAACTTTTTAATGTGTCATTTGGTTAGGCCACATTGTGCCATGACGTTGAACTGAAGCTAACACTACACCGGCATCCTCCAGATCAACTTCATATCGACTCAGGCGCTACACGGTCTACCCTAATGACACATGAAGAAGATTACGAAGCGAAATCAAAGAATAACCTTTCCACTTACTTCTTTGCTCTTCTTTTTGCTGTTGTCTTCTGTGCCTAGATAATAAAACACCGGTGCATCATCATTATTGGTCCCCGGCAGCTCACTTCCGTTGCGGCTTTTTTTATTTGCATCCTTTTATTTTTGCAGTAAGTAATTTTTTTTTTATTGCATCGCCACTCTTTGTGTCATTAACTTCCGTTGTGTTTTTTTTTATCTGCACCGTTTCTTTTTTTATTTGCAGTGGGTTTCGGTTTCTTTTTCTTTTTCTTTTTTTTGCATTACCACTTTTTTGTGTCATTTACTTCCATTCAGTTTTTTTTATTTATTTAATCTGCGCTGTTTCTGTTTTTATTTGCAGCGTTTTTTTGTGTTTTTTTTGTATCAGTAACTTATGTTGTGGTTTCTTCCTTTTGCATTCTTTTTTATTTGCAGCGGTGTTTTTTTTATTATTTTATTTGCAGCAGTGGCGGTTCTCGGCCACCGTACAAAAGTATAGGGGTAAATAGACACGAAGTGCACAGAGATATAATTTGATTTTTTTGTCCAATTGACAATCGTAGGCTACAGTATTTTTCATATGCAAGGACTGGTGTACCGTCTGCCTCTGGTCTAGCGTGATGCCAGTTAAGTTTATCACGAGAGTGGGTTATTTGGGCTAAATCACGGCTCGTGGCATAGGAGGGATTATCTGCAAAATGCCCGCGCCTGATGACAGATGGCAAAAGACCCACTGTGTCAAACAACATAGATTGGGGTCAGTGCTGGATAATGTGCGTTTCCTTCCTCCTCCACTTTGTTTATGTAGCCACACGCATGGAGGAGGCCAGAGCAACGTGGCACATGCAGGCCCTTTTCAGGAGGCACCAGCACTGGCACACCTGGCTCTTCTGTCTGATGGTCCAACATCAAGCTCCAGCTTGTTCAAATTGGAGATTGATGCGTAATTAATGGCCTGAATGCGCCAATTCATCGGTCTCACTTCGTCTGCGTTTGAACACTGGGTGAAAAAGAATGGAAATACATCTGGGCTTGTCCAGGGCATGGCACAACCCGTGCCTTTCTTGAATCCCTGTAATTCCCCTTTTTTGCATACGACTCGAACCACAGTGCGCGCACTTGCTGCTCGTGGCCGCGCCCAGGTTTTTTGCTTTGCATCTCGTCAAAACAAAGCGGGGGCGAGCTAGAGAGCGAGCAAGCACACGGCGCTGCATGCTCCATGAATGAGTCCCCCTCCACCGCATCGCAGGTCGGACCTTACAGCCGCCTGCACCCTGATGCCCGCGTGGGTGCGCAGACTGGCGAGGAACACTAGAGGAGCCAGCCGTGAATGATTCCGGACAGCAAACACATCCAGCCAGTGCTACATGACCGATTCATCCCTTCAGGAGCAACACAGGATACGGCACGGTGAGTGGAGGCTACAGTGGGCGGGCAGAGGCGCATGACATACGGCAACTTTGTGGCCATTATGATCCAGTTCTTCTCCATAGGTGGACTTTGTGATGCGTGTCCACATCTCTGTGCGTGATCATGAGACACGTTGTTTACAATGCTTCATTCTCGCCTCCACACAGGTAAAAAAAATAGAGAAACCTCCACGTACGCACGACTGGCTTATACATTCCTCCCTCTAGGACAAACGTGGACTCTAGACTGCATGTCTGGTCGATTGATTGTTCATCTTGTACCGATTAAACATGTGACCGTGAAGCTGCGTATCAATAGGCCAGAAAAGCAACAGAGAGTAATAGAAATTAAAGTGGCATCGATCTGACTGTAGTCGCCCCTGGGAGACAAGGAGGAGGAGGAGGAGGAGGAGGAGGGGTGATCAAAAGCAGTTGTGCCCGGGCTGGCGTGGCTTGGCATGACCAACCGTCTGTGTGTGTGGCGTGCGTCTGTGCCTCAGACTGAGGTGTGATCTTACTGCGGTGTAAGTGCAGGTCAGTCCTTCTGAAAACACATATGCTTTCAGTGGAAGATAGGGGAGCTTCTAGTGTGTCTTTGTCTGAGGAGTGACAGCCCAGACTGTTGTTCTCCCCTCTGACCAGGGGATGGTGCTTTACTATGTACAGTATGTTTCAATGGGGGGAGACACCCAAACAGACTATAATACTCAAAGAAATACTCCATCATGGCTTCCCTGCTTTTACTGGAAAAGCTCACACTCCCTTACTGTAGCTGTAGGCCTACATGTACTAACACGTATTTCCCCATTTGTTCTCTGATGCAATGTGTGAGTGGATCACTTCTGCTTGCAAAACACTCCTTCTTTTGGTTGAAATAACAGTCAGTGACAGAGAAAGGAAACAGAAAGCACTCAGTTTTTTTTTACCCCTCCTTTGAGAAGGTCATGAATCTGTGTCTTGATGATCTTATAGTGGCTCTTTTACTGTAAGTTAGACAGTAATCTGTATTTGTCATGTATGTGTCAGAGCCTCAGACATTCTTCACTGATGCCTCACCCATATGATCTCTCCTGTGCTTCATCTGCTTCTGATGACCTGTTCGCTTTCAATCAAGCCTTAATAACCATTCCTCCTTATTTGGCTGTTTTATGTTTCAGATGCTTGACGGACTTCGGCGGAGGCACGCCTCTCGGCCCTCCTCCAGACCCTCCTCCCGCCCCTTGTCACTCAACTTCAGCACCTTTTCAGCCCCTCCCCCGAGCCCAGACATGGACACCAGCAGTGAGCATCCAATCAGGAGGTAAAGGCTCAGTTCCTGAGATTAAAATTTCACAACATACAGCATCCTGGAAAATGCATGAAATATAAATGAGGGTTCATGAAAATCCCACCAGCTCTCCTCCCCGAGGATTTCAATTAGCTGCTTAGCTTTGCTTTGCAGCATGTGTTGACCAAATGATAATGATCTCCTGGTGGGATGTTTGCTTGACCCATTTCCTCATGTCTTACCAAGTCATTAATTTGTACATTTGCTTTCCATGTTTTTTTTCATGTCTGCGTGTACCTCGGTTTGGCAGGGTTGTTGTTTACTCTCTGCGCTGTTAGACTGTGTGGCTTCAAAATCATTCTTCCATCTTCATCTCAGTTAGCTCTGCCCCTGAACCCCTACAGAATAGCTCTATGATGAGAATGAAATATACATGTATGTACTTGTATGTATATAAGACACATAGTTCAACAAGTTTAATATTTACAGGACTTTAAAACATCCAAAACACATTAAATTTGACCACTTACTTCCACTTCCATTCTATTGTCTGAAAAGTAGATGTTAAGCAGCAGCCTGTTACAGCTGGCCTCGCACTGTTGTTTAAGGTAACACAGTCAAATCATATTCATATTTCTACAGTCAATGCCATTTATTAGAGAGCAGGTTAGCCAATGGATGATGTACAAAACTAACTTTTTCACCATTACTCAACAGCAGATTCACGTGATTGTGATTTATTTTCTAGACCACAGGCATTGACCAGATGTACCTTTTAATCAGTCTAACTTAATGCCTATTTTTACCTTTTGGTAAATACTGAAGTGTAAAAGGCAGGTGTTGTGATGGTGAGGGTGTTTTATTTTGCAGACTTCAGTACCTCCCTGGAGTCTCCGCTTATTCTCTGGTAGTTTAAAGTCAAACGAAGAAACAGTCCAATACATAGGCCAGTGTTTAACCTCTCTACAGGACATGGTAGCTGTTTCATGTCTACAGTCTTTATACAGAGCTAAACCTGATGTCTGTAACTTTGTCTTTGGTATGTTTAGAGTGGCATGAATCCTTTAATTTTCCTGCTGCACTGAAGTAAATAAGAGTTTATCCCTGTATTAGATATTTGACCTTCACCTCTTAATATTCAGTGACCTGACTTTGTTGTGTCAGTCATTACAAAATATGCTGTGCAGCCAAACCGTTGCTCAAATTCATGATGTTTATATATATATATATTTGTAGATAACTGTGATTTGCAAAGATACCAAACATACCAATTTGAATTTGGATGAAAGTGTTCACAGTCATCAGCAGGTCTGCAGAATTTCCACAAATGTATGATTATTCAAATAATTGTTTTTAATTTTCGCTGAATGGAAACATCTAAGTTTTTAATCAATAGCTCTTTAAGCTGACCGGAAATATTTGTGTAACTCTACCCGATTTACTCCCCCAGATTTTAAGCTGTTCAAGTGCTCATTAAACAGGAAGAAAGTGGCTGTTTGAACTCTCAAATATCAATATAACTGAGATCCAGTTTCAATCTGCCGTCTTTACTTTTGTCATCCTGCACCAGCTGTGCTGAATATGGGAGAGCAGGAAAACCTTTTTCATTGTCCTGCATTGTGTCACTGCTTCCTATCCCTGTTGTTGTCAATAAGCTGGAGGACTTCCTCCTCCAACATCTCTCTGTACAGTGACAAGCACAACAAAGACCCCACTGCTTTAGTCTGCTCATTCTGCAGTTCTGTGGCATCTGTGCTTTGCATAAATATTTGTTTGCATCAATGGTGGTATTGTGCTGAAAGACAGGCAGAGAATAGAGGAAGAATATGCTCCCATCAGTGTTTGCGCTATTGTTTTCTGCTTTTTCTGAGACCTGGGCCACCTCTCGGCTTGGCTCCACCCATCCTGCTCTTAACAGGCTGCCCCTTTTTCACCATGCATCATTCTGTCCTACTTCTCTCATCCTCTGTCACTGGCCGCTCTTTGTGTTGTCATTGTACTTTTCTCCCCTCTGCGTATTCTCTCAGAATCACTCTGCTTATGTTCCTCTCTTTCCCTCCGGCTATCTCCTCGTGTTTCTTCTCTGTGTCACTGTATGTCAGCTCGTAGCTCGACCTTCTTTCTCTCCTGTCCTGTACTAAGTGCACACTCTGTTTCCCCCTCATGAGAACTCTGCACCGGCTGAAGCTGATGAGCTCCCCCAGCCTCAGTGAGCTGGGGAAAAGTGAAAAAAGTTCACCAGAGGACAGAGGGGAGAAGCAGAAGAGGGCAGGAGCAAACGCCACCTGGAACAGGTAACACTTCAACATGGATGGATGCAATTAGATGCTTTAATACATTTTACTGATAACCCAGAGCTGTTTGTGTGTGTGTGTCTTTGTTGTAGCATCCATAATGCTGTGATAGCAGTCTTCCAGAAGAAGGGTCTGGCAGATAATGAACTCTACGTCCTCAATGAAGGCGTCCGGTAGGTTCAGAGACAGCAGTGAAAACATCCAAACAGCACAGAGAGAAAACCTTATTTCAGTCTGTTGATGTCATTTTGAGCTGTAATACGTATAATTACTGTTTGTCCTGCATTTGCTGGACTTGTGAATGAGTTTGTTTGTGTGTACTGTACTGTACTGTACTGTATGTGGGCCTGGGGAGTCATGTGGTCCTGCCAGATATCTCATTATCTGCCTAAACCAGACTCATCGCTTTCATCACACCAGCCTCCGTTGTAGCCAAGGAGGAATATTTAGATGTACAGAAAAGCTAAATCAAGACGAGACTGACTCACCTCTCTCAAACTAAAACTCACGATGCATGAAAAATGTAAAAAATTGTTGAAAACTGTCTTCCTGATGATTTCTTACTCTTTTTATGGCTGATTAAGTGATATATTTGTTTCTTCAGGCATCTGTTGAAGACTGAGCTTGGGTCCTTTTTCACAGAGTACCTTCAGGTAGCAGACTTGGGTTTGGGGTTACAGTATGGGGTTTCATACCACTTTGTAGTGGTTCAGTCTCAGCATATTATACTCAAACATATATTTTCACTGTTTCACAGAATCAGCTGCTGACAAAAGGCATGGTCATCCTTAGGGACAAAATCCGATTCTATGAAGGTATGATCGATTGCATTAATGATAGCAGACCATAAGACATGGATGCTATAGAATATACAGCAATACATTTTATTCCCATGTGACGGATGCAGGTCAGAAGTTGCTGGACTCTCTGGCAGAGACCTGGGACTTCTTTTTCTGTGACGTCCTCTCAATGCTGCAGGCCATCTTTCATCCAGTTCAGGTACAAAACAGTCTAATAAGTGCTCTGGTTTGAAGACAGACCAACTATACAGCTCTCTCTATATATAGTATATAATGATGATTGTCCTTCATTTCTGCTTTTTTTTTTCCTGTGTCCTTGTTACGCAGGGAAAGGAACCCTCTGTCAGACAGCTAGCTTTGCTCCATTTCAGAAACACCATCGTTCTGAGTGTGAAGTTAGAGGACGCACTATCCCGACCTCGAGCCCGCGTGCCCCCCTCTGTTACTCAAATGCTGCTAATTCTACAGGTAGGACTGCAGCTCCTGAGGGAAACTTGACAACTTCTTTATATTACAGTCGCTGTTTAGGAAGCATATTATGGTAGTTTGTGACAAAGAAGAATAAACATTTATCACAGGTGATTAGAATAACATGCTGTTTTGTTAACCTTTAATTAGCTTTAATAAAGAGCTCTGTTTCAAAACATAAATACGCATACAATACATTACTAAGTCCTAAAATATCTCCTAAAAAGCTCAGATAAAATTTGTTAAAAAAAAAAAAAAACAGTTCATCTTGTCAGATCGATTGACTGCTTTTATTATTGAGCAATTTGACGTCTTGTTTTTTTATGATTGACCTGTTCTCAATAAATGCAAAATTCAGTTACAATAAAATTAAAGCTACTATGAGGAGTTTTTTGATGTTTGTGAAATAGACTGAATTTCATATTGATGCCCTTTCATGACCTCCAAAAGCAAACAAGATCATCAGGGGCAAGATTGATGATTTGTATGTAGCAATTTTTAATACCAGTGTGAGGGGGTAGTTGTCAGCCAAACAGCTGAAAAAAAAGCCTGCTCTTCCAATTTCCACATAAGATATACTTAATAAATGATATGTTTAACCATCAAAAGTCAGCAGGATGGCACTTTTTCTAATCAAAACACACTACTTTTAGAGTTCAATCTGATCAGGGACTGTTTTGTCCACAGGGGGCGCCAAAGTTGACACAAACTAAAGGTTTTTCACTATAACTTTCAAAATAAAAATTTTAGATTAGTTTATGAAGCATAGTTTGAACAAGCTTACAGAGTCTTTTTCAGATAAAACCAGTAAACCTCACAGTCGTCACACAATGAGAAGGAAAACAACATTAGGAAAGTCTGTACCAACTTATCTCAAGCAATCTCCTCAAATTATGTTTTAGTTTACACTTATTTTGAAAGTTTCTGGATATTTAGTCTTTAGTTTGTTTTTGGTAGTTTTTAGTCATATTTAATGGAAACATCAGTTCACACAAATGCTCTCAACTCAAAAATCAATAAAAATAGAAATTAGAATAGAAAATGTGTTTGTTTGTATAAATAACTTAACCCATGAATCAGTCATTGGATGAATCAACCCACGCATGACTGGATTTTCCTCTCTGTGTTCAGGGCGTCCATGAGTCACGTGGTGTGAACGAGGAGTACCTGAGGCTTGAGTCTCTGGTTCAGAAGGTGGTCTCACCCTACCTGGGTACTCACGGGCTTTACTCTGGAGATGGTGCTGAGGCCAATTGCTGTGTCCTGGGTAAGACAATGTGGGGATTAAAATACCAAAAACAAGAGCAGTAGTGGAGTGTGTCTGAGGCACCATGCGAATGAACCAATCAATCACGTCTTTCCCTCTCATTTTTAGAGAAGTGTTTGCCGTGGGGCTGGCCAAAGTCTGCAGATCAACCGTCTAAGAACCCAGTGGTACGATCAAAAAGCTACAACATCCCTCTTCTACTGACCCCGGTGGCAGAATATGACCCAGATGCCAGCTCTGTGGGTAGTGGAGGAATTAGGCGCCACTCAGCCTGTGAGATCATATCATGCCTGGAAGAACAAGGACTGGCCTACAGTGACCTGGCCTCAGGATCTGAACTGTCTGGCCCCTCCTCCAACAGGCTGTGTGTGGCCTCACAGTTCAATGGTATGACACAGATTAGAATGCTTATTCCCATAGTCATTATTTAAAAAGAACAATCTGTGATTTTTCAAATACCTTCTGATTCACAGGTATCCTACAAGCGGGTTCAAGCGCTTTGGACTTGCCTCTCTCCTCTCCGTCCATCCTTCCCCTTCACTCTTCAGGAGCTCTGCACGGCACTGAGGCCACAACAACAATGACTGATCTCAGTATGGGTGCATCCTCCACACCGCCCAGTGAATCATCCAGCCCCGAAACCATAATTGGACAAGTGCTGGAGTCTGCAGACTCAGACTCTGATGGGATATTTATTGATTTCCCTCCTCACTCCTCAGAGGCTCTGGGGTACAGCCGCGAGGGCAGACAGAGCACTGTGTAGCTGTGGTTGCCTTGAAAGTACCCACAGCGTGTGCATTAATAATCTGTTATTACAGATTTAACAAAGCTACATTTCATTAAATGGGTACCATATTTTTTTCTCTCTCTATAGTACAATTCTTTTCCATGTCGTTTCCATCTCAAAGTGCTTTCAACGAAGGAGTAAAGCCTCTCAAGCCTTTGTCCAGCAAAATACAAAAACAAATCAGAGGACTGAATGTTTCAACAGGTTTCCATTTATAGGTTTTACTTCGTCTGAGTTTTTTTTTTAATCCTGAGCTTTCAAAGATTTTACCCAAACAAGTCACATAAGGTTCTTAAGGGATCTGAAGTCTGATGACATTTAAAGATTTTCTTGTTGATATAAATCCCATGAAAAAAAACACACACAAATTAACAGGAATTTCATTGTACTAGTTTATCTCTAGCCAGAACCTGCCGACTATTTCATTGTTTGACTTTTTTTTTTAAATCTAAAACTAAAATCACAACAGTGAGCATTGTGCCAAATGTTTAAATTGGCAGCTGTAATTGTATCCAACAAGAACATGAAAATTACCACACATGGTTCTATGAGATATTGTGGGCCTTTCTAAATATGAAGATATTTCTAAAGACAGATTTTAAGATCAAATTCAGGGATGTTTGATCTCTTGTGTCACAGAGTTTTTCCTGGAGTTGGAATAATCTCCGCTTTCTGGGAATTTAAAAACAATTAACTTCATGCTTTATTAATTTCATGCTTTACATGGTGAGGGTTTATGTTGTTTTTTGACTGAAGTTTTGATAAAGGAAAAATAACCTTAACTGAGGTTTATTCAGAGAGTCAGTTTCACACATCTAATGGAGAAATGGAGTTAGAACCGACATTTAAACAAATGAAACAAAAGAAAGTTGCTTTCTTCCAGGTCTGTTTTATATTCATGTATTTTGGTCCCCACAACAGTTTTCTATTTTCTGTTTAGGCTTTGTTGTTTGCCTTTCAGCAGTAAGACAGAAATGAGGTCTGTTCTCACTTTTGTGAGACATCTTATGAAATTGTGGGCTCAAGTGTTGTTTTCATTGCCAGGGGCAATCATAGAGAACTAATGCAAAACTCTTAGAACAAACTTCAGTGTGACAGCATTTGCTTTCCTGCATTAGCTCTGTACAGCAGGTGTCAGAGAGGTATGATGATATTAATTGTTTACATTTGACTAAGACATGACCATTTTGGCTGAATGTCGTCTTACACACTGTACTTTGCACCACCACTACATTGTAAATAAAAGTGCATTGTTGTTTTTTAGGACAGCTTGATAGTTTAAAGTGAGCTTCTACCTTTAAATGAATTAAGATTTTACTAAGGGCTTTTTAACTGAATCTTTTTCAAACAATGTTTTACCTCAAGTGTTTTGTACTTTACTTTTTTTGACAATCTATGATGTCTATGGAGTTGTACTTTGTATTAATTTGTTACACTAGCCCAGTAAAAAAATAAATACATTTGAATTGTACTGACACATGTGTTGTCTCTTCTGTATTAAATTAATAGAATATAAATAATATCACATTGAAATAAACTCTCAGGAGACTAATGTGGCTTATTGTTGAGAAAAGGAACACATTTATGGTGATGGAGTTGGCAAAGGTTGATGGAGGTTCATGATTTGGTTGAGTTCACCTGGATTTTATTCAGTTTGAGATTTCCAGTCTCACCATCTCACAATAGGATTGCATGATATATAATGCAGAAAGAAAATCACCTTATGTAAATCAATAAAGAGTGTGGTAAGTATGTGATAAAGACTGCTTATGAAAATATTTTTTGTCTACCCACTGTTCTTAATGTTTTGAAAATTAACTGTTTACAACATGCAAAACAGTTTTTATCACTGATCACAAACTTATCTTGAGGTTCACTGACAGCTGCCTGAAGCTCCACCTGGCACTTTATTTATTTATTTAACCTTTATTTAACCATATATATATATATATATATATATATATATATATATATATATATATATATGTATAAAGAGACAGAGAGAGAGAGAGAGAGAGAGAGAGAGAGAGAGAGAGAGAGAGAGAGAGATTGTATAAAAGATCTTATATACAGTCTATGGTCCTGGCCAAGACAGCAGCACGTTCAACAGTAAACACATGCAGTCATCAAACACATAAACAAGACTTGAATACATAAGAAAAAAAGTCACAATTCCAGACAGCCAATTCCGCTTGGATTGCCCACATAAAGGTAAAGCACATCAGTCAAAACATCAAAACAACCTGAACACCTTTTTTTCCCAGTTCAATTCTTACTTTTGGGGCAAACAATGACAAAAGCTCCTGTTACTGAAGATTATGAGGTCCTGCACTCTTCTGATTGATGTAGGTCAGAAGATAGGATGGGAGCAGATTAAGAATACATTTATATATAAGAATACACCAATAATTGAGTTTGAAGACCATCCAACACAAGCATACAACAAACAATGATGAGTAAGACATTTAAAAGTAGTGATGAACCTCGGAGCTCCATGATACACAGTATCAAGAGACTGCAAGCTTTGGGAGGAGGTGTGTATATACAGAACATCACCGTAGTCCAGCGCAGACATAAATGTTGCCGAAACCAACTTTTTATTCTAAAAGAAATGCGAAGCCATGATACCCAGGCCTCCATCTAACAGGTAAAATACACTTGCTGATTTAGAAAGTATTGATTATATAAGTTTGAACAATTCCCTAACCAACTGCAATACAGTACAATTTTTGCCATGTGTTTATTACAAATGTTCCCTAAAGCAGCAAGCTTTTAGCATAAATGTAGTCTATACTAATATTCTGGTATACAGTCAAAATGTAAATGAAAGAAAACCATAAAAAAACTCCCACTATTACTAAATTAATACTGAAAAAAATATCAAAATACTTGCAAATGCATAACAATAACAAAAAAAGGAAAAAAATGAAAGCAAGTAATTTTCCCGTTAAAACGGAGTGAATAAAATATACGTTTGAGGTGCATTTTGAATCCGTGAGCTGTGAAAGAAAAACGCCCCTGCAGTATTCTTTAAAATATGACACATCAGAATAACTCATTCTTTAATTACAATCAACAATAATCCGGAAACTGAGTATGCATTTCCCCTAACTATCAACTAGTTTAGAAACCGTTTTATTTTGAAAGGATATACCGGAAGTGATTTTGTTATTATCGTTAGCCAGTGAAAGCTAACGGCTAAACAGTCGTAGTTCTTCGCTGTAATTGAGTAGTTTAACTGCCAAATTAACTAATTTCTCAATTAGTAGGGACGCGTCCTTGTTTGACAAACAGCTGGACCCTCAAAAATGGGTTATTGTTAGCGTCTGTTCGGTAAGAATTTAATCTTTAAACAAGTGTTTTTCTGTCGGTTTCACAAGTTAGCCAGAGCTAGCCGACACTCTGGTCCGAGTGGAAATAACATCCGAGTTTCCTGAACGAGGTACATATTTAAAAATATGTCCTGACATGTGTGGAGGGAGTTAAGATGAGTCTGCAAGGTTAACTTTGTATTTTATGTCATTAATCTTGACGTTTGAGTGAAAGTGACTCTCCTGTATGTTTTTGTGTATATCTCAGATCCTGAAGGTGTCACCACCGCTTTGGCTGCCCTCCTCAGCCTCTCCTGGTGTGGGGGACTCTGTGGCAGGACTCAGTCTCTCCTGGTGTGGAGGGCTCCTCTGTGGATTTCCTCCTCAGCCTCTCCTGGTGTGGGGGACTTGTCTGTGGCTGTATTCAGTCTCTCCTGGTGTGGGGGACCCCTCTGTGGCTGTATTCAGTCTCCCCTACTGTAGGTGACTCCGGCCCTGTGCCAGCTCTCTGTAGATGAAGATGTCCCTGGCCCAGCGGGTGCTCCTCTCCTGGATCTTTGCCCTCATCTTCCTTATCATGCTGGTCCTCAAGCTGGACTCCAAGATTCACTGGAATTGGTTTCTCATCTTCCTCCCCGTCTGGACCTTTGACACCATCCTCATCCTCATGGTCATTGTGAAGATGGCCGGGCGCTGTAAGCCGGACTTTGACCCCAGGGATGGGGAGCAGGGTTGGAAGAGGAGGCTGTGGTATCTGCTAGCTCTGCTGTTGAAACTGACCTTCTGTCTGACACTCTGCTCACACCTGGAGAGGCTCATTGAGATGTGGGTCACCGTTGTGTGTGTGCCCCTGTGGGTGCTACTGGTCGGAGCGCTGGTGGAGCTGGGACACAGTGTTTTCCACTACAGGTGAAACTGAGCCAGAGGACTCTGCAAGACATTTCATCAAGGAAAGGAGAGAAAAATCTAGAGCATCTTTTTCTGTAAATGCTGGCTGAGTGGACCAGTATCTGTGTCTATAAAGACTTAATCAGGTGGATCAGGTATCAGCCCTTAAACATTTAACTGTTTCTTTGTCACAATCTTAATTCTGTACATCACAGTTTCTGCTCAAATGTCCTTTAAGTCGCAGGTTTCAGACTCAAAGACATTGAGTTGTTAAGAGTTCTGCTTTTTTGCCCAACAGATAGAGGATGTGAATTCTACCTTCATTCTCTCACCATACTCAGCTTGTTAAACATTCCCAAAGCTTTCTGCACACAGGCACAAATCTTCACAACAAATCTAGCTTTTATTTCTATTTAAAGATCCTGAATCAGACAGGTGTACTTGTTCTGGGGGGGAGTTTCCGGCGCTGGACGAACGGCAGCCCTTTAAAGGGATATCTTATATTCTGAGCATCAAACATTGACTAAATTCGGGTGTTGGCTGGTGATGAAAACGTATCTAATTTGCATTAGCTTGTGCTGTGTGTCACTGAACCATATATTTACCTGTTTGTGAAATCACTGTCAAAGCTAAAACATCTTTAAAACACTACAAACCTTCATACATGTCAGCGCACATATAAGATATCACATTTGTTTGTTGTAACCAGATTGGCATTTGACAACATCTAGAGGGAGGACTATAGGAAGGAATAAGCTGATTATTTTTTCTGCACAAGTGTCAAACAGTGGTGTTAAAGATACAGTGTGTAGAAATGTTTTTTTTTTTTATATGTATCAGTCAGATTCTCGGTGGAAACACTCCTATTCTCACAAGGTCCTGTGATGCATGAGTATGATGACTTCTCATAAACCATCAAAAACGTCTATTAAAATTATTCCTTTGCACACAACAGCCACTCTTGTCTTCGCATTTCCTACGGCCACTCACTAAGTAAAAAAAAACAAAGTAGGGCACTGGTTTGGCTGTTCTAACACTAAACCTAACCCCCTACATACATGGAATATTGTAGATCATTTCTAACCAGTATGTTATGCTAATTTCTGTGAAGTACCACACACTGGCTCTTAAGAAAATGAGCCGCAGATCATATTTATGACTCGTTTATTTGAAGCAAATGTATGTGCGGTGTTAGAGAAGTAGTCTCATGATGCAGGGGGCTTTTGAATCTGGTTTTAACCGCGATTAAGAGCTTCTATTCAGTGACTGGAAATGAGCAGCCAGGCTTAGTCAAACTTTTTCTCTACTTTCTTGGTGTTTGGTGTTAGAAAAGGGTTGTCAGAGTGCAGATTTGTTTTTCTATGTCATGACTTATCAAACCTATGATCACATCAGTATAAAAATACGACAAATGAGAAGAAACAGATCAGTTTAAAAGTCATCAATACCTGTACCCAAGTACTGAATATTTTAACATCCTACACCTCTGCACAAGCAGCATTTACATCCTGACAGGTTTGTTTGGGGGGTTTTTTTGCGTTAAATGAAAACTACAAAGTTTAAGTACTAGACAGCAGCCGCATAGCTGAGCTGACATGAGAGAAACTGACACCAATTCAGTATTTTTGAACCATTTATTGAGAGGTTCTGATCAGAGTATAAATCACACTACCAAGTCTTATTTTAGGAAATAAAATGTATTTACAGCAAATTTTTTTCACATACATTGGTTTCAAATAAAAACAGACAGTAAATGATATAAATAAGTTCTATGGAAAATAAAACTTGTCTTACAAAAAATATATGCAATTTCTGTATACATTTTCTCACATTGGTGCTAATAACATCTATACTGTACAGTTTTGGTACATACAGTATCATATACAGCCCTGTGTGAGTCAAACAACTTCCAGTCTGAAAACAACAACTTGCTCTGACGTTGGAGTGTTCGAATAACGAACCCCGTGATCTGAGGCGACGCGACAAAGGGGGCTTTAGTGTCAGCGCGGTGGCTTCCTGAAATATCAGATGCAGTGGAGGTGAGTATTTCCTATAGCGGGGAGCGTGTACGGTTGTTTTCAGATTGGCGAGTCCAGTACCTAAAATAGGTGCTTTAAGAGTGAAGCTAAGTAGTGCACAGGCACTGACACATGGGTCACATAACAGTTTATATAGAGCCTACGTACATTCGCTAACAAACGTGAAGTGAGCTACTTAGCTTACATTCTTAGGCACTGATAAAATACTGGAAGAGTGCGTCCTCTCCTCACTGCCTCACTGGGTGACGTTTGTGAGCAGAGAAAGAGAATGCACCTGCGCATCGGTTATTACAAATTAAAAGGTCCAGGTGATGTCTGGAGAAAGGATGCATCTTCGAGTACTTTGACAAAGCCTCAGCGGAAGTTGTACAGTAAAAAAAAGAAAAAAAAAGAAAGAAAAAAGAAGACTAGACATCTTGACATTCATATTAAGAAGTCTTTCTGTGTTTGGGGCATGTGTGTTTTAAGGGGCTGTTTCAAAGAGTGCTGCTGTGGCCGTGTGTCCTGTAGGGGTGTGGCAGGTTTCCCCTGCACCGAGTCCTTTACTTTTGGTCCTTTCGAGGGCACAAATGTCCGAGAATCAGAGCCGGGCTTCGAGGAGGAGCCTCTTTGAGAGTCACTGTGGTGGTGGTGGCTCTTTGGCCTATTGTCTGTTAAAGAGAGCGCCAGAGTTTGGTGAGCCTCCATGGGCTTGAAGAGGTCAAAGGTGATGAGTGTCCGTGGTGGTTTGTGTTCTGGTGGTGGAGCGGCACCAGAGGAAGGCTTCTTTTTCTCCTCTTTACTGTTCACATCTTTATCCTTTCTTCCTTCCTTTTTAATCTGCATGTTCACGGGTTTCGGAGCGCCCGTCTTTCCCTCTTCCCTTCCCGGCTTTGCGTGCGCGCTCGACGCGTTTCCATCCCTGTGCCCGCTCTTCTCCTTCTTTCCGTGTGAAGACTTGTGTTTATGAGAGCTGGTGTCTCGGGCCTCCTCTCTGTGAGACACTCCCTTCTCTTTATCGCTCCCTGGGTGCTCCTTCTCTCTTTTGACATGCGTTTGTGTCTTTGAGTCCCATTCCTTGGCCCACTTCTCGTCTCTCTGTGTGAGCAGGGAAGTCGGAGGCGCTCTGCTGCCCTCTTTTGTCCGTTCCTCTTCCTCTTTTTTTCTTATCTGCTGCACAGGCTGCACTGTTGCACTGCTCTCTCTGCCTCCCTCAGGCTTTACCTTCTCCTGTTCTTTCCCTCTGTCCTTTTCTCTATCCCTGTCTTTCCCTCTGTCCTTTTTTTCCCGCTCCTTCTCTTTACTCCTCTCCTTGTCTTTCTTCTCCTTCTCTTTCATCCTCTCCTTTTCATCCCTCTCCCTCTTTCCTTTATCCTTTTCCTTTTTGATTGGATGTGTGTTGTAAGTGCTTGTTATGCTATCTTTAGTTTTCTCTTTCACACCTTGACCTGGTATTATCTTCTGATGCCTCTCTTCTTCCTCCTCATCCTCCTTCCTATCTTGTTGTAGTGACTTCAAGGGTGTACTGTCCACCCCACCCTCCTCCTGACCCATCAGCTGCATCTCTACTCCTTCATCTTCCGCTCCTTTCCCCTCCTCTTTCTCCTTGTCCTCAGCTGAAGTGCTCAGCAGTGTGCTAGTGACCACATATTCATCTTTCTCCTGTTTGATGGCAGGTACCGACTGTGTTGTTGAGAAATCTTTCGCCTCGGCCGTTCTCTCTTGCTCTTCCCCCTTAAAAGTCTGTGCTAGAGTTTGTGGCTGAGCGCCCTCAGCGTCCTCATCCTCCTCTTTCGTCTCCAGCTGTACAACAGGGACACACTCCTTCTCTTGCTCTTCCTCCTCCCTTTTAGTACGAAGTGGGACTTCTCTTGGTACACACTTCTCCTCCTCCTCCTCCTCCTCCTCTTCCTCCTCCTCCTCCTTCTCCAGCTCATGTTGGTGATATTGTTTGAGTCTGATATGCCAGGCCAGACTGCAGACAGCAGATACAGTTTTGAACTGATGGACGACTCCTCTGGGGATGAAGTAGATGTCATCATGATAGAGTTGAATTCGGGCATATCGGATCCCCTCCCTCCTCAGCTGGTTCAGCTTAGCATCGTCGATCCACTGCACACACTGTGGAATAACAACATGGACACATGAAGTTCTTCGTTTACAGAAGAAAAGACAAGAAGTCATCCTCATGTTTCACGCGGAGTAGCGGTACTGATTTAGGAAACCGTTCAACTAATCACAAAGAGAAAACAGAAAGTTTTCTCCTCATAACTTGACATTTAAAGCACTTTAGAAAACGCTGAAGGCTGTTTACAGATCAAAAATTTATGAAGGACGTTAGTGAGGAGCTACAAACGGCAGACAAAATAATTATCATTCCTCTGTTTCTTTCTGACAACCTGACAAATGCCACACCGTTGTTTACTTTCCTTCTACTCTGTTCAACAGTTACTGAACATACGTGTCTCTTAAGCTGCTAGATGTTCCACTACCTACAGCAGCTTGTTGCCAACACTGGCTGTCTGAGATCATATAGTGCAGTGCAGCAGTATATCTGAGTTAGAGGGGAAGCAACATGAGCGAGAGCCAAGTCCTATCAGTAACAGGTGCTAACATGCAGAGCTACAGGCGACGCAAAAGGTGTTTAGGTGCGTTTTTTAATTACAACACCACAAAACTATTGTCGAAAACATAATCATCATCTTCATGGAACCTCAAAATAATCATCTCCAACTCCAAATTACCAAGTGTGGAGCTGCTCACAAAGATCTGGGTCTAAAGCTTCTGGAAAGTACAGAGGGTCTCTGTGGGCTGAATGTAACTCATGGGTAACTTTAAGGATGCTTGGATCCCTTCGTTTGAGAGGCAGAAAAAAAGCAGCATGGCGGCATAAACTGCTGTGTCTTGCTGTGATGAATGTACCCACCTGAGACAGAGGTGGTTCATGAAGGTCCAGCTGCAGCCTCATGACCACATCTGGGAAATCTCCAGCGTGGAAACACACAACATCTTTGGTGATCCGGGCGGGAGTCTCACTGCTGTAAGGAAACACAAAAAAATCCTCTTACATGAAGCATTTTATTCCCACTGTTAAGATCCCACCCTGGTTCATGTGCTTGCCGAGAAACAACATTGTAGTCGCCCTAACAGAGTTACCTTTAATATGTTCAAGTGTCTCAAACAGCAGAAAATGTTCTCTCTCCCAGTTTTCTTTCCAATACAGCTGATGTTTTAGTATGTGTGTAAAGTATATGATGGGGTAAAGAAACATCGCCATGCACTCACTCCTCTCCACAGCGCACGGCCTTCAGCACACCAACAGCAGCAGTAGTTTGTCTTTCAAACCCCTGACCGATGTGGTCAGCATGGGCTCTCGTCCGATCCTCAAACAGCATCTCCCGGGGCTCGCTGGCTCTGGGTAAATACTGTAGGTTCTTTATTTCGTTCGTGGACCTAAAAAACATGCATTCACAGCAGTCAGTAAGTGAGCAGCGGTGGTAAAACACCTGTTCATGCAGATGAGCTTCAACGTTGAGCTGGAAGTGATTCACTTCTCCAGTGAATCCTTTAAAGTCTTATTCAAGCCTTATTAGACATAACAGCTGAAGAGAGACCTGAAATGTAGGAGCAGAGCCAGGTTGGATGCAGCTAAAGGTCAAGACCGGATATCAAGCCAGCAACCGCTGTGACGGGGAATGTAGCGTCTATATGTGGGGCACCGAGACTGCTGGGCCATTAGAGCCCTGAACCTTTTTTTAGCTCCTCTGAGGAGTTTCTCCACATTTGTGAAATAAACTGAAATTCATTTTGATTCATTTTTATGATATCCAACAGAGAAAAAAAGAAAAAACTCAGTGAAAAGATTGGAAATTTTAAAAATCCTGATTTTTAAAGTTTGAAACCAGTGTGAGGAGGTTTATGTGAGCTGAGCAGCTGAGGAATCAGTCCTGCTAAGAGCTGAACGTCCCTGACAGGAGCTTTAATGAAAATACTCGTTCAGATTAGCATACCTGTGCACCATCAGACATTTGTGGATAATAATGTGTCGACTCACCTTTTCCTTTTGAAGGGCGATTTTGGCATGTCGGCCATCGGGATCATCTGTTCTCCAGGTCTGACCCACATGATGGGGCCATCGTCGCTCTCAGTGGGGCTCTGCAGCCGCAGACTGGAGAAAGTTCCCCAAGGGAGGGTCCGCTATATTAACAGAGTGTAAAAACTCTTTGTTAACCGATGGACTATCACCTTACAGAAAGACACCTGAGACAGGCATAAACAGCTCACAACGCTCTCACTCCAACCTACCTCGAGAAAGGGAGACTCCTCTAACATGTTGATGAACTCTGGGAAGTAGTCGCCGACCTCTTCGTCCACAGCCCCAACCAGACTGACTTGCCGCATGGCCCCGGCCCGGTATGTTCCCTGGGAGTATGTCCGCTTCACCTGCAGGAGAGACAACACAGAAGAAAGGTCAAAGTCAGCAGGTTTCTGAGTGTTTACACCTTGACAGATCCCAGACCAAGCCTCCTATCTGCCCCGCTGTCAGTTCACAGACACGTTTCTGTAAAATATGTTGTGCAGCTTCTATACATATTTTTAAGCTAGAAGCAATCGTTAGGAACAACAGCAGCATCTACTTAATATTCAAAAAGAACCTAAACACAAAGATTTGCGTTTTAGTGAAACTCAAGACTCTTAACAGACATCAGGAAAATCAAGACATTGTTGCTCTGAAGAATGGAAAACTGCCAAAGAAAGAAAGAAAAAAGGAGGAGACAAATTACTGAAATATTTTGGTCCTGTGAATTTCATAAGGAAATCCTGAGCAAAGGAACGTGTAACCAACAGGGGCGCCCCAGTGAAAGAGCATGAGATGACTCATCTACCAAAGACCTCTCAGACAACTGAGACTTCCTTTATACTTTTCAGTAAGCAGTAAAGTAAAATAACCGCATTTCAGAAAAGTATATGTAAGGGGAATCATATCACATACATTTTTACACCCTAGCAGTTCTAGCTGGTACCCCTGCTAAAAAAATCTATGTGATATTATTATGGCTCAGTTAGGGATGGGAATCGAGAACAGGTTCCAAATGGTTCAATCCATCAGCATCATGTACATTTTATCTTAACGATTCCCTTAATGATTCCTTTCTTCCAGGGGTGCCTTGAAAAACGGTCTCAGAAGATCCAGTCTACGCAAACGGGAACACAGACAGAGAAAGAAACATGGCGGACGGCACGAAAAGTAGGCAGAAACGAGCTAATGCATGGCTTAGTTTTACTAAGACAGACGATAACAGTGCAACGTTTGTCGAGCACAGATAACACCAGCAGCAACGTGCTTAAACATTTGTCAACGGGGCACGGCATCAAATATAAGGAGTCACATGTATTTAATGCTCTCAGACGGTCGTCAGCCGCTGCTGCCCCGTCTCAGCACAGCATTAAAGGTATTTATGTTAGAGTGACCATACGTCCTCTTTAACTCGGACATGTCCTTTTTTGGGGGGCTGTCCGGGAGGAGTTTATAAAATCCTTCAAATGTCCCGAAGGTGTATCCATTGATTATAAAACAGCGCATCAGTGCTCCCTGCAGCTCTGCCCCTCCACTCACTTCTAAAGCCACTGATGCGACGCACACATGCACTGTCTTTGGGAATTCAGAGTGATATGTGTTTAACTGAGTTAGAAGCACATAAAAAACCCTCGACTCGACAAAAAAAAAAAAAAAAACCCTCAAAAGTCTGCCCCGTAGTGTCCTCTTGTTGGGAATTCAGAGTATGGGCACCCTAACGTATGCACAGTGCCGTACAAACAGCATTTTTCTCTGATTATTTTTAGACTCTCACTGAAGGTGGCATACATCTTTTTCTGTTATCAGAGACTCAGTAAATGTTTGAGTTAAAAATGAAAACCTAGTCTACTTGTTTTTTAAACAAAGAAACACATTGACAAGGGAATCGTTAAAGGATTGAATCGATAAGCAGAATCAATAATGGCATCGATAACGATAAAATCTTATCAATTCGCATCCCTAGGCTCAGTGGATCGCTGTGGACTGCTGAAAGACAGAGTGATTGGTAAACTGTCAAACTGATAAATACAGAAGTAAATCTTCATTCATGTGAGTGCGCACAAATGTTCATCCTTGAGGTGTAATTTTTACGTGCACAGTGGTGTGCTTTATTTACTCTGACACATCACACAAAGCAGGTTTCAGTTTCACTGAATATTCAAGTGTAATATCTGATGATGGTGTGCTCAGGGCACCTCAGTGGGTTAATTGAGGTGCTTTTCTGGATTATGACTGATTGATGTCTGTGGGTCAAATTTTTCATTTTGGACATGTCAGGAAAATCAACTGAAATAAAAACAAGATTATGCCTCTCCCAGCGTTCAGAACTGAACTAAGATACACCCTTTTTTCTAGATGTTTTATTCCTTTCTGTTTACTATGTCAACACTTCAAATAAATAAACCCCCCAGACACTTAAATGTGCTGCAGCGTAACACTGGTTGATCTAAACTGGTGGTGATTTCAGATTGAGAACTGAAGCCCCCAGGGTCTGTGACACTCAACCTACAGGTAAAACTGTGCCGCTGCGCATATTTCAGGCACTTTACACAAGCGACACAATAAACTCCATGTCAGGGTTTTTCCTTCGGAGGAGGCGAAGCACCACAGTAGGAGTAATGAGTCTGCTCGCAGTCAAAGCTTTGAAGTCTGTGTTACCTAATTCAACAAATTCAAATGTTTTTTGGTGCTTCTCAGTTTCTGAAAAACAGATTTTTTTAAAGTTATAAGAATGTTCATAAGACATCAATGAGTTAGTCTTTAAAGATATTTTAAAAAGCCACCAACACAGAAAATAGACCCCCTATCTTATTTCTTTTAATCCTTTAGTCCTATCTTTTATCTTTGATTTATCTTTCCCTTCATCAAAAATCCCACAACAGCTATGAATGCATGACTGATGAAATGATTTAATGTTATCCTGGAGCAAAAAATACAAGAAATATTGATCTATGCGGGAAAAACCCTCCTTGTAAGCTATTTTTTGTGTTTTTTTTTGGGGGGGGAGGGGGCTCGATTCAGATGCATCATGCCAGTTTCCATGCCAGAAGTCATAATCTCAGAGGGGTTGACCAATATCAGTTTTTCAGCGGCCGATGCTGATATAGTAAGCTGATATCACTTTTTTGTGTTTTCTGCATTTGACAAAATATAACAACATAATTCTAACTAAAGAGGAAAAGGTTGAACGGGAGTCAATATTTTTTAGGTAAGTGCAGATTTTTAATATTTGTCTCAGTGAAATATTGTCTCTAAAGACTTTGGGATTTCTGCTTTTTTTAAATTATCAAGAAAGAAAAAACAGCAAGGGCTGAATTAGGGTCAAAACAAATAAAAAGTCATGTATTGATTCAATTCATAAATCAACGCACTATTGTCATATGTGGTGATCTTGGGTAGAAATGAGTTTGATGGAATATACAGATTTCAGAACAGAGCTGACATTTCTGTTAGAGGCAACATTAAACTCTAAACACCAAAACAGAGCTTATACTGAACACCAGCCAGCCTGGATTTGATACGCTGTCACTGGAGATTAGAAAAATGTGAATTCATTCAGAAAAGATAGTGGTGCTATCCACCATGTGAGGGCCGAAGCTGGTATGATGCTAATTTGGTTAAAATGCAATTAATCTAATCAGCCAACCTTGTTTTATAAACCAGAAATCAAGTCGTCTTCTCTGCCTCCTCAAATACTGTTGAGAAGCAGCAAAGTAGACATGACTTCTGGTACCTTTCAGGAGGTCATAAAAATATACCAGTGCTAGCAGAGAGTGCAGTGTTAATTAGGACTGGTATGTTTGTACTTTCACATCAGGGGCTGTGAGCTGAGCTGCCCCTCATATAAACTAAACTTCTGCCTCAGTGGGAGAAGCTTAGTTTAAACGTTTCATAAGAAACATTTAAAAAAAAAAAACCCAAAAAAAACAGTTCCTCAACTCTCTGCGATCGGTCAACAGGAAGTTTGATTTTCTTATCTAGGTGAGAGTGCTCCCAAACACCTGACAAAGTCTCTCTTAGCTCAGAGAAGAGCACAAAAAGGAAACATTAGTGAATCCTGGAAATTGGACAAGAACAACGAAAATTGGAAACAATCAAAAATGAGAGAAAATTGGTTCACATTTCATTTCCTGCATGAAACCAAATATTTTCTACAAAGAACTAAGATGTCCTTCTAGCTCTCAAATTACTAAATATAAAAGGCTTTATGGCATTTCTCCTGCATGTTATTGTTCATATTTTACAAAAGACTACAAAACCCTCACGCTATCTAAGAATGTCAAAAATCATGATCACTTTGACGCTGGTTAGGTAACATACCTGCACACCTTTTTAAATGATGAAGGTTCAGGTATCTGATCAGTGTGAGAAAGGAAAAACAGCATCGCAACATCTTTTTAATCTTAAATCCTGAAAGCCTGAATGATTACTAACTAATGATTAACACAGTGTTTCCCATTTGAAGGTGAAAGGCAATAAGGCTGAAGGTGGCAAGTGTTGCCAAAAATTCCAATGAGGAGTTTGGTGTGTGAGAATGAGAGTCAATGTTAAATTTAGACCTCAATTTATGTCACATATATTGAAAGATACGGCATTTGAAGCTGGATTATGTCACACATAATTATGTCTCTTTTGATTTGACAGTTTTTGGTGGTACGATTTATAGTGGGGGAGGTCCAGCGTTTGGTGTTCCCTGCACACAAAACTATGTTTGCAGTCAAAACTTCAGTTATAGTAATGCAAACTCTAGTGCTCTTTGCTGTCAAATCAGCTCTCATCTGCTCTCAAGTTTTCTTTACCAGAGTAGTTTTCTCTTGGACAGTGATTAGATTTTGGTTTAATACAAAACGTGGCTTGACCTGGTTACTTTAGTTGAAGGAGAGGATGTCCACAAGCTATCCTTTTATGAACACACACTGCCAACACAGACTAATTTTTATAAAGATTAATTAAGAATTATATTATCAAAAAACTTGTATTAGTTTGAGCAGTTTGCAGTTTCTCTTCTGGTCTACGGATATAAAAATCCCATTGATCTCTTTTCTCATATGACAGGATTTTAGATTAGGACCGAGCGTTTCATTGTTTGAAATTACCGAGGGAATTATTTCAAACCAATTCTGTGTGAAAGAAAAGCAATCAAAACTTCTGTTTGTTAAACTCAAGCAAAGCAAACACCTATAAAGATGACTAAAACTTCCTGCAGATGTCCTCATGAAGCAGTAAAAAGATGTTGTTCATTATAGTGCTGGGACGGCCACTTGAGTTCGTTTATAACTTTAATGCTTGGGGTGCTGAAATGACTCAAAACTAACAAATAAAAAGAAACACATTATCACTAGTTTGATGTCCACACTGCGGAGTCTTTAACTAAAGAATCACCTTATATGAAAGCTGAGCTCAAGCTGAAGGTGCAACAAACACCAAAAGGTCTCAAAGTTTTTCAGTAAACCATTCTATAAAGTGACACAGTGTGACACGCGGCATTAATGCGCACTGCTCCATAAGACGACCTGAGAGCTGAAACTCTTTGAATCCAGGAAAGAAAAGCTCGACTCAGTGACGGTCTGGACAAAGACTGACACACACAAAAAAACTTCAAAACGCAGAGAGAGAGAGAGAGAGAGAGCTGTTAATGCGATGGTTCGGCTTGCCAGTCTGTGCTGCTCACACCCTCAGACTCTTCACACAATCAAAGTGGACATTTCAGCATCCTCGAACCCGCTGAGACTACTCACCAACTGTCCACTTGAAAAAGGATTTGAGTTATGTTTAAAGACAATATCATACCTGAGAGTGGAAGTTGGCCATGGTTGTTGTCTCTATGTCCTTCTTCCCGAGCACCTCCATCTTTACCGGTGCGTTAGGAAACTTGTAGGAGAAGTAGTCCAGGAAGTCTGGGAGGTAGGAAGCAGCTCCATGAATGATACCCATCACAAAACACGCCGCCTGGGCGTCATCCTCGCTAAACGACAGTGTCACAAACTCCTGGGCGAAACGCTGCATCTCAGCTGGAGACAGACAGGAGAGCTGCTCGCTGTAGGCGTGCGCCACAGATGCGCCTCCGTTGGCCTGCTGCTCGATGTGGATCAGCCGGCCGAACTCCAGACCAGGGAGGCTCGGTGGCGGGACACAGTGCAGCGGGGAGTTGTAGCCGAGCCTTTCCCTGACCATGGAGGTGATGGAGGCAGAGGTAGCAGCAGGATCCTGGTGATGCTGTGTTGGTGTTGCAGTGTGGAGTAAACTGCTGCTGTTGTTGTTACCATTAATCCGACCGATGAACTCAGGCAGGCCCAGAGACACCCCTGAACACACTGTCTGACACGAGCGGTGATACATTTTGGGTCGACTGTGTCTGTCCTTCATTCGCTCGCCGTCTTTGTGCTTCTTTTTCTTTTTCTTCTTCAGCTTCTTCAGCAAGAGGTCTTCCTCTGAACCAACTTTGGGCTTCTCCTTCGAGTCTGTAAAAGACATGTAAAACATATTTTGACAGAGAACAAAGGAAACAGACGCAGTCATATAAGTGAAGTTACGAAGAAATATGAACACAAATTTGAATGTAATTTTATATGAATTCTAAAAGTTTGTAATTTGGAAAAAAAATCATATTATGGTCAGTAGAGATACATTTCACTATTTTTTTCTGAAATTTTTATAATATTTGTTTGACTTTATATGCTTTAATTCAGTGTTTTTCAACCACTAGTGTGCCATGACAGATAGTCAGGTGTACCCTGAGAAATTATCCAATTTCACTTTAGTATCTGCAAATAATATGCACTTCTCAAGTGTCTGTGCTGTCATCTACAGTCCCAGGTTTCACACTGGGTGAGTATGAATAAATTGAGAGACTATATTGTCATTGTGTAAACTGTATTTGGGGCTACTGAGTGTCATTTAGTAAAATTTTGGATTGGTTGTGTGCCTCCTGATTTTTTAATGAAAAAATGTACCATGGCTGAAAAAAGGTTGAAAAACACTGCCTTAATTTCCACAGTAATGTGTTTAATTTAGTAAGTTTAGAGAAGTCAAACTTGGTTGGTGATATGAAGGCAAAACGTGTTTTATCTCTTAATTAATAATAACAATTAACTTTTGGCTCCACACGGTTAATAAAATATTTCATTCCTACCTTTCTGCGTGGAAATCACCTCTCCGTTTTCTCGTGCGATGTCATGTAAAGGTGGCACTCTGTGATTTTTCCACTCTTTACTCTTTTCCTTTTTCTTCTCTTTTTCTTTCTCCTTCACATGGTGATCTGTGGAGAGGAGAAAGAGGGAGGTGAAACTCAGCTACCTCCACGCTGAGGAAAATAACTAAAGAACAAACATTTCCACGTGTATTTTACTATCTGGGCCTAATAAACACTGGGGCCTTATGTTGGAGAAATTATGTCATAATTTAACAAAGCTTTTTGTTTTAGTAAAAGCTTAGTTGAAGTTTAAAATGTGAAGATAAAGCAGTGAAACAGAGTGTTGTAGTGAGTAGTGGTGGCGGGCTGTGCAGTGCTGTCCTCACCTCTCTGGAGCGTTTTCATGTCGCCGTTCTCGGTCTTTGTATGGCAGCTAGCTGGGCTCACTCTCTCCACACTCACGGCGGAGCTCTGCTGCGCCTCGCTGCTTTTCTCCTTCTCTTTGTGTCGTTTCTCCTTTGCCTTTTTCATTTTCTGAGGCGAGGCGAGGAAGTTGCTGATTTTGAAGATTTTCCGTGCGGGAGTCACTGACACCGCGGCGGCGGCAGAGTGGCTCGCCTTGGCCGGGCCGAAACTCCATTTCGCTGGGCTGCCACAACTCTGCTTCCCGTTGTGTTTTTCCCCTGCGCACACCTCTCCGTTCAGTTTCCTGTGCTTCTGGCCCTTCTCCTCCACCCGGACCTTCTTAGGGGGCGGCGGGTAAATGTCGCTGGAAGACTGCGGTCGGCTCTCCGGTGGCCGCTTGGCTATCAAGGGTTTAGGGGAATTTGTTTTGCTGTTTGCTGCGAAATGCATGGAGTCCACGGCCTCAGCCATCTTGGAAGTTTCTATTTTTTACGGTCATACGTAACTGGTGCGCGAGAGCTAGGCCAGGGGCGGGGTTTAGCGAGTCACGTACGACGCACGGGGGAGGGAGAGGAGAGCAGCGGAGGGAGGGAGGGAGCAGACAAGATTGTTTACAGCCTGCAGGACAAGAAACTGCACAGTGCTGCCATATCAGAGCAGACACACCGACGACAGTGTAAACGAACACGCAACTGAGCACACCCACTGACACTACAAACTGCAGTGGACTGGGTGATATATCACCTTTCATCACAATTATTTTTGATTTTATTAACCTTTTGAGCCCCAGTAGCCCCTCGGTATCCTTTGCACCTCATGTCTGTGACTATCTTATGCAGGTGCTCATCCCTGCAGACTTTCGGGGATGCTCGGACCCTGTGGTTTGGACCTTGTGCATCCTACACTCACTAATTTCCCTTCTGCCAATACATTAACTTTGGGGACAAAATGTTCACTTGTTGCCTAACATACCCTATATCTACCTTCAGGGGCCACTGTCACAGTATAATCAGTCTTATTCACTCCACTCGAGGGTCATAATGTCACGGCTGATCGGTGCACGTCACAGTCCTCATAGTAGGGTTAAGCAATCAGGATATGTAATGAATTTGTGTACTAGAAGTGTTCTTACTCTGTCACAAGGTGGCGGTATAGTAGTGGTTATCTAATGCAGTGAATGATCCTGTGACAAACATCTCTCTCACTGACCTCTCAAATGTTTCACAATAAGATCTGGTTAGTCCCTGTATTTTATTGCATCCAAGATTTTCCAAAGCATTATTCAATAAATGTCACTATTACATAACTGGACTCTGAATAGATTGCAGCCTTCATGCACACGCTCATTTTGTATAAAAGTACTCAGTTTGTTATGATAGAAAATTGAAACAAACCCAGAGAAGATGTTGAAAGTTACAATTCTCTCATTTGTTCTGTCAAGTAGTCCTCTCTCCCTCAGTCCGCACCCATTTACTTGTTATTTTTCTCCACATTTGCAGCCGCAGAAGAGCTCTTAATCTGCCAGAGTGATGGGGTGGATACACATTGTTCTTCAGCACTGACATCAGCTTACTTTCAAATGATAATTGTTTACTTCTTATGATCCAAATTGCTCTTTGGGTTGGACTCGGGTCTGGCGATTTAACAATTTCTTGGAGGAAAACAGTTTGCAGGGTAATAAAGTGAAAGTTATTTTAGGTTACCATAACACCAGGAGCAGAGACGGGGAGAATAATCTTATAGCACGTTAACAAGTCTAGCTTTTTTATTGTTAGTTTCTGCCATGTGTGTTTGACATTTATCTCAATTCCACGGTACAAAAAAGTACAAAGAATATATAATAATACAAAAGAAACAAGTCTAATTCAACAGAAGAAAAGTGATAAATATATATTTATATATATGTATATGTCTTGCGTGTCTAAGTATATACACAGTAGCATGCACATGCATACCTTACTACCAGAAAAATGCTTTATATGTTAACATATAACTTAAAGTGCAGGTGGTGGGGGCAGTTGGCAATAATGTATTGGTGGGAACAGTATGTGTAAGCAATAAAGTAAACAGTAGTTGCGTTGCAGCGCAAGAGACCTATATATTGTGAAATACAAAACCAGCTAATTCTTTAACAGCAGCAGAGTTTGTCATGGAAAACACAGAGCAGAAATGCTGTACAAAGTAACTGAAAAGTACTCTAGAGTTCATACAATTTTAAGGTATAGAATGTCAATTTTGTTTCACTTTGTACTTCGTTGTAGGTAGAATAGAATTCACAATATGGTGAAATTGCAAATTAACAGAGAAAATATAACAAGCTTTGACTATTGTTTAAATTGGATAAGAAATACTAGCAATATTCTTAATGGTAAACCTTTTGAAACATGAATGTAACTATTACTCAGGTAAAATTCTGAATATTTCCTTTCACTCATGTTCTCCAGTAAGTTGAAATAATGTTTTCATTCACATGAAATGCCCTCAAACGTCCTAACTGGCACAAAACCTGCACAGTGAAAATAAGTAGGTCAACAAAATATGAGTTTTCACTATAAACCTGGTCACACCCCACTGTGCATTTACATCCAGTCCATCCACATGTTTTTGATTTAGCGCAGCTGGGACAGACGCAGACTGCAGCCCAAATCCAATCAGTAAAAACATCAGGGTATAATATAAAAAAAGAAACCTAATCTTGAATTCTTTTACAGCAAGTGTCTCTGAAGAGTATTTGCCATAGGACCTAAAAAAACAGAAAACACTCAAACACAGCAGCAGATAACTATTTCCACTCTGTGTCTGTGTTGCATATTTTTCATAGTGAAAATGATTTTAAGATTTCAATTTCAAACAAAGTCTTAATAAAGTCCAGGTTTTGGATTTAACAGAAATTGACCTGACAATATCTGTGTTGGCTGGCTGAGGAAATCCAGCCCAGATGTTAGACACACTTGGTTGCTTCATTTTTATAAATCACCGTCAATCAATAGGCTGATAAAAATCATTCTCATGGCAAAGGAATGTATCAGTGACAGAAGATTTAAACTATTGCTGGGACTGACAATGTGTGCATAATGTACATTTGTGTGTGTGGGGTAGTGAAAAGGGGACAAAGGATGATCCTTGAATAAATACATATTGCACAATGAGAATGAGGCAGGTGTTGTATCCTCTAACTGTGTCCTCCACTAAGTTTATTTATGTTTATTGCTCTCAGTATGCACACAGTAGGAATATAGTGTTTAGATTGTAACTTCAGACGGACTGACTGTGGTGTTATAACAGGCTGGTTGGTGCTGGAGCAGGAAAGTCTTTGGGTTCACTCCAGTCCCGTTGGAAATGGGACACTTATGCAAATAACAGACATGACCGACGACATTGGCTCCTCTGCCCAAAGCAGATGGAGATGAAGTGCTCTGCCAGGAAGCCCAGGCAGCAGAACTGGACTGCTGGTTAGATGTTTGTACTGGTCTGTATGGAAAAAAGCACTGTGTTTACATGATCTGGGACAGAGAGTAGGCTTAGCCAGCTCACCGGGGGAATTCAAAACACTGAATCCCGAGAGGGCACCCTGAGGAGAAAAAAAACCTGCTGTCCATAAATGGGTAAAGTCAGGAGTTGGAGGTATTGTTGAGAACAATAGAGCCGCTCGTGGTGCCCTGCTGCCATCCAGAACATATTTAGTCATTTAGACTGGGTGGCAGCAAACAAATCAACCAAGTCAACTTCTATTAAATGTAACTGGTTAGTTTGTTGTGGCGAAGAAGTGACCTTTTCGGTTGTGCTGCAAAGATTTGGCTCTGATAATAAATCATTACAGCCTGGTGTGCAGACAGGAGACTCTTGAGAGTGTAAACATTTCTCTAATACTATTTGTAGGCTGATGAAGTGCTGAGTGGATTGTGAAAGGGGAAAGGATACTTGTTCCTGCTTTTTATCCTGCCAGCAGCTGCCAAATGTCAAATGAGCTCATCGCTGCGTTAGTACAGAGAGAGAAGAAGGGGTCAACCCTGCTTACTAGAGTCATCCAAGGCGTGATAGAGATAGATAATACAGATTCACCATCTTTACATGAAGGGGCAGAAAAACCTTTATACTGTCTGTTTGAATTATTTCTCAGCCACAGAGGCAGCACATTTGCGCAAACAGAAGCCTGTAAAGATGTTCTGCTCCATGTGACGTATTGTTTTTACAGACTTCACAATAAACTTGCAGGCCAGTGCTGTGACTGAGAGCTGTTTTCCTCTACCTTAACTCTTTTTTCTTTGCTCACCTAATGTTTCCCACAGTCATCACGCCAAACAAATGGTTTCCTTTGTCATAATAAAAGCCCAGCTGAGAAATCTCTTCGACTTTGTGCGAAAGTAGTATCAGGCCAATACGGAGAACCAAAAAAGCACCAGGGTCGTGTTTCTTTGCGGTCTAAAAACAAGACAACTCAAGTTGTCTAACAAGGGTTTAAAGCAGACAAATATCTGAACAGGCTGGCATTGTGTGCTATCACTCATATTTCATATCCTGTGGTGGGACTGACATTTACACCCCCAGTCTGAGAAACTGAAGCCTCATTATCTAAACTCCCTGCCAAGCAGATGCCTCATTTAGCTCATGTGATTGTGTTTCCTCCTTTTTTCTAACTATATGCAGGCACAGTGAGTGAGCCCAAAACAAAAACCTGGATGAGCGGAGCGTGTGCATGCAGTAAGATCGCCTCACCACTCCCAGCACTTGTTAAGGATTAGTACTGTCTGCATTAAATTCAAAAACACATGAGAAATGCCTCTCCCCCGACATTGCATTTGAATGAAGCAGCCTTGGACAAATCGGACATTCCTGACTTTCATTACTTCGAGGCTGTAGTAAACCGAACAGCTTACAGCAAAATGAAATACAGTATGTCCTCGAAAATCTGCCTAAAAGACTCTTGGCCCCGACACAGCAGCTGATATTTTGCCTCAGATTTCGATCTGTCTTATCTGTCACTCACATGCTCGCTGACCCCACAAAGGAAACACGGGGAGTTCCTGCCAAAGCGACTGTGACACACATGTGAATTCACGGGCGTGATGCTGCAGTATTGAGAGATGATGCATCCCAAATGGTCTTCATCAAGTGCTGTGATTACACTGATGATACTCTGGAATGTAATAGGAGGATCACAGAAAAGACACAAAGCCCTCACATCGTTTATGCCGTCTAATGACAGATAAGCAACAATCACGAGTAATTCAACGTGCTCCAAAGAAGAAATATTAAGACATTTCCTCACGCCTCTTTCTTATCTGTATCCATCCCCTATTCGACCAACAAACTCATCCACACACTCCGCCTCCCACCCTTTCTGTTTTTTTATCACACCTGTTTCGCTCTCAAAGCATGCTCCTCATTTCTTTCACAGACTCTCTTTCCACCAAACAGCTCCATCAGTCCTGCTCCCTCCTCTTCTCCCTCCCACCTCCTCTCCTCCTCTCACTGTCACTGCGCTCCTCAAACTGAGGTGGGTCTTTTTAACACTCTCCCGCGCCTCTCTTTTACTCATTTACTGCCAGGACGTGATGAGGTTAACAGCACTGCGTGTATGTGGGACCCTGCTGGCCTTCTTCAGCCTCTTCTGGACAACGGCAGACTCTGAAGAAGAAGACTTCTTGGGGGATCATGGATTTGGGCCCTGTGCTGCAACCCTGAGACCTGAGGGGTCATGCAGACAGGGGCAGGATGGGAGCACATGCCCATACCTATTCAGTCTGCCGCCGCTGACTTTCCACTTGCCAAAGGAGCTCAGAGAGCTGGAGAAAATTGTAGAGGATCTGCAACAACTGAAAGACAATGTGGATCAACTGAGGAAGATGTGCACAGACTGTACAGTAAGCCAAACTGAGAGAGAGTGTGGGAAGCAGAGAGAAAGAGACCATGATGATGTGAATGAAAGGAAAGATCAATTTAAGGATGAGAGGGGCTGGCTGAATGAGAGAGACACAGAGAGGCTGAAAAATGACAGTCAGGAGTGTGGGACAGACAGGGTTAAAGCAGAAAAGACTTCAGAGAGAGATGGTGACATTGATTCTGAGAAAAGAGAAAAGTTGGAGGAGAAAGAGAGAGAGAAATGGGACGCAGAAAGAGGGAGTGATAAAATGGTCGTAAAAGATAATGAGAAAGACGTAGGAGAAAAAGATGGAAAAATGCAAACGGAGGGGGCAAAAGAAAAGGACAAATTAGGACAGGCTCCAAAAGTGCCAACAACAAATCAAAATAAGAGAATAGTGGATACGGACAGGAAGAAAGTTGTTGACAAATATAACAGAGAGACAGAGTCAGACATTGGCAAAGAGAAAGATGGGAAGGGGAATTCAAAAGCTAATGGAGACGGTATCTTGGAGAAAGATACAGAGGGAACAATAACAAGTAATAAAAAAGACAGGGAGAAAATAGAAGACAGGGACCATTACGTGTGGGGAGATGAGACAAAGGAAACAGGGAAAAGGACTCAACCTGAAGAGGACAGGGACCGTGATGAAATGAAGATGTCTGAGGGCCGCAATGAGCATACAAATAAGGAGCGAGAGCGGGAGAGGGAGGAGAGGAGAAAGGAAATGGAAAAGGGAATAAAAGTGGAGCGAAATAATGAGAAACCAAAACAGACTGAAAGCATCGAGCGTGCAGAAAAAGAGAGGACTATAAAAGAGGGGGCAGTGGAGGAGGACGGGGAAACAGGGAAGGAGATCAAAACAGGAGGAGAAAAAACAGTCCAAAGTTTACAGAGAGACGGTGATGGAGAATTAGAGTCAAGTAAGTCAACTGAGTGGACAGACTTTGTTTCCATCAGCCCGACTGACTCGATCATTAGTGCAGCTCCGAGGCACGACTCCATGGACTTGAACGAAGCTATAACCATTACGTCATCTCTTCCATCGCCTCCTCTGTCAAGCTCCACTCCACATCTGATCGCAGATGTCGATCAGGGCAAGAAAATAACTCCTGATGGACTTCCAACCCAAAGTACAGGCTTGAGAACAGGTGATATTTCTGAACAGCCAAGTCCTGGTGCGGAGGCGGGCTTCAGGAGCACAACAACATCAGCTACTTTAGGCCCACTTGGTGGCCTTAAACAGCGGATACCCACCACCATGTCCACTGCAACCAGCACAAAAACTTCATCCACCACAACTCCTCATCAGAATTTACACACAACTACATTACCAGGAATCCCAGACCAAAGCCATTGGGCAGCTAAAAGGAACATCAGCTCCAACCCAAAGACTGGTGTTAAACCTTCACCAGGCCAGGCACCAAAACGCGGTGAAAAGCGTAAACCTGAGGCTGACCAAAAGCTTAAAAATCCAAAGACAGGTGGTAAACCTGACCGAGCCCCCTTGCCAGACAAATCAACAAAATATGACCAAAAGACCCTGTACTTTCCAACCCAAAGTACAGGCTTGAGAGCAGGTGATATTTCTGAATCGCCAAGTCCTGGTGCGGAGGCGGGCTTCAGGAGCACAACAACATCAGCTACTTTAGGCCCACTTGGTGGCCTTAAACAGCGGATACCCACCACCATGTCCACTGCAACCAGCACAAAAACTTCATCCACCACAACTCCTCATCAGAATTTACACACAACTACATTACCAGGAGTCCTGGACCAAAGCCGTTGGGCAGCTAAAAGGAACATCAGCTCCAACTCAAAGACTGGTGTTAAACCTTCACCAGGCCAGGCACCAAAACGCGGTGAAAAGCCTAAACCTGAGGCAGACCAAAAGCTTAAAAATCCAAAGACAAGTGGTAAACCTGACCGAGCCCCTTTGCCAGACAAATCAACAAAGTATGACCAGAAGAAGAAGCCTACTCATCAAAAACCAACGACTGACCAGAAATCCAAAACCAGTAAAGACTCTGTATGGGTTCAAGGTAAAAAATCTGACCAAACACATTCACCTGATAACTTATCCACTGATCAAATACCAAAGCTTGACCATGGATATACAACTGATGGAAACCAAAATCCTCCTCCAAAGCCAACAACTCATCCAAGATTTTTTCTACCAGTCCGCAGACCCACGCCAAATCAAAGACCTAAAACTGAAAATACGACAGGTTCTCCCAAAAACCCTTTGACTGACCGTGATCACCCAAATGTTGAAGTTCAACCTGACAAGAACCTGCTCCATCCATTTTTAGTTGACAAACCTAATCAAAATCAAAAACCACCAAAAAAGCCACAAAATGAAGACAAACCAGAACCAGACCAAATATATACACCAAAACAGTCTTTCTCACCTGTTCAAGAACCTGAATCTGAACCTGAACCGGAAGTTCAACCTGACAAGAACCTGCTCCATCCATTTTTAATTGACAAACCTGATCAAAATCAAAAACCACCAAAAAAGCCAGAAAGTGAAGACAAACCAGAACCAGACCAAAGATATACACCAAAACAGTCTTTCTCATCCGTTCAAGAACCTGAATTTGAACCTAAACAAGGAGAAACAACATACCACACACCAAATCCTAACCAAAAGCCTTTGACAGAAGAGAGGCCAAAGCCTGGACAGAAAATCCCTAAAAACAATCTGAACCCTAAACCAGGTCAAGTATCCAAACCAAACCAAAAACATCCAAAACTTGGAACAGGCCCAAAGACAAAACCAAATCCGAGGCCGAAACCTGATCAAACACGAACCAATAATGGACCTAAAACAACTCAGCGCGGACAAATCCCCAACCTTGACCCCAAAGCTTTACCTGAAAGAAACAAAACATTACCACAAAGGCCCCTGCCAAGACATAAGGCACCAACCAGACCCATAATCAAGCCAGGAGACACGCCTGCTAAAAGACCAAAGGCAGCAATGCAACCGGAGCCAAATCCAGAGACTGCAACAGATTCAGATCTTCCTCAAATCAGTGGGACTTTAATAGAAGGCATCCAAAACTCTCAAACTGACCTCCCCCCTGCATCAGACCATGAAGTGAGTCATCCCCCAGGGAACACTGATATCAAACCCAAGAACCAAAACAACATGAAAACTATCACTATAGGTCCAACGACCTCCAACAGCCTCAACACTGGACCCCTCCCTCATTTTCAGATCCACCCTGAGGGATTCACGAGGAGTCCTAACAGCAGGATCATGTCTGATCTAAGGCCAAAAACAACCAGTCCACCACTGTGGATCCAAATGACAACAAGACCAAACAAAATCCTGCGTGGGATCCCTCCAAGCGTTGCCACAACCACGAGTCCAAGATCCACAAACCCAAATCGAGCTTCAAAAACTGACCCCAGCCAAAATGCTCACCATGTGCAGGAAACAGCAGTCAGACCAACTCCAGATCCAGACAAAACCATGGTTCCAGCCCCTACCCCCACAGTTCAAGTTACCTCAACAGTCACCCCTGGCATAAGGTCAACAACCCCGACCACCTCTGGCCTTGAACCCCCGGCTGCTGAGTCTTCAACCCCCAGTGCACGAGAGTTACGTGTGAAGATCAACCAGACTGCTTTCCTCAATAACAGCCTAATACCAGCAGACAGACGTCCAAAGGAGGACAACAGCAGGCCTGACAGGACAAAGAGCAAACAGCCGACACTGAAACCACCAGCAGGCAAGAGAAACTTCTTCTAACATAACTGATAATTTTTTACTTTATGCTCAGATCTTAACACAGGGGTTATATTTTACAGACAGAGCGTGCGTGTAATGAAAGTAGCATGTGTACCAGGTGTTGCTCTTAATTTGTTTCAACCAGAGATTTTTTTTGAGTATCTACCGTCACAACAAACATATTTTGAATTGACAACCAGGCTCATACAAATGTTTTGTCTTATGCTGAAATTACATCAGAATAAATAGGCACAGAAAACTGTAGACTTGTTGCGCATCGGTATGTGAGTGATTATTACAGCATCCGAAAAACATGCGCTGAAAGGAATTTGAGCTAAAAGACCACACTGTAAGCACTGATGATCCTCAAAGACTGTAAATTATTCTGCAATTGTGTGGTCCAATAACATCTTTGTCCCATACATCAGAGGAGGATCAGGGACTTGTGCAAAACATATGGCTGTATGGTCGTTGTTATTACTGGTGAGACCACAACTATGTATTGACTACAGCTTTACTGTATCTTTCAGTGGAGGGCTGCTTTCTCAGAGGGATTTTTAGTTAAAGTTTTTAATTTGAAATTGGTCAAGTTCATTAATCAAATATCATAATGATTGCCCCATTTGTTCATCTTTTTTTATTTAAACAAGACATCACTTCATTATTTTTGATTTAACAAACAAAATCAGCAAAACAAGCGCTAGTGAAAAAGGAAGTAATTTTCTTATCTTTTACATATTCAAATATACACTTCTTTCTTGAACTGTTTTAATTCATCTCACCACTCTGGAGGTCCACCATTAAAGGGAGCCAAAACACTAAATCTTTTATTGTGGAAAAGTAGTTTATCACTGGCAGGTTGCACTACTGACCTCATTTCACAGTTTTACACAGCTGCAAGATGATGTCACCTGCCACCTAAGGACTTCAGTTTAATTACTCTTGAAGATGTGGGCACATTTCTAAAGGAAATATGGATGTTATTCTTAATATTTTCCCTCCATTTTACCTGCAGTTACCATGGTGAGAGACTGCTCCGACCACCTGCTCAGAGGGGAGACAAAAAGTGGAGTGTACCTGGTGACCCCCGACCTCCGCAGCAGAAGCTTCCGGGTCTTCTGTGACATGGAGCTTGAGGGTGGAGGATGGACCCTCCTGCAACTCCGCCAGGATGGCAGTGTGAGCTTCAACCGTACCTGGGCAGAGTACCGATCAGGTTTTGGGAAGCTTGAAGGAGGAGAGTTCTGGCTGGGCAACAACATGATCCACCTTCTGACACGGGACAGGGACATGATGCTGCGGGTGGAGCTGGAGGACTTTGACGGGGTGATGGAGTTTGCAGAGTACAAGCTCTTCAGGGTGGCCAGTGAACGGTTGCGCTACAGACTGACAGTTGGGGGATACTCAGGTACTGCAGGTGATGCTCTTCGCTTCAGCAAGACTTATGATCACAACAACAGAGCTTTCACTACCCCGGACAGAGACCACGACCGGTATCCATCAGGGAACTGTGGGGCCTACTACAGCTCCGGCTGGTGGTTTGACGCCTGCATGGCTGCAAATCTGAATGGGAGATACTATGTTGGAAAATACAAAGGAGTCCGGGATGGGATTTTCTGGGGGACATGGCATAACATATCCTCAGAATATTACCCAACCAATGACAGACAGTCTTTCAAAGCTGTCAGGATGATGATCAGGCCAAAGGGCTTTGCATTATGAGCTGGGACTCTCTGACAGGGAATGATAGGATTAAAACACAGGATCAAACTACTAATTTCAGCTATAAGCTACTAAAATGCACCTGAAATCCAGTATACCATCTACACAGTTATGGCAAACTATTATCACACAGCTGATGGGATGTGGTGTTTGATTCTGCAATAGCCTACTTTTTTGTTTATATGACAATAATTGAGGATGTACATGGTTTTAAAGCATTGGCTATGTTTTGACTGCACAGTATCAGTTTTCAGCAACCTTCAAATACTGATATTTCACAGGATATTTTTAGACAAAAGAGGGAAACCTCTCAGAAGAAAAAAAAAAAAACTTTTTCACTGAAGACAGTTTGAATCTGATTTAGCAACGAAGAATGAGACTGTTTGATCACAGGACTGGAAAGCCAGGTAATGGTTGGCTGAGGCTGTTTGGGATGTTTAATAATGGTGATTTTATTTTTAAGATGAATAAAATTATTGAAAAGATAGATTTTGGACCTCTCTCTCTGTCTCAGTTATTTATTACTATTATTATTTTTGATAACTCAATCTACCGAGTAAAACCTTACAGACTCACATTAGAATCTTTGTTTGACTCTGTTTATTATGAGATGAAAATTGATATGATGAAACAAATAAAACAAACCTCAGACTTAGATTCCCTATGGCCTTTTCGAGGCGCATGAAGTCACTTGCAACTTCTCAGGCATGTCTCTTCCACCATTTGCCCCCCTCCAAAGATTCGCCATTGAAAAAATGCACATATATAGGAATGATATACGGAGAATAAAAGCAAGCAATCAAAATGCCAGGGGTTAATTCAGTACACATATTCAGTGTTTTAGTGGCCGTTTTGTTATCTGGTCAATGTGACATTTAATGTACAGTACCTAATCTTTTAAGAAATATAATAAAATATATTTGTCACCGAATTCACTTTTATGCATGAAAAACATTCCAATTATAATTAACAGATTTAAAATAATGAAGATTTTTTCCTTCTTTTAGTGAGAATGTGGAAATGAAATAAAACATTCTCCCACAATAAAACAAAGTTTTTTTTTAAAACTATGAAACAACCTCCTGATATCTTGCCGGACCACCGCCCCCGAAACAGGTACGAGTACATAGGGAAACTATGGGCTTCCTAAATTAGAAATAAATGATCCTTTCAATTCAATTTCAACAATCTTTTTATACACAGTATTCTTCTTTATTTACATTCTCGTGACAATCATTGGAAAAGGAAAATGTACAAAGTCTGAAAACTAAAAACGATAACACCCTCCATTTGCTTTCTTATGTTTTTGGCAGCAAAATGGTATATTTACCATAAAAGAAAGAACTTTTTTATTGAATAAAGTAACATTTTATACAAAAACACTAAAATTTGCTGTGGGCTATTATCAATAGTCCTAGTTTGTTTCACATGTCAGTCGTCTACATTGGCAGACAAAGTGTTTCAGAGATTCTGACTCACATATAAGTGACAGGATTCCTGTCTTCTATTAAAAAGGGAGTTTAAAAAAAAACATTAGGCTTTAGCTACTGCTAAACACAACATACCTGTTCAAAATTCAAGGTAACATCATTCCTCATAACCTTTTGTAACAGGAGGAAATGCTTACGTATATATTCGTTTATGAGGTTCTTCTCCTTCAGATCCTCCAGAAGACCACACACCATTGTTTTTCTCCTTCTCTCTCCATCCTCGCCTTCCTTATCTCTCTTTCTAGACTCTCTACCTGGGCCAAGGCTTCATTGAGCCTGGCTTTCAGGTCTTTAGATGTAGGCAGTGCATAAGCGTGGTCCTAGAGGAAACAAAGAAAAAAAATATGATGCTCATGATGCTCACAGCTGTTTGGGGCAAAGCTAGATCTTAGTACTCACAACAGTGGGTAGAGTCTGAGGTTCAGTCTTTTGGACAGGTGGGGGACAGTCCTCTGGCAGGCTCTCTCGAGCCCTCTTTGAAGTCTGAGATGTCCTGGTTGTCATTGACTACAGTAAAAGGGAAACACTCTAAGAACTTGAACTGGATTAAGCGTCTCAGTGTGCTATAAGACAATATTCCTGATTTCTTATCCTTTGTCCTAGTGTGACACTGACTTATCTGACCCACCAAAGCCTGGTAAATCACCTACCCTTCGGGGATGATCTGGGAAACTGAAGATGGATGGAACAGCTCCATTTCTGAGCCTGACTGTCTGACCTGTCCTATCGAAGTCCTCCTGTCTGAAGTGCTCACTGCAGAGCCTGGAAAACTTAGTGGCAGTGAAATCCTTTCTTCTAAGGGCTACTTCCCACCGCTTCCTCAACTGGTTATCTTTAGGAAAACTTTACAGTGTGGGGAAAGTCAGGTGAACCATTCACACCAACAGAGAGGCAAGTCTGTTTGTTTACAGATTCATTGGGATTCACAGCATTACTCACAGTTTAAGCAAATTTAACACGCACTGGTCAAACACAGCCAGAGGCAAAAGCTCAGTCTTACCAGTGAAAGGTAACTCCTCGGGATCTGGTTTCGACTGAGCATCGATTTCGACATCCCCAAGCTGAACATGAGTAAGGCATCTTTAAAAACTGCCACCTCCAATATGGCGGCGACGTCTACGTAAAAGCTTTACACAACGTTGTAGTTCCGGACTCGTCGAGTTACTCAGACTCTGACGACAATTAAGAACTTTTCCTTCAAAATAAAAGCTGCCATATTATAGCGTTGATAATCTCAGCTGCTGGAATAATCTCCTTTGGCTTCTTGTTCCATCCACAGAAAGAGGTCCCTATAATTTATTAAAGTTGCGTACTTACAAGTAAAATAATTAATACTACAATGTTAGCTGAATAAGATTAAATGACCCAGTGGGCAAACCGTTAAAAATTAAAAATTTATAGTGTGTCCACAGCAACAATGTGAACTGAATGTAGGACAATGATATGATATGATATGAAATATTAATGTATATCGAAAAAGCTTTTTGAATTTACATTTATGTAAGAATAAGACTAAGAATAAGAACACCTTATTGATCCCTGAAGTGATATTCAATTGTCTGTCGTCTCATTTTTCATTTCTCTAAAAGTCATCTACTATTTACACAAAAGTTATAAAGTCTGATGGCTGTGGGTACAAGAGATATTCTGAATCTTTCTGTCCTGCTGCAAAGAGAGAGGAGCCGTCCACCACCATTGGTCCTTTGGTCCATTAAGCTGCTGTGAAGTGGGTGATCCATGTTTTTTTAGAATAGTGTTCTCCTTTCTCAGTGTAGATTTCTCCACCACATCCTCCACTGAGTCCAGCTTCAATCCAACCACAGAGCCAGCTGTGAAAATGAAATTTGAAATGAATTAGGGGGTTAGATAGATTAAGGAGGTTAAGGCTGGTAAAAAAAGAAGAAGAAACAAGAAGAGAAGAAAAAGGACACCAATTCAGAGATGAAACAAATATCACACTTTGTTTCTTTATTCTTCAATTCAATGCTTGAGGACTTGTGATACATTTATTTTGTTTTTTAATGATAATTACTTTCTTTACTTTGGCAGCTTCAGTTTCTAATTTTTTTTTACTTTTCATTTTTTATTTCATTATTTTTATTTATTTATTTTTTGGTGTTGTTAAACTGATTTTTTTTTTATATATGTGTTTATTCTGAAAGGTCATACCGGAAATAGTATTCCAATGCTGCTGAAGGAGACCGAGTTTGCGAGCGTTGTAACAGTGCATGTTGACTGAATGGAACCTTGTGCTCTTCTGTAGTTAGTTTGTTAAATTACTGAAGCGGCTGTACTCTGAAGCTCGGATGCTCTGGGTTATTGGGTTATTGAACAGAGATGTTTTGGGTCTCGGCAGGTCGGCGGGGATGTGTCCAGCTTCTCCGCTGCTGGCCCATGACAGCCAGCCTGAGGACACCCACCGCAACCCGCTGCCCTCTGCCTTCCTTGGGTTTCTTCTCCATCTCTTCCCCATCAAACTCTCAGACATGTGAACAAGTAAACCCGCCTCTGAAGCAGTGGGCATTAGAAGTGAGCCCCTTCAGCACAGTTCGGGCTCAGCTCGGCTGCAGCATATCCGTCCGTCCGCTTGACCCGCACAGCTACCCCGAGGCTGACCGAGCCTTCATCACTGTGCACGGGTCAGACAAAACAGAGGAGGAGGAGGTCAGTCTGGATCACTTACACGTCCTCTACGATGGGCAGAGCAAAGAGCTGCTCATCTCAGCAGAGAAAGTCAACACTGGTGTGTTGATTGATGTGGCTGCACCCATTAAAAGCAGTGAGTGTCTTCTGTTACATAGAGGATGTCAATGTGAGTTTGGGTTTCCTTGGTGCCCTCTAAATACTATTTTTTTGTTTTGTTAGATATCATAATCACCGCACAAGGAAAAGGCAATGTGCAAGTGAAAAAGATGGAGTGTGATGTCTGCAAGGTTCAGACAGAGAGAGGAAACTGTCTGCTGCACTCAATAAGGGTAAGTGCTGCCAAGGCAACAAAAACAATAGTAGAGGAGAGTTGGGTAAGATGAGCCATTTTTCATATTTCGGATCACTACATCAAGGCAATCATAGTTTTATCTCTAACTAGTGTATCTGCATATATTTCAAGATGTTGTTCATCCCTGCAAACCAACAGAATGAGTGTAAACATAACTGTCGTGATAATATAGCATGCCAAAATAAGTGGTCTCGTATGGGGTAAGTTGACCATAGGAGCAGGGTAAGTTGAGCTGTATCCCTACTATCCCCCCACTCTCCACCCCAGCCCTCCCTCACCTTCCCTCCATTTTAACATGAGAATGTCTTTAAGTGATCCATAACATTCACAGCTGTATTTTTGAAAAGAAAAAGTAACACATTTCAACAATCTGAACTGAAACTCTGATCCTCTCATCAGACTCCTTTACTTTCTCAGTTGATCCACTGGCTCAACTTACCCCAGAACTACTATTCTGACTTTATTAGTCCTCTAAGCTAAAATGGTGGACTTTTATGCTAGGTTTTTGACCTCATGTTGTAGCTCATAGATACCACAATTGATGTATAAAACAAATTTAAAATGATCTTTTTTGGTCTGAATACAATTCTAATCAAACTTATGACAGACTAAATTCACTTTCAAGAGTGAACAAGTTTTTTGTAAATAAATGTCTAACCTCTTCACCCATGTGCTTCTAACCTTCACAGACTCCATGAATTAATACCCATCTCCTAAATATTTGGTCACATGATCAATTTCTTTTACCATTTCCAAGCAACAGGGGGTGGCTCAACTTACCCTTTGGCTAAACTTACCCCACTCTCCCCTACTGAAAATACAGATAAGAGCCTGAGCTGACATGTCAGCATATCTCTAAGGGTTGCTAAAGCAATTTTGCACCAGAAGGAGTGTTGTAACCTACCAAATATCAGCATGATGTTTCTGTTTATCATTATCAGTTGTATTAAAGCCAAGAGCTTGTTTTTCACTCGCTTTCCTCACCTCTGTTTTTCTTTTTTGTTGCATCATAGAGTCACCACGTTGAGGTCAGATCGCAGGGAGGACAAGTGACGGGTGCAGGCACCATCCATGGCAATGTGGACATCAGCACATGTGGAGACAGCGTAAGCGTTACATTTCTATTCAGCAGTCACTAGAGGGCAGCAGCAGCCTTGATAAAAGCTTTATCAAAACACATTTGCAGCATTTAGGTTTATGGCACACATTTCTTTTGGAGACAGACCTGTATAGGATAAATAATGATCGCCTGGTGACAGTGTTGTGCAGTAATTGACTGTATGTTTACAGGCTGTGGATGTGAAGAAGCTCCAGGGCACCAGAATGAATGTTTCAACAGAGCGTGGTGTTCTGAAGGTGAAGGCCATCTATGCAGAATCCAGCTGTGTGTCCTCAAGCTCAGGGAGAGTAGAGCTGGGTCATGTACATGGTGAGCAGTCAGCTCCATATATTCTTCATTTACTGATGCCTCTAAATGGCCCAATTTAATTTGTTTGGGAGTTACATCAATTAACAACACTTTTAACAAGAACAGTACATGGTTTGGGTCAGGGACTGAATCATCAACCGTAGAACTTCACTTTTTATCATTGTAGGACATACAGTGAATTTATCCAAAAGGTCCCAAACATTCACGTTCCCCTACACAACACTGTATTAGGTTTGTAAAAACCCCTGTGCTCTGATCCAAAAAGAGTCTTGTAAACTGTGTTGTGGCTTTAATCACATCAGTGTGTTTTTGTTTGATTTGGTGCGGTTACAAAATAGTTTGGTCATAAAAAGTCTTTATTTTGAAATCAAGATAACTTGGGAAAACAACAGGAACTTTTACGTAAAGTGTAAAAACATGTCACCCGAAAAGAATTTTAATTAAATCTGAATCCAGATGAGTGTCCTAGCACAGATACATGGAAACAATTATCTTGTTGACAACAGCGATCCAGGTTAATAAAAAACACTCTGTGATGGAGACCTCTTCACATCGTTGTACACATTTTACTCGCTTAATGTGTTGCATCATAACAAATAATGAGATAATATGATATCAGGTTATTATGATACTTTTGTTCTTACTGTTTAAAGGTAACGCCACGGTGAAAAATACATCTGGAGATACAGTCATAGGTGAGACAGCCGACTCTTATTGCACAACTCACTACAGTACGTATGGTTTCTATCAGTGTCTGGTCACAGCGAATCATCTAAGGCTCGCTTTGCTTTTGCAGATGGTTCAAATTCTTTCCTGAAGGTTTCCTCACGCAGCGGCAGTATCGATGTCTACGTCGGAGATAACGCCAGCGCTGACCTTCACAGTCAGGAAGGTAAAGGGACTCAATAAGAGGAATATTCACCTGATTGAGTCTCTTTTCCAAAGCTCCCTTTTATTGTTTTATCTCATTTAACATCATTCACTCTAACTCAGGGGCCGTGCACATACGTGTGCCATCATCTCTAAAAGCTGGGGTGGAGCTCTGTGGCGCGTCGGTGGATATCAGCCCAGAGGTTGTTCTGCATGGAGTACAAAACAACACAACTGACGGCCAAACCACAGTCACTGGTGAGCCCTTGTATCTTATTGCATCACACACTTTGGCAGAGCTCATTGACTAAACCCTCAAATGTGTAAATCAACAAGGAACATACTGTTTCCTCACTGTATTCCCAGGTTTCTCTCATTTGTCCTGCTCCTCTGTGTCTCTCAGGCTACATGAGTGCCGAGTCTGGAGTGGAGCAGAAGGTTAAAGCGCAGGCAGACGGGGGCTCTGTCACGCTGAAGACACAGAGCTGGTTTGAGTCCCTGAAGCTGGGGACCTGAGATATGATGGGTGAAATTCACTCCGTAACGCTGCATCGCTAACAAAGACAGATATTCACTGCTGCTCCTCAGGACTGGATGAACTTGAATATTTTGCTTCCTGCAGATTTATTCTGTCATATTATTTATTGAACAAATATTTTCTATGTGTTTAACATGCCTGTACATACCCTGAGCTGTAAGTATGTTACTGCTCACTGTTGTAGGTTTGAGCTGAACTGTTTTGATTTGAAAAACGTAAAATTGATAAAGGTTAGGTGAATTGTTGCCAAAGACTGTTTGACTCTACTGAGACATTTAATCTCTGTGCCATTTGAGTCAGTTACAGTTTAAAGAATCTGACCAATTTGTCAAGTCTGACTTATTAATTTCAGCTCAAAGTTGTTACCACCGACTCCAAGCAAAGATATTGATGACTTAAGAGGGTGTCTTTTTCTCATACTTTATTTCATGGTCTTAAACAAGCGGTAAATTTTGAAGGCTTTGTAATTGTTTTGACTGCAAGCTTCAAATTGGAGCCAAAAGTTTGTTGAAACAATGAAGGCTCAGTTTAAAACAGATCCACTGAGAACCGGGTGAAACACTAACAAAGTATTTTTCAAATGATTAATTGTACATGGATTAAACACCAATCGTACTGTATTAAGTAAACACAGCGTTTAATCAAAAGAACAAACACAGAAATTACAATAAAATAAAGGGTCACTTCTCAGTATTTTCGTTTTTTTTGTTTTGATTCAACACCAGAAAAAAAAAGTGTTTGAAGTAAGAGTCTCTGTACTTGATGCTCTGAAGGAAAGGACATCTAATGCCCCTCACCCCATTCCCTCTTTCTTTTCTTCATTTATTTGCATCTCTCTGTGTATCTCTGGTGGGAGGAACTAAGATCCAAGGAAAAGCTGTAAGTGAGAGATGCATGGATGCAACTTCAGGGAGCTGAGCTGTATCTGTTGTCTCCAAACAGATCATTGTTGCATTCACTGCAGATTAAAAAGTGTTCTGAGGAAGCCCCATATCAACATGATCCAGAACTGCCAGAGACTTCTTAGGACCTGAGCCCATGTTAGAAAACTGTCTTACAGCCTAATAAATCAAAACTGGACATTTATTTTGGAAACTATGAACCTCACATCGTCTGGGGAGGAGAGGGACCACCTTGCACATAGTGAAAAAGCTGGCATCCATGATGGTATGGGCATTCATGCGTGCTTTGGCTTACACTCTAGGAAAGCACTGTAGATTCTCCATGATATACAGTATGTGCTGCCATCCAGATGTAAAAAATCTTTCATATTTCAGAATTTCAGTGATGCCAAACATATTCCTGCATTACAACAGCATGGCTCTGCAGTAGGAGGGTTTGGGTGCTAAGTTGGCCTACCTGCAGCTCTGACTTGGATTTTTAATTTTTCGTAACTCAAGAAACTGGTTCCTAAATGTGTACATGGGCCACACCCCAACTTCATTGGAATAATTGATTTAGGGAAGTTTTTTAGGAAATCGGTTGTAGATCCCTGGCGAGCGAACTCTCCATGGGGACCTGGGAATAGAGGTAAAGGTGGAAAGGAAAGGTTGAGCATGAAAACACAGTTGTTATGGGGAAGGGGTTTGTTGCATAGAGAGGATAGGTTAGTGCAGTGGTTCTCAAGTTCAGTCCTTGCACAGCACACCTGATTTAAATGATCAGCTCGTTATTAAGCCATTACAGAGCTTGATAACGAGCTGATCATTTGAATCAGGTGTGTTGGAGCAGGGAAACATCCAAAACATGCAGGACAGTGGGCCTCGAGGACTGGACTTGAGAACTGCTGAGTTAGTGGATTGGCAGGGAATTGGATGAGAAATTTGCTTTGACTTAAAGATGAGATGCGTACAACAACCAGACCAGTGGCGCTCCTGGATGAACCATCTTGTCCGCGTTGTTGCAAAATCAATTCAGAGGATCATCACTGCTGTGCTCCCAATACTCAACGCGTGGCTGAAGCTTCAGTGCAGCCATCCTAAAGGAGTAGACCAACTCTGATCAAAACAAAGTAATGTGCAGAGCTCTGACTTTCAGGTGTTTGTCTGGGTTTGAGTTTTACTTGGAGATGCTGCTGCAGCAGGCCATGGTGACTGAGCGGAGTGGAGGACAGATCCTCTCTAAATGTCGAGGGGTGCGATCAGTGAGGAGGACACAGCCGCTCACATCGAGCTCTCGCAGGTATTGAGATCCACTGATAAGATACTGAACTGCCATATCTGTCATCTGAGACAGGGAGGAGGAAACAGAGGATTTTAAGTTAATGAACTGGGTTTAACACAAGCAGCTTTTACGGGGTAGAATTTCAAGTTGGAATTTTAAGGTGTTTGCGTTTACCTTTTGACATCCAGACATTATCAGCTCGGTGATACCTCTGCAGTAAAATGAAATGGCTCTGATGGCCACGTCTGACAGAGCTACACAGTAAGACACATCGATGTACTCCAGATCTTTCATGTTCTTACACAACTTCTGCCCTCAAAAAGCAGATGAGATGAGAGACAAATATTAAATGAGAACAGCTGAGAAAATAAGAGTGTAAGAGATGAATATCAGAGGCTATATCTATAACTCAACTGGGACCCCCCTTCTCTGTTTATATATGTTGGTCAACAGCAACCACAGAAAAAAAGAGGTAAACAATACTGCCACAGGAAGTGTAAACTATTTGTAAAAATGCAACATCTGGTCATGTGCTGAAAACTTGGCTTAGTTTGTACCTCGACACCGACGTCTGTGATGCAGATGCACTCAGCGAGAACTAATTTCTTTAAGCGGACTCCTCGGAGAGCGGCCAGCCCCTAAAAACACAAACACCTGGTTACTGACTATCCCTTTAGGGCTGATTGTCTTCTGTGAGGTTAAGCACAAACATTCAAGCAAATACCTGATCCTGGATGTTGCAACCTCTGACGTCAAGAGAGCAGATAGAGCTGCCACCCAGCCACTCCAGACTCCTGTCCGTCAGTCTCTCACAGTAACTCAGGTTGAGATGGTACAATTTACCAATCCTTACAAGAAAAAAGCTGCTTATTATACCATTAAATAAAAAAGTAACATTGTGAAATACAAATGCTTATTTAATGATTTCTCCTCTTTGCCTGTGTTTATAAAGACACATGAATTCTTCTTCTATGAAAGTTACTTAATTTGTACCTGTAATGATCAGCACAAGATACTGTTTGTCATTAGATTGGCAAAAGCGAGTTTTAGGCCCCTCTTGAGACCTGATTGGACCCCCTGGGACCCCAAATTCTCAACTTTGATTGGCTGTTTGCTTAGTCAGAGGCACAACTGATGCAAATACAGCGAACTTGTAGAAGCTTTCTTTGCATTATTTAGTACTTCAAGTCGTTACTTTGGACATAGATTTTCATTATTGCTGTTGGTGCACGTTTTTGTCATGTTTCCTGCATCTCTGCAAAAAGAAATCCACCACAAAAGATCATTATATGTGTGTAGTGATAGTATAAACCTTTGTGCAATCCTTCTAACAGATGCATCGGTGATGTTTCTGCAGTGGCTGACGTTCAGCTTTCTCAGTTTGGTGGTTGAGAAACCTGCAGTTAAGTATTGGATCCCATCATCGCTGATCCTGAATTATAAATAGTCAAGTTGATATAAAGTTAAAACAAGATTCTTGATCCACAACAGCAATACACACACACACACACACACACACACTCATACAGACACCTGTTACACTGTGAGATGTCCAGGTGTTGCAGGTTTTTAAGGTCAGCAACACATCTGAGGCTGGTGTCGGTCAATCTGGGACACTGTGCAGCGTGGATCCTTTGGAGGCCAGGAGAGCTGCTGCACAGGACCTCCAGACTAACATCTGTTATTTGGTTATTACCTAAATAAGACAAGACTGACATGGACAGGCTTTCTATTTGCACATGTGGCACTGTATTATGCAGAATTTCTGAGTGATCTCACCCTTTGCGCTGAAAGTTTTCAGTTTAGCTATTTCAGCGATGGCTTTGAAGGCGATGTCAGACAGATGAGGGGCATCCAGGAGGGAAATGGCAGACAGACAGCAACATCTGGCAATCAAAGCCTGTTAAGACTCCAAAGATGTCAATGGTGCAAAAAGGCATTATGCTTCTTGGACCAAAAGTGAAGTGACAAATTCTTTTCTAATATATTTGACATTTTCTTTGTGGCTTTTAAACATCCTACAGCATGATCACCCTGAATGAAATCTGTTAGAAATTATCAGACTTACCAGTAAACAGCTATCTGACAGTGTGATCATGTCATTGATCACAATCTCCCTGAGTGAAGGACATCCGGCTGAAATGTATTCGAACCCATTTACCGTCATCTAGGAGGGATCAGAGGAAAATATGTGTGTTCGCTGGAACCTGAATCAGTTTTTCCTGGATACAGTTTTCCTTGGCGCCTCGCATTAAGGGCCCCGTTAAGTGAAACCATACATCTGGAACAGAACCAAGGCGCATTCCCAGAGGATAGAACGTTTTATGTTGGGGTGCGTGTGTGTCATGTAGTGAAGGGTGCACATGGTGAGTGGGAGGGTGTTGACTGTATAAACCCAGCCCTCAACTTGGCCACAGCTGCATTTTTCTCCCCCCTCTGCTTCAGGTCGGTGATCATTCGCTCTGACTGACGGTAAAAGGTTACTAGGAGCCACGCGTGATCAGAGAAGGGTGACTGGATTTATTAGAGGTAACTGCGTTTTCAGAGGCTTAACTAGTTCCTATCTGCATTCTTGAGCTGAGCAGAGTGAGTTAAAACCAGACAAAGGAGCATACAGACTGACCTGAGTGCAGCCGGAGAGGTCGAGGTGGATGAGATTGTTGCAGCCCTTTCCTGTGCTCAGGTGTGTAAACCCATTATCTGTGAATTTGTGGCAGTAAGCCAGACTCAGGTACTGAAGATTGAGACAGTTCCTGTTCGAAATCAGAGGTCAGATTTGCTTGTATAAGAGTCACAGAGGTAAAAATGTGTGTAAGTTCTGTTAATTGTCGGTCCTTTTGTGGTTGCTCCTCATGAAAAATTGAGCTGTACGTACTTGGCAAGTTTGGAAAAATGGTGTGCATTTACATTTTTGAGTACGTTTTGCATTTTCAAACTATAAGAAAAGGAGATGTAAGTTCAACTTTAACCTGTTGAGCCTGCAAATATTTTATCAGTGTAGTGATACAATCGAGATATTTGTCCTTTCAGTCATGAAGTTGCTGCTCTGATCATGCTGCTCAGAGCTGTTGCATAAAAGCTGGTTGTGGGATGTGTGTCACCCGAGTGGAAATGAAGATGTTTTTTCAGAAAGTAAACATTTCATTTCCTTTTATTTGGTGATGTGGCTGAGCTGGACTGAAGTTTAGAGCAGTAATCTGGTCTCACACAGCTGCAGGTTTACCTGGACAGTTCCTTCAGAGTTTTATTTTTTATAGATGTGCAGGAAAGGTTCAGGTAGAGCAGGGAGGGACAACCCTCCACTATTCTCTGAACCATCTTATCCTGTTGAAGAGAAGAGATATAAAGTTAACACATGTCCTCTCAGAAAGGTCATTACCAGGCTGTTTGGCACAATGTCAGCAACATAATATAAAAAAACAGCCTTCTTGAAATGGAGTAAGTGTTTTTCGACTAGTGTTCTCATTGATTTAATTTGGGATACAGCTTCATCATCATTATCTCACATTTTTTCTCTACACTTGAAGAAATGTGTTGGATGAAAATTATGTCTGTCTCGAAGATGTAATCATTTTTATCATTTACAAGTTTTCATTGTTGTAAAACTTACTGTAACATTTCCACACTCTGACACATTAAGCTCCTGCAGGTTTCTGCACCCACCTAAAAGAACAGGGAACGGAGTGAAAAGTAGAGAAATTACGTCGTCCATTTTAGTCATTCTTTGTTAAATCTTTAGTGTGACACATAATATTTTGGGGTTATGTAAGAAGCAGCATAGTCCTCTATCAGAGCTCTACTGTATATACATTCCCAGACGACTCCTGGCTCTTACATAATGTGCTTCCTCTTACTTTCTCCACAGGGTGAGCGGCAGCTGTGTTCCATCAACAATAACATTGTTGACCTTTGACCCAGCGCTGCTGTTTTTATAAGGATCTCATCACAAACTGCTGCTTTGACTCCAGCCTTTCTCACTAAAAGCACAATCCCCTGCAGGGCTCAGGATGCGGTTGACCTCCCCTCTTCTCTTAACCTCCTTGCTGCTCCTGCTGCTCACGTTAAGTGAGGCAAAGAAACCCGGGAAGGGCCGGGGCCTCCGGGGAGTAAGACACAAGCTCACACGAGACAGGTTTGTATTTACTAGCCCCTGATGTTTAGCTTTTCCTGACTTCAGAGACCACCTACAGTCAGTGATTCATTTGTCATGTGTTTGAATACAGGGTTAGAGGTTCTGGGGAAAAAATCAGATCTCGATCCTCCAGACTGGTGGCACCTGACTGCTCAGAGCTCACAGAACTTGGAGAAGTCTTCATAGACTGCCAGAACCGCCGCCTCAACAACATCCCCGCCTCTCAGACCTGGTCCCAACAACCAAAGCATCTGCTTTTTTCCCGCAACAGGATTAAAGTCCTTCGTGATGGGGCCTTCTCAGGTTACGAGGGTCTGACAAGTCTTGACCTGCAGCAGAACCAAATCTCTTTGATAGAAGAAGGGGCTTTCCAGGGCCTGACACAACTTACAACCCTGCTGCTGCAGCACAACCGCCTGGGAACACTCAGCGAGGAGGCCCTCATCCCCCTGAACAACCTGGGCTACCTGCGCCTGCATGGTAATCCCTGGAGCTGTGTCTGCCCCATGGACAGTCTCGTTCGCACCCTGCAGGTCCCGAGCAACCGGAATTGGGGGACACATGCCAGGTAAGTCGTGTCAGCTATGACTCAGATTCCACAGCAGTACAAGTTGTTACACTTATCTGATCACAGCATACTTTTACTGCCTGTTGTCCTCCAGGTGCGCAGAGCCCATCAGACTCAAAGGCATGAAGCTGAGGCAGGTCGACCCTGAGTTGCTCTGCAAGGAGCCAGACCCAGCTGGAACCCCACAGGGGGATGAAACAGACCCCTTATTTCCTATAGACCCCATTCCCATTCGCACCAAACCAGACGCCACCGTAACTTGCCACACCTACCATTTCCCGCAAGTACGGATGGATTGCAGTAACCGAGGCAAGTTCCCGATCAGCTTTTAATCTGCTGAACTAGTTTTTGTAATTCTTCCCCATTTGTTTTCCAACCCTGCACATGTTTCTTATGCAACAGAGGAGTGAGGGAGAATACCTCTGAAACTTCATGTCAGAGCTCTCATATGTTCATAATTAAACGTTGATGTTGCATGACTGGAATGATTAAACTTCAGCTTCACAAAGGACCAGACGCAGAGCTGCACAGACACACATCTGGCTTGGCAGATGTTTTCTATTCAATATGATGTTGCTCCTCCTCTTATCTCTGAATGATTCCAACTTATGGTCAGCTGTCTTCAACTTGGTAGTATTAGCTTACCAGAGCTAGGCCATCGCATTAGATGAAAAACCCTGCAAAAACGCAAAGGAGTTATAAATTTGCTTGAGTATAGACAGAGCTAAGTCCTGCCATTCCCATCTGCCTCATACAGGAATGAAGCCTGGATTTAGTGTCAAATTCAGGTTATGAATCAAAGTGGAGTACAAATCAACAGAAGTAGACTTTTAGCGCCAAGAAAGGACACAGTTTTTTTGATAGTTATTACATCACTGAGTAACCCTTTACTAAACTTCTCCTCTCCTCTGTGTTTAGGTCTGACCGAGGTGCCCATGGGGATTCCAGACGACGTAGTCAACATCGATCTCTCCCATAATTCAATCACTCATCTCAAAGCCAGAGATTTCCAAGGAGCGAGGAGCCTCAGGACTCTCAATATCAGTCATAACAACATGGAGCAGATTGACAAAGGTAGTGAGGTCCAAATTCTGTCAGCCTATCAATCATTATGACTTATTACAGTATGTACAGTATCCGATATTTCTTGCAATATCCAGACTTGAAGCACAAAGAAGACTTTTTTTTTTGGCTGGTCGAGATAATTTATGTGAAGTCGACCAGTTTAGAACATGCTGCTAAGTTTATATTGGCTTCTGTTTCCAATTTTTCCTGTTTTAATGACATTGGGCTTACAGCCAATCATAGTTTTATTTATAGAAGGGAGAGCTAAGAGGAGTACACTGTGCACAAATGATTCACACTCAGGCTTTTGTAGCCGGCACATTCCTGTCACAGTTTGTTTTCACTGCAGTCTTTTTTATAAATATACTGAGAGAACACTTTTTTCCATCTCACAGCCTCCATGACAGGGCTCCTGCACCTCCGAGAGCTGGATCTGTCCGCCAACAGTCTGCATTTTATCCAGTATGGGGTTCTTGAGGACCTGTACTTCCTGTCACAGCTAAAACTAGGAGGTAACCCATGGGTATGCGACTATAGGTGAGTGTCTCTGCTCAAATGTTTACAATTTGTTAAGACTGCAAATGTGAGTGATTGTTACAAACTGAGAACTTTGAACTTTTCTTAGCATCCACTACATGGTGTACTGGCTACGTCTGCACCCCGGGGTGAGGCACTCTGGCCTGCTGTGTCGCTCCCCTCCCGAGCACACCGGATTGCCTGTGCAAGAGTATGTGAACTCGTACAACAGAGAGTGTCCAAAGGACAGGCAGCAGAGCAGAGCAGATCCAGACACTGACCCGGAGCTGTGGAACACACCGATGGAGGTGCAGGGCGAGCTGGAGGAGGAGCTGGAGCCGAGCCACCTCAGGGCTCCACAGAAATACCAGATCTACAGGCTGTCATGAGTCAAATGGATGTTTGACCCAAAGTTTGACTTTAAAAGTTCTCTTTGTCTCATGGTTTTTTAAATTTCTTTTAAGTCTCATAAAACAGTCTGTATCAGACGGGGAAACCACGTTTTGTCACAGTCGCCTTTTTCAAATTCAGGATCTAATATTTAAACATTTTAACAGCTTTGACAAAGTCTGAGAAAACAAACATCCAAGAAAAAGAATCAACAATATGTGCAATACTTACTGATACTTTTAAAGCTGCTCCAGGTTAGAGCCGCGCAGCCACGCAGGTTGAGATGTATCACAAACAGGTGATATTTCTGCAGGATCGGCTGCACTGTGTGGTCTGTTATCCAGTGTCTCTCCACAGAGAAGTTGATCTGATACAGGCAGGCATAAGGAAACATTTATATCCTTGCATTGAGTATGGCTTTAACATTTCACTATAAATTTTATAACAGACACACAGACCTTACTCCACAAAATGCCTGACTGGATGAGAGATTTCCATGTGCAGCACACCTCAGCACAGGTGAGCTGGTCTCCAAACGGGAGATGCTGAAAGATCTGTGGAGGAAACAACCATGTGACCAATTCAGAAAAGTGGAAACATCTACGTGATAGAAAAACACATGGATAATATCCATTATAGATTTATTAAAGCTCATGTGGGGAAACAAGACAGATACAGTCTTGAGACTTATTTTCAAAGCTTGAAATCACTCCTGGAGGGAAGAATTCATTCAGACCAGGTTGCAGGAAGAGCAGCTAACAACACAGAATTGATGCGTTTAACTGTACAAAGAAGGCAGCATGAGATTATTAGCTGAAAAACACCTCTTACTCATGTTTAGGACAACATTAGCAAAGAGTTTAGATTTGCTGTGTTGTCCGCAGGGGGCGCCAAAGCAGACAAATTAAAAGTTTCTCATAGGAGCTTTAAATCAGAATCATAATTTTATTTGTAAAATATTATGCAATGGTGTAAAAAGAAGCGTCTTTTTTCAAATGTTACATAAACTCATCCACAGATTTTAGTTATTAATCATCTTCAGTACTGTTTACAAAATCTGGCCTCCAGAGTTATCTTCTCTCACATAACAGGCCCCTGCATTTGGAAATGTCTGGAAGCAGACAGACCCCATTATCAGAACAGATGGTTTTCATTGGCATCCCAGCTGCTGCCACTCGACAAGGCGGGACGATGTTAGTGTCCAAGAAGTCCCTCTCTTTCACCAAACATAGTCATGTTGTAGCACTATTTATCTGGAGAGGTGTCAGACTGAAACACTTGACCAAACACATCTAAAAATGTGCCGCCTTGCCAACTATTGTGAATCCAAAACAAACAGAGGCCAAAAACGGCGTGTTCAAGTTCAATCGATTATGTCTGCTGTCATTTTAAGCATCTTAATAAACAACAGAAAGTTAAATCATCTGTTTGGAAAATGAGAACACATTAATATACCCTGAGAGACATTTCTGCCCTCTCTTTGGTAATGGGTAAGAGGTACATTAGACCACAATGAGCAGCCCCTGATATCCATCATCAGACCTCAAAGAGGCCGAAGGCCTGTTTATACTTTAAGTTACGTAACTTGCATGATCTCATCACCAATTGCCCAATAGAGAAAAAAATCGGTCTGTGTCTGTGAACTAATGATGCTCATAAAGTTCACGGGAAATCATTAAGAGAGAGACTGACTGATAAATGAGGGCTGGGGTTTCAGGAAGATACCTTCAGTAAAAGGCTGCTGGGAAGCATCAGCAGTCCGTCACATCTTCTCTCGTTGTGCTGGATTCTATCAACATTTTCAATCCCCTTTTCCATCCTCTGAAAGATCCATACAAACACAGCTGTGTAAAAGTGTAGAAAATGTATATAAATCTTAACTTGTTTTACTTTTCAAAATAAATATATACCCTAAGGAGCTCTTTTGTCCTCTTTCAGTTGCTCACTCTGTCATGCCATTTAAAAGAACTTAAAGGTTTGTTTTAAAGGTCCTACACTTTTAAACAGAGTAAGGTTTGACATTTCTGTATCTTTTATAACATGGGTAAAACTAAACCTTGATAACAATTATTAATTGTGCTGAGTTTGAACAGAAATTCACCCTATTAAAGTGGGATTAGTCCTCAGTGTGAGTGGAAGATGGAGGGGGCAGAGTGAGTCACATGAGTGGGTGTATACCGAGGGGAAAAACTGAATTTCAGAGGAGGCTTTCTGTTTGGATGCATTTCATAACCACACTGCATGTTTGGTCTGGCTGCACAACAGAAACAGAGCTCACACTGACATTAAATTCCCATGAGTCAAGCCCAAACTTCTCATGATTTATGTTTCATTCTAACCAACATAAATAATCACCTACCAGCTTGTGTCCTCTGGTGTAATCTTAACCGGTTTGACCATCTAGTGAGCGCAGCCTGTTGACTTTTCCTCTCATAATGCTTCTTTGTAGAGATCCTTTTGATCCAGCTCTATGGTGCCTCTCTTACTCCGCTGATGAACCTCTTTCAGCTCATCATTAATTCAGGGGAAGGGTTTGTTGGCATGCTGTCAGAAACCTGCATTAACTCAGCAGAACAGGAGTAAGCAGCATTGAAAAGTTTTGTTTTTATCTGACAGGTCTTCTTCTAGGGATGTTAAATAAAGCTGGTTTTAGACAGAATAGAAGGGGAAAGCTGATGAAGTCTGCAGTGAGATAGTACAGGTGAAAAGTAATCTGTGAAACAGGATATCCTGGTGAACCCAGCAGCATGTCAACATTTGGAGCTTACTGATTTAAATTTCTGCTCCAAGTTAAATCTTGTCCTGGTATCATAAATATTTCAATGTCCATTTGTAATGCTTTCAAAGTTATGTTTATGGGGGGACTTTGGTTAATGCGCCATATTTTTATCTTCCAATCAGTTTAGATCTGCAAGAAAATTATTAAGAAAAGACACCGCTGGGTGCTGTTTTGAAGCTTGTATCCACATAAACTTTGTTTCTGGATACTTTTTATTAAGGTTGAAGTCATTTAAACTGAGGCCTGTCCTGTGTTTGTCTAATCAGGTGAGTTTTCACACTGCACCACCTGTCCACAATCACCTCATTGTGATCAGTGTCAGCAGGAGTGTCCCACTCTTCCTACACCCTCCCTCTCTTTCAAACTTTGTGGACTGTGCATGACTGATCGGTATCTGGGATAAAACTTTAGATCTAAAGTCCATTGTTGTCACCGCCATGGCTCTTCTATTTGGGTAAGTGAAATACAAGTGTTTGACTTCATTGGGGTGCTGTTTGTTTCTGACTTGATCATTTTTCAGGATCATGCTGATACTCAGCTGCATTTGTTTTCCTCCTCTAAAAGGTAAGAATTGTTATTTTACTTTAGATACAGTTCAAACAAGTAAAATAAAGATAAATGTCTTTCTTCTTTTAAATAGGTGACAATTTTGCACATGGCTTCTCTCCCCATAATGATGCATTTGTGACCTCTGATGGTCACATTGACATGCAGAAAAGTGTTGTCCCCCCTCAGACCAATCCAGTCCACCATGAAGACGGTGAGGATGCTGGCTCTGTTACAAGTGATGAGAGGGTGCAAAGTAATCCAGACTCAGACCAAGACACAGAGCAGCTGAAAGCCAGCCCCTCTACTCCTTCTTTGCAAAGTTATAATCATGAAGCTTCTGGTTCTCAACACCCTTTTGGCCTTTTACTGAAGGAGCACAGTCAACAGAAAACTGCAGAGGGTGTCAGTTTCCCAACAATGATGGATTTTAAACACTTCATAGACAGGATGAAAAGCTCTTTCTTAAGACCAGGGAGTGACTTGAATAGACACTTTCAAACAGCTCGAGATGTTATCAAAAGTAAGATAGCTTCTGATGCTCATAATACTGATGGGGAGTCTCACACTGGGGTTACACCTGACCCTGAAAAAGAAGACAAAGAGCAGGATGAGGCTGGTGAGAATGAAGTCTGGAGTGAATCTGTTAACACAGAGTTTGAAGAAGGTGATCCAAACTATCAAACGCCAAGTGATCCTGTTGACCAAGCTGCAAATTTGATCACTGATGGTGTTCATCATAACCAAGGACTAGACATGGACTCTGCTGTCCAACATCACCATCTGTTGGCAGATCATGCTGCAAATAATAATGAATGGTCTGATAGCGATAGGGATACTTCTATAAATGCCCCTCAGTCCCCAAATTATGATGCTTGGTCCATAAACTCTGAGTTCTCTGTAAAAAGCCCCTCTCACTCATTCTATGGAGAAGATTTGTCTTTCAACCACCCTCCAGATTTTAGCTCTCATTCAAGCAAGATAATAAATATCCAATCTCCTACAGCTGAGGAAAATATCCAACCACACGAAGACAATGAAGTGTGGCATCATAAAGCATCAGCTGGTGGAGGGTTTAGAGAAGATCTCCAAAAGGATGAAGCAGGTAGAAGGACTCATTCCAATGATCTGTCTGCGCCTGAGCCCACACCTTTAAACTCCTATGGCAATAGTATGTATGTTAATGCACCAAGAGGTCTGATGCCATTCCCAGAGCATCTCCCAAAACAAGGTCTGAGCTCTAGTTCTGAAAACCCCTCACCAAAGAGTATAAATGGTCAAATGGGTGCTCAAGCGAGCAGCCCACAGCGTATTACCGTGGAATCTTCCAGCCTTAATCTTGAAGGCTATCCCAGAGAGCAGAGAGTCCATATATCCATCAATCCTGCACCTGAGCAGACTTCACTCCCTACTACCCAGGAACCAAAACAAGTCACAGACAGTTTCCTGTTTCCTCGTTCTGATGGCTCAGGCTCCAGCCAGACTGACATCTCATCTCAGGTCGGACTTAGTGATGCAAGTTTCAACTCAATCATAAACTTGGCTCCTGAATCAGAGACAGCCTTCTCCAGTCCGGCCAGCAATGAAATCATGTCCAGAAACACGGGTATCAAAAATGTTGTGTCTGATAGGAAGTTTAGGCTCCTGAATGGGGATACATTTAGTGCTAAACGACACCCGGGTCCATTTCCAATCCCACAAAAACAAAGCTCTCCTCTCAATGGTGGCTTAAGGAGTGCAGCCAGAGCTGGACACCGGCAGACCTTCACTCAACCTAACAAAGTTTGGAAGCATCCATCTTTTACAAATAAAGCACACGTGGCCTTCCAGCATCTGGAACCTCTGTCTGCATCCAGAGTTGACACCAAGGGGCATCCTCCTCAGACAGGCCTTATGATACCACCACCTTTACATTCGTACACTGTGAAAACTGAAAATGGCTTTCTCAGGGGTGAAGTATTTCAATCAAAGAGTCACTATGACCCACATCAGCAAAGTGAGGGTCGATACTCACACAGAGGGAATCCATGGAGATTTAATTACAAGAAAACCGCAGGCATCCATGGATAAGGAACTGAGGAACCATGAAGAAGACTACAAATGTTTGCAGAGAGATGAGAAGGTATTGAACATTCTCAAATGTTTTAATGTCACTTTTAATAGTGAAATTGAATCTTTTTGAACATTTGAACCAATGAAAAATGAATCTGATTATCTCTCTTTTGCTCCCAGCAGGCTCTTTTATCATCAGCTGGGAGGAAAATACTGCTATTAAACACACATCTGCTGTAATTTGTAAAGTCATTAAATGTTTTGAAGTTTTCTGTCTAAGGTCATACTTAAGTTGTGCCACATACAATGGTATCACCCTGCCAGTCAGAATAACAGATCATTTTTATGTGATGGAGTGCATTATATGGAAAGGAAAAACCGACTTTATTTATTAATGTAACTTTAAACATTTTGCATTCATCATAGAGGGTCCACACCTTCAGTCCTTGGAAACCCGAGTAAGAGAGCCACCGTGTGTTCAACTCAGGGAAAGACGGAAACAGTTGGTCAACCACACTAATCTTACAGAATAGGTCGTTGCTAGGTAACAATGTGCTGCAGAAAAACCTAGATGTGCGTGTAGCATCCAAAAATAACCGTATGACACAAATAGCTCATCCTTGCGAGCATTGCTGTGTTAATTGGTTGTAAAATGTTATGATGTAAACAAATTGAAAACGACCATTTTATCGATACCAGAAAATCCTTAAGACAACGGTATCAACCCTGCGAAAGTTTTGATCGGCCATCTGAACTGCGGGGTTGCCAGGTACGACGGTTTTGGGATTATTACGGTGGCTGAGAACCGCCACTGCTGTAAATAAAAAAAGAATACAAAAAAAAAAAAAGTCACACCGGAAGTTATCGACGCGCGCGCACACACACACGGTTCTTACTGCGTGAATAAAAGGATGCAAAGATGCAACGGAAGTAAGATGATGCTTTACGATCCAGCCACAGATGATGACGGCAAGAAGATGAGCAAAGAAGTAAGTGTACAGGTTATTGTTAAATTTCGCTTCATGTGTTTTTCAAGGTGTCATTTGATCAGGCCATGTAGTGCCTGAGTTGATATGAAGTTGAACTGAAGCTAACACTACACTGGCATCCTCCAGTTCAACTTCATATCGACTCAGGCGCTACATGGCCTAACCAGAGCCGAGATCGTAAAACATGGGTGCATCATCATTATTGGTCCCCGGCAGCTCACTTCTGTTGTGGCTTTTTTTATTTGCATCCTTTTATTTATGTAGTTAGAATTTTTTTTTCCTTGCCACTTCTTTTTGTGTCATTAACTTCAGTTGTGTCTTTTTTTTTTTTTTAAGCTGCACCATTTCTTTTTTATTTGCAGTGGGCTTCAGTTTCTTTTTTCTTTTTCTGTCGTTACTTCCTTTTTTAGCATTTTTTTTTTATTTGCAGCAGTGGCGGTTCTTGGCCACTGTAAAGTATGATTCAGGAATTTCCCAAATTTACGCGTTTATAACAAACAACAAAATAACAAAATATGTCGTACACTATGATACCTATAAAAAATATGCATTTTTATCACTCTTACCAAATAGTGGAGGCATACATCCCTTTTAATTTATGAAGATTTCAAAACTTGAGTTAACATTTGTGGCTTGCAGACGGGTTTAAACTCTTTTTTTATTACTTTTTTCTGGTCCAACCTGGCAACATGCGCTGCCCGGAACAAGAGAGCAGATCATTGTTGACAACTGTGGCTTGTCTGCAAACTTCTCCAGTTTTCAGAACAATGAGTTCATCTGAAATGCTTTCGATAGGCTTTGTAGTGACATCAATTGGTTCTCCCCAGTACTAGCTAAGTGAACCACCAGCTGTTGAATGATACAAGATTTAACTCGTACCATTTCAGACCATCTGGTGATAAGCGTTAGCTAGCTAGCTAGCAGGGTTTAGCTGCAGAGACTCAGCAGCATGGGGGATGGAAGGATCACTCCCAGGATCGGCAGCATGAGAACTCTGCTCGGGATAGTTGCCGGTGCTGGAGCGTCCTATGGGATATACAAACTTATCAGCATGGGAGGCATGAAGAGAAACAAGAAAAGTGTCACCAGTGAAAGTCCTGGTCCCAGGAGCAGCTCACCCAGTGAAGTGACCCTGCAGCCGGGGAGCCTGCTGGCCAAAGTGTCTGGACTGGACGTGGTCTGTCCTCGACCTGCAGATATCGCGTCTGGTAAAAAGCACTGAGCTCATAAAATCTAGAGATACTTATTCTTGATAACATCTTTACCTTAATGAATTTATGCAAATAGTTTATCTAAAGTCATATTGAAAGTCAGCCTCTTATACAGGATATTTACAATACTTTGAGAACTGATAGTTGCTGCAGAAGTGACTCAGCACACCGCAATCACGGTTAATAGTGTTATCAATGTGGTGTGTACAGGTGACATCATCCACCAGTCTCCTGACAACCTGGACCCACAGCACCTGAAGATGCTGCTGTCATGTCTGCAGACCAACACTAATCCATCTGACAAATGCCGGATCCTTGTTACATTAGGAAATGCTGCTGCCTTTACTGTGAATCAGGTATAGTAAGATGTAGGGGAGAGTGGGGTAAGTTGAGCCAAAGGGTAAGTTGAGCCACCCCCTGTTACTTGGAAATAGTAAAAGAAATTGATCATGACCAAAAATTGAGGAGATGGTATCTATGAGCTACAACATGTGGTCAAAGTAGGGATACGGCTCAACTTACCCCGTCTATGGGGTAAGTTGACCATAGGAGACCACTTTTTTGGCATGCTATGTTATCAAGACAGTTATGTTTACACTCATTCTGTTGGTTTGCAGGGATGCACAACATCTTGAAATATATGCAGATACACTAGTTGGAGACAAAACTATGATTGCCTTGATGTAGTGGTCTGAAATATGAAAAATGGCTCATCTTACCCCACTCTCCTCTACTCTCTATCAGAAAATAAGCTGAAAAGCTTGCCATGACTGTTGGTTGAAGGTTATAAATCTTAAGGTTTCTTTTGCTTGTGAAATAAAATTTTGTTCTTTGCAGAATCTAATTCGGGACTATGATGGGATTCACATTATCGCTGGTTTCCTCTCAGATTCTGTGGCAGAAGTTAGAGTACAAACTTTGAATGCTCTAAATAATCTGTGTATGAACATCCAAAACCAAGAACAAATCAAGGTATGGGTTCGCAGAGTGTGCTGTGAATACCGTTCGGTCATTTGTTGAGTGTTTAACAGTTTGGTCTGAAATGTATCTCACTCAAGTATGATGTAAAAAATAACCTTGTCTTGTAGGTATACGTGCCACAAGTGCTGGAGCTGATCGAGATGTCACCAGTGAACTCTGACCTTCAGCTCGGTGCCCTCCGGCTACTTACAAACCTTTCAGTCACGGATAAACATCAACACTTGCTGAAGGATTCGGTTACACTCTTACTCTCTCTGCTTGTTGTTAGCATCGAAGCATTACAGGTTGGTGTCTGCCCAGTTCCCATCTGGCTAATCCTCTTTACTTTCTCCAGAATGACGTATCTGAACTTGAGTTTTTTATACCTTAAAGTTTTGATGATGGGTGCCATGACTCTCCAAATCTATACTTCCTCTTTTTTTCATTTTATTTTGAGGTCATGTTTGGATTTGTAACATTTCTGCACACCAGTCGATTTGTCGGGGATATATCATATTGCAATTTTCCTTCTTTTGAGTTCAGTGAAGAAATTACAAACTTAGTTTGATCATTTTTGTCTAGTGGTTAAAACCTTTTTACCCTGCTTATGAAGTATTTGTCATTCTGAAACTTTAGAAATTTAGTGGCTACACTCTGTGAATGTAGTGTGAGTGACTGAAGTACTTGTTTTATCTGTGTTACAGGTTCAGGCTCTGAAAGTTCTGGTAAATTTGTCATCTAATCCAGATATGATGGATGACATTGTTCAAGCTCAGGTAAGAAACAGAGTCACATTATCAGAGCAGTTTGCATGTTAGCGTACAATTCATATCAAGTCAGGTCTTTCTTTTGGGGCATGTGTGGACAAACTCTTGGTAGGAATCCATCCTTATTATCAGTCCTCCTTGAGCTGTTATTCTTCTGCCTTTTGACTCTAGGCCCCAGCCTCTGTCGTGCTGCTGTATGACGCTCGGACAGCCTCTCCAGTGCTACTGCGACTGCTGATGTTCGCAGGGAACTTAAAAGCCTGGAGGCCCTCTGCCCAAGTGGCGGACGAACTGAGGCGGAAGCAGGATTGCCTCTTCCGGGTCATGTTAGATGAGTCCTCCCAGCTGCACAGCAGAGTGGTCCAGCTCCTCTCGCACCCTGATGAGGAGATTCAGGCCCAGGTGGCTCGCATCTTGACGTAGACCCCACACTCTGCACTTTTGAACCATGCATAGCTTTAGCTGTTACACACCTCACCAAAGCCACCAACCTCTACTTTAGCTCTGATTCTGTTGGCTTTACTGTCTGAAAAGAGCCGGCTGCTTTGCCTCCTCTGGATTTTGTAGTGAACACCTCCACACTCACTTTAATATTCTCTCTATCAACATTATCACCACTCAAACCTAAGTTATTTATTCTGCCTCACCAGCTACTTTTCACTGATTTCCAGTTTCTAACTCAGCATTTCATTTATCAGCAATAAGTTTGCACGAAGCAGGAAGAAACTATGTGTTTCCATGTTTTCTTCCTGTCAGCGAAAGTTTCCCTCTTATTGCCAGAGACTGTTTTTCTTCAAAGCTCCAGAGTGCCCTTCCTTCTGAGAAACTGACCCGCTTTTTTGAAGATGTATTTATTCCAGGTGAAATTTCTAAATCCAAACCCACTGCCAAACCTTTTCTAAGAGAATGTGTCTGAATGACCTGTGCTGCATGAGCCAGCTGCTCTGGGATTCATATAGACACTACGATGGAGAGCTGACAAGGTTCTGTGCTGCACACCTGAGCATGCCTTGAAGACACGAATGAATAGATGTACTGCAGCTCCAGTCCTCACGAAACGACCAGGGGTTTTGTTGGATTAAAAGATTGTGATCTTCTTTAGAGGGATAGATTGCCAGTTTAATATACTTGAGAATCCACATCGGGACTTCAGTGCCACTTGAGAGCCAAAGCAAGAGTAAAATGGACAGTGTTTGGCCCCACAGACCCGTGATCATGTTTCAAAGGAGCAGGAAGACGCTGAAATCGAAACACCCCTCCAGTGGCTGTGGTGGAAACCTGCTAAGAACACTATGTGGGTTACTTTTGAAGGTACACTAACCACGTATGTGAAACCCCGGTGCTTGTGCAGAATCTTCCAGAGAGGAGCTGAAGGACACTGCAGGGGAGAGGATATCTGGACTGCTGTAGCCATGTGAACGACCACATATATTGTGTGATTATGATGTTTTTATCCTCTGACTGTAGTGACATATTTTTGATCATTAAGTGGCTGTTGTATGCCAATATTGAATGTTAAATGAAAGCCTTATTATGTACAGTAGTGATATCGACTGTATGTGACAGAGTGATAGATGTGTCATCTAGATGGAGGACTGGAGTTGACTTTTAATATAAAGACTACAGAGAGAAGGCTATGTAGGGGCATATTTGCATGGAAAAAAAACAGATGAATATCTCAGATTGTGATTTTTAATGCAAGGATTTTGTAGCACGTCCAGGTGTTAAAAATGCTGCAAACTTTTATGTTTTGACTTTATTGAACCCAAATCCTAAAGATCTCTCAGGCTACATGGTTTACCAGAACAGAAACAGCAGGAGGCTGATTTACTTGTGACCTAGATTATTTTATTTATTTAATGAAGTTAGTCAGCATTTTGCATACAAAATGAGGAATATGTTTGTTATGTGTGGTTCAATAAACACACAAAGTGTCTCATTTTGGATCGTAATGTTCTTATTTCCTCCATTAAAAACAAAGCACTAACGGAAATGTTGCCTCCTACAGCAGGTTTTAAATAGCTGGCTTAGTCTGACATTGGGTTTTATTAATTTTATTTATATTATTATTTTGATAATTATTATTTTGAAAACTTACAAACAAGAAAAAGAGAACTTTTGTGCATTAAATGTATGTTTAAAAGCTTTCTATATGATGATCTGAATTCAAGCAACTTACTGCACAGGTCTTTTCTCAGGTCTCCATCACATCATCTCTATCAATCAATCAATTGATTTTTGTAATATAGCGCCAATTCACAACAGTCGTCATCCCAAGACGCTTTCCAAAGAAAAAGGGCAGGTCGAGACCACCCTCATTGTTTGATGAATTATCAAGACCTAACCTAAAATGGGGATTGGCCCATCTCATCTAACATGAGTGACAGTGGCAAGGAAGAACTTCCTTTTAACAGGCAGAAACCTTGAGCCGCTGCTGGGTTCATCTGCTGAGCCGCTTCTGGCTGAATGTCATTACTTTTCAGGTATTACAAGCTATTTCCAGGGTAAACAGGCAAAATGAATTAAGGGCTTATGCACCATTTAGTCATAACAGATTTCCATGAAGGTTGCTGTAATTTATCCAGATTTAAAAGCTCTTAATGCCCTTGACTGAACCTGAAAGAGGAGACTCCCTATCTTTACTTTTTAAAGTTTGAGATTAAAGCAACATAACGACAGAGAGCTGTAAAACTTTACAAAGCAGAATCTGAAACAACCTGATTTTTGGTCCCTATAGGGGAGAGTGGGGTAAGATGAGCCATTTTTTATATTTCGGATCACTAAATTGTATCTGCATATATTCCAAGATGTTGTTCATCCCTGCAACCCAACAGAATGAGTGTAAACATACATAACTGTCTTGATTATATAGCATGCCAAAAAAAAGTGGTCTCCTATGGTCAACTTACCCCGTGTATGGGATAAGTTGACCACAGGAGTGGGATAAGTTGAGCCATATCCCTACTAACCCCCCACTCTCCACCCCAGCCCTACCTCACCTTCTCTCTCCCTAAATAACAGTCGCTTCTTCACATTCACGTGTATTTTTATGTATCATACACTATTCAACTGGTACAATAATTCTTTTTATCATTATTGCATATAACATGAGAATGTCTTTAAGTGATTCAGAACATTCACAGCTGTATTTTTGAAAAGAAAAAGTAACACATTTCAACAATCTAAACTGAAACTCTGATCCTCTCATCAGACTTCTTTACTTTCTCAGTTACCCCAGAACTACTATTCTGACTTTATTAGTCCTCTAAGATAAAATGGTGGACTTTTATGCTAGGTTTCTGACCTCATGTTGTAGCTCATAGATACCACAATTGATGTGTAAAACAAATTTAAAATGATCTTTTTTGGCCTGAACACAATTCTAATTAAACTTATGACAGACTAAATTCACTTTTAAGAGTGAAAAATGTTTTTTTGGAAATAAATGTCTAACCCCTTCACCCATGTGCTTCTAACCTTCACAGACTTCATGAATTGATGTCCATCTCCTAAATATTTGGTCACATGATCAATTACTTCTACCATTTCCAAGCAACAAGGGATGGCTCAACTTACCCTTTGGCTCAACTTACCCCACTCTCCCCTATGTGGGTTTATTTTTAGGAAAACTGGCACCTATTTCCTACCTTAGTGCTATATGTTCATTTCATATAAAAGCCCAGTTATTTCAAACTCCTCAAATTATGAATTTGTATTTTTATCCTGAACATATTTGTAATGTTTTAATTTGATTTTATCAGCATGTTTTCCTTTATTTCCTTCCAACATACAACTTGCCTTGCTGCCTGAATCAAATCATCATGACACAGAACTAATTAACTAATACGCATCTGTCAGTGCGTCATTCTGCTGATAATGACTGTCAAAAATACAAAAACACTCATTTCCGCTTCCAGACTCTTGTGATTTAGGTGCACATTCCGCCCATCTACGCCAGCACCCATTAAAACAGGGCTGATTTTGCGTGGATGATGCGTTGGGTCTTTTGTCTCCTCCCTCCCTTCCTCTCTCTCTCTCTCCCAGGCCCACACAGTCCTGCCTCCTCCCCCCTCTGAACAGGCTGGATGACCATCGCTGGATCCTCCGGAGCCCCAGCAGAGTCACACCGAGGATCAGAGCGTGCAGGCGGTCACCCGAGCAGCAGCCATCGCAGGGATCAGGGATCAAGGTTTCGGATTAGCCGCTTCACAGCGATGAACATCCGTCACGTTTAAGTCGAAGTACACGGAGCCCAAAGACACCTACACCGCGAGGATGAACGGGACTGCGGGATCGAGCTCGGGATCGGCTTCTTGTCGTTTCGCCCACTATTTTGTTGTGTGTGGGGTGGACACGGAGACGGGCCTGGAGCCAGACGATGGAGCAGGTACATGGTCTCAAAATATGACTGAAAAAATCACCATTAAAAAAAAAACAGACACCATTAGGATGATTAATGTCATGCTTCATATAGAAACACTGACTGTTAAATGAAAGGTTGTCTGTGTGAGTCAGGGTGACATCCATTTAAAGATGTTTTGATTGGACGTCATATCTCTTTTTCTCGCCTTTGTTTACAACATGAAATCAGATTTTTGTGTATAAATCCCAGGTTTTAGCCTAAAGGATGACATCTAAAATGAGCTTTAACAGAACTTTGTGCATATTTTCTGTCATAGTTTGCTTTTTATTGAAAATGCATCTCTTGGGAAAGGTAGCCTGACAGTAAAACAACCAGTAATTTTCAAGATACAAACAAATAATCTTTTCTGTCATTTGATTGAATGTAATTTAATGTAATAATGATCCAATATGACCCCATCTTCTCGTCCCTTTGTGTCAGCCTTCCTTAGAGAAAACACACTGCACTTCCTCTCATTGTGTTTATGAGTTTGACAGCACTGAGAGTGTACCTTTGTTGTTGTTGTTTTTCTGCAAGTCATCCACTAAAGCACAAGTATGAGGAAATAAAGCAGGGAAAAGGGTTTAACAGAGACAGGACAACAGTATCCCGTCCTGCCCCAAAAAACTAGAGCACAGATGGAGCATGGAAGCAGGCGGCGGTGGTTCATGGATAACACAGGAGGACCCAGATTACACTCTTCTGTGAATTTGACAGCAGTGATAATCTGTGAGATTGATGTTGCAGCTCTCTTATTATTTTTACAGATTGATCTTTTGTTTTAATAGAGTTTGTCTTTTTCCACCGAGCTGGAGAAAATGGGTGCCGGGATGTTGGTGGTTGCCACGGCAATAACAGCTGCAGTGATGGAGCTCATGATGGTTTATTTGTAGGGATTAGGGAAAAAAAAAAAGGTGTCAGGTGGTGCAAGCTTCCTCCGCACTGTGGTGTTGACATGCTGCTGGGTGAGGTGAGGACAGATTTCACCCGGGGGCTCTCTGTGGCGTGTGCACGTGGGTTTTGCTTCAAATTTGCCTCAGTCTGTGCGAGAAAATAACGATGCAGATGTGCCGAATACGAACAGCTTCAACAACCTCTCCATGTTAGAGTTGTAAAGTCCCACCCTGTATTCTTCCTGTGTTCTTTGTAGGAATCTAGCACATGTAGAGCAGATCCTTGAGGGATGAAACCAAACACTACCTCATTTTTTCCCTCTGTTAGCTTATCATCTTTCAGTTAATAGCAAACTGGACCGGATTATGATGGAAAGTGTAGCCTGGCTGCAGATTATTTGGGGCTCTCTCTTTCTAAAGGCCACTCTGATAGCTGACTCCCTGCAGAGATGACAGCGCTGCCACTGACTAGTATATCTGAGCTCCAGCAGTCTGCTTATGTAACAGCAGGTTGTCTTTGCAGCAGGGGGCTCTGCTCCTTTCAAGGGATTTCATTCTCTACATACATATTTCTCAAGCTGCAGTATAGCCAGATAGGCTGTGTTTATTCTTCTTTACACACGTATAGCTCTGTAGAAGCTGGTGCAGGATCTCAGAGAATGTGTATAATTAGTGATTGCCTACAGAGAAACAATCTGCTCTTGTTGGCTTCTCAATAGATGCCACTGTGTGTTTTCTGCAGCCTAATCAAATTTCACATGACGTTGCCTGTTGGCACGCTGACTGGCTGGGGCTTCAGCGCCCGTTCAGGCCCGGTGGTTGTCACAGGGGGATGACATCAGTGAAGGGCAAGAACTCCCTGACCGAACATTTGAGTGCTGCCTTTCAATGCTGATCAGACTGCGCCGAGAAGTTTCTCACATGCTGCTATAACAAAAGAAATTCCAGACTGTCTTATTTTATTTTTAGGCTCGTCACACTTACTTTTGTGCTTTATTTTAAGCTCAGTTCTTTGTCTGTACTTCAGGCTCAGACAAAAAAGGAAAATGTGTCACTTTTCTTGATTTATCTAAAATAGATGGACAACAACTGCTTTACAGTGTCTGACCCTAGAAAGGAAAAACTCCTCAGCCAGCACCAGCAGCTGGCACTTGCTGAAATTTGATTCTCTCCCCACTCCTTGTGTCTACCCTCAAATACTCATGCACTGATGTGACATATGTGAAATGGGGCATTCCAGGGGGGTGAATTTGACAGATGCCTCGACTGAGCCCTCAATCATTCCTGATAAAGTATCCCTACAAGTGGGAGACCATTTAGGGCTGTAAATCTGTGAGATGAATGTCTTAACCAGGGAAGGAATAAGCTGTTCATGACCTCCAAAACACTGACAATACAGATGTTTAAGTGATGCGGATAAGAACCAGTCTGTAATGAGGATTAAAAAGCCATTTGTGCCAATCAAGTGATAGTTTTATTCCATTTTAAGGGGAAAAAGCTAAATACGTAAACCAGTTTCTGCTATGAGCTGTAGGTCCAAGTTTCAATGTGTTACTGTCTTTTTTCTGACAGGATTCAGACCAAATGGTTATGATTATTCAAACTTATTTTATTTTGACACATTAGGTCGTAGCTCCTTACTCAAACAGATGATTAGCTTCCACTGTGTGTGTGTGTGTTAATGTGGTGTAATGAGGAACCATGCTATCACAGCCTGTCTGGAACAGGCATTTAAGCTCTCATCCTCACACCGAAACAAACCTCCCTCTTCATCTGTTCTGATAACAAAGACGCCGTGCACACTCTGTGGTGGGAACTCGTGTCAGGAGGAGCCTGCCTTCTAATTGGGTCAGCGAATGAAACACAAAGTGACGTAGCTTTGATGAGCTTTGCCGCGATGGCTATCTTCAAGGCCACAGCGGAAGTTGCTGCCATGGCAACTAGGTGTCTTTAAGCGAGGCTGTTTTTTCGCCTCTCGGCGCCGACACCAATTTGTATCCGCAGCAAGGAACATTGACTCCCCCCCTCTTCCCTCCATTAGCTTGTGTCTCCCACTTACCAGCATGACTCAGTTTAAGTTGATGTGGTGCTCTTGTGTTGCTCTGCCTGCAGCGCAGCATCGTCTCTGTGCGTCATCTCTGGAGGCAGGTGAGGTGGAAGGTGATAAACGCTGAATGAGACCTTCAAAATGGATCTGTCTCTGTTTCTAGAACTCCATGTTCCCTGTCATAGTATGACATATTGCTGAGACCTTTTAAAGGGTTTTATGTTTTAAGTAGTGCTGGGTGAATATGTTAAAACCGCCTATATACAGCTTTTAGCCTTGTGACGTTATGTTTGAAATGCCAAAAAATGCTTTAAAAAAGTTCCTTGAAAAAATCATAGCTGGTAGCTGGTGGCATTTTTACCCCTTCAACTGCAGCCATTCATTTAAGCTGATAAGAAAGACTGTAAACACAGAATCTCAGAGTTTATAGATTGTTCGTTTTGAGCAGTTTTGTTCTCGTCATGACGACGGCTCACTCTGTGAATGTAGTAAGACTCTTCTCAAGGACATCCCTCACAATGTGGATGAATAATGAAAGTCTCTTATTCACTGCAGACAGATTAAACACATACAATGAATCATACTCACAGGCAGATTCCCTTTGTGTGTATTTCAGCAGCATCCCCTCCCTTCACTCTCACAGGCAGCACTCTGTATGTAACAGGAGATGGAAGCTGACACAAACTGCAAGGACTCATAGAGGAGAAACCTGAACCTGACACAGCCATGCATCAAATCCCTGCATTGTGAAGATAAAGTGAATACTGTGGTGCATCCGCTGCAAATTCAGTGCTTTCATACACAGCTAACGGTTGTGTGGAAATCTCTCATCATTTATTCTCCTGATGGATGGAGTAGTAGCGTGTTTTCATCCTCTGCACCCCCCACACGTGTGAAGAGTTTTCTGCTGCAGTGTGTGAGGGATGAGGGTGCTGTGCTGCGTTTCCAGTCTATCTGTATGGTAATGAGTTGAGTTACATAACCCTTGGATGGGTTTTTCCTTCTTTCTCTGCAGAATGGGCCTGGCTGCCAACAACAGATGAACAAGGTCGTCCTGTCTGGGCTTTGCTGTAAATCAGAGCTGTTGTCATCATGTAGCGTCTTGTGATCAGTTTTTTTTTTTGCTTTGTGACAAACTCTGACTCAGCAGCGATTACGGTTAAAGATCAACATTTACTAATCCAATAAAACTGACTCTCATTTCAGGTGAAGGCTTTGAGCAGAGCCCCATCCGACGGTCTTTCAAGTCAAAGGTTCTGGTGCACTACCCCGAAAACACAGACAGAAACCCCTTCAATAAAGATGCTGTCAACATGGTGAGACCGCTAATAACACAACCAACATAACAGCTCTTGCATGGTGTTTTTACTCTCTGTCATAGAAAAGGAAACAATAGTGAAGGACAAGATGTACTTTGTTTGGCTGCTGTTACAAATCACAAAGGAGGAGAACGATAAGAAGATCATCTTGAGAAAAACACAAGTTAGAGTTATTTGTTGTTGCTTGAAACAGAAAACAGTCTTTCTAGAAATGCAGGAAAAGTTTATGATGTTGAAGCAGAAGTCAGATAAAATTGTCTGTAGTCTTTAGACTGGAAATCTGCTGTTTCATGCCTATAAGCAGATATTTGTTCAATTTCTCCCTCCTCGTTTCTCTTCCTTCCTCACTCTTCCTCCTCAGCTCTGCATGCCGAGGGGTCTCTCCTTCCGCACGCAGGCTGACAGACTTGACCCCCAGTTTCACTCCTTCACCATGTCCTTCGACGATGGCACTCGTTCCTACGGCTTCGTCCACACCTTCTACGAGGAGGTGACCAGTGCTCAGATCATCACGGCCATGCAGACTCTCTACCAAATGCACCACGTGGAGCACCACTCTGCTTCATCCACCTCTCCCTCCTCCTCCTCCTCTTCATCCGCCTCCTCTCCTTCCACCTCCAGCATGGACTCACTCGTGAGCAGCTTGGATGAGTCAGACGCTGAATCTCTGGCTGGGGTCTCTTCCTGCCTCGGCTGTGGGGGTTCTTTCGACCCGGCGCGGGACACACTGTATGTGTCTAAAGCCCTCTGCCTCCTCACCCCGCTCCCTTTCCTCCAAGCAGCCCGGCAGTTTCTGTCCCAACTGCATCAGGCTGTGACCTCACACACAGCCCCGCCCCTCCCTCTGGAGAGCTACATCCATAATATCTTATATGAGGTGCCCCTGCCTCCCCCTGGTAGATCGTTGAGGTTTCATGGGGTGCAGGGACCCATTGTGTGCCAGCGACCTGGGCCTGGTGAGCTTCCACTAGGGGAGTTTCCTCTGGGAGAGGCTTTCTCTCTGCTGGGTGTGGACAATATGGTGCAACTTCTCACATGTGCTCTTCTGGAGACACAAGTCCTGCTTTATTCTCAAGGTGAGGAAAGTCGAAGAATTATAAAATGTTATTTGTAGAAACATTTACATGGATATAATTACAGCCAGGAAACTGAAAGTGTATCTTAAAGATTATTAAACCTTCCCAGGCATTACAAACTGAATAAAGCCTTAAGAGAGGATGTCACAGCTCACATTATACATAACGTACATAATGTGCCTCTGAATGTAATTTCCTTCCTCTGTAATTATAGGTGATTTGTTGATGCTGGAGTTTCTCTCTCTCTCTCTCTCTCTCTTCAGATTACCAGCATTTGATGACGGTGGCAGAAGGCGTTACCACACTGTTGTTCCCATTCCAGTGGCAACACATCTACCTGCCCATTGTGTCTGCACCACTGCATCACCTCCTGGATGCGCCTTTGCCATTCCTGATGGGTATCCAGCGCAGAGTTGGAGCTCAGCGATCCTCCCTCCACCTCCCACACGAGGTAGAGATGTAAAAATGAATATTTCACGTGTATTTATATCTGTTGTTGAACCTCATATCAGGATACGGATGTTCACAATAAAGGATATAAAAATGGTTTAAGTAAACTGAACTCTGCGAAGAGCTCTCACAGCTATTTGCTGATCCTCTCTGTGCTGTATGTGTGACGGTTTGCCTGCTGCCTCCATAGACAGACAGACAGACAGACAGACAGACAGACAGACAGACAGACAGACAGACAGACACTTTATTTATCTCACAGGGAAATTCAAAAAACCAGAGGCAGCATCAAAAAAACACAGTACACATTCTACCAATACTGTGATAATACTTACACTAAATAGAGAATAAATAAAAAACAGTCTATAACCATGACCTGAAGGCAGTACTACAGAGCCTATTGCTGGGATATTTCCTCATAGACCTCCCCTTCCCCCCTCTTGTATAAATCCAGTCCTTAAACCGAGATCACTTTATGTTGCATGAACATCGCTCTGAAACCTCTTTGAAGTCGCTCTGCCCCAGAAAGGAGGCCGTTGAAAGAGAGCTTGGGGGGATGAAAGAGTATGAAGGACACAGAAAAATGGGACTTGCTGAATAATTCATGCAAATTAAGGATTCACGCTTGGAATTATTTTATTTTGTGGGTAATTTGTGAGGAATGCTTTAAAGACATTTGAAATTTAATAGGACTGTTTTTTTTTAATCTAATTGAGGCAGACAGATTTAAGTATACTAAAATGCATCAGTTTCAGTCATGCAGTGTAAACCTTTAAAATATCTCATCTTCTTTGGTTTAAAAAATGCTTTAATGGTGAAGAAGTAGAGATATTAACCAGGAAGATAAAGCTGCACAGAGTAAGAGGAAGATGTGTGCAACTGTCCGCTCTTCAGCTCGTCACCCGGCTTTCCCTGAGGCTGCAAGCTGACAGCCTGAGGTCACTGTCGAAGGTCTCGCTGCTGCTGACTGAGCTGTGCTGCACCGCTGCTTACAGAAGCATTATTCTAAGATCTTTCGTACAGTTCTGTAACTGGTTGCTCAGCGGCTTCATTTGCACAGGTTTCTAATTCTGTGTGAAAGCCTGATACGCAGCTTTCCACAGTGTCCCCTGTTGCAGCGATAACAGTAATCTCTGTATAATCCCTGACATGCTGATATCCTCGAAGGGCTTATTATGACCAAATACCAAGAATCTATTAATGAAATGTGGGTCCTCATCACTGATCGTAATTGGATGTTGAAGCTCAGAATCAGTCGGTGCAATGAGATGGGTTAAACCTGTTAATGTTATCTGGTAGAGGATTCAGCTGAAAAGTGTTTCTCTTTCGCACACAGGCCAACCTTTGCTTTGTAGACATCGACAACCACTGCGTTGAGGCCCCCGAAGACCTCCCTGTGTTCCCGGATCAGACGGAGCTCATCCAGGAGCTGAGTGAGGTGCTGCTGCGTTTCGGACTCCCTCCACAGGGCGGAGCGGTGACTAAGCCCGCTATCACGACCGCCTCCCCCCGGCTGAGCAGCCTGGTGCTGGAGGATCTGATGGAGGACAGGAGGAATGGGAACTTGGGAGGCGAGGAGCTAGCAGTGCTGGAGAGGCTGCAGGCTCTGGCACAGCGGTGTGGAGGAGACAAGATGTCAGGGGGAGAGAAGACGCTGGGACACGTGTTTGAGGAGGAGGAGGAAGAGCTGAAGAATGCAAAGCTGAACATTCAGCTGAGGGAGGTGTTCTCTGGACGTTTTGCTGCCATGTTTGGCAGGTATGAAGAGTTTGTCATCCACAGTGCTGTTGATTTGGACTCCTGGTTGAGCAACAGAGAGGGAACCTTGAACTTTGACAAGGTAATGCTGTAAAGATTGATCTAGTGATAGTTTCTTTATCCTTTTTGATTTTAAATGCTTAGTTAGGAGATCAAATCACTGCCACTGTGTTGATCTAGTTTGTGGTTTTCACTCTGTCAGGGTTCATTCCTCTCAGTCCAGCCTGCGGCCCACCTGCATTTCCTGTCCCGTTTCCTGGAGACATCCATGTTTTCCTCGTTTGTGGATGGGAAGGTGATATCCCGCTGGGCAGACAGAGAGCCACTGCAGCAGCTTTTCGACAACCGTCTGGAGAGAGAACGACTGTATGACACGGATGAAGAAGACCCCCGTAACTGCCGCTACAGGAAGTGCACCTCGCTCTTTGAGTCAGGTATGGTGGCTCTTTATGTGGCTAAGAACAGAAGAGAACGCAGGGTAAACAATGAGTTTTAATACAACTTTGCTTCACTTCTGTAGATTTGAGCAAAAAAAGACTTAAAGCTTCAGATAAGAGTTTCTGAAAGCAAAAAGAAATTTAGCTGTTCATTTTTATGAAAACCTTCTACAAACTGAGAGTAACTTCATGAAGCTTTAACAGTTTCTCTTCGGGATTTATCCAGAAAATGGATTCACCCCACTATTGGCAGACTGAACAGCATAATATGATTGAAGTGGTTGCCAGATTTACATAAGGGAATCTGCAAATCTGCCACCATCTGTTCTTCTGTTTGGGTTTTTTTTTTCAGCATGTTGCTCATGCTGCTCTGCTTTCCTGCAAATACTGTTTTTCTCTCTTTATTGTGGAAAACACTGAAGATTTTGCTAAGCTTTGCTCAAGGGGGATTTGTCCACCAGGATATTTAAGTATTTAAAAAGCAACTCATGGATACATTTGAGTGGAAATTAAAACCAAATTCTCTGGTTAATCTGAAAAAGAGGAGGTAAAGGAGGCTTGAGTAGAGGGGTTTAAGAAGGATGGAGTAAATATTATAGTAAAGACTTATATGCAATATATGCTCACAGGCTTTTGAGACTGATAAAGATGGTCTCAAATCTCTGAAGTCCTGCAAGACAAACAAATAGGCCCAAGTGCATATTTGTCCATCCGCACACTTCTGTAACTACGGTAGATCTTAACCACCTTTGCCTCTACAGCTCAGGCCATTGAACGAAGGATGATGAAGGCCGACCACACAGCTATACACCCTCACCTGCTGGACATGAGGATCGGCCAAGGTCGTCACCAGCCGGGCTACTTCCCCAAGCTGCAGGCTGATGTTCTTGCACAGGGACAAAACTCCAACAAGTGAGACTTTCCTTCATGCTGGTAACCAGTGAGATTGAATCGGGAATAGTTCGGGAATACTAAGAGAAGTTAGCAAGGAATAGTCCCCATCCTCACTTTCTTCCTGTCTTCAGTCGAAACAATTACCTCAAAGTGATTAGTATGTTGCTAAATTTTTTTTTTACATGAATTTTTTTTATAGAAGCAAAGCGAAACTTAAAAACATAGCTGGCTTATGTTATACTGAATGATTGAAGGTCTTTCTATGTGGAGTTTGCATGTCATTCTTGTGAATGTCTGGGTTCGCTCCAGGGTACTCTAACTCCTCCCCCAGCCTAAAAACATGCTCATTAGGTTAATTGGTCTCTCTAGATTGAGGGTGTCTGTCTATATGCTGGCTGGCTCTGTGATAGCCTGGCAGTCTGCACAGCCTGTTCTCTACCTCTGCTCAATGACAGCTAGGATATGCTTCAGCTCCCCCAATGATCCTGCATGTGATAAGGGTTTGGATAGATGGATGGAATAACTTTTTTACTTCTGATACGATACTGATATTGCAGCCCTCGTTATTGGCCGATACGTTTTGGCCAAGCTGCAACGTCTTTTTCAGACTTAAATGAAAAATACTGCCACATGGCCGATATCACTCCTACTTCTTGTGTCTTTGTTTGTACCTTAATACACACTTGTTGTGATTTTGTGGGCTCTGCATGCTAGATAGAGGTGCTAAAGCAGAGTCTGGAATGGACTGCTTGTATCAGAGTGCTTATATTGAAGATTTTAGATGCAGGCCGATATAATCCAATATTTGTTTTTTTTTGCTGATATCGGACCGATATCCGATATCAATATCAGATTGGGACATCCCTAGTATAACTAGTTAAGATGATGGATAAAAAGTTTTATAGTTTTAAGTAATGAATAAATGGCCACATGAAAAGGAAACACTTTTGTTATCAGCTGAAATGAGATTTTGAACAAAGAAAGGTTGATAAAAGGCTTTGGGCAGGATAAGATACTGCAGATGTAAATCTCTATTGCTTTACAAAATACACAAACACACTTAAGAAACAAGAACACACATATTAATTCTTCTGTGTTATTTGTGTAAACAGGTGGTCAAGTCGAGTCACAGCTTCACGCAAAAGTGACCCCAAGAGATCATCGATGACTGAACACTCAGGAGTAGACAATGAACAGAGACAGGTACTCTCTCTCTCTCTCTCTCTCTCTCTCTCTCTCTCTCTCTCTCTCTCTCTCTCTCTCTCTCTCTCACACACACACAAACACTCACACACATATACACACAAACACAAAGGACTGAATTAAGAAGTCTTGAGTATAATTTATTCCCTCTAACTTGTTTTACAGAAGCACACATTTGCAAGAAAAAACCTCTGCCAGTCTAAGCTACTTGACACATCGCCACAAGCCGTCACTCAGACTCACCGAGAATTTGTTGATGGGCTGCTGAGCGAGTGTCGCCTAAAGGTAAAGAGCCTCGTCTGTGCCGTGATGGAGTGAAGCGGTGTATTTTCGCTGATTTATTTCATTATTTCCCTGTTCTCTGTTTTTTTAGACCAAACGGATGCTGATGGAGAGAATGGGGAAGGAGAGCATGGAACTGGGTCAGGGCGAGGCCAACATCACAGGCCTGCAGGAGAACACACTCATCCACGGTCTGTGTGACCTCCTGGAGAGAACCTGGGGCCATGGGCTGCAGCTGAAACAGGTCAGAAACACACACTAACACACATAATGCACCATGCCCTATCAGCTTGGATGACCCAAAAAAACATCTGATTCTGCTGTTACTCATGCAAAAAAATCACATCATGCACCATGAAGACAGCGGCATGACTCACAAATCAGGCTTAATATTGACAAGAGTTTATTTTTACAGGGGAAGTCGGCTCTTTGGTCCCATTTGCTTCATTACCAGGCAGCCCAGGGGAAAACAGAGACACCAGCTGAGTCTCCAGGTCAGAGCACACCCAGGATGTTTTGTTTTTTTTATGAGTGGATCTCTTACATAAGGAAATAATTATCTGTTTTAATTATCTGTTTCTGTTCAGGGTGTAACGGTTCAGACCAGAGACTGTTTGATGAAGGCACTGTGCTCCTTAGAGGAACGCTGATACAGGACATGAGGTGATGAATTTGATTTATACAAACCCAAATGATCTTAAACACCAACTTACAGCCTGTACATTTTTAATAGATCGTATATTTCACTGCTTGTTTCATTCATCCTTTTTTTCTCCCTCAGGTTCATCCAAACCATGAGTGAGGGTCTGTCTGAGGTGGGTCAGGCTCGGGCTTGGATCCACCTGGCATTAGAGAAGAAAATGTTATCACAACACCTTAAAGAGCTGCTGACAAACCAAGAGTTGCTCAGGTCAGACTTCACTCGTATCATTTTGGGTATTTCTACTCTTCACTCATATCGGTCTTGTGATTTTGACTAACATCGCATCTCATCTCTCCCGGTTTTCTCGACAGGCAGTTGTATAAACCTCACTCGTTCCTGCTCTGTGAGGAAGAAAGGGAGCAGTTCCTGTTCCACCTGCTCTCTCTCAACACTGTGGACTACCTCTGCTTCACGCGCGTCTTCACGTCCATCAGTGAGTCCTGTAAACTTTAACGAGAAAACTGTGGAGTTTACAGGCGTGTTTGTAACTTTCAAGGAAAATAAACGTTTGCTCAGGGTTGTGTTTACATGAATTGCACCCTGTCTCCCATGGTTTCACAAGAAACCTCAAATAAAAGGCACAATGACCTCCGTACAGCTCCTGAGTTTTGTGAGAGATGTTAGGAGACATTGTAAAGGGTGAAGAAAATGACGTGAATGACTACAACTCTGCTCTTTGTCTCTCGTACCTATCTAGATATCCCTTACCGTGTTGTCATAATACCCATGAAGAAGCTGAGCATTGCAATGGCAACAGTCAACCCTTGGGTGTGTGTGTCTGGAGAAATGGGGGATTCAGGCGTCAGACAGATCCCGAAGAATACACAAGAGATTTTTTTCCAGGTTTGTAAGAGATCCCCAGTGGTAAAGTCATCATCACACATGCCGCAGACAAACGCACAGCTATTCTTAACCAGGTTTCTGCTTTTATTGCAGTGTAAGAACCTGGGGAGGCTGAGCACTCTGCAGCTGGGACAGGAAAACTCAGGCCTGCTGGCCAAGTGTCTGATAGACTGTGTGATGGTGTACAATGAAATCACCGGACACACCTACAAGTAAGATCCCTACTAAATATTCTCAGCCTCTTCTTCACACGGCTGCAACTTTACACAGTACAATAGCTAACAGTGCAAGAAGACCATGATAGGGTAGAATAGGAAAAGAAAGAAAGAAAGATAGATAGATAGATAGATAGATAGATAGATAGATAGATAGATAGATAGATAGATAGATAGATAGATAGATAGATAGATAGATAGATAGATAGATAGATAGATAGATAGATAGATAGATAGATAGATAGATAGATAGATAGATAGATAGATAGATAGATAGATAGATAGATAGACTTAATTGATCCCAACCAGCAAAAAATGGCAAAAAACGATGCAAAACAACAAAATATAATACAAGATGATTTTTTAGAATGGGTTATAAATAGAGCTCAATAAACATGTTAATTAACAGGGAATGCTTTCACCGTACTCCTTTACGAAACCATTAATTTTTTCAATCATGCGCCTACCATCCTCCTTTAAAAACATCATTGTTATCACATCATCCTTCTGCTGCTGTGATGGAAATTAACAATACCTCTGTGCTTTTGGAACGCACATTTCAATTAAAACATCATCAGAAGTAACATGGACTTGCATCACTGATGTACTTCAAGTTTTAGGTGCCATTTATGAGCTTAGGGTAGAGGTGCAGGCCACTGTTTTGGAGTGTGTAAAATGTCATAGACCTGTGGCTCAGATCCAAGGGACTGGTGACCAATCCTACTTTACCATTGTGTGACCAGCACAGAACATAGAGCAATGTAAAGGTTCACCTGAAGCTTTTTAGATTGTTTTAATCCTAAATGATCCCATATTTGTAGGTTGGGTATACTCACAATCTGTCACCTCTCCATCAGGTTCCCATGTGGTCGTTGGCTGGGAAAAGGCGTGGGTGATGGCAGCCTTGAGAGAGTCCTTATTGGTCAGCTGGTGTCACCTGGTGCTGAGGAGGATTCTGGACGGTGGACAGGGACGCCTCCAGAGCTGGCCTCTCCTTCACAGTGTGCACGGACAGTGTTGGGATCACTTGGCAGCCGAAGCAGTAGGTCCTCACAAAGAACACATTCTTTAGTACAATGGATGACCTACTTGTCAGGGTTCTCACTACAATAACAGATTCAGCTCCCGTATCACCTTTTCTGCTCTGCCACAGTCCACCTCTCTTGTCTGGTGTCCTCTCATTGTGACTGTTTTTTTTCCAACCTTGTAGGAATGCACTCTGTTGAAGTACAAGAAGACATGAGGGAGGCAGCGAATAACCTTGTTAAACAATTCCACAAACCCGAACAAGAGGTATGTCATTGTCAAACCAAGTGGGTCCCTCTGCTTGCATTCATTTAATGTCACCTAGCTGAATCAGTTCATGCAAAGATGAGAATCTCTGCAGCGACGTGTTGGGCTGTCAACCTCCTGTCTGTGTTATTTATATCACCAACATGGCTCATTACCCTCGCTTTGTCTCACTTGTGTATCAGACCAGCGCTCTCATCCCACCAACAACTTAAAGCGCCGTAGAGACATGATGGATCACTTTGGTTGATCTATAAAGGATCTTCAGTGCAATCTTAATGTACATTTTGCTCCTCTTACTGAGTTAAGAAGAGCCCTTTAGTTTGTAAAATAAATAATTCACCCTCTACTCCAGAGGACTTGGATCACTCATGTAAGAGATTTTCATGAAGTTTCAAGAAGAGCCTCTAGCTGTGTTAACTCTATCCCCATTTTTTTCACTCAGAGAGGAAACCTCACAGTCCTGTTGTGTGGTGAAGGAGGTCTGGTGCTCGCTTTGGAGAAGTTCCTCCTCCATGGCTTCAAATCCAACCGTCTTTTCCAGAGGAACGTGTTTGTTTGGGACTTTGTGGGTAAGCACTGTTAGTTGGAGTGCATTGAAAGTGATTGTTTTACTTCATTCACATGTCTTTTTGCTCCATCTAGTGGCAGTGAAGTTATATTTCATATATTTACAATGGCGTAAAAAGCATGATAGTGTATTACATGATCTATTCCAAGTCCTATATCCCAGTTTTCTGTTCTTGTCCATGTAAGTAATGAAGTTTAGTACAAAATTGAATGATTGTGTGATCTGCTCTCACTGTAGAAAAGGCAGTGGTTTCCATAGAGACAGCTGATCAGATGGGTGACCTGCATGGATCAACACTGACAAAGGGTCCACCTGTTGATTTACTGTGCCATTACGTCAATGCAATCAACGCCTCGCCACGAAACATTGGTAAAGAGGGCAAGTTTCAGCTGTTTGTCTGCTTCGGTCTCAGGTGAGTAATCAGAATCTATTATTGTCCAGATGTGCTGTTGTTCTCTCAGTGCAATGATTCATTTTTAAAACAAAAATAGGTTTTTGAAAGTTTTAAAATACTTAACCTGTTAGAATTTATGGTCTCAAAGTATCCTGGCCTCACAGACATCATGCAGCCTCCTTTTTTTGTGGGTTTGACAAAGTCTCCAACAGTATCTAAGACAAGACAGATTCTCTTTTTTTAGGTTGCAAAACATTTTGCATAAGACTAATACAATCAACCAACTAATGCACTATTTTTTTGTTTAACGGCACACAAACATTATGATTCAGCCAAACTTATAGCTGCACAGGCAATGCTCATGGCACTAAATAACTCACTTCCAGGTTGTATTCAGAGGCTGTCTGAACTCAGAGAGAGCTGGTACTTAAAATATATACAGTATAATAATATCTTTGTCAAATCTAAAGCAGAGCTGTGTTTCAGTTAAAGGGGTCAGCTTCAGCTGTGATGAAATGTAAATAAAAATGTTTATTGCCGTTGGTGTGTTTTTTTTTTTAATTATTGGGGGAGAAATTGTTGATGCTGACAGAAAAAACTTCAAGTTTTGAAAGTCAAAATAATCATAAAATAAGAATATTACTGCTGTCACTTTAAAGCTCTACTTGGCTAAGACTGTTAGTTAATTTATTTATATAGATAAAATCTATATAAAATCATATAAAAAATACAACAAGGATAAAATGCAACAGAATAGAGAGAAACACAATACATATAATGGCAGTAGTCAATGCGAGATGAGACAATACATATAATGACAGACACAAGCACTTCACAGAGGCCCCACAATGTCAACATCAGTTAGAAGCCTGTCTAAAAAGATAGGTTTTAAGTTCTTTCTCAAAACTTTAAGTAGACTCTATGCGACGTAAGGTTGATGGTAGTGCATTCCGGGGGGGGGGGGGGGGGGGGGGGCACTGGCCTGGAAAGAGCGGTCACCTCATGTTTTAAAACGGGTGCGTCTGTAAAAACGACTGTAATATCTTATCTTTTTAAAGTAATCAATAGGCAAAGTGTTACTTCATTTATATTGGAAAGAGATTACGGAGGAAATAACTGAGAACAGCTGACAGAGATGTTGCTGCTTTATCCCAATTTCCTGCTCTCTTGCATCTGCATCAACATTCAGACAAAAAGGGTTTAATGAAGGTTGAGGGATTATAATGACTCAGAATTCAGGGTACTCTTATTTCTTTATGGAAAAAAAAAACAAAATTAAACACAGTAACACTATTCCTACAATCATCCTTAGTAGACGGAGGTAGAGTCTCTTTGATCTATCACTGTCAGATGAGGTTGGGAGTTTTTATTAACTGAGGTGCCGTGATGTGTCATTATTGAAACTTTGTCTCACTGTTTTTAGCTCATTAAAGGAAATGGTTTTCTGAGTTTCAGAGCTGTTACAAGAGTAGGAATTTTGCTTTTTTGTCCCTTTGAATATAACAACACATTCAGTTCAATGCTTGACTTCATCAAGCAGGTATTACACATTTAAACCACCAATCATTTCTCCTAACAGGGACCGGCTTCTCTTTCAGTGGCTCCCTCTGCTGGCGGCATTCCCTCTGGCAGTGCGGACATATGAAGAAGGGGCTCTGATGAGGGACCGTGCTGCTGTCCACTCACTTTCCCGCATCTTGGCCACGCTCAATGAGTTCACCATCACCCTGGAGGCTGCACTGGTAAAAGGGGTCGAACTCTGACCCTGAACAATACCCACAGAGTCCAGCCCCTGTTGTATCTAACGGGTTCAAATTATCATCATTCATCGGCGGGAAAAGGAAGTACACTGACTCTTGAAACATGGGACTTTATCTAAGAGAAAGGACAGTGGACTAGATGAAACCGCTTGCAGCTGGGGCTCCAGACATTCTGCCTTGTTTGTTGATGTAAATGTCTAATATACTGTATTTGCTTCAGGAAATCATCCGATTTTTCCTATGCTCGTTTACACTGTGAAACTCTGAGGAGAAATAGTCATTCATAACATCCACTGTAGGTATTTTCACAGCTCACACCATTTACTGTACCCAACCCTACAACCATTGTAACTCCTCTTCAACTGCTGTATTGCTTGCACTTGAAACTTAAACAAAGCACATGCATGGCCAAAATCTGTTTGTTTTTACCTCTTACTGTGTCGTGATATATTAGGACTCAGGCCTTATTATACAGAAACATTTTTCTTGACATTTTTCATTGGATATCTTAGTAAATATATTCCTTAAAGTGAACTCACCCTTAATATGTTCAAATGATATATTATTGATTCTTGCCTGTTCCTATTTGTTTATTTTTGGTTTGAGGTCATACGCTGAAGTCATCACACTGAAACCATACTGGTGTCCTAATCGTGTCAGCTCAAATAGTCATCGTCACTTTCATAGGAAGCTTTTCCTCCAGTATATCATTGTAAAGACGTTCCTTCATTATATCTTCAACAGACTGGTGGCCATTTGTTATAGTAGTGTGATGAATTTGTGGCATATATTTCTGTCTAAAGGCATTTTGTTTGTGTCTTTGTTGAACAAAAGATTCCATTAGACATGCTCCACTGAATATATGTACAATAGTCATGCTGTTCATTTACTGACTGTTCGGTTGTCCTCTGACATAATAGAGCACACATTATTCAAAAACCCTAGGTATTATGTTGATGTTGCATTTAATTTAACAGTTAAAGAAGTATAAAAATGCTGTCTCCTGCACTGCCCTGCAAGCACTATGTAACTGACAAAGACCAAGCCTCTATTATCATTTAAGTTCAGATTAGAAGAAGCAATAATGAATTCTTATTTATGAGATGTGTGGTTAAAGAATAAAGTTAATTCATGAAGGACATTTTTTTGTTTTTGGCCTGTTCAGTCTGATCAGTGATGAAACCTTGAAGGATGAAGAGGACACAAAAGCTCTTCTTTTGTTTATTTTGAGTGGTGTAGGTTATCCCCATTTATCATTTGCAAGTAGTTTTATTAGATATTAGAGCCACACGGAGCGTAAACACCGTAAAAAGCTGATCAAATTTGTGTTGTATTTTGTGACAGCAGGACAACTGCTTTCATACAAGTGGGTGCTAGCTCAAAGCTAGCCACTGGATGGAGTCCGCGCTTCACCCACCTTTTATTTTCCCTTAATCTAGTCACTTGTCACGCAATTCAAATCAACAAAGCGCAGATCCCTGCGAGACGCCGAGCCTCCTAAAAACCGTAGGCCTCCAGACGGGCCATCTGGCGTTCTGTAGTAAAACGACAGGCCCCGCCCCTTTGCTTACACTCTCCAATGTGCCATAGCAACCGGGGCCGAGCCCCCTGTTCCCGCGCAATGTTCCCATCCTTATAAGGCCAGTAGAATGCAGACGCACGGCTACGTCATACGTCGTTTATGTAAATGCTTTGATTGAAGAAAAAGAAAAAAGCCTTCTGCCCTACTCTGAAATGGAGGTGTGGATACGACGCATGCGCAGTGCGTCCACAACTATCCAGTCCCGTCCACAAGCGCAGACATCAACAAGGGAGCGGGTTACTGATGCGGGTTGATTTTCATAATAGTCACATCGTAACGACGCGCAAACAGGACTATTAATTTGAATCTGCCTCACGCAACTTGCAACAAGGTAAGGTATGCGACCGTTTGGTGTTTGTTTTGTTTGGTCTGTGAGGCTTTAGGGGGTCGTAAAGTCTTAGTTTTGTTTTCCAGACGACTAATTCAAAACAAGCTTCGAGTTATCGCAGAACAATTGCTCCTATAGGGGCTGCAGCATGGGCGTCTGGGTGGTAGAGATGATTTATAGCCCAACTTATAAACTTTTAAAGTGAACGGACGAAGTGTGCAGAAAGCAAAATAAAAGCGCAGTTGTGTTAAATAGACGAGTGTCAATAAATGAGTAGGCTAAAGAGATGATGGGGGTTGATATTATTGTTTGTGGGATCACACCGTCCATTGGTGTCGAAATGCAGTAGAAGCCGGTGATAACAAATGTAAGGGTTGAAAAAATTGCATTTCAGCCTCTCTAATGGCTTCAAATAGTGGTAGTGGTGCGCCTGCAGTCTACTACACGTTTACTCCAGCTAAATAAGCCAAGTTGAATCTCTCACGCCCACCCGGAGTAGAGATGCGTCTCAGCACGCGGCCGCTGATGTCAACAAAACAGCTGCCGCAAACACAAAGTATTTATGTACGTCTGGTGAAACTCATCCGGTTTAAATGATGTTTAATGTGAAGAAAAGAGACATAAACCGAGTTTAAAACGCCGCTGCTGGAACTTCGTGCACATGTAGTTGGAGGAGGACTGTTGCAGTGACGCGGCTGTGGAATAACAAAGAGTAAAGATCAAATTACACAATTATCCGAAAACAGCCTCCACTCGAGACTGAAAAGGCGAAAATTCTGCTTTCGAATAGTGTTTGTCGAACTTATTTCGGTGCGTAAAGTTAATGATAAGTGGAGAGAGTCTGGTATCGTCGAGTAGAGGACGGTCATCATAAAATGGGTGCGCATGAAGCAGGTCGTGTGGCATGCCATGCTTCCTCGCTGGAGTGGGCGGTGAAATTGGCGACTTGCACTTTTCTCTCGATAAAAACAAGTGCAAGTCTCGGTGTCGCCTGCGATTTTGAATACGATTGTGTTGTTTAAGCGTGTTCTGGCTGTTTTTCGGCGAATTTTTACAGTTTACTTGTGATATTACAATTTTTGCGGAAAATCGCATCACACCCCCTTCTCCACACTGCCTCCGCCTTTGAAGTGTGTTGCCATGTTGAGTTGCGTCACGTACTGTATTCTGCTGCAGAGATCGTCTGTGATTGACAGATGAGCCACTCGGTGCTGAAAATTACTCCGACCTTGTGCTTGTACTTCAGATTATGTGCTGATACAGGTGATTTTCATGACATCAGTAATAGAAAGAAAGACAGAAATCAATATTCATGATTTTTAGATTTGGCTGCCTAGATATCTGAATTATTTCTAACCTTTCAGATTATTTTTTGCTGTTGTTGATGATTTTCAGAATTTTAACACAAATGGGCATTTATTTGTAAATTTTTAGAGCTATATTTGCCGTAAAAGGCTATTGATAAATGAAGTCAGACTAATGTAATCCATTGTGTATTCTACCTATTATTTTATAGAAATGTATCAGAACAATTCCACATTGTTCACATTTTAAACTGCATGTTTTTCTATTTTTATTTTGCACAGTTTCTTTGTCTAATTTTCTGAATAAAACATAGCTATATACGATTTCCAATTTCTGTACAATATGTACATGTATGGCCTACTAATACAAGTTTTACAGTATGGAGACAGTCTTCTGCCCCACTAAGTGACCAGCCTTTAGTGGTCCCTGATATTAACAGCAGAGTGAGAGCTCTTTCATTTTTCCCTGTCTCTGTCTGAGCTCTCTGTGGCACCGCACTGTCAGAAGACCCCCAGGACTGATGGCAGGAAAAAAAAATCCAGTCTGGGGGGCGCGGCTCGCAGTTTTGCCGCAGTTCAGATCCACATGTGCTGTGCAGATTAAATTTTGCCTAGCAACATAAATCATAATTCCTTGGCACAAGCGAGACTCTTCATTCAGTTCTAGGTTACGACTCCTCGATACGTTTATATGTCTGCTTTTCTCCGGCGATGCATTCTCACATTTTGTAGTCTGCTCGATTTAATCCATCCTCTCCAGCCTGTAGGATCGGGCTGTGCGTGCTTATATTTTGAGTTTCTAAAATGAAGCGTGCATCCTGTGAGCGCAGCATGGTGACATGATCTGTCTGACACGCTGTCTGACTGTTGACCTACTTCCCTCATGTGGGTCAAAGCTGAGGGATGCTCCAACAAAATCGCTTTCCCTGCATGCCTTGAGTGCTCCCCATGCGTGACAAAACACCCGTTTTATTTTGCGATTACACATTTCGCTAAAATAGTATAATGCGATCTTGCCACGTGCTCATGAGCTGCACGGCTGCAAGGAGGAGGTACCGCAAGCACACCATGCACACATTGATGCGAGACTGAAATGTTGATTTGTGACTCATGTTTTGTACGCAGATGTTTGGCTTTCATAAGCCAAAAATGTACAGGAGTTTGGACGGCTGCTGCATCTGCCGCGCGAAGTCGTCAAGCTCTCGTTTCACGGACAGTAAGCGCTACGAGAAGGACTTCAGGAGCTGCTTCGGGTAAGACGCACAGCTGAGCATGTGGGGTTTGATGGAGGGAGACATTTTCCTGTGTCAGTTTTTCACGAAAGCTGTTATCTCGCAGACTGAGTGAAACAAGATCAGGGGAAATCTGTAACGCCTGTGTGCTCCTGGTGAAACGGTGGAAAAAGCTTCCTGTGGGAACCAAGAAGAACTGGAATCATGTGAGTTTAGGACACTACTGACAATATTAGTTGGTTTAAATGTTTTGTGTGTTTTTGTAACTCCTGTGGTCTCTTCTCCTTTCCATCCCTTAGGTTGTTGATGCTAGAGGAGGTCCAAGCCTAAAGATCACCTCTAGGCCCAAGAAGATCAAGTCCATCTCCAAGAAAGCACGGCCAAGCCAGATCAGCAGGCTGCAGAAAGAGCTTAAAAGAAACAGTCAGTTCGGTTTTTGGTGTTCACTAACAAAAAATACATCACTCAATGGCTCTTAAAGGCCTAACCATCTATTTTGCTGCCCTACAGACTCAGATGCCCACAGCACCACCTCCAGTGCCTCTCCGGCTCAGTCTCCAAGCTACAGCAACCTGTCAGATGACGGCTCAGACACCGAGCTCAGCCCAGGATCTAGCCGCTCCCCTGTCTTCTCCTTTCTTGACCTTACTTACTGGAAGAGGTAGACCTGACACTGGACCACGCCATTGATTTACTGACTTGTTAGTTTAGATTTAGTGCAGCACTTTCAACCACCATGAAAACCAGACTGTATTTTCTGCTACTTTGTGGCCTAACTTTGCTTTAAAATGTTAATAAAAGGGGTCATGTTTTTTTTTGCGCCACACCCCCTTTTTTTGACTAAGTTACAGTTTGGCAACCTCTTCCACCACATTAGAGATCCAGCCAGGCGGAGTAATTGAAAACAATCATGTGACTGTGCAGAGTCTTCAGTGCTGTGCTTTACAGCCTTACAACTAATGTCTCTCGTAACTAGTTTTGGGATCTGTCTTTGAATCTATGAATAGTTTAGTCTTGAATAAATAAAAGAAGCCTTTAAATTTTACTTATTTTTGTGAGCCAGGTGGGACAACCGAAAGTTTAAAGTCCATAGCTTCTCATGAACAAAATAGTCCAAAGCTTGTAAATTTAGATAATCCCCGAAATTATACATTTTGGTCATTCATTCAAATCAAAACAAATGAATATTTTGTCCTCGCTTCTAGTGAGCCAACAGTTTAATTTATTTTTTTGTCCAGAGGTTTCAAACTTACTCAGCTAAAGATTGAAAGTCAAACATTTTAAAACATGTCATGATTCAGCTTCTTTACTGACTGTCAGGATTTGTGGTTCACATCTTTTACACGACTGCATCCTTATACCTGACTTTAGATAACTGACACAGTTGCATCATTAAAGCATGGTAATACATTGTATGAATGACTTACAACTAGTAGGGGTTCAGTTTGGTGTATTTCTGGAGTTGCCCTGTGATCTAAACCTAAATGAACATGTTTTTCAGGCAAAAAGTGTGCTGTGGAATAATATACAAGGGGCGCTTCGGAGAGGTACTCATCGACCCCCATTTGTTCAAACCATGCTGCCGCAAAAAACAACGGCAGCAGCAGCAGCAACAAGAGGAGGAGGAAGAAGAGGACGAGGAGGAGGATGAGGAGGAGGAAGTGGAAGTAGAGGAGGGCCCGGGGGGTGTGGATGTAAGCGGGCAGAAATCCCAGACGGAGGAGGAAGTGAAGGAGACCCCGATGGGTGAGCGAGAGCCCTCTCAGCTATGCGTTTCCGTGACAACCCCTCCAACCAGGAGCGGGGCGTTGGTGGAAGGGTGGTGAAGAGGAAAACCTTCGCTGTTGCACACATCTCTGAAGAAATCTTGGGGTGCTGTTTTTTTTTTCCTCTAAAGCACTTACAGAAAAAAGTGGCCTCAGATTGCCTTCAGTCACAAAGCAGCTGAAAATCCTTTGGTCTTTTCCGTAACAATGTCAAAGGTTCGTTCATTATTTTAAGTAATAACTTATGGACTTTTTTGTTCCACTTTGTCCCTTTTATGCATTTAATATCCTCACTATCTCGTCAAAGGACCATCATCTGTGGTGTTACTGATCTGCTTTAGAAACAATGCTGGAGCTCTAGTTTGCTGGTATATATAAGAGATTTTATTCCAAAACGCAATACATCCACTCAGTGAAAAAAAAAGGTGCTACTTGAAATTCATCACTCAGCGCTTCAAACATACAGTTAAATCATTAACAATGAGGGTGTTTATAAGCATACAGTATATGATAAGATGACTAATATACAGAAAGGAGATTAATTTTGCTTTATTTGTGAGGAGTAGATATCTCTTTTTTGAAATGGTGGATATCGTTTTGGAATGAATGATGCTTTACATTGACAGAGCACAGACCTGTACAGTAGCCCCTGTGTTTGTGTTTTTTCACACTGAAATCCACTCCTATCAAAGACTTTGTGTTCATAGACTGGATTAGTGTCTCTTCGTCCAAATACGTATGTGAGTCCCAGTTAAATAAGGCCTATTCACAGCTTCAACAGCAAATACACCAGCCTTAATTATGTGTTACAGACAGCGCTAGTGTTATTTCTGGATTGGTATTAAGGAACAAAAAGGGACAGTAGCTATATTTATTGTGGCCTCAGCAACACATAGTGCATTTTGCATGAATGGGAAGCCCACTCATCCAAAAGACCGAATGATCTGATGCATGAGTCTACTAAAATTGCATGGCCTTATATAAACTGTAAATTCAGCTCTTATTTTATTTTGTTGTCTTTGATCCATTTCTCAAAAGTTTTAACTTATTTTTATATGTAAAAAAAGAAAAACGAAAATAAAAACTTGTCTTTGCATAATAATACCACACAATACTGCAGCAAAACACAATCGGTCTATTGTCATTCAGCAATACAAGTATCAGTGATTTCCTTCATTCCCGGGTTGAGCTATGATGAAAACTTTATACAAACTAAAATTCTATGCCATTGCCTCTTATATACCACAAATGTGTTGTGATATATAGCCTAATATTACTTTATTTATCAGATTAAAGCCAAAGCACATTGAAATTCACCCAATGTCAAATCAATGCAGGTTTTTTATGGACGTTTGTGCTCGTCCCTGGTCATTTGCATATATGTTTATGGTATTCTAAATCAACACTAATATGAAATTTCATTCATGTGATGTTGTAGCTGGGAGCAGAGGGTGTGTTGTGTACATAAGGGGAGGGTGAGCCCTGTGGCTCTTATATGGGTTCCATTATTTATTTGATATTTATTTGTATCACTGCATCTCCACTTAGAAGTGTAATGCTATTATTTTCATCTCTAGCTCATATGTAGTATGTTTTTTTTTTGTACATCAGAAATCGAATGTAATTCTCACGCAGACTTCGTTTAACATTGCGTTGAATTACTGGTTGTCAATATTTGTGAAATGTTAAGTATTTATTTGCTCATCAGTTGAGTTGCGTGCAACCTAACTTATTCTGTACCATTACTTTGGATCTGTATCATGTAGACTGAAACGAATGATAGATTGCTACCAAACTGTACTTTTCCCTTTTAGCCTGTAGCTCAATACGTTACCTAACTCTAGCTTGCATGTACTGTTGCTATGCATTTACTTAGCTTACAAGTTAGACAAAGCGGTTTTGTATTTTTTATACATCATGTACTTTTTTTACTTGTCCCTTAATAAAGTAATTTTGTGAGTTTTCTTGAAACATGGAGTCACTGACTTTTTTTTTTTTAGATGTTAAGAGTAAGTGGAAGAAACTTGAGTGGGTAATGCCTGGAGAAACCGAGGTTTGAGCTTTTGCTATCGGTAGGCGCTGCTACTTCTCCTACCTGTAATTTGCTGCAGCAGCCTTTAAAGATCTTGAGCAACACCTACAGGTGAAAGTACTACAACTGCTCCAGACTTGGTCAGCATCCACATTTATAAAACTTCAATGATATTGGGCCCTATTATTTCCTTTAGTTATAAGATGGAGTTGTTGGTGCCATGCTTAAATGCCACACACATAATAACAAGGACTTTGTTTACCAGGTTTCATATTACCGCTGTATTTGTGCTGCAGGAAAAACAAATACAGCTTGGTAACTGGGCAGGGGTCTCTCGAGGGTTGAAATCAAACCCTGCTATGACTAACAGGCTGTAGGCTTTACTGTGAGGAAAATAGGTGCCGGTCTTATCCACGAGGCTTTGCATCATCAAACAGAGAAAAGTTTTATGTAACTAAATTTAGTGCTTCATCTGAGTATTTTTTAAATGGTTAACTAATCACAACATATCACAGTTGCATTACTGTGTTAAAGATACAAAATTGTCATTTTTCAGACCTTAAGAAAATGTAAAATTGAGATCTGGGCATGAGTGTGGGATAAAGACTTCAGTTCATGTCAAAGTACTCGTTTGCTCAGGGACTCAGTGTTTTGTCAATTATATGACTGACAAACATTAAAACCTGTTATTTGATAGACTAACAGCATTAAGCCACACACATTTACTTTAGCAACATAACGATCACTTTAAAAGCATAGCTTATATTCCTGTGGTAAAGCCAAAGCATTTATTTGTTATTTAGTTATTTATTTGTAAAAAATCGACTGTAATCCAGTGAGAGGAAGCCAGAATCGTTTAAGTCCCCACAAGAAGGCTCCAACCAGGATTTGAAACCCAGATCAGCCTGCAAATGTTTATCTACTTTTTTATGCAGTGTTGCACAAGACAAAGAGGCCCCAGCACACAAAAATCATAGTGCGTTTTTTTTAATTTGCAGTCCACAGTTTATGGATAATTTGAAATAAAAAAACAGGAATGTCCAATAACCTCACAGTAGCTCCATGATTTTCAGTTTTTAATAAGCCGAGGATTTTAAGATCTCAAACTGTAAATGTCTGCCATTTGGTGGTTTGCCATAAAGTGAACTGTTTATAATTTTAGATTTAGATAAATTTTTAATGGACTATTCCTAGAAATTGCAGTGAGCTGGAACTGTGAGCTTTTGCACATTTGGTGCAGCATATCCTGCAGCCTGAGCTTGCTGAAAGCTGCTGCACAAATGTTTTAAAATCCTACAGCACCACCTACAGGTTAAACGTGTATCAACTGCTATAGACTCGTTCAGCAAATCAATAAAACACCATTAGATCTCGTTTCACTTACTGCCAGTGAGAGGGGGTGATGGTGCAAAGCTCTTATTTGTCATATACACGCTCAGAGAGATTATGTTTGAATTATATGGGAATAGAGCATGTCTCACTGTTACCACAACATTTCTATGTTTTGAAGATTTGTGATTTTACCTCCACATTGTTATGTGCCATGTGCCACAGCCTTGTTGGCTATAAGAACTCATTATAGCCAGGATTTGTGCTCATGACCTTTGTGTTACCACTTTGGGGAGATCACCATTTTGTTTACCAGTTGAAAGATGAGACTTCAACAATGCACACCTTTTCACAATACAGCAAGCAACATCACAAGAGTATAACTTTTGTTTATGGACATTACACTTAAGATGGCTTAAACTGTCAAACCTTGAAGTTTTAAATTTTGGAAAGGAAAACAGAGATTGATCATTTATTATCATAGTACCGTGACAAAAATTAAACCAGAACAAGTAAGCAGGGTGCTCATAAAATTGCCACCTCATGGATAGCTGGTTTTAAGAGTGAATCCTATCTGGAGCCTCCCTTACAGAGCTAGAATGCTCTGGACTCACACCATGCTTCTGAATATGCAATATACCAGAAAGTACATAAACCGGAATAAATAAGCCCTGCATGGAAATGTATTACTTTGGGGGTAAGCGCAGATGGGTCACAGTGAGTAGGTTCTGAATTTTAATCCTGGTAGAGGCCTTACTTATGAACAGCTAAAAAGTCCTGGATCCTACCAGGGGACGGAGCAAGCTCTTGGATCACCATAATCTTCCAGAAAGCAGATAAGCCTGGATAAAAAAATAAAAAAAACATGGTGGCACCTTAGTATTGCAGTAAGCACTGGTGCCTAACAACATTTAGGTTTTAGGCTCAAATCCTGAAAATCCAAAAAGAAAATTCCAAATTCAAAAGATTGTATAAACCAAATTTCATATCCAATCTGAAAATGTATCTTTCTTTGAATTAACTGGTATCTTTTGGATATGGTTTAGTCTACATAGATTTATTTTACCCATATGTGATACATTTTCAGAAGGGAACATATCTGCTTCCAGATCACTGCATTTTTTTCAAATTTGGTTTTGCACTGTTGCTGCAAACCATATCAATGGTTCACAAGAATACAGAAAGAACACTTTTTTCCCAAAAGTATACTTTTTTTCCTTTAAAAAGTAATTGAATTCATCATATTACTAAAAAATGTGATTCAATAGTTTGCTGTAAATATGTGAAGAAAAGACTACATAGCAGTCTACTTTTTGCATTGCAACCGAAGAAAGTGTAGTTCTCTGTACCTTTTTGTATGTTAATATATGAAATGTTGGGTGTGTGCAAAAATAACTTAACTGTATAATATTTGAGGTACTCCTGAGAAATAGGCTATAACACTGTCTCTCTTGTACAGTTGTAGATCTTCAAAGCTTTCATTTTTCAGAAATTGAATGTATAGTATTATCAATCAATCAAACTTTATTTATAAAGCACTTTTCATACATACAATGTAACACTACGGGCTGTCCATTCAAGCAGGATATTAAAATAAAATAAATACAAGTACAGAACCCCACCCACTCTCCTGACCCCCATTCAACACATACAGCACTTACACACTCATACACACACAGATAAACACACAAAGGACCAGGTGAGGACTCTTCTATTTTGCCACAGATATTTTGACTGGGGTGGTGGGGCCCACTGTGATATCTTTTTGTAAGGCCTAAAATTCTTGGTGACACCCCTGGATGTGGAATCAGATCAATTCTCCGGCTTTAATTTTATTAAAAAAACAGATGATGAAATGAAGAGACATCAGAAACATTAGATAAAAGCTGCCATTTTATGTATATTTACATAAGATATATTTAATGATTTTTACAGTTATGTGAATCGTGTTTTGATTGCTCTAATTATACTTTGTTTTATTACAATTAACGTGGTTCACGCACCGAACGATTGTACTTTTTTAAAACATATATATGTCTTTATTACTACCACAGGCGAATTTGTTTCATATCCACTATTTTGATAAAAGGAGAGAAACTACATTCAGCTAAGAAAAAAAAGGAAACCGGAAATAGCGATCCCATGACAGGAAGTGAACAAAACACGGACGTGCTTTGTTTTCATTTCGCCACCAGTTGTGCTGTCAGCTGTTTCAATCGTCCGCAGATGGTTTATTTTCCTTATTTAACTACTAAATGTCCATACACTTAACAGACATGAGTCTTATCATATAAAGTCTGTCTATTCAATCGTCGGATTAGCTCGCGAGCTTACAGTAACGCTTGGTGACAGCACGAGTCTTCTTCCAGGTCACTGAGGTGAGCTCAGTACAAACTTATAAACATGCTATTTATGTTCACAGGAAAACTCAAAAGCTAAAACATACTGTCCCTTTAATGGTGACATAGTTGTTGAAATACATTAGTGTCTGAGGCGCTGAATAAATGATTGTAAATATTATCTTTAAGATTGAGTTGTCCTCCTGATGCTGATGAGTTTAATTTTTATGTCTCTACTCGATCAGATTTGAAACAAACTTAATATTTTACAGCCTCCTTGTGTTGATCGTCATCATGGTGGATCCTACAGCATCGAGCGTCTTCTGTAACAGGATGCTGAGCATGGTCAACTCCGAGGATGTGAACGCCATCATCCAGGCTCAGAGACACATGTGAGTGTTTGTCTGTTTTCCCTTTACTGACTCATTGTTATTGTCTTCACTTGTGTATTACACTGTGTGGCACAGATTTCTGGATCTGATCTAAAGATAATCGTTGATCTGCCACATCATTGTGAAAACAGGCTTGACCGTTTTGAGAAAACCAATGAAATGCTGATCAACTTCAACGGATTGTCAAATGTGAGGCTACAGCAGATGAATGAGCGTTTCCTGCTTCACACTCGCACCCTTGTGGAGATGAAGAAAGATCTGGACAGTGTTTTCAGACGGATAAGGTGAGTCACTGCTCCCAAAGCAAACGCAGACATACAGACGTCCAATTTCTAATATTTCTGTCTTCTCTGTCTCCAGGACACTTAAGGGGAAGATTGCCAAGCAGTACCCAGAAGCTTTCAGCAGTGAGTTAACATTTTCTTACTGCTCATCAAAATGTATTTCCCTATAATGGAAATGTAACTGTATCTGTTTTCTGGCAGTTATCCACGAGTCACCGACCCTGGAAGACGACGACGATGAGTTTGACCCCATTCCCCCGAGTGTTGCCACAACAGTCACAGCAGCCAATTCAGAGCAGAGCACAGAATCCTGTGACACGAGTCCAGATGTGATCTCGCCCACTGTGAGCAGGTGCTCGGAGGATCTTTCTCAAGAGCCGCCTGACACGCCCACCTCTGATGTCCTTGAGACAGCTGTGCTGAGGGACGAGGGTCCAGACTCTATCCCAGCAGAATAAAGACAGCAGGTCTTGGTTATATATTAGTGTTTGCATTGGTGTCTCGTATATTAGCTGACTCTTCTGGTCATTACAGTGTCAATAAGAAACACCATCAGAAGCTTTGAACTGTCTGTGAAGAGCCCTTTGCTTGGTATGCTTATTTGTCAAGCACAGCACTAAGGTAATGCAGATAATACTTGAAGTTGTTTGGTACCGCACTATAGATGTACATGTAAGATACTGATGGCGAGAAGCCTCAGTCTCTGTGTGATTTTACACATATTTATATGTCTGTTTGACATCAGACCTGATCTTATGATTTATGTTATCGAAGAGATAGAGAAGTCTTGTTCCCAATCTAATGATATTACTGGGGGTTTGAAAAAGTCGCCACTGTCAGCAGTATTTCCTGTGTTGCTTTTATGTTAATGAATTAATGTGTGTTATCATCAGGGTTTACTTAAATTCCATCTTGGTCTCCTCTGAGAAATTATTTATTGTTTGCCTCACAAGGAAAGCAGGGATTGGGTCAAATATCAGTTAGTGTTGTTGGAGTTGTCACAGATTTATCAAAGTATTCAATGTCACATTAGCTGGCTTGAGGTTCTGATATGAGAGCTATAAATAACAGCATGTAAGAGTCAAGAGTACTCCTTGATATCCATTTAAAATATCATTTTTTAACTATACAAAAGGGAAAATCTGAGCTTACAATTCATTTGTAATTTCTGTCAAATATTTATGTCAGTTTTTGTGAATTGGAACCATTTTCCTGAACAGATGTTACTCAGAGTATAGGCTCAGTGATCAAATATTGGAGCTGATAATAAAATACACATTATTCCCCAGTGATATGTGAAAACAGTGGTTTAACTATTCTCTGCTCTGTGATTTTAGCAAGGGTATAGGGCAGTGTGACAGTTAGCAAGTTTGAAAGTAAGTTTCTTAACATAGCATCTTAAAAGAACAGAGGTCAAAAAGTGCTTCACAATAAATTTTTTAAAGATAACCAGCTAAGACTGCTGTTTCACCCTAGTGGTAATCCTGTCTTTAACTAAGGTTGAACATTTTCTAATAAAAAGTGGCAAAGTTAAACACCAGCATGCTCTAATGACACAACACTGCCTTGAGACATTCAGTATACCATTTTTTTCCTGTTTGTGTGTGGGTGTGTGTGTAACCAAAATAAGATAGAAAATCTCATAATGATTTCATTCAATGGAGATTTGTGTCACCCACTGTGATAAGTAGCTCTAGAATAAGAAAAAAAAACTTGTTTCTTTGGAGTGCTTTAAATCATTTTGCCTGGTACCTACAGTGGTGACAATACTACAAGCAGAAACAGAGAAAGTCGATTTTGTCACTGATGGCCTTGTTTGGCTTCATTGCTCATTTCCCTCAAGTTCAAAAACAGTAAGAGAAACTCATTACTGTGGCTTAAACTCAAGGTTGGAGCATCTGCTACTTTAGCAGCCAGTATTAACTGTGTACAGCAGACAGGTACTACACAACCAGTAGACAAACAACATAAAATAATGATGTGAAAATGAAATGAAAAATAAAAACAAATTTGATTTATTGAAAGGGCAACGGTGATAAATATGCATAGGGGAGAGTGGGATAAGTTGAGCCACCCCCTGTTGCTTGGAAATGGTAAAAGAAATTGATCATGTGACCAAATATTTAGGAGATGGGCATCAATTCATGGAGTCTGTGAAGGTGAGAAGCTCATGGGTGAAGGGGTTAGACATTTATTTACATTTTTTCACTTTTGAAAGTGAATTTTGTCTCATCACTTTAATTAGAATTGTGTTTAGTCCAAAAAAGATCATTTTAAATTTGTTTTATACATCAATTGTGGTATCTGTGAGCTACAAAGTGAGGTCAAAAAGTAGGGATACGGCTCAACTTACCCCGCTCCTGTGGTCAACTTACCCCATGGGAGACCACATTTTTTTGGCATGCTATATTATCAAGACAGTTCGGTTTACACTCACTCTTGAAATATACGGAGATACACTAGTTAGAGACAAAACTATGATTGCCTTGATGTAGTGATCAGAAATATGAAGTGGCTCATCTTACCCCACTCTCCCCTACTAAAACAAAAATACCTAAAGCTGCCTGAATGAAGCAGATTTTAGTTTGTTCAATCAGTCAACGCCAGAGGGCGCTATGTGAAAAGAAGACTTGATTTAGGGACAAAGGGTGACGCGGTAGTTACTCCACAGCACTCTAGCAGCAGATGGCTAATCTCTAGATGTACACACGTGAAAACAAGTATTATTGCCGTAGATGAGGTTGACGGTACTTCGACTTTCAGACTGATCTATCCCATCGCCCCCGTGGTCTTCCGGGATGAGCCGCACGCTCAGTTGGTGACAGCTGACATGAACGACGTCAGCACAGAACACAACCAAGGCAGCACGCGGCTGAACGTCGCGCGTAGCTCAACTCTTATCCCGTGAAACGACGGACGGAAACGGTAAAGAGGGAAAAAAATCACCTTATGAAGAAGTCACTTGAAGCTGACCCAACACTGCTCCTAAAATGAGGAGACTGTCAAAGAAGAAGGCCCTGACTCTGGTGAAGGAGATAGACGCTTTCCCCAAAGTGCCTGAGAGCTACGTGGAGTCCTCAGCCAGCGGAGGGACAGGTACGAGGACCCCCTCACATACCACCTTTTCCTCTTAGTAGGGGAGACCGGGGATGGTTGTAACATTTTTGACATTTTAAGGCACTTTAACATAACTGGTGTGTGTGTGTGTGTTTGCAGTGGCTTCAACAATTACACAGCTGTGTGTGTGTGTGTGTGTGTGTGTGTGTGTGTGTGTGTCTTATATTAACATTTGAATATAAGAAACTGAACAAAATGTTGAGAGGTACCCCCTGGCCAGTCGTTCTCTCCCACGACTAGGCATACCTAATTTCAAAGAAAACATAAAGATAACAAAAAGTTTGCTTAGGGGAGGTTGTAACATTTTGCATTGTTGTTACAACTAACCCAGACCATTGTCACCAGGAACTAGCTTACTTTACAGCTAACAGCTAAAACTTTGCCATGAACATCCATCCATCCATCCATCCATCCATTTTCTACCGCTTATTTCCGTTCCTGGGGTTGCAGGGGGGCTGGAGCCTATCCCAGCATCTTCGGGCGAAGGCAGGGGACACCCTGGACAAGTCGCCCGTTCATCGCAGTGCTGACATAAAGAGACGAACAACCATTCACGCTCACATTCACACCTATGGGCAATATGGAAGTGGCCAATTAACCTAACCCCACTTAGGCATGTTTTTGGGATGTGGGAGGAAACCGGAGTACCCGGAGTAAACCCATGCAGACACAGGGAGAACTCCACACAAAAATGCCCTGACCCGGATTCGAACCCAGGACCTTCTTGCTGTGAGGCGACAGTGCTTGCCATGAACAACTTGCAAGAAAAATATCTATACAGACGCACAAAAAACGTGATTTAAGTTTGATGAGTTCAACTACAAAGCAGGCGATAATATCATAAAAATATCTGAATTAAAAAAACTACTTTCTTAACTCAGAATTTTTTTTTTTCTCTTAAAATTGGCTGAGTCTACCATAGGATCCTACATGTACACATGTGGAACAAGGACTAAACTAAGCATGTGCAGAGTGAGTCAGGTGATTAGCGAAATCGGAAGCGTTACAATTGACCCGTGTTACAACCATCCCTGGTCTTCCCTACATTCATTTTGCTACTATTTTTCTTTCTTCCAGTGTCTCTGCTTGCATTCACCCTCATAGCTGTCCTCTCCTTCCTGGAGTTCTTTGTGTACAGAGACACATGGATTAAGTATGAATATGAGGTGGACAAAGACTTCAGCAGGTAAGAGCTAAACAAAGTGTGTGACACTCACACCTGCAATCCAGCATAAAACCTACCCAAAATTCTTCTATGGTTTCACTTAATGTTGACAGGGTCATTCTCCCTGGTAGCTGCTGTGCCCAGGGGTTCATAGTGTTATGGTTGGTCAGTGTATGTCTGGGTAACCCTAACTGTCTGTTTTTCACTCACAGTAAACTGAAGATAAACATTGACATCACCGTGGCCATGAGATGCAAGGGTAAGTCCAGGAACGACCATCTCATCTATTTTTGTTTGAGAAAGGTGTGATGGATGTTTTCAGCTTTTTCATATGGTTGGATGCAGACATAGGTGCAGATGTCCTGGATATAGCAGAGACAATGATACCAACTGATGCCTTGAAGTATGATCCAGTGAGTTTGAGCACCTTCATCATTCTTTAATTCACAATAATTCAACAAAGGGAGAGTATTAAAAAAGTAGTATTCTAATCCACTTTGTCAGCTCAGTCATGCTCAGCTCACAGTTTTCTTTTTGTTATTTTTTTGGTCACATTTTCAGGTTGATTTTGAGCTGACACCACAGCAACAGTTATGGCAGAGGTAAACTTCACACCTTTATTATGTTCACATTTATGAACACTCCCTTAAGAAATGTAGCATTTTTAACCAGCATAAGGCATGATTTGCTTTTACTTATTATTGAAGTGATAGTTAAGTCTCTTGATTATAGTGCATAAAATCTGCATATTTCTGTTAGAGTTTCAAGCCTTTCTGAAGGACACCAAATACTGTTTGCTAACTGTTGCCTTCACGGTAAATAAACTTGGCAAACTGGTTTGTCTTGATTAGCAAAGAGCCAGTGAGCAGGTTACTGTTCCGTACATTTGGTTAATATAGATGATATGTCTACATTTAAAATGCTGTAAGTGTTTTAGCTAATTCATCATTGTAACTTTCCCCTCCACTCGCAGTACGCTGCTGCAATTCCAGGATCGTCTGAGAGTAGAGCAAGCTCTCCAGGATGTTCTCTTTAAAGCTGCGATGAAAGGACCTCCTCCTGCTCCACTGTCAAAGTACAGTTTTTTTCCAGACGCTGTTCAAAATTATTACAAAGATCGACAAGGAGGTGTCACAGCTCACATATATCCAGATAAAATATTCCCTTTCTGTTGCTCTCTTCACCTGCAGTGAGGACGACTCATTTTCCCGTAGTGCCTGCAGAATACACGGACATGTTTATGTCAACAAGGTGGCAGGAAATTTCCACATTACTGTTGGCAAGTATGTTTGAAAAAAGGACTAGTATACAATTACACCTATGATTAATTAGATAAATATATATCAGATCCTTACAGTGTCACACACAGAACACAAACCTTTTCTCTCCACACAGGTCCATCCCACATCCCAGAGGCCACGCACATCTCTCTGCATTTATTAGTGATGACTGTAAGCGCATTTTCTTGTAATTATACTGTTTCTTCATGATAATATTTGCGCTATGCTGAAAATTTGACAAAAATTATTAATGCACGTATGATGAAATACTCTTACAGTGACAAGTACCGATTGCCTGTACATACTACTTTGTTATAGCATATAACTTTTCTCACCGGATCGATCACCTTTCCTTTGGGGAAGCGATTCCTGGAATCATCAACCCTCTAGACGGCATTGAGAAAGTTACACCTGTTGGTGGGTAACCTCTGTCCACCCTGAATCCTGATTTAAGATCTTTTTTTTATATATTATTATTATACTGATTAATTTAATGTATTTAAATATGTATCAGAGGAAATGGAAAACTGACCAGCCTTTGTGTTGAATATTTTCAGCTAGCCACATGTTTCAGTACTTCATCACCATTGTGCCCACCAAACTGAACACCCACAAGCTTTCTGCAGACACACATCAGTTCTCTGTTACTGAACAGGTATGTTTAGTTTTTGTAACTGTGTGTTTGTGCAGTGAATCATGCATCAGTGTGGCGAGCATGTTTGTATTCCTCTTATTTGCTCTGCAGGAGCGAGTGATAAACCACGTTTTGGGCAGCCATGGAATCTCAGGGATCTTCATGAAGTATGACATCAGCTCACTGATGGTTAAAGTCACAGAGCACCACATGCCTCTCTGGAGGTTTCTCATCAGACTCTGTGGGATCATTGGAGGCATTTTCTCCACTACAGGTAATGGAAGATATCTGTCATAACAACTTTGAGCTGCAAACAATCGTCACTGAGTGTCAGGAGCAAAGGCCAGATTAGTTTACTGACTACTGGGCAGATATTTATTAATGTAACCACTGTCAGAATATTTTTAGCTGTTTAGAAGGCTTGCATGAAAAATGTGTTAATAACATTCAGGACAAACTTTCAACACTCGTGAACATCTGCTTGAAAAATGCTGTAGGTAGAGTTCTTACAGGCAGCAGTCACTCTGAGCGACAGCAGTGCAAAGCTGTCAGTGACAGAAACATCTTCTGTGTGCCTTTGAGTGTAAAGGTGATCAATAAATAAATCCAAAGGTTGTCAAACAGCTTCTACCCCTTTACCTACATTTTGGGGTGTAAGAAAACTGTGTTAAGGCAGATAAACAATGTTCCATTATTTTGCATTTCATCAAACTTCGTGAGCTTCAGCAACCAGTCACTCTCTCTCTTGTAGGCATGCTTCACAGTGCGCTGGGGTTCTTAGTTGATGTAATCTGCTGTCGTTTCCGGATGGGATCCTACAAACATTTGAAGGTGAATCAATGAAATACCTGTTAAAACTCAAAGTTGGCATGCTTTTCTTTTTTGGTGAAAAGGTTTCTAAATATTTCATTTTCTTTTCTCAGGATGTTCCTGTGGTTCAGCTGACCAACAGTGAAACGCTTATTCCTACAGTCGACAACGATCAACAGTGAACTCACAGGTCACCGAGCTGATCTGACCCACCACACGGCAGTGGCATGATGGGAAAATGTTTACAAATGACTGTAATTATTAGGACAGTTTTTAAAACTATAAGAAGACACGATTGATTTTTGACTGAGAAAGATTTCAATCGATACATCCACCAGGACAACTGAACAGAAAACTGATGATGACCTGCTGTCAGAGCTGTCATGGTAACATCCCACACAGGTGTTTTGACCTATTCTGGTTTATTAGAACTTTTCTCAGGGTTGTGCTTTGATTGATGTTCCTGGCTTGTGGGTTTTAATTTGATACTATCGTGTTATTTGTGAACTCTGAACTTTCAGCTTTGCAGTCCTGAAAACCTTTGTGAGTGAGCAGGGATTTCAGGGTTTTTATTTGTTACATGAGTGTTTTAATGCTTATGATGGTGACTTAAAAATTGGTGTCTTTAAAAAAAAAAAAATCAAAATTTCTCCTGTTTTTCATTCATTTTTTGTTATCTGTGTATTGTCCAACCATTACTTCAAGCCCCCCTAAATATTCATATAAATGATCTGAAACACACAAAAACACAGCAGCAGTGAGTAAAAGAATCTAAAAGAATATTTTACACCATGTCAAGAGTTTATTTGACAGTATTTCAGAATATCTTTCAGTAAACAAGTTTTTTGTTTTTTAGCAAAATGTTATATATCAGTACTGTCGCATTTCATAAAAATAGTTGTTCACGTCTTTGAAACTACAGTATCAATGATACAGTAAACCATATTTGTAGGAATACAGCTGTACAAGGTGAATAGTACACAATTAACACTACACAGTTATACTTGATCTCAATGGGGATTCATGAACGTGCCATCCTTCACAGATTCAATAAAGCAGTTTTTTTGTTTTTGTATACAAAATCACTCACAGCAGGCAGGGGGACGGCCTGGACGGAGACAGAGGGCTGGATGACAAATCCTTTCACCTTTTCTGAACTTTGACATTTGTATAAACATTTGACACGTTTCTACAGCCTACTGGGATGCTCTCCTGCTCTTTGCTAACATGACAGATCACGTGAACCACAGCTGAGAAACATCCAGACCAGCTTTTACTGAAAACTTACAAATTGGTCTTAAAGGTCTGACGAACTTAAGTTCCACTCAAGAGAGATTTTACCTGCAGGTCTTGCCACTCCAGTTCATGCTGCATTTATGAACACTGTATCTTCAAAAACTCATCCGGTCCTCCAGTAATCAAAAGCACTGGTGATTTATTTAATTAAGAACATTATCTTGTTTGGAGAGATGGATGATATCGACATGGAGGAATGAAGGATAAAAGTAAATTCTTCATCGCATGTGTCTCTTGGTTCTATAGCAGCACACTCTGACTCTGCTAAGTATCAAAACTTTGTGATCAAACAAACATTTTACTGCATTTGTGTTTCACAGATCATCTCAACTCCAGCGTTCAGCTTTAGCGAGTGCTGGTGCAGCTCTTCGCGCTTCAAACTGAACCTGTTTTCTTTACACAACAGACAAATAAAGCTGAAATGAGGCTCCTCTGAAACAAGGGTTTGCTGCTTCACTCTCCCAGAGGATGTAATGCTACAGGCTACATCTGATCCCCTTCGAGCACGAGGGGACAAGGGCAATCATTGACATTGATAAGCAGAGAGTGCATCGAGATAACTAAATACTGCTTGGTTTTTAAGTCAGGAGAAAAACAGTTTGCTGATATGTGTGCATGGTCTCTAACATCTACGTTGCATTCAGTTCCCAAAACAAATCAAACAGCTCTGCATTAGTTTGAGTAAGGCACTCCGCCCCACCTCATAACCATCGGCCTCCTCTCCCTCACACCGATGCCCCTCTCCCACAGTGATGTGGTACACGTAGCACAGTAAAAGGCATAGAAATGGGAAATATAGACTGGACAGAAGTCTTCAGTTAAGCATTAAACGAATACAACACATCTTATAATTCTGCACAATGTCGGCATGGTTGTGAGTGGTCTACATAACTCATGAGTTATTACTAAGCTGACTGTTTTCAGTCATTTCAAAGTTCAATTTGATGAAAAAGGAAAAAAGATTTTCTCTTTGTCTCTCGTGTGTACCAGGCTGTTAGCTCCATGGAGGAAGTCCTCTCTATGTCCTACCTCTGAAAGACGTGAGTCCCTGTATAACAACATGGTGGTTGATATCCATGCACTTGACCACTGCCTCCTGTGGTGGTCTCAGTTTGGTGACTTGCACAGTCTTTGATATGTAGTTATAGACGAGGCCATTGAAATAGTCATCCTAAAATACTGTCCTGCGTTTACTCTTCTCTTTACAATGTTTCTAACTACAGTACGGCCTCAAAAACACAAACAGATCTGTTTTTGAGAGAACCAAATGTACATATTTGTCACATCTTTACATTTACAGTATATGATATATCGGTAAGCAAGTGAGCGCTAACGTATGTTGGATTAACCAAGCTGTTGCTTGGGTCAGTGCCATGTCCTCCAGGAGTTTAAGTGTCTCTGCCTCCCCTTGGAGAGATTTGTAGTCTCGCTCTTTCTGCTGCACAGAGAAAATGGAGCAAAAGTAAATCTCTTGGATGAACATATGTGTCTCTCCTGCGAGGAACCTTGTTCCGTCTGAGGTTACGCTGCACTAACCAATCTGAGTCAGACACGGTCAAGCAGTTAAAGGTACATGATGAAAGCACAGCTCCACTCAGTCACAGACGTCACTGCTCCATCTGTGGTCACGACACCGTCACATATGAGGGTCCAACATGCCAACATTGAGTTTATGTTACAATAGCTGTGAAAGTTCCTCTGTTTCTTTAAGGTGGTGGGTGTAATAATTATCTCATCAGCACAAATGAAACATAAAATACGATCTCTGAATGAGGCGGGCCAAAAGTGGAGAGAATGAGAGGGTGGGGGAGATTTTAGGAGCCTGACAGTGTAATTCAGTCCAGACCAGCAAGATCCATTCTACCTGCTCACTGTGGAGGTCCAGGACCTCAGGGTGCCAGGCAGTTTGTCAGAACCGGGGATGTTCCAGGGTCCAGGGGAGGCTGCAGCACCCCTTGCATGAGGATCTTCCACGGTTTTAGAAGAGCAGCAGAGCCCACTGTGGCCAAGGGATCTCTCATCCTCCCTGGGGAAAGGACCCCTGGACACTAGCCTCTCCTGGAGGCTGACGTGTCCGTCCTCACTACCTGGAGCGGCTCCATTAACACTCACATACTGGTCCCAGGGCCAGACAGCTGTCATGGTCTGACTGTGCAGACCCTTTCTCTCACAGCAGGGGGAGCAAGTTTCCCTCTGCCTCTCTCTTCTTTCAACAGACCTCCCTAGGATGGCTTTAGCAGGCAAAGCCCGGACCTGTCTGTCTCCTGGTCCGCAGTCTACCTCTCCAGACCCTTGAGGTGCTCCCTGGCCCCAGATGATGCTCTTCTGCTGGGTGGACCTGCCACCTGTAGCCCCTCTGATGGGATTGAGATCTGTCTGCTGTGGAGCTTTGTCTGCCATGCACACTGTGGCCTCTAGAGGGAGCTGATGAGGGGAGTCTGGGGCTGAGGCTGGATGGGGTGAGAGGGATGAAATTGGGTGGGGTTCTGGGGTCACTTCCTGCAGGGCAGGGTGGGCTGTAGAAAGGGAATCCCAGGGGCCGGTACAGTCTGTAAAGGAAGCCAAAATAACACTCAGAGGGTGAGGAGAAGGCAGGGGGGACACAGATGAGCATGCCCATGCGTACTCGGAGAAAGAGAAGTTTACAGTGATAATGGTCTACAAAAGATGGTTTGAGTCCAAACCTTGTATTTCATCAGGCAAACCTGCATGCAGCCATGTGGGCCAATGTGCTCACAAGTGACTCGTACAGACACATTTAGTGCTTGAAAAAGATGAACATATTGGTGATTGTGTGACAATCTGATCCTGAGCAGATTGATTTCACACAGTCTACTTCACAGCTCTCCTCAGGATGATTGTTTCATTTGGAGGGTCACTTCTAACCATATTGCTCTTACAACAGCGCACACAAGCAAACACACACACACACACACATCGACACACGCTGCTGCTGCTGTTTTTTTCCCATGCGTAAAGTCGTGATCGTGCATACACACTCATGCTTGCCAAAAGCACAGCTCCACTGTACAGACATTCATCAGCATGAAGAGAGAGACATGCAGCTCTTTCACAAACCGTGTCTTTAGAGTGGCCCATTAGGAAGAAATAGGGGGAGCTTAGTGTGTCACCTTTCATGCACATGGAGAGGTTGGAAGGAACCATTCCTGAGGGAAGGCAAGTAAAAAGCCTATACCAATCATTAGGATTAAAGCAGAGCGGTTAAAATACACAGAAAAACTCAGACAAGAGCTGTTACTCTACTGTTAGACCAAAGCTGTTCTTCAAGTAAATACAAGTTCAGTTTTAGATGGTAAATACAAGACTGAGGATCTAGGACTAGAAAAGCAGAAAGGTATTAATGCGTGTTAAGTGAGATACTGAATAGCAGGGGAAAAGCGAGTTATTCAGGTTAAAAATAGTAACACTGATCATAAAACAGTGAATCTCTAGTATGAAAATAAAAAGCAGTCAGGTAAGAAATTACAAGGAAACAGAGTGAGACAGTTAGAGATGATATTTAGAGCGTGGAAAACTCACCATATTCAGGCACCTGTCCTGTGCCTCGCTTCAGCAGCAGCCTGACTCGCCGGCCTCCCGCCTTGATGAGTTCAATAGCCCGGGCATGAGTCATGTCCCGGGTGCTGTCTCCATTAATCTCTATGATCTGATCCCCTACCTGGTGGAGACACACACACACACGCACACAAAGTACAGAGTCAATTTCTGTCAGCATCTGTTTATCCACGCAGAGTTGACGTTTCTACACAACGACGAACTTCCCACAGTGAGAAGACGTGCCCGGACAACGAGGGAATAAGTGCCATTAGGAGCCGTGTTCAAGTGCACCTTAACTGAGTGGGGGTGTTACTGAGCCACTGTTTCAACAAGCACCTATACCTGCTCACTGAGCCGCTTCCTTAACTGAACAACTATCTCTGCCCCATGAGAAAGAGGAGGTGAACAAAACAAAGGCAGAGCAGCAAACATCATTTATTCAGGATCACTCACAAGCATGTTGTGCTTCATTTCAGAATTTCAACAGCTCTCAGTTTTCCTAAAACAAAAAAAGGCTCTTTGTCTCTCATAAAGACCCTTAAACTTTGTCTTCATCATGGGTCATCTTACCCTCATTCTTCCGTTACGGATGGCAGGACCGTCCTCAGCAAGCCTCAGCACAAACAGGTCCATTTTGTACTCTCTACCACCGCGGATACTGAAGCCAAAACCCTTCGCGCTTTTCTCCAGCTCCACTGTGAAGTAATCGTAGTCCTGAAAAAACAAAAAAACAAAAACAGGACTCTCACAAATCTGTGTCAGCAGGAAAATGGCTGTAATGGCATGAAACTGTATGTTTCTTGGAACGGATGAACTGTAAATGGTAACTTCCCCTCGTGGGATTAATAAAGGCTTATCTTATTTTATCTTATCTTAACACAATGTGAAGCCTTGTTTAAAACGTGCCTGTGGTCTGAAGTCTGCAGGGATCCCAAGAGGGAACTGTGCAGCTGCAGGGTGCTGCCTGAAGTCCAGCAGGCCAGGTGGGTGTCTGTAGTCCAGCGTCGGGGGCTGTCTGTAATCAGTGACCGGTGGGTGCCGATAGTCTACTGGAGGTTGCCTGTAATCAGTGAACGGAGGATGGCGGAAGTCAGGTTTGACGTCCTGTCTGGCTTTGACCTCTGACCTGTGAGGAATAGTTGGAAAGGTTTACAGCATGACAAAGACGGAGTTGAGTTTAGAAAGCACTGAAGACGGATGTGTTCTTCTGCAAAGAGCATCACATGTCCGCATGTCAGGGCGGAGTCTCTGAGGTCCTGTTTGAGCTGCTGGGAGAGTGTGTGTGTGTGTGTGTGTGTGTGTGTGTGTGTGTGTGTGTGTGTGTGTGTGTGGTTTCAAAGGCCCATAAAAGGAGATATTTTCATTGTTGAGACTTTTATTATGATCCCAGCTGTAAAATGGGGATAAATCCACAGCTCTACCAACTGACACTGTCAGTGTCTTCATCTGAGAGTTGCATGGGCACACGCATACACACACATATATACACACATCAACACATCAACGCACACGCTGGTGCTCTCAAGTGTGTTTGACGTAGAACAGGACGGATCACAAGGTTCCTGCATTATAAAAGAGACACCTCAGGGTAAATTATTCAATGACACTGAGGGAGCTAAGTGGTGTTATGCAACAAAGTAGAAACCAGTCTGGGATTGCGAGTCTGACTGGGATGAAAGGTTCTGCCCTGAATGGACTGGCATGCAAGGAGAGGAGGGCTCACTTTCATCTGCACACTCAGTTCTGACTCCTTCGAAAACTTTTGCTCTGTCTTCTTCCAGTCATCCCCCGTTTAGCCACAGAGTTCAACTCCACTACACTACAGGGTTCATACAAAAAGCCTCCGCTGAGTCCAAACAACAACCCCCTCGTAGTGCTATCTTACCTGCCGTCGTGGAGGTAGAGCTGAGGAGGGAGGCCAGAGTGCTGGGTGATGGGACTCTGCTGGGTTCCAGCTGGTGCAGACTGGGACGCTGCTGGTGCAGGAAGGCCAGATACTGTTTGGCTTGTCTGGACTGGTATCTGGCCCGGCTGAATGGGTGCTTGACCTGCCTGAGCAATCATTTGGCCGAGCTGTGTGCCTCCTTGGCCAGGTTGGGCTACAGGGCTTGGCTGGGTCTGGGGGCTGTGTTTCTGGGTCATGGGGCTCTGCTTTTCTGAGCTGGGGCCAGATTGAGAACCTGTGAAGGACAGAGAGTGAAGCACAAAGCAGAAACAGGTTTAGAGTGACTTTTCTGATTTATTCAAAACACTCTGCAACAACTTGGTTTAAAGGGATATTCCAGCGTAAAATTAAGTTTGGGTCAAATCCACTATAACACCGAATTAGACACCCTGTCGAGAGATGAATGTTGCCGACCGCTTGCTTCTCTAGTTATACCAACTTTAGTAACGACCGCACGATGGCCAATACAGAGAGCCATGCGCACAACCAAAACGCCACTCTATAGCCACAAATAATGCTCAGAACAGCACCTAACTTCATCAACAGTACATATAGGGTCCAAGTCATAATACTAGCCACCAAACATCTTTTTAACTTTACCTAATTTCTTTAGCAAAGAGACTAAACACAACTCACCTACTCTCTTCCAGCAGCCGCTTGTTTGTACAGAGACCTCCAGGCCAGTCCATCGACTGCAGTGGGGTGACGCAGCTCAAGGAAGAACATTTATGATCATTTCCTCATGGAAATACAATCAGACAGAGATGCTAAGGCAGAAGAACTACCGCATCTGCAGAGTAAAATGATTTATGTGATGATTATGACTTCAAGGAAATGATGAAGAAATGATCATAAATGTTCTTCCTTGAGCTGCGTACCCCCCGCTGCAGTCGATGGACTCGCCCGGAGGTCTCCATACAAACAAGCGGCTGTTGGAAGAGAGTAGGTGAGTTGTGTTTAGTCTCTTTGCTAAAGAAATTAGGGAAAACTTAAAAGATGTTTGGTGGTTAGTACTATGGCTGGGACCCTATATGTACTGTTGATGAAGTTAGGTGCTGTTCTGAGTATTATTTGTGGCTATAGAGTGGCTTTTGGTTGAGTGGTCGTTACTAAAGTTGGTATAACTAGAGAAGCAAGCAGTCAGCAACATTCATCTCTCGACGGGGTGTCTAACCCGGTGTTACGGTGTGTTTGACCCTAACTTAATTTTACCCTGAAATATCCCTTTAAGTGTCAGCGATATGTGAAAACATTGTAACCTCAGACAAATGATCACGCCTCCCCAAATTCACAAAAATAACAGACAGCATTTACCTTCCTCTGGAATGATGTGAAGTGTGACTGTGAGCCCAGCATCTTTAATGAGTTTGACTATGTCTGCATGAGGCATGCTGATGATGGACTGTCCGTTCACAGCCAGGATCCTGTCGCCCACCTTCAGCTTCCCACAGCGGTCTGCGGGGCTGCCCTCAATGATTCGTCCTATTTTATGAGGCACAGCTGGAAACAAGCAATAACAAGGTTGTTGTCAAAGGCAATTTCAAAAAAGATGTCAAAACAAAACCAATAAAGCAAGAGAGGATCACATTTAAAATAAAAACCTCTTCCAACACCAGCCTCTCCTGGAAAGTTAAAGTGAAGCTTTTGTGAAAATTGCGGCAAAGAAATGTATTCCCACCATTTCAGCTTCAAACAAACAAACAAACACACATAATTTTCAAAAGCTTTATCAGTTCTTTTTGACAACATCATCCAAACAAAAAAGAGCTTTTTTGTTCGGGATAATAAAGAAGGATTGTCCATTTTGAAAAACACCTAAGAAAGGTGTTTTGAATCTACCAGCCTTTGTGGAAGAAAACAAACAAAATAAATAACTTCAGCTTGTAATCACACCACAGAAGAATCCAGTTTCAGTTTCAAAAGACTCTTTTTAACAGCCGTGGTATAAAACTGAGTCCAAAATAAAAAGTAAAACCTAAAAATCAGGTTAGACCTCAGCTGATGAAAGTTCTGAAACGATTGGATGGGATCAGTCAAAATGGTCCATGATAATTGTTTGGGTACTATGAGCCCAGTGTCTGCCTAGGGGGGCAGGGCTTTTATACACCATACTGTATACCATCATACCTACAAAAATACTTTCAATCATTAAAATAGAAGCAAAAGCTCTTAAACACTACAGGACAGTCACCACCTTCAGGATCGCTGCTCATCCGATTTAAAAATCTCAGACGGCCTTCAGGGCAGGAGACAGAGCAACTCACTGATGATGGTGGCGTTTTCCGGTCTGTTCAGGGAGCTGATGATGACAAAGCCGAAGCCTTCGTTCTCCTTGCGGTGAATTACCACATCACTGGTTTGCAGGGCTGATCCCTCTGGAGGAGAGGTGGCAGAGGGGATGGCGAGAGCAGCAGGGCCTGCAGCTGAGGCTGCGTCGCTACGTGGAGAGCTATGCTGTGTCGACACTGAGCCGGGGCTCCGACCGTTCACAGGACACAGTTCACCTGAAGGAAAAGAGAGAAGAGCTTATGAGCCGCTCTGTTCTAGAAAATGGGACCAATTAACTCTCAGGAACTTTTTTCTATGTTAAAGCTTGTTTCATACTAAAATATAGATTTTAAAACAGTGCTTCTGCAGCTCCTACGAGAATACTCTGTTAAAGAGAAATCCTGCTTCTGTTTGTTCTCTCGGGGATGCATCTGCCCCTCAAATTGCACTGCATTTCATCACAAACCTCAGAGCCGTCTGCGGTGTTTTTAATGAACAAAGCATAAATACACAAAAAACAGAAATTTCCCCCTCTTTATATTTGTAGTGGTGAGTTGAGCGGCTTCAAAAGGAAACTTTTGCAGGATTAAAAAACACGCTGGATGGTTTCTGAATACCACCTTCATGTACGTAGTTTTACAATTACAAATACTGTGTGTTCAGCTTCAAATGAACGGCTACGGCTCTGCAGCTGTTATCAAAAAAGTTTTTCTTTTCTCCAGCACACCCACTGGCCTACCTGTGAGTCTGGCTCAAATATTTCTGTCTGAAGATTGTTCCATGTATCATCAATGCTCATAGAAACGGGGCATGACGAAGAGGAACAGGTTGATCCTGCACACAGACTGTAGGGGTGTATGTCTTTTCCAAAACATTCCTTTTCTAATTTGATGCCAGTGAAATGTGCAGCACGCCATCCTCTCCTCAGTTAAATGTAAAAAAAACAACAACAATCAAACAAATTAGAAAATCAAAATAAACCCCGTCCTCACCAGGCATCTGCACTCTCCTTCTCACAGTCAAGCTGACTTGACCGTTTCGAGCAGCTGCGTGCATCAAGTCTATTACGTATTTGTGCGGTTTCCCAGCAACCACATTTTTATCCACTGAAATGAGCTCGTCTCCGGGTCGAAGCCGCCCATCGCGCTCAGCGGGAGTGTTCTCAATTATGGCACCTATAACAATCTGTTCAAAAACAACCAATATTAGCAGCATAGATGAAGATGAAGAGGATCAAAGTGTCTCAGCTGTTTTTGGGTTTACATGCTGTTTACAAACAGACAAGTTAGCAAGGCGTTACTTCAGTATGGGAGGTACTGAGGAGTTAGAGCAGGTGGGTTCATCAGTGAGTGCACGTGTGTGTTAGTGTTGTATTGGCTGGATGTGTGTGACTGGATGGATTGTGAGATGAGGTTAAGTGCGGGTCAGACGAGCTTGCTCTGTATGAGGTTAAATATGTGTGGACCAGCCCGTCCCATACGAGCCTTGTCACGGGCGTCCGGACTCACAGCCTGCACGGCCTCGTCTCCCCCCAGGATGCGGAAGCCAAACCCGGTCTTCTCCCTCAGCAGATGTACCTCCACCTCCTCATACTCTGGACCTGAGTTGAAGACACAGAAAAATCAAGTCTTTGACCCTTTTTTGGTTTCTAATGACCATGTTGTGTGCATTTCATCTCAACCCGATCCTCTAACTCCACCGATCTGACCCGTTGTACTCACGTCGGCTCTCGTAGATGGCCCTCGACTTCTCATACAGATCGTAAGGGTCTGGTTTGTTAAGATCAAAGCCTTCAGTGGAGTCAGGCACAGATGTGCGGTGCTGGGGCTGGTTTGGGAAGGGTGTACCAGGCGGCAAAACTGAGACGGACAGGTTCGTTTGGGGACTGCCATGTGGGTCCCACTGGTCAGGCAGCTGCAAGGAGAACATTGACACCAGATATTTTGTCTTAGCTGTTAACCTCTTAAAATGGTGAAACAACTAGGATATGGAAGTGTTTGATATTTTTCCTGACTTCAAATTCACTTTACTAATTTATGTGGGGTATTCTGCTGTCCAATGTTGCACATGTGTAAAGGAAACACAAACAGGTGGATATTCAATGCAACTGAGGCTGTGACATTGTTTAGACTGTCAGTGAAAAAATGTTTGAGCCTACGTCAGTTTCTGGGATTAATCTGCTTCCATTGTGGTGGTTTTGTCAAAAAAATGTTCTAAAATGAAAAGAAAAAATGAATTTTTTCATTCAGACATCTAAGGACACTAGAGCTGGCCTGTCTGTAGTCCAGCACAGCTGCACCACCTGTTCACCTATAAATCATCTGCAAACATCTACAGTCAATTATGTAATTAGAACATATGCCTCCAAGCAACTAAGAGGGCAGCTCCCACTCAGCGCTGCCTTCACATATGAGAAAAGACAGATTGATCCTGGATCCTCAGCATTGTTTTATTTTGATGCACCAGTCAGACTGGCCGAACTGTTTCTGACATCGGTGGCAAATGATGTGACAGAGGCGATGATGAACTTTGCCAAGTTCTCCTGCACTTTTGTGCTGCACCTTCATGATGCAAAATAGTAAGCGAACAAGCAAGAAACCAACACTGCAGGGTTTTATGTTTCTACGCTACATTCCCCCATTCACTCTGAAACTGCAAACTTCTCCTGACTGCTCTTCTTTTTTGACTTTTGCTTGACTCTGGAAGATCCTCCACATGCATATTTAAAGGTTTAAAAAACAAACTGTGTGTCTTGTATGTTTTTCTACAAAAAGTACTAGAGCTTACATTTACTCCTTTTCCCTTCAACAAATATATGCGATATTTGAATATCTGTAAAAAGTAAAAAAAAATAAAAAATTGGTGCACTCACTGAAAATAAAATAGCTCAATAACAAAAATACACACATTAACATTTCTTTCATTGAGAAACATGACAGCCACTGAGTTACTTCTACAACTACTATGAAATCTTAACTCTGTTTCTCCTTCTGCCCCGCTGAATATTTGTGACAGTAACTCTTTTTTATCATCAGTATGTTTTTTCTACAGTATTTTGCACAAGTGGAGGCTTTAATAACATATCTACATATAATTAAATGTAATGTGTTACACTCCCACAGTTGCAGAGAAAGGGAACCTGCATTAGACTGACTAGGAACAGACAAACGGGACATGTCAACATATAGTCCGGTGTTGCTCTTTAGCTATGAGGTCTGGTCTGAAATCCACTGCAAACTGGAGCCAATATTAACAGATGAGACAGCTGCCTTTCTAACTAGTCTATTTGATAAATTTACAGCTAGTAGAGACACATTCACCTGTCGCAGGATGCTCTCGTATTAAAAAAAGTGATCAATGATAGGTGATCAAATGCAGTGTTGAAGCACTGTCGCACTGAAATTCATCAATAATAATAATTAACATAAAAGTAACTTGGCAGGACCTTTTGGCCCTGAATAACATCATCTATTTTGTCCTGTTATCCGACTCTCTTCATCAATCTAGAGCCACACTGAAGCACATGTTGATTGACTGAATACATAAGGTGAGCTTAATGGACACCAGTAGTGGACGAGCTATCCTCAGCTAACATTAATCAATTAATGATCACTTCACCAACTGTCTGCTGAAAGCACAAGCACTAACCTGAAACTACTGTAAGCACTGCACTGACTGCTGACACCGCTGATCCTCTGTCTGTGGATGCTGGCTGATGAGGTTTAACAGTGAAAGGCTAAAGGCATGTCTCTAATAAGCAGGCTGGCTGTAGGTTAATCCAGCAGGTTGGCAAAATATCAACATAATAAAAAAAACTTTCTTCACCAGTTTCTCTGTGTTCGGGATGACTAGGCGGATCAACAAATACAGGTGCATCAATCCCAGCGACCTGCTCTCTCACCTGGTTTTTCCCAAAAATTTACTTCCACACATCTTTCCCATTTCCAACAATCTTTCACTGTCATGTTTCCTTTCTATGAAGCTTTGGATTAGTCATCCTGCTTGTGTAAATCACAGATCCATAACTGGTGTCTTGTATGTTTAAGAATTTAATCAATGAGTTTAAAAAGAAATACAAGTGTGTCATAGTTTGGGTACCTCCATATTCAAAATGAAGACATATAATAAGAATGTTTGAACTGCTCACAGACAGTGATGGTCTGAAAATGACAGACAAAGCTGGAAAAGTCTCGAGTGACTTCACCAAGCAAGCAGAAGGGAAACACGACAGAAAAAACAGCAGACACAACACTGACCTATTTGTCAAATTTCAGGATATGGTATCTCTGATATACATGTGTAAAAATAAGCAGCCTCAAGTTAAGACGACAGTGTTTAAAGCAGCAACTGTTAGTGAACTAAAATAGGGGAAAAACTAGGATTAGTGGGTAAACAGAGGATCAGCTTCAAGAAAACTCTGCAGATTAAAGCCTAACGCCTTATCCGTGGAGTATCTCTGTTATTAAATCATTTAAATATGAATGCCAAGAAGTTGAATCAAGAATACAGAGATAACCGTGAGCAGAAAGCCCAGAGGATAGTGTCCAGAAAAAGGTAATTTAAATGATAGCCTTGTATTAAAACAAATCTATAGTATAAACTCAATAACGTGATGAAGAAAATGGCCATTTGGCCGCAAGCAGATATGATAATAATGAATTACAATCAATATTCACAAATGAAACCAAAAAGGGGACAAGATTCTTCCTGTCTGAATAAATCTCACGGGTGACTGCTGATTGTACGAGCAGCAGCAGCAGCAGGTGCAGTATAAGTGTGAATCTAAAGAGCTCTTCCCCAGCTGGTGAGGTGTGACATCTGATGTGAACAAACCAATGAGCAGGTCAGGCCACGCTGGCTCATTTCACAATGAAGCAAAAGCAAAGCTCCTGTGATAGACACTGATCCTGCTCACTTTTGTCTTCCCTCCCTGCTTCAACAAACAAATCTGCTCTAGAAACACATTTCCCCCTAAACACCCCTGTCCCCCCCTCCCTATTTCCTCCCCAGGTTACCACTCAAGCAGAGACATAGTAAGATTTTTATTACTGTACCTGTTTGGAGGCCTTCCATGGAGAGATGTGACCTGAAGGGGAAAGCAAAAAACCCAGAAAGGATATAATCGGTCACAAAATAAAACAACAACAGCGCAGGAGAATACAGCTACACTCAAACCTTTGTGCAAACGAGTGTTCAATCATGTCCTCTTCACGTGAAAAAACTCAGTTTGCTGATCTCATATCCCTCCGTTTTGACTTTGTTTGTGTAACTCTTCCTAAATGAGTTTAGTTCTTGCGTTTGTTTTCAGCATAATTACATCATTAGCTGCAGGCGAAAGCAAAGACCTCCTCCCCCCTAACACACACACGCACACACACTTCTCTGTAAGTCATGGTTTATCTGCATGTAGGAAGCAGGGAGTACTCTCCATCACAACAACAGTGTCATCAGCAGAGCTCCCCCGTGACTCCACTGAATCAAAGACATTTATGCTGCTGAGACCTAAATACATACATTTAACATGCTGGGATAAAGTGCCGGGGCTGCCTCGCTTAAACATGCAGTCGATATTTTTACACATGTGGACGGAAACATATAAACACACTCCAAAAGCACTGTGGACCCCTGCAGCACGGGTGATGAATCCATGAACAGATGGGGGCACTTGAAAAATATTCTTTTGAGAATCTTGACATTAAATATTTATTCAGTTTATGAGATTTCCTGAGAAATGTCAAAGAGCACGGGGGGATTTTATTTATGGCATTACTCTACAACCGTTTCTTTTCAGGCTGGAGCACTCAGCGGCAAAGCAGAGACGCGAAGCTTTCTTTAAAAATCAGCGAACTTGGATGAGTGTCTCAGGAAAAAAAAATACAATAAACTACTTACAGTCCACGTGGAAACCGCGGGACCATTTGTTTGCTTTATTACAAAATCAGTTCTGTATGGAAATCTTCCCATTTGGAAAAGATCCCTGCTGTGTTTGTGAGCTTGGAGGAGACCTCCAGAAGTAAAAGAAAAAAAGAAAAAAGGGAATAAAAGCCCCTCCTTCGATGGATGCCATAAACATGAAGGGAGGTTTGAGGAGAGCTGTCTTTGGTGCTGAAATGATTCAGCACAGCAGCAGCAGCAGCAGCAGAGGGAGGGCTCTGTGGGAGGCTGGGACTAATAACCACGTTCTGCAGGGAATACGGGCCTTTGGGGAAGTCTTTATGGAATTTTAATAACTCATTCCCAGGAAACTTTTCTTTACGACCACTGAAGGAAACGAGCATGACCATAAGGCAATTGTCCGGTCATATTCAAGAGAGGCATCATCCTCACAGATGCGTTTAAGCTTCATTTAAATGCAAATACAATTCATCAGCATATGTGCTGGATGAGGAGAGGATGAATGCTGATGAATTACAAATGAGAGACTGGTAGAGAGGCTCTCTCACCAGTCAGAGGACAGCCAGTCTGGCAGACTGGCCTCTCAGACTAGCCTGCTGAGTTCTGGATGGCCTTCAGATCGGCCTGATTGGCTTGTGTAGCCCGACACCCTTTTTCTCCACAGCCATAATCTGCATCCTGATTGGTGGAGCAAAATGTATCTGGTCTATGGTTGGCGCCACTTCAAACAGGGATGTCAGGGGACGGAGCTGTGAACACGACCAGAACTCAGTGGAATTCTGGCGATGTGCCCACGCTACTGCAGACTGAGACAAACACACATGGAAGAGGCGACGAACACGTTGTCTATCTAACAGGAAGAACTGCAACTCCCAGTTACACATCTGAAATAATCTCTGAATTACTAAATTACTTTTTTTTTTTAAAAACAAAATCATACTTCCCTGATCACAAACATGTTTTAATTTTACTGACATTTTGCACAACTGAGTCACAGTAAAGGACCTTGTCCTCTCTTTCACCCTGCACACAAACACGCACATACACACACACACAGTCACAGAGGGCATGTCAGGCTGATCGTCCCTGTGGGGCCGTTGTCTTGAGTTGTTTAATAGAAACTGCTGCAATTGAAGGAGAAGATGCATCTTTGGGGGAAGAGGAGGAGTTTGGCAGATTTAGAACAGTGTTTTAAACGATAACTTTTCCAACATGTTTATATCATTCATTGTTTCGTTTATTTTCTCTTCTCTCCTGCCACTGTAACCACTTTCAGAGCTTCTGCTTACAGTATTTTATTGTTATGTCCTGCTGTTTTTGTCTCCCCGTTTTATTCCTTTATTGTGAGCTTTTCTGTTTGTGAAGCACTTTGTAACATCTGTTTGAACAAGCACTAAATATGATCATTTATGGTGATGCATACACTGTATGGGGCTGTCTCATATGCATATTGAGTTTCAGTGTCATTTGTAAATGGGGCACTTCACATTAACACAGTGTGTGTCTTTGCAGAGGTTAACCACCAGGTGGCAGGTGCTGGCTCTGCACAGTCATAAGATGCTTGGCTGCTCAGCACCACGTTTTGTCTCAGCTGCTCACGTACACATCAACGCATGCTGACGTGCAGCGACATACAAACTACCCAGAATCCTGCTGAAAACACCTAGAGACACCTGTGCAAATACAGATACAGCCCTATTAAATGGCACTGATCAATTAAATTTTACCTAGTGGACAAAATACGAAACATAATCAATTTACTTGGACCAGGCAACAGTGATTCTATAAATAAACTAGTGACCCAACAAGTTTAAATCTGCAAACTCTACAGCAGCAGACACTTTAAATAGTCTGATGTCTTACGCCATGTTATATCTTTGATAGATTTTTCTGCTCTAATTTCTCCTGTCACACTTCAACTAATTAAATTTGGGATGCATAAGGGGCTGGTTCATTTCTTAATTAAAATACAACCCGTAAAAAAGGAGCCGTGCAAAACAGTACATAGATATAATTCCTCTTTAGTGTTCGATTAACATCTTAGTGAAGATAAACTCATTACGTTTGGCTTTTATTCCTGGAAAAACTATCAATCATCAACTGTAATCAACTCAGTAAACGGCTTTGTGAACTGCTAAGCTGCTGCGATTTCTCAGAAGAAAACAACAGCCAGGATTTATTTGACACCCCCTTACACTACATTCTTAGTAATTCTGATGTTAACTGAGTGTGGGAATAGTAAACTTTAGAAAATTATAAAGTCAAATTTTGACCCTTTGACCAGAGCAAGTTGCAGAAAATCAGTGCCAGAGCATAAAAATAAAAACTTCCACCGTGCAACCTGATGAAAAAAGGGGAAGCCAGCCATACTACATATCATTTTTTTACCACTCAGAAATTCTCTTATTCCTTTTTTTCTGCAATCACAAAACGGAATATCTGTCACTTTACAATGTTGATGTACTTCAGGAGGGAGGTAAAGCACCACTAGATTTTGTAGAAGAACATATCCCTGAAATCAGCATCTCAGTACTGTAGCAGTTATTTGATCAGTCAATATTAAATGTTTGTTTTGTATACGAGTGAGTGGAGAAGGAAACATTATTCTTATGTAAATTCAGGTATGTAAACACTGTCCCTCAGACAGACGCTAAAATGGAACAGTGGGTGGTCAACCATACAAATACAAACGATCACAAATAAAACTGTGAGCAACGTTTCTCTCAACCCGTGTAAATTCAAGAGTCAAAAGAAGCGATGGGAGGATAGGACAGACGCCTTATCTTTAAAACCTTTGATTGTGTTTAATTCCCCCTGGTGGTTCTTCAGTCTGCTGCAGTGGAAACATCAATAACAAGTTGGTGATGAAGCTTCATTTACAAAACACTGACAACACATGGTGTGACACACTCGGCACTTACTCTGACATCTGCTGACTCTGTTTTTGATCTTAAATATTTCTGAATACTCTCTCTGCATGACTCAGCGCAAATGAAGCACATAAAAATGTCCTTTTTTTAGTCTTTTCCTCGTGTTAAATGTTTCCTGTGATGCTTTTCCTCCTGCAATAGTACCATCTCTCCAAGAGGTACATTAAAGGGATATTTCAGTCGTTTTGAAGTGAGGTTGTAGGAGCTGCATGTCACCAGTGAGTGTACTAGACACAATGGATGTTGATCAGCTGCTGGCAGAAACAGGAAACTAGGTATGCTACTGTTTTCAGCTCATTTATGCACCATTTTAGACGCAACACGTTTTCTCCTGCGTGCAGCACACTGATTTGTGTTTGATCTGCAGGCATCAAAGAGACAAAAACACAACCAAACTAAATAATGACGGACTCTAACTGCGTGTTAAACTGTTGTTTACTGTGGACACTGGACACGTGTGGACACATGTAGGGTTTACAGAGGAAAAGACATCCCTATGTGCCGAAGGGTAAGTGGAAAAACTGGAGAGCTGGAGAGATCCCAACCTAGTGGCACAGGTGTCCAAACTGTGAGCTAATGGCCATGAACAAAGAAAACTACTCGCTGTCACATGTTAAACTTGGCAACATCGGTACCTTTGGATCTTTGGAAGTCAAAATATACAAGCGGAAAAAACCCATTAAGACTTGATGAGAAAACAAGATGTTAGCTGCTGAAAAGGAGAGCGAGCTGAAATAACAAACTTAACACACATTACTGTGTCCACTGGGTGGTCTTAGACATTTAACACTTTTCATCATGCAAAACTGAGATGTGAAAATATCAAAATTCACAATGTATCTGTGACTCATACATCAAAGACCCGGTAAGCTGATCCCGCTGCATGCTGTCTGTGTCTGTACGTGTTGTGTCTCGAAAAAGTTCAAGAACAAACAAGCTGAAAAACATCTGAGTAGAGCGCACACTTGAACCAAGCGCTGCTGGGAGTCAGAGTTTCTCAAAATTAGTCCCCTCTGCTTAAAACACTCTGCAAACCTGACGTCCTGTTTCTGCCGGTAGTTTCTCATTAAAGGGGCCAAACTGACCAACATCTATTGTGTTAAGTACACATACTGGTGACATGCAGCTCATACAACTTTACTTTACAACTACTGACCCATCCATTTGGAGAAAATGATTGGTTTGTGAAAATATCTTTAGTATTCCACCTTTAGGGAGAAAACAGTTGTTTTGCAACGACTAATATAAGAATTTGTCCAATTTGGCTTCAGGCATAATTTTTCATCTAGCATGAAAGGTGTTAAATATTCCAAAAATAAAGTCTCCTCCAGAGACTGGAACCTAATCCAAATAAAGCCCACTGTGGTCTGAAAGTGTTCAAAAATAGAAAATGTCTGAAGATGATCATAATCAAGATCTTTTTTTGCTCTTCTAGCTCTGACTGTCAACTCTGCTTGACTCCTCTCCTGGAAAGCTGCAGCTGGATTCAGACACATGAGTAAACTTATATGAGGAAGTGTGTGTCTGCACTGGACTCTTCAGGTTGTCTGCTAAAAAGATTTTGTCCCTCAAAGACAAAAACACAGTTCTGTTTTTTATTGTACTGTACTCTCACCTGCTCCTGCTCTCTGTATGAGGAGTGTGGCCTCAGCTCCTACAGGACACTCTTTTAGCATCTCTACTACTCTCCCATGTCCGGCTGCAGCCACTGGCTGCTGGTTCACCTCCAGGATCAGGTCTCCCTCTATCAGCCCTGACGCCCCCTGGGAGCCCGGCTCCAGCACCTGCACCAAGACAACGAAACACACACACACAAGGGTCACACAGACTGAATTAGTGTTACTTTTTCACTTTCACAGTCCAAATTTTTATTGCCTATAACAATAAATACACTCGCCCTACACTTTGGTTTTTGTTTCAGGGACTTAAACACTTTTAATTCCTGGTAATGAAGTGAAAAATATAGACAAATCCAGGCATATATTGGTGGTTACTAGATTTGCCAAAAAAATACCTAACATTTGGTTGTGAATTTGAGCTCCTGTCAAAACCAATGAGCAGCCAAATGAGCTGTGTCCAATCAGCTCATGAAAGATATTTAAACAAAAATGGACTTTTAAAAAAAAAGTTAACAGCTGCCGTCACCTCGCTAAATGGTTGAACTTAATTATTTGTTAAAGAACAAAAAGTATTGAAAGCTGAACATTAAACAAAGACAGATGTTTAATTTCAGTGGTGCAGATGGTTTACTGTACAAATACGACGGGGAATAAAAATAACATCTGTCATAGTGAAACTCATCCTCTCTGTTTTATCCATTCTTCACTATCAGGTTCACATGAGGACAAGTTTCAGGTCTCTGTCATTTCCAGGATTTGTTTGATGATTCATTGGGATTTTTGGGGATTTTTCTTTTTTTTTTTTACCTTCAGTGGATAAAAGAGCGTCACAGAAACAGGAAATTTGGAGGGAGAGAGGAGAAGTGACATTCACTACATCATGTTGGGACCAGAGCTGCAAGGGCTGTAGTCTCTGTACATGGGGCACCTGATCTACCAACTGAGCCAAACCAGGGCTCTTATTCATCTTTTTTTGAAGACTTTCTTGTCTCTTTCCCTTTATGATTGTAAACTACATGACAAATGCACCACTGGCTAAGCTCATATTGTTCACCTGCAGAACTGCATTGCTTTCCTTAACTGCACCCCTCTGTTTCAGCTGACTGAAACAAAAGCATCAAAATTCAGTATATATTTATAAAAACAGTTCAAAACCCTCCTTTTTTTCTGGTTTTTCATAATACCTGTTTTACTCGCTGACCAGTGGGACTGTCTGCGATGGTGAATCCGAATCCTTCCGAACCCTTCACCATAGTAACTGTTAGAAGCTCTGCTGCTTGTGCTGCGGCTCCAGCAACCCCTGCAGCCCCTAAAGGAGTCATGGACACATTGTCATCATGAGGTGTGAGTGCTGATCCTGAACCAGGTGTGGTGGGCGGCAGGGAGGAGCCATCTAGATGTGTGTCTCCAGGGTGTGAGGCCTGACCCAGAGCCTGAGAGGGCAGCTGGGAACTTAAAGACAGATACTCCAGGTAGGGGTCGTAACTAGTGCGGCCGTTCACCACCAGGGGGCGATGCTCCAGACCAATGGGTGTCATGGAGCTGCTTGCTGCTGCGCTTGAGTCCTCAGGGTCAAAGGGCAGAGGATAGCCTCGACAGAGTACAAGGGTGACACTCTGACCAATGGGCACGGACTGAAAAAGTTTGACGACATCGGCGTGCGTGGTCCCGAGCACGCAGATATCATTAATGTAGACAATGACATCACCTGAGGGGGAAGGATACCACAGCTTCAGTTACAGTCACTACACACTACACAGACAACATGAGACCCAGTCTTGGTGGTTTAAGTGCAAACATGAGCTTCAAAAGTGACATGTATTGTCAAAAATCTCAGCAACCAAGAATATGACCGCCATTTTATTGCGATATCTCGAACATCAAAAAGTTTTTTTATTTCACATCTAACTTTAGGTCTGAGAGGACTATACTATCTTTTTTTTTCAGTGCTTCGACTTACATTCATGGTAACTCTTCCGGCTTTTTTCCATGACATTTTTCATGAAAACCTGTTTTCACAACGAGGTGAAACTACTTACAAATGCGACACTTTATACTCTGTGATCTCTGCTGTAGTTTGAACGTGCGGAAAGTTATGGATTTAAGCTTTAAAGTCACAGCCCCATGACAAATGCAGCTGCCTCAAATCCTCTATTTCACACTTCTGAAGGCACTCTCTGTCACACGTGCACACGCACACACCCAAGAGCATGTGCACGTACAAAAAAACGGCACACATGTCACATGCACGATCATACACAATCCCTCAGAGCAATGCCACACAGCTCGAATAGGCCAGCTAATCTCAGGCAGGAAGAGACTGTGTGTCACTCCGTGACCACGTGCATGTGCGATTGTGAATGTGTGCGTGCTTGCGTGTGCGTGAGCAGCTCCGGCAATGTCACAGAGCGGAGAGGAGCGAGCCAGGAATCAGAACAGAGAGGGAGGGAAAGGATGATGGATCAGGGCAGAGGGATGAAGGGAGAAACTAGAGAGGTAGAAAAAGAAAAAGGATGAAAATATACTGAGGCTGAAAGCAGAGGGGAAGTGTCAGATGACAAGGTTAGATAAGAAAGCGTAATAAAGGGTGAGCCAGAGAGACAAAGAGAGAGATGGAGATAAAACAGAAAGGGATGGATTCCAGATAAAAGGGAAACTGATAGGTAATAGGAGTGACATAAAAGCAGAGAGTAGGAAGGAGGATTTCCTGCTCTGAAATGAGCTCTGAATGAGCTGTTGAGGCACAGACAATGCCAGGCATGGGGCCAGCTCACAGGTTCACAGCAGAGCTGACATTCAGCGTTATACTGTGGGTCCTCCTCTGAGTCTGTGAATACGGCCCTCAACATCAGCTCTTTAAGGTCAGACCTAAACTACACTTTTCTTCTCTTGCGTTTCCTCTGTGTATTTACTGACCCTGGAGTTTTCATCTTGATGATGTCTTCTCTTTCAGAGGGTTTAACTAAACTTGCACTGTTGCACTCATGGCTGTGTACAGTTTCAGCTGGATCTTTCTGTCATGACAACTTTTACTCTTGTCATCCACGTTAACTCTCTGCCATAATTTAAAGCTTTCTTACTTCAGTGCCGACACATTTTGACTGAGGTTGATTAAAGAGTCTGTCATGAATTTGACCTGTCTTTGTAGTTACTTACTTACTTAAATCCAAACTCAAGACACACCTGTTTAAACTGGCCTATCCATCCCACCACCCCCAACTCACTCTTTTAATCTAATTTTAACTGGTATTATTTACTTCTTTATTTATTCCTTTGCTGTTGTTTATGCTGCTTTGTTGATTTTAACTTTTGTTGATTTTAACTGTTTTGATGATTGATGATTTTAATTGTTAATCGTGTTTTGTTATCATTGTTTTATGTGTTCTGTAAAGTGTCCTTGAGTGACATGAAAGGCGCTCCAAATAAAATGTATTATTATTATTATTATCATTATTATTATTATTATTATTATTATTACTTGGTTTCTGTGGCATTTAATATACACAGGATTTACAGTTTCTAATCATTTTGTGTGTTTATCTTCTCTCCAAAAGCAATTAATAATTTTTTCTTTGCCTGTTTTATTTTATGAATATTTTAATTTAATTACTCTTCAATAATTACAATAAGCCCGTGGCATAAGTGAATATAACCAGAAGTAAATAGTTGTACTAAAATAGGAAAAAAAGTAACTTTTTACAAGTTGGAATAACATCAAATACAATCTTTCCAATTATAAAACTGACGTCCTGTTAATTGAAAATAAATTACTCAATTCTTAACATTAACATAAGTTCAGTATATACCAGGTTCATAGCAGTTTTGAAATGTTCTTTGGTTTTAATTGTGCTTTTTATTTCCATATTCAGTTTATTCATACTGGCATATTAGCTTAGTTGCTCAGGTCTTTTTGTAACCTGGACTACTTGTCAGGGCCAAGACCCCAAAAGACCTGAAAAAGGAGATAATTAGCACTTTTTTTCTTAACTTGTGCTAAATAAATCAAATCAAAGTAAAAAAAAAAAAAAACTCAGAACCCCAAACCCTTTAAAAAAAATGCATCCAAACACAAAAGATGAACAACAATCCACAAAAGAAAAAAAACACCTTGAGCAACCCCTGAATTAACCTCTGGCGCCTGCAGTTCTCTTTTTATCTACATGAACACAAATATAGAACAATCTGGTCTCATTTTTCATCAGTTTTGACCACTGCTGCTGTAACAGGGACGATGCATCTCCTAATGAAGTAGGTGCTGTGTGGGTTGGTGTCAGTTATGGTCAATCAAAGCTGTCTCTCTCAATGCCATTAATAGCAGGAAATTGAAGTGCACGGAGAGAACAGACATTGTGGTGAGGGGAATCTGAAGTCCTTGTCTGGGACACACTGTGCCACAGGCACAAAAATAGGGCATCCCTAATATGCCACGAAGAACCGATGACAAAGTTATTTCATCTGTAATATGTGCTTCAACAATTTCCTGACTATCATTTTAATTAGGTACACATCGTTGACATCATTTACTTTTTCCATCAGCTGTGCTGGAAATGTGCTTGTGAAAGACCTTTGACCTTTTAAAACCTTTGACACTCAAAGGCGACAAAACTGGAACAAAGAAAGGAAAAAAGGGGGCGAAGCAAATGTACCAACAACAGTTAATAATTGAGTTGATCGATACTTTTGATTGCAACATCCTTACAGTGTAGGTTTTCTCTGACAGCTAAAGCCACAAAACTAACTTTAGCACTTCTGATAATAGTAAAAAATACTGAGTTGGTGGAGGTACAGGTATTGTTTTACACAAAATTAACACCCCACCTACGCTTTTCTGTGCTGCTCCAACTTCTGGGTCGAGTTGTTGACAGACTTTACTTTACAGATGTGTAACAATCTGATAAATGAAAGTGAAACTCAGCCAGTGAAAGGACCTTGTTCTTGGTCTGCTGTAGTAGGAAATGATGGCTCATGATATCAGGAGGCAGTGCTGTAGTATTTGGATAAATATTGCATTGCAGTTGTGACACTTGTAAGTTTGTCAAACTTTAATAACCTTCCAACCAGTCATCATGATCTCTGTTTGTGACGTACCTGTGTCCATCTTTCCGTCCTGAGCAGCAGGTCCCTCGGGTATTACACTTTTCACTTGTAGGAACTCATCTGGCTCATCCCCACCTATGATTGTGAAGCCAAATCCCATGTTGCTCTTCTGCAGGGCTGTTGACAGGAAGGTGCCCTTCAGCTGGGTTGGGTCCCTTGTAAACAATGGCTTCTCTGCAGGCAGAAGGTAAAGACATGGAAAAAAAATTAAACTAATTTCCATGCAGACACTTGCAATTTGACTTTACGCTTGTTTTGTTCAGCAAAACCGTTTTACTGATACAGGATTGAACTTTCATCGTTTCTTTCTTCATAAAAACACGAATAAAGACAAATAAGCCCTAATTCTTTACTCAGGTAAAGCAGAACAACAACTTGTTAAGTTTGTCCCTGTATGCGTACCAGGGTTAGCCTAATTGCCTCAAGGCAACGATGTTCTGTGTCCCACGCTCTGACGATTATCTTTATTCAACCCTGAGCGTAGAGACATTGTGTATTTGTCCAGTACCCATGGAACAACTATGATACTGTATGACATAAACTAACCAACCAATGATAAAGTACACAGTGTACAATAAAGACGCTTCACAACAGCAATTTATCTATCAATGTAAGGGTTTCAGTGATAATTGGTTGCTTGCATGAAAAGGCCACCAGCCAGGCTGCAGTTCTTGTATTTTTATGTTGTGTAACCCTTTGTGTATGTCCCTATGTACTTCATCTCTGCACTGTTTGATAAGTGGGCTACCTCTGTATATAGTGGGCAGTGGTAGAGCTGAGAGTCCCTGGCTCTGCATCTGCCTCTGCTGCTCTAGACGTCTCTTGGCCTCCAGGACTGGGTTCTCAAACTGAGTTCTTCGGTTAATGTGGCTGAAAAAAGAAAAAAAAACAGGCATCGCAAACAATGGATTAAGCAGCAAGTTAGGGATAAATGCACAGTCCAGCTCACAGCGTTGGCTGTTGTGTATAACTATATAACTATTGTATATAAATGTATATAACAACATAAACTTGCAGCAACCTGAAAGACAGTTCCCCAAACAGTGAAAGAAATATGAGAAAAATAACAATGCATATTGAATTATAGAGAATCCATGCAGCTTACATTGTGTTTATGATCATTCAATAATAATTATCAATGGAAAATGTATCCCAGTCTGTCTTGGATCTACTACAACACGTACTGCAGGTAAGTTTAAATCATATTTTTGCGTTTCTCCTTTGATCAACAAAAAAAAAATGTCCTTTAAATGTCCTTTCAGTTATATTTCCAAATTTAAAAGCATCTAGAAATATGTTTTGATGCAATACATGACATGAATTTTGTGCAGTTAAATCTCTAAACAGTGCATGTTCTCAAGAACTATTCATGTACAATGTTGTCAAACCTGCAGTAACACTCAGAAAATAGTTATCTATTAATAAAACATATTAATGTAGAGCATCAAACTGCATTTCTTTGCTACTAAGTCTCAGCTGGCGGACTTACTCTACATAGTAGCTGCCGTAGATGGGGTCATCTATCTTCTCCCAGCCATAGGGCAGCTCTGAGAGGAAGGAGAAACAGACAAGGGAAATGAAGTCAGTTTATTCTGAGAGCAGAAGAGGAAAAGTACACACTAAATTGAACCAGTGAGGGGAGACAACATGAATCTCTGAGCTCACAGTGAGATGCTCCCAAAGTGCTCCTTTAATAGACAGACAGCGCTTCGATCTGCAGCGACTTCTCCTTCATGGAGACACGAATCACAACAGAGACATCAAGACAAAGCAGGACGTGAAAGGAAAGGGCATTCGAAACTATCCAAGACATGTCATCCTGTCTTCTCTTTTTTTATGATTGCAGAGATTTGAGCATAAATCCTTCACAGCCTTCACTTTAACCATACTTCTGCAAGGCTGCATCTGAATTCTTCACCCGTACTTGAGCATCTTTGCCCCTGATTGCTGTTGTGTTAATTGTCTCCTCTCCTTTCATCCTCTGCTTTCTTTGTTTCTACCTCACTTCATCCAGTACTTTGCTGATTTAGCGCTCCTTCTCCATTGTAACAGAACTGGGTCAGGGCACTGCGAACTTTCTTCAACACTTGCAGCAAATATATGCACCATAAATGCTCTCCAGTATTTTCAGTTTCCCTGTGCTTGTGTATATAAAATTCAAGTTTTTTTACACTTTGATACACAGCTTTTACAAAGATCTCAAGAAAAAAACTGACCTCAAACTATACGACACAGCTAATATATAAAAACACTCACACATCTACAGTAACAACCCATCCGCACAAGCTGTTCCCCTCCCACTCAGACATACACAGGGAATATAGAGAATCAGCACCTAATTAGCATTCATCAGCAGCTATTCTACAAAGATTGATCGTCCTCCTTCAGAATATTCATCCTCATGTCTTGCAGTTAAGGCTCTAATTCATAAAATTCATGACAAGGTCCGTAGGTGGGAACGTTCCACTGGGAAATAAAGCAAACTTGACACAAGCACAGGAGTACAAGTGACACACGGATTCAAAGGTGTCACTTGAATTGACCCCGAGCCTTATAACTACAGGAAAGGAGAGCTGGGTGAGGAGAATAAGGTCGTGGATACAGATGTTAGTACTTCTTTGTAACACCTAGTGGTGTTATTAACCTTTAGCAAATTAGCCTTAAACTAATCTACTTAGTCAGGAGATGTTCAAGGTGCTTTTTTAGTACTGCACACCATTTTTAGAGTATTTTAGAGTAATTAGAGATAGGCGAGTTTTCTTTATTCGTTAGTTATTATGAAAAGGAAATTACAGACACACAAAATCATACAACGCCAACATGCAGAGGAACCTAAAAACTTTATCTAGTTCAAAGCGATACCCAAACCTTTTGTGAGATTCAGGCACTCACAGTTGCAGATAAAGCAAGGACACACACACACACACACACACACACACACACACACACACACACACACACACACACACACACACATCCCCAGCTCTATTATTTTTACAATTTTTCGGTCTGTGTGACACTGAAGCTGTGACGTCCTCGCCTCACGCTGTAATGTAATTATGACCAGATTTTGTGATTTAGATGTCAGTAATCCGTGTGCGAATATGTGTGTGAATGTGTGTGTTTATGAGTGTGTTTATGTGTGTGTGTGAGAGAGAGTCCTGGCTGCCGCTGAGCATGCTGACTTTGCAGCTCAAGGTGAGAAGGGTGCACGCTGCAATTATCACAGCTCTACTTTACTGTTTGCTTGAACCGCCAGCACTGCAGCGCCATTACCTCACATGACCCTTCTTAGTCTCGTGGCAGAGAGTCAGATGGATTCACACTTCAAACTACCTTAAATTCCCTCCCACCCTGTCCATGAGCCGCCTTAAATGTCGGCCTAACTCATCTGGTAGACGCTTGCCCTCCCCCCTGAAGTGGAAGGGAGACAGTTGCCATGGAAACCACCGGTGGAAGTCTTTTTTTTCCCCTCGCCTAGGCTAAGGGCTCTTTCTTGTCTGTATATCCTGCCGCTGAAACTCAGAGTAAGTGTTTCTGTGTGTGCTTTTTATTTGATCAAAAGAGCCCCTATGTGTGCGAACAACATGGCTGAAGTGTTTTTGCATATATGTGAAATATATCTGATGACAAACCAAACAGCTCCCTTATGTGTATGTATATAACATGAGCACAGAGGGACTTGCTTTTGTGGGGGTGCTTGTTCATAAGAATCTGTATTTGTGCTTGGCTTGACATGAGTCTTATTGTTATTCCTCTGCATTAGATGACTCATCTAACCTCAAAAACAATGACTCCCTATCTGATAGGCAGCCAAGAACAGAAACGATATCCTCATCTGACCCACAGAGGAAAGAAAGGATTCGCCATGAACTCAGCAAAAGGCTCAAAACCCAGCCCAAAAACTTTGTGATGCTGCTCAGAAATACCTGAAGTGTCTTAATTAAAGTCTCCAACAAATTGTTTTTATCTACTCTCAGATACCCTCAATAAACTCATCAACCATTTGGCTTAGGAAGTCTCAAATATAATGAATATGGCCCCAAATGATCATGAAAATATCTTCATCAAGATGACATGAATAACATGCTGCACTTTTTTTGTTTTCTTGGCCACTGAGGTTACTCGTGAACTGCTGTCTCTTTAACATGCCTACAGCAGTACGAACTATTATATATGCAGCCGCCAGTGGAGGGAGGAGAGCAGGGAGAGGAGCAGGAGGAGGCATTTATGTGGTGAGACAGGGAGATAATAAGCCAAAAACAGGCTAAACACTGGCACTGGTTCATATCATAATGAAATACAGTCCTAATGTACAGTTAGACAGACAGGTATGCTTTGGTAAATAGTAAATAAAGAAAAACAGACAATGATTATTAAATTTTTATTATTAACTATTAATGTTTTCAAAGAGTTTACAGCGCTTCAGTTTGAAAGAACAATAGACGGCTATAAGACGTCTAGTTTTATTAGACCTAATTTCAACCATCTAGATTCTGTATATTTTTGGATAGAATTTAGACGTTGCACTTTAACCTATTATTCAATAACTCTTTTTTCAAAAAGCAACTGTGAGTTGTATAACTGATCTCCAAGTACTTAACCAAAATAATTATGATAGCCGTTGAGCAATATACAGTGTAGGATAGATATAGCCCAGATTTAGACTTGGTCTAAACTCGGTCTAGATTTAGACGTCTAAAAAACTTTTATTTTTAGACCTGTGGTAGCCTGATTTTAGACCAGTCATCCAGTCTAGGCTACATTTAGACATCTATTAGACCTCTTTCAGTCCAAAAAATGCTCAGTGGGATCATGATCTCAATATCAGTCAAAACAGCTGTGATAATTCAGCAGCCCTGTTCCAAAGCCAACACTGATATCTAATGTTGGATGTCAGCAATGTTCATCCTCTTAGTTTAGTGTGTTACTATGTTAGTATTAGTGAACCATGACTGTTATGAGAATTCATGTTAAGAGAATTTGTCATTTGGATGAAACAAGCACAGACAGGAAATCCAAAGAAGGGGAGAAACAGAGGAAAAGGACGTGAGAAACAGACGGAGAAAGGCCAGACATGAACGAGTGTATGAACAGTGATGTAACTCAGAGGCAATGTTTTAGCACAAGTCCATCACATCCACCAGAGGACGAGCTTTATTTAACTCTCCTTATGTGCAAACATCTCTCCATCTCTATTTATCTCTATTCAAAAAGAAAACTGGCAACTCTCTGCACATCATCGTGACTTCCTCTGAGATCATTTTTCATTAATATCCTTTCTAATTTCACCTGCTAGATTATTGCCTCTACATTCGTTTGGGCATATGTACTTGAGCAGCAGAGAAAATAACCTCAGACTGCTGCTGGGATTGAATGTGAATCAAAACAAGAACAGAAACCAACATTTAAAGCTTCTCTCACTCTTTTCTTGCCTCTTCAGAGCGAGAGAGGAGATACGGCCTTGTGTAACATAACAAAACACTCGTTTGACAAAAAGACTGCAAGCAAACCAGATCTGTGGTGACGAGCCTTTGAACTACGGGAGTCAGTCACAGCATATAGTTACAATACAATGTACACAGAAGTACTTGCAGCGGCACAGCAACACAAATAAGCCTCTCCTCAAATTCACCCAGAAACACAGCATGGGGCCGAGGGCAAAGGGAATAGTGAATGAGGGTATTAAGTACTGAAGGAAAGAGTAGCAGGAGTAACACAGATGATCAAATAGAAGCAAAGGGAAGGGGGAAGAAAGAGGCAGCTCTGACGAAAGGATGTCTGAATGTTTGCTTCCTTCCTGTCCGATGCAGTGAAACTTTGGGAAGTCCTTCAGGTGGAAGGTCCGTTAAAATCCTTCCCCATATTTGTTTTTTATTTACTCACCATTCTGACACTGACTTTTTCTCAATTAAACATTAAAAAACTGAAACATTCAAAACTGCTCACCCTACACACCAAAGCAGGGAGAAACATTTCTGACATTTACGTCTTGAAAAGGTTCGAGGCTTATGGTAATCACAAGATACTTAAAGAGGTCTGGAGCATCTGGAGCTGTGCTCAAAAGTTATCCTCAGTAGGAACAGACATTTGTATTGCTGTACTAATGTTGTTCTGTTTACTGCTGTGAAGTGGGGCATAGCTGGTAGAGTTATAGGTTAGAGTAGAGTTCAGGAAAGCTACCTGTTACAGATCAATAAAGAGCCCATTTATGTGGCCAGTTTGTGTGTCTCACACTTCCAGAGCCGGCAGCAGTGAGTAAAAACACCTAGGTTTTTAGGCACACAGTTAGAAAAGACAGCCAGCTCAGAGGAGATAGTTACTGAATTGGACTATAAGAGTGAGGGTTTGAACCACATGTTCATTCTTTAAAATGAGGCAATAATGGAGGAGTCAAAACAAAGTCAAGCTCACACAAAAGAGCCTTAGGACCCCAGAGTGACCAGTAAAGAAAAGGGAGAAAGGAAGCATAATGCTAGGTTCCATCCTCCTGTCATCCATGAGGCTGCTGAGCTGATTATACAAAAAAAAAAACATTTACTGCCAACTAAAGCTGTTTCTGGAAGGAATTAATTCAAAGGTGCTGTGAAAGGATGTGATGTGTCATCCAGGACTTTCACAACAGTCTGCTCACGGTCTTTGATTTAAAATCCTTTGCCAGTGGCAATCACCTCAGTATTAACATCTTTTTACTACTGCTTCCCTACAGATAAAAACAGGCGGGGATAAAAGGGAGAAAATAAACCACATCAGTTTTACAGAGCAGATAAACAGCAGAGAACTGGTTAAAAACATCGATGGATAAAAGCACAGAGAACGCTAGAGGGATGTTTCGCCTCTGTCTGGCACAGGTCCTCATTGCCACTGAGAAATATTCAGTCTTTAAATGTGACTAATTTTTAAACATGCTGTTGCTCAACACTTTTTAAAAGGGAAAACACTGAACTGACAAAATCTTTACTCAAACAACTCAACTATATCGCTGCAGTTCAAACAATAGCATTATTAAATGAATCTGTAAAGGAAATGTTTATCAAGGTTCTGTTTGCATGAGCATTATATGTACTGTAGGTACTAAACAGCACCACTGAGTTTGAGTTTATTTAAACCAGGGACAATACATATTGATGAACATATACATGTAAATATGCAAGATTGTAGCCAACGGCTAATTTCCAGCTTTAGTCCCTTCGGCAGGTTGATGTCAACAACATAAGATAATAAAATCAATAAAACTACAGTAACAACAAGTAGAACAGTTAGCCTTCATGGCCAGTATGAGCAGGGGGAGTAATTACAGAGAGGGAAAACGGGTCTTTGAAAACACAATGGGACAGAGAATGAAAAATAAAAGCAAGAACAATGAAAAGTATAGTGGATCATGAAACATACAGGCCAAGGGTCAGAGGACCATATGTATTTCACTAGCATTAAATGCTAAAATTAGCTATCAAAGGGCTGATTAAAGTGCAGAGTGCTGAAGTGTTAAAGTGTTAGGTGCGTAATTATATTGCAGATTGCCCGATTGCACAGTAAATGTAAAGTGCTATTTTGAATGCACAATACTCAGAATATAAAGCGCATGCCTTGCATGTGGCCCTAATGCCTAAAAAGTAAATAAAGATATAATAAACATTAAAAATATTAATGGGGAAGAGGGAGTAGTAGTAGTAATAATAATAAAGCAGTGATGTTTATGTATGTACTCTGTAGAAATTGTGGATGGTACCCCAACAATTAGCTAGCATTAAACAAATATACATGTTCAGGCACGGTTGTGGCAACAGTGTTGTTCTTCCAATAGCCAAGCTTTAAGATGTTTGGTAAAAGAGGTCAGAGTCGGGAGTTCACGTATTGTGTTTGGTATTGAATTCCAGGTGTGAGAAGCACGAACAGAAAAAGAGGCTTGACTAAAGGCACTCTTTCTAAAAGGAACTGCACAGTCACCTCTTGAACCAGCTCTTATTGACCTGTTTGAGGTTTTTTTTTTTAACAAATTCTTGTAATGGAGGGGGTGCTTTGCCATGGAAGATTTTGTAAATCAAGACAGCGTTGGTGTGTTTAACAGTGTTGTCCCAGCTTAGGCGCTCATGTTTTTTTAATATATGACAGTGATGGTATGTTTTTGTTTTTTTATCCAATACTTCAGGGCTTAGACTGTTTCAATCGGCTTTAATGTCGTTTTACAGGCTATCATTAGGTAGCATTGGCACTAGTTCAGACGAGTTATTGAGCTTCTGTAACACAAAAGTTCAGCAGAGATCTGATAAGAGAGGCACAGTTTAGTGCTGCACACTGCATTATGTCATTAGACCAGAGAACATCAAACAGGGTTTACTCGCAAAAACTAACAACCTGGAGGTTAAATGTGCTCTTAAATGTGGCAGTCGCTTTTCTTACACTTGAAATCCACACCTGTGAGAGCTTATAGGCTCAAGCCTATAAGCCAGAAGTCTGCTATGTGACAAACAGAAGTAAAAATGAATGTGAATTTGTAAGAATTATCTCAGATGAGTGCCAAACTTGCAAGGTTTGAATATAATGTCAGTAATACCCACAGTCCTGTGACGATAGGAACTGTAGACTGATCGTGAGGTGAAGGTCTGACTCCTGCTGCCATGTCTAAAACAATCCTGTGGTTTTAAAAAACCCAGACACAGAAATTAAAAACTGAAAGAGGAAGAAACAGAAGTACAGACTCCACATTAGAGCACAAAGTAAGTCATCAAAGAGTGACACAGTCAACAGAAACTTGGCGTATGAACATCCCTGATGGTAGGGAGTTTGATTTTTGCCAAGACAAGGGTGAAGTGCATCTGCTACGGTTGTGATAGTGGTTTGTGGACTGACAACAGTCATGCGTGTGTGTGTCTGTGGGTGTGTGTACACAAAGTGAAAACCAGTTTGTGCAGAGCTGAGCAATGTTATTAGGATTCCTGTCACAGTTTGGCCCTTGCTGGGCGAAGGAAGAGAGGAAGAAACGTGGAATAAGGTGGAAGAAAAATAAGAGAGAGATTTAAGAGCGGGAGATCGAAAGGGAAGAGAGAGAGAGGGAAAGAGAGATGTGATGTGAAGGAATGCAAGACGGGAATACAGAAAGAGCTGAAGAACTAAAGGAGGTAGAAAGACGTATTGCTTCAGATCTTGCTCCGTTGAATCTCATCACAGTCCAAATCACTGCCCACAGTCTGTGACAGCAACAGCTGCAATGTCAGATCAACGGATTGATTTTTTATGTGATCACAGATGATCATCACAGGAACTGTTTTCCATTTACACGACTGACAGAAGCACTGAACTGTAATCATCCACTGTTGGTTATCAGGAGTCACTTAATCTTTATTTGTGGTTGTCAAAATGGTGTGTCACAGAAAACTCAAAATTACCAATTTAAGCTGCAGACAAGTACCGTTAATGTATAGTGATCTTTTTATCAGCCAACCTTGGACTCCATAAACTCTTAAAAACAAATAAATAGGCCATTCAGTCCTTGAGACATCGTCCTGCTGCTACACTAATAATCGTCACAGCAAGTGGAACATCATAAGAGGGTCGAGAAATTTATCATCAGTGCCACAAGATGATGAAACATAAAAACATATTCTGCTATACCGAATAGGTTTGCCCTACATTACCTTTTAAAGAAAGATTCAAATCTTCGGTTCTTATATTACTGTCACAGTCAAAGGAAGGGAAGAAATGCCTGAACTGACCACAGAGAAACAGTTGAAGGTGGCCTGGAGGAAATCAACAGTGTCAACTTTGCAAATCCCCCTGAAATCAATCCAACTGGACACGTGTGGGATGTGCTGGGAAACGAAGTCCGATTAACCTCACAACTTCCAAGACTTAAAGGATCTGCTGGTAATGCCAGAAACTCAACCACACCTTTGGGTGTTTAGTGGAGTCTGTGTCTCATCGGGTCAGGTTTGAACCTGAACAGATGAGGGGGGGAGGGCTATACAACACTGGGGAAGTCACAGGGATTTGGTGATCAGTGTATGTATAAGTGCACTTTTAAAAAAGGAAAATGGGTGTGCTAAACACATGCCAAATATTAGTAAAGAGAAAAACTCTAAGATTGTTTCATGGGATTGTTGACAGCCAAATACCCTGGACTAAAATATCCTGTACTAATATGCAGAGAGTGACATTTGCTTTGGCATAAAGTACATTATGCTAACTGTCGAGTTTCAGCTTCACCATTAATAAAGTGCTCACAAACATTTTTGACTCTTTTTTTAAAGCATACAACTGATGAGGAAACTGGACAGGCCATAGTATGAAAGAGGATTAGGGCCATATAGAGAGAAAAAAAAAACAATTACAGTAACGAGATTATGTCGAAATTTCGAGATTGAAGTCGACAGGAATAAAGTTGAAATTTCATCAATTTAATCAAAATTTCAAGATTGAAGTTGATGCAGATAAAGATTAAATTTCATGAATACAGCTGTACTGTTAAGCTTAATCATAATAATTCAACAGCATTGTCACTCGACAGCATGTCCTCAACAGTTTGTAAAGCTGTACTTTAGAATTGGATTTAGTAACAAGGAAATGCTTGCTCTTTTAATATACAAACACAGTGTCGCCATAAGTATTTAAACTCTGAAAAGTCTGTGCCGAAGAGTATGATGCAGATGCAGGGTTATCGATGGTTACACCTGTGTGCTATACAGCGAGGCTATATGTAGTATCGCAAGATACAATAAGACAGCTGATCAAGTTGTTTAATCCTGAAGTCACAGATGAGCACAGCGTCTGAGGCACAGGCATTAACGAAGTCGAGGACCCAATGCGCTCTGGCACATGGATGGCTATGACAAATTTAAGCCATGGGCTACGGCATCTCATTTCAACTTTTTAAAATTTCAACTTTAATCTCGAAATTTTGACTTTCATTTTGAAATGGAAATTAAAAGAAATCTCCCTCCTGTAATTATTTTTTTCTCTTGTTGTAGCCCTAATCTTCTTTCGTACCACAGAGATCCTGCTACATGGAAGCAGAAAGCATGAAAGGTAAGTCTACGTATAAACTCAGTGAGAGTCCAAAGGTGTGGACACGTTTTTAGCAAGGTGAGCTGATCAAAGCTGCTTCTTTGTAAAAATGCACCAAAAATCAGGTGAATAACAAAGTTAAATGGAAAACTTGAAAACTAAAGGGCTTACAAGGAAAAGGGTAATGAGTTAACTCAATTTAAGAAGAAAATCAGCACCCCTACCTTTTGATGATTAGATTGAAATTAATAACTAATTATTTTATAGTAAATTAGTTAATTTAATTAATGACATGACCTTAATTATTCCTCTGAAACCTGCTGAGAACGGCGAGACCAGCAGCACGATGGTAAACAACTACAACAATATAATTTATGCTTTTATCTCAGGGAGAAAGAAAAAAACTGCAACACAGAGTCAGAGACAGAAAACAACACAGGTACAAACAACGGGAGACGCAGAGATAACACTCTCGCACAAAGAATTAGAGATGAACACAAACTAATGCTTACAACACAAGTAAACCAATGGTTTCAACTCACCGTCTTCGCTGCATTCTTCGGGCGGCTTTGCCTTTTTTGCGAGCCGAGGATCCAGCCACGATGTAGTTTTGGTGTTGTGACTGTAGGAGAAGTAAGAGACGTGTGGATGAGGGCGCGAGGAAGGGAAAGGATCAAACTGAGGTCAGAGGGGACTGATAGAGAGGATAATAGAAGGAGAAGTGCAAAGTGACACCAGTGAGGTGTGCTGTCGAGAGAGAGAGAGAGAGAGAGAGAGAGAGTGTGTTTGTCTCTGAGTGTGTTGGTGCAAGAGAAACAAGGGGGTTTCTAAGGTAAACTAAGTGGTCATTTATCCTCTCATTAGCCTTCAGCCATTAATTAATAAGGGTGAGTAGATAGGGCAAAAGCACTCAAAGGCCTGAATGTGTGTGTGTGTGTGTGTGTGTGTGTATCCTGTGTGCGCAGCTAAATTGAAGCAATAAGTTTCATCAATTATTCAAACAGAGGCGGGTGCAGTAAAGTTTACACACTCAGCTCTACATAAACTAGTTTTTTTAAAGCAGGAGAGCTTCCATAGAGTGTATTTCATAGGATTGGATTTTTTATGTTTTGAAGCATGATGTTTATATTCACCTCAGAAATGTTAGGTCCCTGAATAACCGTGTTTTTCAGAACTAAATCCCATTTTTGCACTTTAAAGATCTCAAACAGGTATCCATACAGAATCTTTGGGCCTTACTCTATGAAGTAGACCTCCCCCTTCTCAGTGTAGGCCATCTCCCAGTTGTCGGGGAGAGGACCCAGCTCCTCTTCGTTCGCGTCTGGGACTTTAGCGGGGGATTCTGAGGGAGATTTCGGGGCCTCCTCTCCTTCTGTGGGGGGCTCATCGGATGGTGGGGGTAGGATGGAGGCGTCAACAGCAACCTCCCCAGAGGCATCTGTGCTCTTGTCCTCATGCTCACTGGACTCTGTGGAGCAAACACACAAACCCACACACACACACACACACACACACACACACACACACACAGAAACAAACAGTTATTTTCACATACACTATGTGCACACATACAGACCTGGATGCACACCACACACGCCATGCATGATGAGTCAGAGCCAAGCCACTGCAGAGCTATCAACCCCCAGGAGAGAGAGAGAGAGAGAGGGACAGCGAGGGAGAGAAAGAGAGAGAGAGAGAGAGATGGGCTTTGAGGACATTAAACATGAGGAGAAAACAACGTGCGGATGTCACAAAAGGAGAAACGGGAAAAAGACAGAGACTTAAGGGTCAGAGACTGAATCAGATATACGAGGAAAAGTTTTGAAGAGTGAAGGGAAAGCTGGTGGATAAAACAAGTCAATGGATCAAATGAATGTATTTCAGAAAAAAGAGATAAAAAATACAGCAGACAGACTTTGCAGATAGTTTATCAAAGTGTCAAAACACACGGAGGTCAGATAAACATCAAAAAGACAAGGTCCCACAGTGAGCTTTTTGAGGCTTTAAGCAACAAATTAAAAAAAAGGTTCCAGTTATTTTAACATTCACCAGAATTTTCCTATAGTTAAATTTTTTTTCTTTGTTTGTGAAATCGGGTAACAAAGCAAATTTCAGCTGTCTCTTGATAATCCCTCGCCCCTCATTCTCTCCATGGCTGCAGCATCTGATATTTATTGCTCTTTGCGATACCTAAAGCATGTGCAACACTTGGATGTAGGGATTACTGTCCTTTTCCTATTACTCAAGTCTTAAAGCAAATAACTGTATCAGCATGAGGCTGATTAATGTGGCATGATTGTCAACACGGACTACAGAGAGAAAAAAGGCGAAGGAGGATAAACAGGAGAGGGCAGACGGGAAAGGACTGCAGAGAAGAAGGGAAAGCACGAGGGGTCAGAAGAAAGAGGATAGTAGAAAGGAGGAGGAGAGATGGGGGAGTTGGGGTATAAATAGAAACAAGGACAAAGGCCAGTGGCAGGAGAGGAACGACAGCAGAAGAGATGGAGGAATGAGAGGACAGAGAGACGAGAGCTAAGGCCAAAATCAGACTCCAGGCAGTGATAATAAAGCAAACATTAAGGTGCCCTTGTGCATTAGATTTGATAGGGTTACTTTGAATGGACACAGTTCAGACTCGTGTGAGTATGTGTGTTAATGTCTAAAATGACTGGTAAGGGTACAGTGTGCTGTCAGAGATGTAGTATTTATGCAGCGGCGGGTCGATATATTTATACAGCTGAAATGAATCTGGACTAAAGGGAATCAAATTAGATGTATCCCTGGACTGAATTGTACCTCTGCTGTATTTCAATCATGACAGTGAGGCAGCAATAAATAACCCAAGAGACTGTTCAAACCAGATTTTCTTCCCACTCATGAAACATCTCCACCATCCTGTCACTTTAAAAACAGACCGTGCTTGGATTTGATTTCTACTGATAATAGATACAAATTTTGTTGTAAAGCATTAAAAGAGCAAATTGATGTTTTATTCGTCTTTTACCTGGCGTGATGGCCACTCCGTTGCCGTTGACGACCGGGCTCTCCTCTTCTTCCTCCTCAGGAGGTTCCAGGCTGGCACGCTGCTCCATGTTGCTGACTGACTGGTTCCTCTTCCTCTTGCCCTGGGCGCTGGGCCGGGCTCCAGGCAGCAGGGCCTCACTTACATTCAGAGGAGGTGCTGCGGGGGACGGCTCCGCTGGAGGTTTTGGTGTGCCGTAGAAGTTGTCTAATAGGACATGTATGACAAAGAGAGGATCTTAGCTGAGGGACCAGAACATGCAGGGGGCAGAGTTTTGGTTTTCAGCTCATGCACGCACCCACTGAGCAATAGACGGCTATTAGACGTCTAGTTTTTTTTTTTCAGACCTAATTTTAATCATCTAGATTCTGTATATTTTTAGATGAAATTCAGACGTTGCATTTTAACCCATTGTTCGATAAGTATTTATTTGAAAAAGCAACTGTGAGTTGCATAACTGATCTCAAAGTGCTTCACCAAAATAATTATGATAGCTGTTGAGCAATATACAGTGTAGGATAGATATAGCCCAGATTTAGACTTGGTCTAAACTTGGTCTAAATTTAGGCGTCTAAAAAACTTTCATTTTTAAACCTGTGGTAGCCTGATTTTAGACCAGCTGTCTAGGCTACATTTAGACGTCTATTAGACCTCTTTTAGACCAAAAATGCACAGTGGGTAGATTATTGCTATTTAAAATGCACAAATGTTTATGTATGGAAACTTGTGCTACCATCCTTTAAAGCCTTAACCTGTTGTTTCTAATGTATCTGGCTCCTCTGAAAACATCACTGTGGCTTCAGGCAGGCGTGACACTGAAGTGTACAGTAAATCTTCACATCAGCTTATTTGCATCTTCTACAGCAGAAAGTAAAACACAGCACAACTCCAAATATAACAGCTCTTTAAATACATCTCCAAGGACAGACTGTGTCCCTTTGTAAGATAAATTAGTGCTTTGGGACTTGAGAATACTCTGTCACTATGCTTTCTCGGCTTAATGATGCACAAAAACCCTACCAAAGAACATCATAATAACTGTGCTACAGTTCAAGCTACAACCTCAAGGTTCTGAGAAAGTCTATTATTTGTGCGCCGCCTTTGGTTGCATTCAGTTAAAACCTGAGTGCATGCATGTGTCAATACTGTTATTCACAACTTCTAATACAGTAAAAGAGTCAATACCCTATAAATATCAGCCTTACAAGGCAGAAAATATGATAACTTCATGGTAGGGAATTAAAATCTTATCCTTAAACAAAGAACGTGTTGTAAATATAACAGAGGAACTCAGGAGGTTAATGAGCTTAAAGAAGTCCAAGAGCTTGTATTAGGCTAGATATATCTGCATGGATTAGCCCTGCAGGTGGATAAATATGTGTTTTATGATAAAGTGGATACCCAAAATTGACAAAACAACCTAATCTGGTGAAAAACAACCAAAGCTGCATGGTTCTTTCACTGCAGGTACAAGTACCTCGGTTGGGGCAAAAGCACAGGAGTAAAAGCAAAACACTAAAATGATTTAGACGTCTGTCACCCCACACTCGCTATAAGGGTTCTGGTGATAAAATTATCAGCGAGAGGCTCAATTCTAGTCAAGCTGAGAGAGGGAGAAAAGGACAACACATAAAAGCCGTTTTACTAGAGTTAGAAATGTTCTCAAGATGTCATAATAAACTCCCTCATCTGAGACCAAAGAGATTTCAGGGTTTGCTACAACTTTTAATTATCACAATCTCTCATCATTTCAGCGAGGGTTATACACGGTATAGTTGACTTAGCAAATTCTTTCCTCCTGATGTTTTCTTATAAAAGCTCAATTTTTATTTGAATCCTAAAGCCCTCGCTGTCAGAGAGTATATTTTCTGATTAAATATTGAATGTGAGTGAGAGGCAGAGATGTCTCATTTTATTATCGCTTTAAGTAGCGAGGAGTGGAGCTTTCACAACGAGGAGGATATGAGGAGATACAGGCAACAACTGAGCAAAGAAGAGGGCAGGAGGCAGTGATACAGGACAATAAGAGGATCAGCTGTAAAGAGTCCACAGACATCAGTTTGAGACTCCAAGACATTCGGAAAGCTTCTATTACAGCCGCCACTTTATCAGTAAGATAACTAACTCCACTGTCTACAAAACAGGCTAAACATATATAAATGTGCACATGTAAGCGTATGGTGTATCATAAAGATTCATCGTGAAATCATACCCACCGTTGATAGTGTGAAAAACATAGATAGCATTCCTCTTGATGTAATAAACTGGGTTTAAAAGGCGCAACCTTGCCCTCATGCCTTTGGTTTAGCCTGCAGCCATCTCTGCATTATGCACCGTTCAGCATCCATCTTCAGCTGTGACTCATCTCATGGCGTCATATACAAAAGGGTCTTACGTGCACTAAGCCTTGTCGTACACTCTTCAGTTAACTCAAAAAGTTTCCAGATGACGCCTCATGTACAGTTTTCGCTCTCTTTCACTGTCGTCTGTAGTCCGTCGTCTTACTTGCTGTATTTATCAGCCATTCTTCTCCTTCTTTTCCACTTCAATCCAAAGCAAAATCATCTGTATCTGCAACACTCCATTTAAAGCCCCCCAGAAGGACACAGCTTTGGTCCAATGCGCATGAGTAAGATCTTTGCTAAAGGAAACGTGGGCTGCAAAAAACATTAAAACTTAAAACAAGTGTACACTCTACACTTAAATTCATACACAACCGCTCACACACCACACAGGCATGCATTTGCACACATAATTTGTGTGAGAGTGTTCAGCTGTACATGCTCACAAAAAATGCTACTGGGCAAATGGACCAGCAAATCCTCCATCTGTAGATTTATCTCTGACAGTGCACCAAAGCAGATGCACAGACTTGACATGACTTGGAAATGGCTTTACTCCAGTTATTCAGCTCTCTCTTTCTGTTTCTGTCTCCCCTTCTCTCTCTCTCTCTCTCTCTCTCACTCTGTCTAGCTCTCTCCCTCTCTCTCTCACACAGTGAAAGTAGTTAACCAGCTGCTCAACGACCACCAGAAAAAGCTTTAATACATGACTCAGTGGATCAGACTCATTTTGTTTACTTAAGCTTTGTGTAAGAGCATCACCTGACACTCCTGATCCATCAAGAAAGGACATGTACACAGAAGCAAGAGAAGACATTTAAAAATAGCTAAATTGCTCTTCTGAAACATATGTTCCCTGTTTTTGCTCCCCGAGCGCCTGTGCTCGTCTCACAGATGGAAAATGTTTTCCTGCACAGCGCTCCCGACACTCACCTTCATAGGTTCCACTCTCTAGCAGTGCTCCACTTTGCTCCAGTTCCATAAAACGCTCCACACTCACAAAGTTGTAGTCCACCCCCGGCACCTCCCCCTCCTTAGGCTGCCTGGTGGTACCTGCAGGCACAGAGAGAGAGAAAGTGAGAGAGTGGGATAGGGAAAGAGAGAGAGATAGAGAGAGAGAGAGAGAGAGAGGGGGGAGAGAAGGAGTTAGGAAAGAGGTCAACAGAGCCAATGGGGCACTTGAGAGAGAAAAGGCAGGAAGGAAAGGAAAAAGCTCATAAAAAGGACTGGACAGAAAAAGACGGCTGATTAGGGGCTACAAAGTGTATCAGAGGAAGTAGGAGGAGGAGGGAGGAAATGGAACAGAAGAGGCAGAGTGAGGAGTCATCACTTGTGATAGCCAAATTCATTCACACAATTGTGTGTGAGTGACAGCAAGAGACGGAGTGAGACTGCTATAGAGGAGCAGGAAAAGCATGTGCAAACAGCAGACTGTCATCATTCAGTGCCTACAAGCCGATCCGGTGCGGTTTTAATAATGAGTGAATCAATACGGCACTTTTACCGAGCATAAGTCAAACCTCCTCACACCACAAACAACACTGTGCCGATTGGATTATTGTCGAAACAGCAGGAATGCAGAGGCACCACATTACCATGCAGCAATTAGAGCCTTCCCACATCAACGCTCTGGAGATCTCCATCAGCGCTGCGGCGTTGAGGCTCAGCTCTGTGATGGCAGCCATGGGAGTTTCAAGTTTAATGAGGTGCCGTGTTTGTTTCTCTGCCAAGTGGACTTAAAGCTTAGGCTTAGTGAAGTCTTCAAGCTGGGGTTGATTCCTGTTCTTGATTGATCGCGCCGGAAAACAGTTTGTTGTCAGATTTTAGATTCCAATGACGCTGAAGATCTGAACTGATGTGAAAGAGCCATCAGCGAGGCCGTACAATCACACCATGAGTTTTCTGTCCCTTCACTTGCATCATAGTTGGAAGTGAAAGCAGTTGCATGTCAAAAAAAAACAGCTAAATGTGTTGTAGATACACACTTGGATGCACAAGCTTGAACGCAGTGTGAATGAGGGGCTAGTCATCTCAGAGTGCAGGATCCCGTATGTCTCGCAGAGTGTGATATCTTAATCAGTAGATCTCTATTGATTGTCTGTCACCACTTCGCTCCTGTAGTGCATCTACTGAGTATTTTCCATAGAATTAACTCCACTGCTGGGACCAGAGATGGCAGCTTAGTGTCACCCAATCAGGAAAAAGATACCAGGCCATTGAAGCTAGAGCCCATCTACTGCACTTCTCTGCTGTGTGTGTGTGTGTGTGTGTGTGTGTGTGTGTGTGTGTAAGTATTAGTCTTCTTAAATGTGTGTGTGTGTGTGTGCATTTGTCTTTGTGACTTCAAATTAGGGCTGCTAATTATTATGGCAAAGGTCAAAATCACAAATATTTTGATTGATATTGACATCATAAAGGTGACATCTACAGCTCAAGGAAGAACATTTATGATCATTTCTTCATGGAAATGCAATAACTACCACGTCTGCAGTGCAAAATGATTGATATGGTGATTATTACTTCAAGGAACTGATAAAGAAATGATCGTAAATGTTCTTCCTTGAGCTGCATCACCCCACAGCCGTTTCTAATAGACTGACCTAAGGTCTCGCTACAAACAAGCGGCTGCTGGATGAGAGTAGGTGAGTTGTGTTTAGTCTCTTTGCTAAAGAAATCAGGCAAAGTTAAAATTATGTTTGGTGGCTAGTGCTATGGCTGGGACCCTATATGTACTGTTGATGAAGTTAGGTGCTGTTCTGAGCATTATTTGTGGCTATAGAGTGGTGTTTTGGTTGAGGTTTGTTTATGGCTCCTCAGACCACTGTGTATTGCTATCCTGTGGTCGTTATCAAAGTTGGTATGACTCGAGAAGCAAGCGGTCAGCAACATTCATCTCTCGAGGGGGTGTCTAACTCGATGTTACGGTTTGTTTGACCCTAACTTATTTTTACGACGGAATATCCCTTTAATAAAAACATATATCCTGTCTGTCTTTCTGATTGGACAGCAATAATACTAATTATTACAAAAAGTCAAATGTAATAGTAAACAAGACTTAAACATGTAGTATTTTTACACTGTATTTAAAAATGAAGGACCTGAGCTCTAATTCGATCACCTTTGTAGATCTAGCCTGTCACTCTGCCTTTTCCAGCCTTCATCTTACCTCTTTAAGCTCAAATCGTTAAGATACAGGTCAACGCCACTCGCTGTTTGGCCTTGAATTGATCTTAAGCTTGTCAATGCTTCTTGACACGTGTGGTTGTTGCTGCAGTCAGTCGCTCGTCGTGTTTACCCAGTCCCTCTACATTTCACATACTTGCCACCTCCTGCTCCTCTACCTGCTGTCTTCTTTCTACCGATGGCTGCATGATGGTTTGTTGTGCATGACAAAGATACAGCAGTCCCCCGGTTTGGCCATTTAGCAGAATCTGCAATTTCTTTGCACTCCCCCACCTTTTTGCACTAAATAATGAAGTAAAGGTGAGGGCTGTGTCAAAGAAAGGGACAGATCACATTCTTGGTGGTGAAGAAAGAAAGGGGCGGAGCAGGTGCTTCCTTTCAAAATAAGCACAGCACTGCAATAATTACTGGTTAACCTTGATTATTATATTCCCATGATCATGCTTTGGACACCAGAAATCCTCAACACTACATTTGCTGATGACTACAATATTCCTTTAGGCTACTACACTGTTGATTTAATTGTTTCACAGTTCACATCGTGGTCAGTAAAGTGTGAATAATGATGAAACTATGTGTGGTATTTCACAAGATGGTTGTTTTGTTTTTCCCGTGGTCTAATCTGTTACAGCTGATCCTGATTGTGAACATGACAGCAAAGCATTTGTGGTAATCTTAAAAATGAGTGGAAGGAGATTATAGAGACTGTAGCATTGGATTCACTTACAAACTGAATTTCAGCCACTGCTAATAAAAACAATACAAAACTACCAGGATAGACCCAAGACCAAAGACAAAGGTGTTTTCCTTACAGCTGAAATGTCTATTTAAAGTCTTCTGATTAGCAACTATTTTGAGAAATCAACATTTATTTCTCCTGAAATACTGACAGTGAAAATGTATTCAGTATAAGCTTCTCAATACTGATGATTTGCATGAATTTTAATAGCTTGCATTAAAATTAACACCTTAAGGTCAGTTCCAGCTACAGATCAGTAGCTGCTATTTTTTCCTTATAGAGCTCAAACTAACTAACACTGCAAGTGTTGGATTCAAATGAAGCAGTCAAACTTTCTATTTTGCCTTTAATGGAAAGGACAGAGTGGAAAAGAGGGAGATAGAGAGAGGGGAATGACATGCAGCACAAAGTCAGGGCAAGACTTGAACCCACAGCCACTGTGGAGACCATGGTACAAGCGTTCGATGGCCCCGGTGTTTAAACTTTTTGACGTTTTATACCCAAATACAAATCTGTTCATTCTTTCGTTTCTTTAAATGAACGTTTCTAGAGTTGTCAGCTGTTCTTATCATTTTAAGAAGCACTCTTGTAGGTTGTTTTTCACAGTTTGGCCTATGTGTTGGTACATTTGATTACATTACATCATAAAGAGTAATAAATAACTTCCTCACCCCCTGAGTTGACTCATCACTTCTGTGACTCAGCCTTTACAAAATTTTATATTATAAGCCTCACGAACAGCATGTATACTGAGAGCCTTTGAATCGCCTATATCCACTCAATGACGTCCTAATGTGAAGAAGCTTCATGGACGAGCACAATCAAGCCCACTCCATGAGCACTACTAAATAGAAAGTTTAAAAAAAGTGATCTTGAAGAGGACCTTCCAACGAACATGTAGTGCTACTCTGGATACTGCAGCAGCTCAGCCAGCCAGGCGGGGCCGGTCGCCTTCCTCTGAGTACAGCTATTGATCTGTAAGATCAGAATGAAATTATTCTGCTGCCCACACCAGAGTAGGCAGAGCTTGCTGGAATACTGATGACCTGCCAGTGGCCTTCTCCCACAGCTTCCTTCACTGGACATAGCAACAGAGCAAAGAGGGAGAGAGAGAGGGAGAGAGAGCATCTTGTTGGATCTGAGCTGGGAATATCGATCAACTATCTGCCAAGGAAGGCAGAGAGTCTGATTGTTCCCTTTTCCCTCTTTATGCAGACACTGCCTGTTTTTCCTCCTTGGCTCCCCACTTGCACTCCTTCCTCACCCGCAGCTACAAACACTAAATTAGTGGGATGTTGATCTTTTAATTAAAATGAACACCCTGCCTTAAAAAAAAAATCCACTCTGTTCCTGCTGCCACTTTCCTCTCTCTTCAGTCTCTTTCTTATCCTGAAAACTCAAAGGTAGAGGCCAAAAAAGCTATAAATGTGATCCATTATTTAAAGTGAATGTGGATGAGGGCTGAAATGTCCTCAGTTCACTAAAGTTCAGCTGCTCCTTTTTATCTTTTTATGTACTTTGAACAGTGTCTCAAAAACTCCAAAGCAGAGCTTTAATAAATGAGCAGAACAAAGCAGGACAAGCTGCACAGGTGCTTAAATCAAATAAATCACAGCTGACTGTAGTGAAACACGGCAGCAAAGTCTCGCCTGGGCCAAAAGCACGGCTGCTGTTGGCTATTGATTGGATGTCATGCTCTTGCTAATAAAGGATAAAGCCAACAGTGAGCCAAAACGGTCTTTGCATTGCAATCAGCATGTGTAGCCAAACGTCTCAGAGGTGAAGCTTCAAGTACGAGCACTACAGAGATTATGGCTTTAACGACTGGAATCTATAATAGCACAGAAAAGCTGCAGAACTACCACTTTACTGTCCAAAGACACTCTCAGCCTCAAACAATGACAACTGAGCGCCAGAGAATATTTTCACACTGGTGGGAGTGAATGAGAAAAAAAAGAGATTACGTAGAAACATAACAGGGAAATTCCATTTGGAGGAAAAGCTAAAAAAACTCAGCAGAGTGTCAGACGATAAGAGGACAAAGACCTTTGCTAAATAATACAGTGGCAGAAAAGCAGTGAGCAGAGCAAAACACAGAGAAAGGGAGACAGTCAGAGATGGAGAAGCATGATTGGTGGACCTTGCTGTGCATTCAGCAGCAGCCGGGGACCGAGTTTGAGAATGCGCACGTGTATTCATGAGCATGTTTGTATAATTAGACAGGAAGTCACCGAGTGGAAGAAGCAGAGCGAGGGAGAGTTAGAGCTAAAAATAGACTATCGATGAACTGATTATCATAATAAAGGATGGGGGAAGATGGTCAAATGATATAATCTCAGCGTGAACATGTAAAGGGAAAAGGGTGCATGTGTGTCTTAACGTTGACTAAAATGTAAAGCTGTAGACGCAGAGGTATAAGTATCACTCTGTCCTCTCATCCTAATCATTAAACATGAAACATGAGGAGCCGATACCTGACATGAATGATAAAGACTGAATGACCTACATGAACACCCAGCTTTGTGTCTCACTGCACCCATCAAACAAACTGTATGTATTATGTTAGTCTCTCTGTTTTCTTGCCTCATCCACCAGATCCATCGGGTTGCTTTGGGAGTCAGAGAGAATTTGTTGCAGATAAAGAAGCAGCATCTCATCTTAAAGTGACTAAAACTATACTAAAGAAGCTAACACAAGATGGACTCATGAAAAAGATTCACACATGCAGGCACAAATCTGATTACACGCCTGTCCTTGTTGTGTGTCTAAACTCGCCCAAAAAGCTGCATGTGGTGGCGAAGGAACTGGTTTATATTCATAATGCATATCTGTCTTTCTGTAAAGAGACATGCTGCAGTTTGTCCAACTTCTGTGACCATGCTGCAGGGCTAAGCAGAAAGAAACCTTGCCTCAATTCCAGTAAAATCCAGTAACTTCCGCTAAAATATATGAAAAAAAATGTCCACGATGATGTGCAAGAGAGTGTAGTCTGGCTCATCAATCTACATTTGCAATCATGAAAACACAATGTTGACTAATTCTGAAGTTATCCAAGAGGGAGTAAGAAGGGAAAATTGGATTTCAAGACACATTTCTGCAACCATGCAGACAACAAAACAGAGAGAGAGAGAGAGAAAATACTCTGTCCTCAAAACCCTGAAGTTGTTTACCCAGAATCCCTTTCAGAACAGAGCATGCAGAACACAACGACAGCGAGAGAGCAGAGAGGAATGTGAGGGCTGTCTGTGTTTGTTTCCGCTGCACACGCACTCTGCTGCTTCGTTACTCATTTGATTAGCCTTCTATCTATCTATCTATCTATCTATCTATCTATCTATCTATCTATCTATCTGTCTATCTATCTATCTGTCTATCTATCTATCTATCCATCCATCCATCCATCCATTTTCTCCTTTCAATTTTTCCTCCTCCAACATCCACTCTCTCTCCTCATTTCCAGTTTACCCAGGTTGGTTTACCCCATTGCCCCTTGATCGCTCTTTTCCTCTCTGTCCCCATTGTTCTCTCTCTCTTTTTTCCTTTTTTAAATCCACTTCTTCCTCTGTCGTTACTCTTGTCTCCTTTTGTCTCTCCTTCCCGCTCTGTCTCGCTCTTTGATCTGGTGTCTTATTCACTCTCATGGTTTGCCTCGCCTCTCTCTCTTCTGTCTCTCTTTTTGGAGATGTGGAGTGTGACAGAAAAGTCTACTAGAAAGGTACGCTAGAACAAAAACACACAAACACACACACACACACACACACTGTTATTAATACTACAAAGCTCAGCCCCAGATAAAGCTACTCTATCACAGGAGCATCTTCTACTCAAACACCATGTCAGCACCTGGCAACACAGCCTCACCATGGAAACAAGAGGCAGCATTAAATAATTAAATATGTTAGAGATTAAATAATATCTATGTTAGAGATGACACTTGAACACATTGCCTGTACAGGCATTTCACTGTGTAGGAGCTCAGATTGAGCCCCTTTGCTCTGCAGAGCTGCTTCTTGCTTCCATGGGCTTCATCAATCAATTAGTGTCACAGTCCGGCCACAGAGAGTAGCACCTGGTTTTCTTAAAGTAATTCTGCTGGTGGTTTAGCTTACGGGTTAAATAGACTAAGGGAGAACTGAAGGACTATACCACCTATCCTGTGCACTGTAAATCTCATATAGAATAGGAGGACAGGAGCTCCCACAGGATCAGTCTGGTGGTAGTCTGCAGTGACAAAATCTATAGGATGCATGTAAAAGTGGCCTTCTCAGTTGAAACAAGATTTATAAAAAGCAGACCAACAGTTGTCCATCCATGCCATTTCTTTCCAGCGGAGAGAGAGAGATGCCACAGAGTGCTCCACTTACAGTAAAGTGAATATTTGACCTTTGCAGCATCTGAGCTTTCAAGACTCTACCAATAACATCTGTGAGTGATGTAACCCAAGCAAACAGGTGAAGTAATGCAGATATAGCTTACTTTATGTATTTCAGACTGAGACACAACTCCTGGATCTTATTACTGTCATAAACCAGAACTACTGTTTACTACTGAACGTCTGCAAGTCGCTCTGCATCCCTTCAACTTAATGAGCATGAGAAACTTTTTTAACGTTGTGAGGGTAGCTTAGAAGTTAAGGCCAGGTATGTTTGCTCATTAAAGGAAGTATGGTCGTATTTGTTCTAATGCCAAGAGGTAAAGGAGTAACTCAATACATAAACATTTAAACGGTAGATAAAAGGACACAGCCAGCTCCTGTTTGGCTTAGTTTAGCATGGGCACAGGAAGACAGTTCATTTGGCTCCATCCAGAGGAAACAACTTTCCTGATAGCACCTCCAAAACTTCTGAATAAACACATACCTCACTGATCATATAGGAGGGAGGCAGGTTTTAGTGTTACACAGAATGGTCTGCAGGAGCATTGCTTTGCTAGTAGCAGTTGCCAGGCAACCAGAGGATATTCAGGGAGCTGTCTGGTCTCTACAAAGACAAAGCTGATAAAACTGTTAGAATTATTACTTTTCAATACTTTCATACCGACATTTATAACTTGTTAATCCCTGAGATTAAAGGGTTGGTGGGTGGATTTTGTTGACAAAATAAGAATCACAGATGGCAAGTTTGTATGTTATGCTAAATTATCTTTCTTTTTACCACAGAAGAGACGATAACAGTCATCTCATTGATAATACAGAGCTATATGACTCTTTAAGTGCTGAAAAGTTTAATTGCTTGATTGACTATTGGCTAATTGAAAATAAATAACGGAGTTTTAGCGCCACATTAAGAAAAAAAGACTTCAAGATTAATTTACGAGAAAAAAGTCATTACTAACTAGACTAAAAGTCATAATAAAATCATTACTTACAAGAATAAAGTCAATCACTTACGATATCATAAGTAATCACTTATGAGAGTGAAGTCCGAATAAAGTCCTTATATTCTGACCTGTTGTTTAAGATGAGAGTTGTTGAAATGAGAGCCATGGAGCATTTCATGAAAATGTATTTCAATATACGTTTCTCAAACAAGGAGATACTTAATCTTTTGGCACATCAGCATTAGCCTGGCTGGGCCATCCTGTTGCGTGAATCACTTGCCGTTCCTTCCCACAACAGTCTGGACTTCGGCCAATTGGGAGCGTGTATTCCTGATCAGAAAATAACCGGGCCAATCAGTGACTGTGTTTCCACTGTTTCCCGGACAGCAGGGAAAGGCAGCCCCTGATTGGTCAATGTGTAGATGGTGACGTCTAACACATGCTCGAGACTTTTCAAAGCGCCGCTCGTTCAGAACGCCATTAATTCTGCAGCTGACTTTGCAAAGTCGGCAGAAATCGTTTATATCCGACGTCTTCTGCAGATCTAAATGATTTCTGCCGACTTTGTAAAGTCAACTGCAGAATTAATGGCGTTATAATGGCGAATTAATGGATCATCATAAGTATCATAATGATTTTATTACGACTTTATTCTTGTAAGTAATGATTTTATTACGGCTTTATTATCATTAGTAATGACTTTATTCTCGTAAATGAACGACTTTATTCTCGAAGTCTTATTTTTTTCCCGTAATGTGGCCCTAATACTCTGTCGTAATAAATAAACACTTTATTTAAAATGTTAATATTTGTCTCAAATCGTTATTGGCCAAAAGTGCCACACATCTAACAACTCCATATTTTCAGAGTAAAAGTGTTTGACTTCTTTTTCTGTACAGAATGAATACTTGACACAAAGTCATACACATCGAGCAAAGATGATGTGTCAACTACTTATCCTGGGCGCTGTAACAGCAAGAAGCATGATTAAAAACGCAAGGGCAGAATTTGATGGAGAGGGCCGACACCCATAATCAAAACTTTGTAATCACAGTTAATTCAGCTTTGAACAGCTGCATCAGCTCTCAAGTTTCTTCAATGAAGCATCTGTTAGTCAGGATTATCATCAGCTGTAGAGACAACTGTATTGTTCGCTGGATCAGTGTCTGGCAGAGCTGCAGCCTGGGTGACATTGAGAGATTACCCCTGTCCTGAGGCGTGTCCTGTGGTGATGGAAATCAGTGCTGATAGGCTGAAAAGACCCTTTGCAAGTCTGCAGAGCCTGCTAGTGCAGGAGGACAGTGGGGGTCATGACACACACACACACACACACACACACACACACACACACACACACACACACACACACACACAGATACACACACACCATGCTGGCATATAGTGTTTCGCAGATAGAGTGTGCAGCTGTGCGCGTTAGAGTAGACAGCAGTATGGATCGACCAAAGTCAACATTTAAACGGTCTGAGGAGCCGCAATCGCTGACCCTCACAGGACAACGCCAGGCTTATCGCTGTAACCTCTGAACTAGTGGTCAGGAGATCACAGTTTTTCGACCGCCAATACTGATGCTGATATCACATGATGTCTTTTCATTAGAAAAGAAACAAGGTGACAATTATAGACTGTATATAGAGTAGACAATGTCTGTTTCCTTGCTGGGTGAAGCCACCCCGAGAACAGCACCCTCTGGTGACTGGCTGCAGTATAGGTCATAAATCCTGCCTCCTCCAGCAATCCTTATGGAGCTGTGAACAAACTTTAGAAATTTATCACACAGAATATACATTTTTCTCCCCTCTGCTTGTGATGTTGACATGTAGTTATTGTAAGACTGGTTTGTGCTTAAATCCTCTTTTTTCTGTACAGCTCAGCTTTTAAAAGTTATTAGGGGGTTCATGTTTTCTATGATTGACACTTAATACAGCCTATAGGTGTACAAAGATTGCGTAGCTCACCCGGGGAATACGCTGCTTGAGCTGAGCGTCATCACAGCGACGCTTGGCGATTCTCCCGCCGAGTGCATACAATGCTACTGCGCAATGTTGGTTTCCGGAAGTGGAGAAAAAAGGCGGAATTACTGAGAGCTTTTCAGCTTCAAATCTGTATTCTGGCGGAACCAAGTTGTACATAGTATATACAGTCTATGGTGACAATACAATGACAATCATAGTCAGGGTTTTTCCTGCGTTCAAAATTGCGTGGCGGCCGCCTCCACCTAATTTTGTGCCGCCCCCAGCCAGAGCGATTGATTTCGCTCAACACAGCGTAAAGCTCCAGCTGTGTTGATTGAGCGATTGATGTCCCGATGCAGCAGCAACGTATTTTAACTGCAGTTGCAGCGCTGCGCCACTATAGAGGCGCTATATCAACAGCAGTGCACCGGAAAGACCTGAAGCATCTACCGAAGAAGAAACGGATCGAATCATGTTTTTTCAAGTTTTTTTCCCGCTAGTGGGTGCTATCGGCGTCCTGATTTTCCCTGGCGGATGGTACAAACAGGTAAATACTGCTTCTCTTTTTTGCATCCAAGCATGTCGTGTTTATTAAAAAAAAAAAAAGTTTACTCCGTTTTTAGCGTTGCAGTTATGACAGGCAAAATCAGCCAGTACTTTAAAAAGCGACCTCGCGAGGAGGAAAGTCAAGAGTCCAGGTGAAACACAGCAGAGAAAAAACGTAACAGGCAGTTAAAATGCTATAATTCATGGTGGTGACAATGTGGAAATTTGTGTCAGGTCTGAAAGTACTTCACAAGGGACTGGTGATCGCGAGGGTCAGAATGCAGGACAGGACGAGTCGGCGAGGCGAGGGTAATTAATTAATTAGTTTCCAATTAGGAGCATAACAACGCAAAGCCGACGTGTACGTGGTTTTTATTCCTCTTTCCAGATCTTCTCAAAAACACAGAGCCAGTGGCTTTGACAAGCAGTGGCTCAATCAATTTACCTGGCTCAGGCATACTGAGGAAGGCATGCACTGCTGTTTATGCCAAAAGCACTGTGCCCCAACACAGCAGGCAATTGCTGCCTCCTTAGTGAGACAGCCATCAACCAACTACAGGCTGGACACATTAAAAAGACATGAGGTGACAGCCGTTCACAAAGCAGCAGAAGAGAAGGAGAAATATATTAAAGATGGTAGTACCTAAAAAAAAACTCAACTAATAAAGTTACAAAAAAAAAAATAACATAGTTTAGATAGTTTAAGAAATAATTGGTTGTCGTTTTTTTTTTTTTAGGGAGGACACTGCAGCGTATACATATATATAGTATGTGATTGAAAACACTATCACTCTTCATGTCTGTATCAGAATAAAAACAAAATTACTTAATGCATGATGAATGGTTTTGTTTAAGGTGAAGACACCTCTGTGGAACAGACTGAAGGGGAGGCACTTGGATGTCTGTTGTAAGGTGGCCGTTGATGGACCAGACCAGGAGGCCTTGGACTACAAGGAGTGCATGAGGAGGTTCTACAGAATGAAAAAGAGGAGGCTGAAATGTTCTGTCTGGTTGCGAGATGTGTGGATGAAGTGTACTTTCAATTTAAAGTTGCCAGCTGATTTGTGTATGTATATAGTTTTAATAAATTAATGCTTTAACATAATAATGGTCACACTCTTTTTTGAACTCTTAACTTAAAGTATGTTGCCTGTAAAAGAAAGTGAATCGGTTGAATTTACAAATACATGCACGTCATGGCGCATGGTCAGGATGGTGCCACCTCCGCCTCAATTTGAGCCAGGAAAAACCCTGATAGTGGCTGAACCAAATGAAAATCCAGGTAAATATGACACAACAATTTTTAAAAGTCATGTATAAATCCATTATTTCATGCACATTAAAATCAAATAATCATAGTTATCTTAGTCAGTAACATGTTTTAATAGATTTTAAATGACTTTAGAAACCATTATGGAGATACTGACCTTGAAGGCAGATGTGGATTACTAAAACATGCCTTTAATCATCTCTACTCTAAACCTCGAAATAGCACCAAAAAGAAGACAGCATGAGGGACTTGAAAAGGTGTGGAGGGTTTTTTCAAACTACAGACAGGGGCACAAATATACAGAGCTTCAGAAGAACCTCATCTTACGATTAGCAGTTAAGCAATAGCAACACATTAGAGAGAAGAGGGGATGGGATGACACCTGTCCAGAGCTTAACAGGCAAAGCACTTTGCAAACAGAACCAATTCATTAATCATGTTCAATATTTGCTATTTTCATTTCATGAAATTCATATCATTCCCTCGCAGTTTCTTTCATCTGCGGAACAACATTAATCCAGTGTGCCAATCAAGCTGCGGGGAGCACAGAGCCACATCAAAGCATGTCAGCCAGCCCTTTAACATGAGCAAACCAGCAGGCAAATCACCCCTTTAAGAAGAGGATCCCTGGGGGATGATGTAGCTCTCTCTATCATCACACACACACACACACGCACACAGACACGCACACAAAATGCAGTAAGGCAAGCTAACAGGAGCACTCTTTTCATTAGCTAAACCCATTAAATCTCGACACACAAATAGAATAACCTGAGTATCTTTGAAAATAGTCACATATGTGCTTTTACTTTCATACAGTGGGGGGTTTTCTGCATTCACAGACATTCAGCTGCTATTACTCTGCTCCAGAAACACACAAAACAGCGATCAGTTCTTTACAAACTGCTTCATCTCAAAGACAAACATCTTTAGAAGGCTGTAATCACTTCCATTACTCCTCCGTTATCATAATCATCATCTTTATCAGTCACAGTTTTGGGTTATTAAGGCCCACCTACATCAGCAGCTCAACACCTGCAATGTGCCTTAACTACAAACATGGTATCTTAGAGTGTTTTCCCGTGTTTTCCTCCAGCTGGTAAATGATAAACAATCCTACACAGATGGCAGTGGGGAAACTTGGTATCTTGCTGCAATGCCATGGTAAAAAAGTTATTCTCTGTGAAGGGAGTAAAAGTTTGTTTGGAGATGTAGAATAATGAACAAGGTGTGTGATGATCCCACAGTGCCAGTAGGACAAAGTTTAGAGTCTAACTTTGCTGCAGCAGCACACTGGCAGAGATGGTTTCTAGGCCAAAAGGTGATACAAGTGTGAATTCACTAATGACTGTGAGGAGAGTCGATACATAATAAGGCTCATAGGTTCAAAGTAGCTGATAACACAAGTTTTCCTTCTTTACCCTACTTGGTTACATCTATCTTTACTGCAATTTCACAGAATCTGTACAAGTGTGTCACATGAACGTGAAATGCCAACAAACAAGTGAGGCTGGTACCAGAACCAGCATTACAGAAACAGTGTACTCACAAAGTATGGACCGCTAATGGGACCATGGAGTGTTTATTCACAGTTTCAGTTTCTACACCTGCAGAGCACAACACATAACATACATCTCAGTGTGGTTAAAGTAAAATAAAGAACACATTGAGTTTTTCTTGAACTATTAGCATCAACTTTCAGCATCAATATAAATTATTGATAACATGTAAGTAGGTCACCTGCAGTCTTAAAAGACACTTTTAAAGTAACATGTCACTACACCTGTACTCTCTCCTCCTTAATCGTTTACATGCACTTCAAATACCCTGCATTTTTCTGGGTTTAACTCCTGTATTCATATCTATATTAAGACAGGAAAATATTACAGAAGTTTTTTTTTTTTCAGTATTGTACAGCTCTGATACAAATATCATTGATCCTATCAAATTTGACGATTATCTCTAAAATCCTCCCTGGTCTCTGAGGACTCTTTCAAAACCTTCTTTTGATGAAATAAATATAAAAGATCTTTGAAATAAACTTCATCTTTGCGATGCAGCCAGTGGACCTGTTGTGACATTGTTAGGGATAGAAAACCAACTTTTTCTTCTTTTTTTTCTGATCATTAATATGTTAACTATACTGTTGGTCAAGCTGCATGGTGGTCATAGAGCTGAATTAAAACCATTTTTAAAGGTTGAGGGTATAAATGCAAAAATATGTCATTTAGAGGGCGGTACAATCAAATATTCTACATGCAACAAGGTTAAAAGGTGCCATTTTCATCACACGTTCCTGACACCACCACAGAAGCTATCTTCACTGTGGCTCTCAGTATCACTGGCGTTGATCAGCCGATCACTATGCTCCTCAGCATCTTGATCCTGTTCCTCATGAACATCTTAATCTGCTCCTCCTCCTCTGCAGTCTCCAAAGGAGGATTCCCTCTCGGAGGCTGAGATGCTGCGGGGCAGAATGCGTCCAGAGCAGAGGATGTGAAGTGACAGAAGCTGCATGTATTTATGGGCTGAGTAAAGGAACGTGCTGCTCACTGTTGAAGCTATTTATAGAGCCTTTTACTGATGCCTCTGAGAGGAGTAGTGGGGAGGAGATGGTTCTCCCGGGAATTACTTACGAGGTTCCCTTATATCTCCTTCTACCCCCATTCAGGGCACGTCTGCCCTTCTAGTCCCCATGTCTCTGCCCAACCAACGCTCAATCCTCTTTCCTATCCTCTCTCATCAACTCATCCCTTCTCAACGTCCATCCTCTTTCCGATCTTCTCAAGTCATTTCTCCCAGCAATCTTAACCACCTCCATTTCTGTCCTCACCTCTTTATCCATCTTCTTATGGAGCCTCTTTGCCTGTGTCCACATCTATCACACTACCTTCCCTTTTCTCTCTGCATCTACTGCCCCCTCACCACCACCACCACCTCTCTGTTTCTCCCAATGTTTTCCTGACCTTCGTACTCCTGTAGCCCCGTTCCTCTGTAGCCCTCTCTCAGCTCCAGTTCCTCAGTTTCTATCCCCAGTTGTGATATATGAGGTAGTATATGGTTGTGTTGTGGAGCTGCATAAAACAACAGGGTATTTAGTTAAAGTTGGGGTAGGCAGGATTCTGTTAAAGAAGCATCTTTTTTTGTGGTGTATACAAAAAAGCTTTTAATATCAGTCAGTTGCTATTAGTTATTGATGACATTTGGGAATATCACAATATCACTGTGTTTTGTTATGTCTGTGTAGTCAACATTTTAAATTTTTTGAGCGGCCCGCTCTTTCTGGCTGTAAACAAAGCCATTCTCCGCCTCCCCCATCCTGATTGGTTGTGAGGCAGACGCTGCTCTCTTGTGTTGCGAGGCACGCCCCACATCCTTGAATAACGTTCACGAGCCTAAACAAAGTTAGCATGCTACAATATTGCACTGTAAAAAACGACCAGAACATACGGAAAATTGTCTGAATCCTCCTTTGGCCACGACACAAGCCAGAAAATGAACTAAATAATGGAGACTCTGGCGGAATAACTGGCGCTTAATACAGATGTAGACCGGACAAGAGCTAAACGATGGGGGATGCTTCTGGATCTTACAGACCCTGTAACCTTTCTGCTGGACAGGTAAACCGCTTTAACAAAGTAAGCCAAGTGTCTGTAACAAAAATGTTTCTTGTCTAACGGGACCTTCTGTGTGTTGTAGCGCCGCTACAGTAGCACCAGGGGTTCTTACTTTCACGTTGACTGGGCCCCATTTGTAATTATCTGAAGTATTTATCTGCATTATATCTGAATTTAATTGAAACAATACGAGCGAGCAGGGAGCGTCTGTTTGTGGGCGGGGCTTGCTGGAGTGGAGAGGGAGGAGGAGCTAAGGGGAAAACTGGTTGGGAGGGGTTGTGTTTATATTCAAGATTTCTCCCAAAAACGGGTACTTCCTCAGATCCTGCCTACCCCACCTTTAACCTGTCCTGGAGACTACATTGTGTTAGTATTACTCTGTCATATTACTATCAGGTCAATATGACTCTGTTGTTGCTGGTTGGTAGGTAAACACACACAGCAGACATCCTGAAGGCAATAATTTAAAGTAAATAACAGAATTAATAATGATCATATTATCACATTTAATTCATGTTTTCAGGGGGACAATGGCCAATCCTTGAGCAAGTGACGTAACAGGGTGCAGGAGTTGATGTCAACATACCAGCCTTCTGGGTGTATGAACAAACACACAGTAACACACGCAGACACACACTTCCTCCCACGTCCTTCAGTGTGACAGCATGTTGTGATGCAGAGTGGCGTCTGCTTGTCAAGCTGACAGACTCGCACTGACAGCATGGTCAGAGCACTGCAGACAAGGGGGGGAAAAAAAATCACTGATTTTACGACGCTCCAAACCACAACAACAAACAGCCTGCCGGGCACGAGCAGCGTAGTGCAGCGCAGCACTGAGCACGCTCATTCCTGTTTTTTAGCTGTCTGATGCTGTGTCACTCTGATGGTTGAGCAGCGCTTGCCTTTGTGTGTCTCTGAATGCCGGGAAGTCATGCAGAGAATGTTTTTTGTAGCATCCTCGGCCAACTGTACTGCATTTTGTGTGACATAGTTAGCCTGCTGACCAAAGGCGAATTAAAACTGGGACGTCGCATAGAGATGAGTTTGGGGAATCACTGTAATATTGCATGGATTTAAATGAATCAAAGTATTCAGCGTATGACTCAAAGCTGCTGTGCTGGAGGTCTATGAGTTTGAATTCCTATAATCTACATATATTGTACCAGCTTTGTTCAGTGATCGACAGTTAATTATGGAGATGTCGTTACTGCTCACACATCACAGAGTAACTGTCCTTCCAGTCTCATAAAGGTCTGGCGGCAGCTATTACTCAGACAGGATGAAAAAACATGGTCCATGGTACTTAAAGGCCCAGTGCCGTTCTTTAGCAATGACGAGGGCTGAAGTGTGTGAAGACCTGAAGCATTGAACCGCGACTATTTTCAGTCACCTTAGTCATCACCCTGTCAATCTTCCCCCACTGTCCTATTACACAGCAAACATGGAGCAGAAGGTAGAAAAGGCAAGTAAGGAGGGAAGGTTAGCGGTTTTGACTTTAAGGTAGAGAAAATCTGATTGAGCGACTAAAGGAGATAAAACAGGCAGAGGAAACGGGAGAGAGTCCGGGGGACATGAGAGGGCGAAGAGTGAAGGCAGGGAGATGAAAAAGACAGGAGGGAGGGAGGAGAGGAAAACGAAGGAGAGAGAGAGAGAGAGAGAGAGGCTCAGGAACTGTGCAGCTGTGGGAGAGTATTAAACAATCACTTCTGTGTCAGCAGCTCCACACACCGAGCGCATCCCGTATAGTAGAAGTAAACAGCTGATAGAAAAACAACGAGAACCGACGCAAAATCCAAGGTTCACTTTATACTTAATTCAGGATCCGAATCTGTTTGTCCACAAACAGACAACAGGCCGGCTCGTTCAACGCAACCACCTTTGCTAGTTAAACAACCTGAAAGCGTGACTAAAGTACATACAGAGGATGCTGAAAAATGACATGTGCAAAGCCCTTCGACAAACATCAAATCACAGAGCACTCATCCACATGCATGAAGTCCTTGCATACATGCACATACATGCACATAGATGCACGCAGCCACATGTATTTCATGTCTTGAGTCTCCGGAGAAGCTGATTCATGAGCTGCTGGCTGTATTGACAGCAGGCAGATGCTGCTGGCACCCCCTCAATGTCAACCCCAGCAATGACATAGTCCCACAACAGGCAGCATGACACAAACTGATGACACAGTGTAAGCACAAACACACACATCTATATATACCGCAACTAAATTATGTTTCTCTGTTAAGATTTGTGGGTAAATTGTCCTCACACAGTTAGAGACACATCTTCTAAATGTAAGCTAGAGGGTGACGAGTAATTATCTTTGCATAGCTGTGTGTGTGTTGTGCATGTCTAGCGTGTGCTGAAGGGGGTAGGGCGTCAAGGCAACACAAGCCTCGAGACAAGAGGCTGGTTGCCGTGGAAACCTCAGGCTGAGAGCTCAGCAGCCGGACGATTGAGGGAAGAGAGGGAGCAATAGACATGAGAGACCGAGAGAAAGAGCATGTGTGATGAAAAAATACAGGGGCAGAGTCCTGAGGGGCGAGGAGGGAAATTTCAAACAGAGAAAAAATGAGAAGGAGGTGGGGAGGAATGAGCTGTTAAAAAAAAAAAAGGAGAGAAAGACAATAAACGAGAAAACTACGGATGCACAGTGAGGCAGAAAACACGATGAGATCAAAGAGTGATGAAGGCCAAAAGGAGCAATAGAGGCGGCGTGGTGTGAACTCACAGGGAACGGTGCGGAGGTAGAGGTTGTCTCTAATGATCTGCTGGTGGTCGTGGTCCACTGAGCCCTTGGAGAAGCGCAGGTTGAGGTAGTGCCGCAAATCCTTGTCAACGACCCCCCCTGGACACCAACACAAGGAGAGGGAGATTAATGTTTGCACTTCTTTGAATAATTAATACACACAACACACACACCTGGAGAGTTAACATTTTGACCGAGCAATCTGGGAGACTCGTTACTCTTTTAGGATATTCAAGATGAACTCCAGAACCAACAGAGGAATAAATGAAAGGATTAACTCACAGAACTTTCCAATTCTAATCTAGATAACAAACTTTACCAAACTTCACATCTGCATCTGGCTGAAAATTGGGATGTAAATGTGAATAAAATAGTGTGATTACAGTATTTCAGCTCCATGATATGCTGCAGAATTTGATGAATCTTTTGTGTTGAGATGAGCAGAAACAAGCTAAAAGAGAATGTCCAGTTTGAAAGACCAATAGAGACAAAAGAGGACTTAAAAACATCATATCGCCTTAAAGGAAAACGAGCGTGTGAAGGAAACTAAAGGAACAAACAAGCTTTTGTGGTCAAGTAGGTGAGTAGTTTCATCAAATAGCAGTAATAAGCTGACTTTCACACCAAGCTCAGCAGCAGAGGCAGCTACACACACACGCATGTACAGACTCACACATTCACGCAAAGATCATGGTAATTGTGTAAACCAGCGATCCCCTTGGGGCTAAATGTGCGGTGTCAGCGGGTTGGATGAAAAAGGCCCACAGAGGACAGCGGCTCAAACCACCTCCTCTCTCTGCTGCTCTTGTCTCTGCTAGCTATTCGCTGTGCAAACCGTCTTTTTTCCTCATTAGTCCCCCAAGTGCGGTAAACAAGCAAAATGAAGTGAGGGAAGAAGACTTAGAGCAGGCCAACATATCTGTGCTCTACACACACTGCAAGATAATGTCCATGAATAGTTTCTCCTCCCTCCATCCCAAAACCAAAGAGGCCCGGGAGGATGAGAGGAGGAGAACTTATTCGCTACACAACATTCAGTATGCAAGACTATCACATCCAACAGCAGGAGGTATGCGGTTACAAGCCATGCATTTACAAATGAAAAACATGTCCTCTCACTCATGCATACTCTAGCGACCTCCTGCTGAATTGCATTGACAGGTTTCGGCCTACCGGTTGAAATTAATGCAGCTCACACCCGTCAACGAGAAATTACAGCAAACAGTCCGACAGGGAAATTTTAACACAGGGCCACATGGACAGCAAGGACACCTGCATTTATGATGCTGTCCGTGACTCTGCAATAATGAAGCTTTTTGGAATAACATCTTATGTAAACTGACACCATTTTAGCGAGGCTCTGAAGCACAGTGAATTGCTTCACATACAGCAAAGCTAGAGGAGAGGAGCGGAGAGGAGAATGCCGGAAAACAAAGGAAGACAGGATGAAATCATGATCTACATTTTCAGGGCCGTCGCAGTCTCAAATGGGTTCACAACACATCATGCAGCGATGTATCTAGACTTAAGCGGTATTTTTTTACATGCAAAGGCACCGACGCTCACATATTTTTACATGCACACCATCACACACAGCTGTATGAACAGGGACCGATGGAGAGACAGACAGTGACGTGGAAGGAAGTGCAGACCAGACACCTCATCGGCAGCTAGTCCAGATGCTGACGAAAGCCGTCCTTTCTCCACAGGTATATATCCACAGGCAGCCTGTCCTCCCAGGCGTCCTCTAGCCTTGTAACCAACCACCGCACATCTTCTGCCGCCTCAATGAAGCCTCAGTGTCCTCCCTCCTGCCTCTGCTTCTCCACCGCTGCTCCAGCACACAAACACACACACACACACACACACACGCAAACCGCACCTGGCTGCAGCCAATTTAAATCCCGGAGTAAAAGGACGAGGATGAGGGGGAAGGGAGATGCAGAGAGACGCTGGGAGATGGAGAAAGACAACGACCGTCGGGAGAAAAGAGAGGAGAAGATGTGCCAGTGGGAAGCCGGGCTCCTGACAACCAGCCATAGGATTGGCTGAGAAGCTACCACAGTCCTGCAGCAGCCCCTATCTGCTGCTGCTGCTACTACACTGGGGTGTTGATGTGTTTCTATGGTTAGTGTGTGTGTGTGAGAGAGAGAGACAGAGAGAGATAGGGAGGGAGAGACAGTCTGCAAGAGTAGAAAATAAATGTTTATCTCTTTGAAGGCATTTAAGGTTGTGCGTCGGTATTTTTGAGAGCGTGAGTGTGAATGCACCCAGATGCTCCCTGACAACCCCAGATAGTCTGCGCCTTACCCAACAGATGCTCTCCCTATTTGACCTTGTGTAGTCGTCACAGGCTAAAGAGAAATACAGTAAAAGGCAGCAGCATATGTCACATCGAGGTTATACACACACGCAGAAGCACACGGAGGGCTGATGATCTCACAGCTGCACACACCAGCAAAGACGCCTTAAGCGGCGTCTTGGGCAAGGTTCGGTCTGAACACGAGAAATAAACAAACACCAACATGGAGACACATGAACATGATACGATTACTCAGCTCAGGACTCCAATGAGAGAGGGGGAGGATCTAAAAACAGCAATTTTCGCAAGCTTAGGTTTAAACTTGGTTCTGTAAATATCACTGTAAGCTTGTTTTATTGCTAAAGCGGGTTACTGTCTAAGGAAGATGAATGTAGAGATTCGCAAAAATATGTAACACACTGGCACATAAATCACAGACACAGCATGCATTGAAGCTTTATGTCAGTTCATGCAGGTCACATCATCTACTGACCATCAGCTGACATCCCCAACATGCCCCACACCTCTGCAGCAGCTGTTCTGTCACTCCTTCCATCATCCACATTAACCATCACATGACAACAATACAACAACGTCTCTATTAGTCTTACAGTTCAGTTTGTGTCCTTCACTGTGTTAGCTCAGTTGCTGTTGGCTGAGTTAACAGTGTTCATGATGCTGTTTTAACACAGAAGAGTATCTCGTAATGTAATGCAGTAAACATCAGGCCACATCAGGTGAGTGTGTTAAACCAGGTGAAGATTTCCATTTGCCAATACAAATCGTAAGAATCAGCAACAAGTATTCACAATTTGCTATCTAATGCCGTTGTTGCCTGGCAACAAAAACTAAGGCGATCTGTTCACAGGGCTATCCACTTATCAAAGATACTACAGCAGTTCAATCCAGCAAAACTTTATTTTTAAGGCAAATCACTGCATTACACTTCAGCAAGAAACATACTTGACTTTAGTGGTAATTAGCTACTTCTGATTAGTGACTGTAGCTGAGATCCAGGAAGGACATGCAGTGTCAGAGAGAAAGACCATTGCCACCACAGTGCTCTTTCATCAGCAAGAATTCTTGGTGTGGAGTAAATGGACATTTTTCTCTTACACTACAATGATTAATAAAAAGGAAAGAGATAATCATAAACTCACAAAGTAATTCTACAATTTCTAATCAACGTGAAAATTAAAGCTCAAAGAGTCTTTCTTTTACAAATAAGAACCCGTTTTTAGATTTGAAAACTTGCATTGGACCTGAAGTGTCGGCTTTACCTCTATGTTAAAAAAAAACTAAACTAAACAAAACTGTTTGCCACTCCAAAAATTGAAATTAGATTATCTTTAAATGTGCAGTAATACGGTTTGTCAGAGGGTATACACATACACATAAAGGCATTTTTTAATATTTAACAGGTTATTCCTTAAAAAATACATAAATCTACAGACATTTATGATTGTATGTATGATTCAAACACAAAAACAAAGGCTTGCTACATCCTTCTGAGCCACAAGACTCTTCAGTCAGAAAATAACAGAAGAAATAAATAATAAAAACAGTTAAAAATAATGACGCCTTTGCAACCCAGGTTTTTAAAAATGCAGAATCTCTCACTTTTCTTTATTCTCATCTCTCATTATAAGTTTCTCTTAGCTCTTAAAAACTAAGAACCAAACCTATGGTGATCAGATAAACTCAGATTACCTTCTGTGTGTAAATAATACAACTTAGAGTGTGCTTTTCACCTTTGCATCTTTATGAATACATTCATGAGAACAAAAATATAGTCAATGCAAGCTAACCAAACCTGAAATAAAACAGACCTTATTATAATGCAACTTTTCTGCCAGAGGTTGAGAAATAAATTGTAAATCTTGCCCTTAACGCCCTCAGCAGGTCAAAAATACACTTCAGCGCCTGTCACTTATCTTGATAAGCTGTCTTCCTCAAAACAGCTTCTAGCCTGAGGCCAAACTAAGCAGCATGCAAAACATGCTCTGAAGATGAGAGGCACATAATTCTAATCACAACAGAGACACGGTTCACCTATCTCACCTGCCGTAAACGTTTCCCTGCTCTTCTTTTGATTCTTAATATCACAAAACTACGTTTTTCTTCCTGGTTTGTGCTGCTGGACTTCAGCTTAAAGTCCATGATCACTGTGTCCGGTGAGCAAACACATGCTTGATCATACCAGATCCCAGCCTTTATGTACTTTCTTCTTTTGTTTGGTCGTCCATTTACCAAGCATTGTTCCCTCGATTAAGACGTCACCATCCAAGTAAAAGATGAATTCCCAAGTTTGTACTTGTTTTATAGAAATAGAAAACAGCAGTAGGTCCAGTCCTTATGGAATATTCATAGAAAACACACAGTTTCCAGCTCCGTATCATCATCTTTAAATCATTGTCTTCCTTCGCCAGCTTTTTGTGGTTAAAAGGTTATCCATACAACTCTCTTGGCCAGAATAAAAGCATAAACTTATTAGCCTGTCCTAACAGAAAAGAGGTTTATCTTAATGCAGGGCAGACATTTTAATCCCTTTGGTGGCTGATATTCAACATGCGAGTATTATCGTGCATCCCTAATTTTGATGAGATTAATAAACCAATATCAAAAAATGGTAAAATGGTTGTATTTGCGCCCTCAGGCATGTTCAATTCTATACACTTGCCATATGACAACTGGGGGAGGAGCAGATACATGTATAAAACTAACAGGGACCATTTTGCTGGATTAGGAAAGGCATATTTAGCTCTGACATGCACACTCTCCCAAGAGGCCAGGAGAGGAGGGTAACACGGTCTTGCCACATTGAGTCTCTTTCTTCACAAAGTTTAATGACTAAACTCTTAAGCGTATACAACCCAGCAGTTACGCTCCAGGGACACATGTTTATACTTCTATGCACCAGTAAAATGGCCGATACCAATGACCAAACAGCACATACAAGCACACCGAGTAAAACGAAGGGCTCTCTGGCTGTTATAACCCTTGGATCTAAAGTGAAGCTGTGTCATACTCAAGTGCTTATCATGAGAAAAATAATCCACACAGAGAGCCTTGCTCATCAATAGCTCGCCTGCGCTCCCACATGAGGTCACACAGGCCAGAAAAGAGTACAAAACTGCATGGCAAAGGTCAGCCTGCACTGCACACAGATGCACCTCTGGATCACACGAATGAAAGCAGGAATATATCTGAGCCTTTAACCCTCATCCATATTCTGCTCAAGCTACACATGAACAGTATACCACCTCCTTTATGCCTGTCTCAGCAAACACAGGAAGGACACTGGCGATTGACAACAAGGTCAACTCCTAGACACACAGGTGGACAGTTGAAACCAAATAGGCACATTTACAATGAATATCCTAGATGGAAACAGTAACTTCTACAGTTAACAATTAGGCTAAATAAATCAAACACAGGTGTGACTTATAACACCATCAATTCACTTGTTAACGATGCCTTTTCTAAATAAAGTTGTTTCTTTTTTTTCTCTCAAACCTTTTTCTTTAATTGAATGATGGTGAAGCACTTTGTGACACCTGTTCTAGAAAGGTGCTGTGCAAATAAATTTTGTTATAATCATTATTAGAAAAAGTAACAAAAACCGTTAACTTCAGCTAAAATACCGACAGAAACCAAGCTAACTCAGTATTAACTCACAGCACCAAAGCTTAAAGAAATTACTCACCTTTATTCTACTTCTGACACAGGTAAGCTCATCTTATATTTGACTCTTTCATCCTGCCTCATTTAGAAGGTTTAAAAAAGGGATTAACGACAACAATAAAAATACATTAAATCATGTGAAAAACGTCAAACTTTCGATTGTGATGCAGAAATTTCAAAATAAAGGACGTAATTAGATTTTTATAAAGCTTACAAAAATAAAGGTATAGGCAATAAATATATAAATAAAATAAAATAAACCTGCAGAGGGTCAATTGACAATCTCGCAGTCACTCTGGCCCACAGCTCATGACATTAATCCATAAATCAAGCTTAATTTATAAAGCACCCTGCATACAAGTCAAATGCAATTCCCACTGCTTTACAGTGGTCGAAAAGTAAACAGCTAAAAATGAAAAAAATGACATAAATGGGACATTTATATGGAAAGAAACAGGATATGTGGAGACTAATGCACACCAATAGTTATAAAATATGTCATTAAACATGTAAAAGAAGTCATAAAAATACATAGAACCGACCATGGTAACCAACCAAAAAAATTCAAAGATACAAAAAACTAAAACTATTTAAAAAAAAGGAATAATTACCCATTATTCTACCACGCTTAATTATTAATGCTTTTGATCCTTGCCATTATTCTTTCTTTACTGCAATTGCCTTAAGCCTGAGCCCCTCACAGCAGTGGTAGAGACAGACTGTTTGACTGGGGTGGCCACACACGGCTACAGGCTTTTGTAAGGGTGGCTAGGCAGGGTCAGTATTTGGGCTTACAAGAGGGCTATTTTCAGTAGTCACATCTACTCTGTCTGATCTAAAAGAATCCTAAAAACTTCATATTTTTGTATTCAGCTTTTAGCTTTGAAAGGCAAACAAGTGGAAGAATTTATGCGTTAAAGAACCTCAAAATTGAACAGCTACATTTGTCAGTCATGTACATGCTTATTTTATTTCATTTTTCGCAGTCACACTGATGCCTGCTTAATTTGCTTGTTCTTTTTTTCAAACGTCATTAAATATTACTTGAATACATATATGAATATCTGCCACAAACTTCGTCATGTCCTGCACATTTCTGTATTTTTGACGGATTCTCAGAAAGTAGCACAGGAATGAGTATTCACAGAAAGAGTGTAATTTGGTGTTGTATCACAGCCCTTCCAGGCTCACATAATTAAAATTTTAAAGCAAGAGAGGACAGCACCAATCAATCACATGCTCAGCAAGGATGCGCCTGCTACATTAAGTTATCGACACAGTTTTTTTGTAGACCTGGACTTGTATCCTTTATTCTATCAAGAAATCATTTCAGACTACTTCTGCATTTCTCTCTGCCCACTCAGGTTACTTTTCTCATTTCTCGTTTCTGTTGCTCTTTAGTAACATTTGACACTTAATCGACAGAATTTCTGTTTTTCTCTGCATGCGCTCTTCAAGTGGTCCTGTTATGAGCATCCCAGTCTGACCCTGTCTGTGTTTTCTCACTCTCCGGACCCAATTAGGTGAAGGTAGTTGAGCTGCTTTCAGAAGGCTTTTGTGTGTCACAACCAGGAGTGTGTGTTCGTGAGTGAGATATCCATATCGTACATGTACAGATTTTCTAAATGTAAGAGTACTATGAAGGCCATTTAGCAGTGAATGAAGTATCTGTTTCCAGTACTCCTAATGGCATTATTACTGCAGGCAGCAGCGCCCATTATTAATAGTAAATGACAGAACCTCTCTCCTAAAGGTCTTTGTATTGATCCCTCCATCCTCAGACTCGTCTTAATGATGATGTTCCTCCTTGTCTTTCTCAACAGCGCTGTAATCAAGGCCAGACACACATTTACAGCCTCTGAGTGACTATAAAGTGAAATAAGCCAACACTACGGATGATACTTCAGGACAAAAAGAAGGTGGTAATAGGAATTACAAGCCTGAGTATTCCCTGAAGCATCTCCCAAGCAAATGGATTCATCATCTCCGCACACCTTGCACGTCCATGCTGATGAGATAAATACTGACGGACACGAGGGGGTGTGTGTTTTTTGTGCGTGCAGTGGCTGCTGTTTAAAATACAGTTATATGGAGATGTTTGTCACTCCTGATTGCACTCTCCAGTTCAAGCAGTGCACTTCACATTCAATCAGGAACAACAAGACGGATGTATTTCAATAAGACGTGCAGAAGTAAAGGAGGACGGATATAGAAAGGGATTAATCTGTGAAGGAATGGTAAAGGTGTGCGCAGAGAGAAGGAGATATGATGAAGCCTTGGAGGCAACAGAGAGTAATGAGGAACTCATTGGCTTTGGGGCACAGTGGTCGATAACTAAGGGGCTCAAACCAACAGGGGTGTATTTCTGGTCAGTACAAAAAAGTATAAATTGTTAATGTGTCTGAGAGAAGGCTGCACTCTGAGCTTTGTAATGAATCTTTTCTCCAACGCTCCATTAGGCTGCTATGGTCTGATAGTCCAACAAAGTTCGACTCAGGGGTATTCATGCTTGCAAACCTGAACCAGAAATAATTAAGCAATATCGTACTGACCTGACTGCTCCTTTATTTTCCTTATAACAGACCAGCATACACTTTATGAACAGACAGTTTTACACTTTACACTTAAACCTGTTTTTCATAATATCTGTCCATAAATAACATCAAGAAAGTACCCATTACTAATGAATTTAGTCAGACAAGATACTCTGGATCGCACCAGTCAGTAACTTTATCTAGAGAGTACCTGGTGGCTCAGCATATGACTATTTAAAGAGACAGTAACCTACTTTTAAGTCTGCACCTTTAATGAATTATTGTGCAGTAAAATAATCATCATAACTCGTAAAATTCAAAATTAATCATAAACTTCTCATGACAGAGTAAATGCACTGATGCAAGTCACTTCACGGCCTCTGCAGGCTGCTAATCAGATGGCTACTGTCCTCTACTGGTTGAAAGCACCAATTACAGTCATGAAATGATCCCAGATACAAATGTGGCACTCATACACATCTGCTGTGATTTCTCCCTCTTGCTGAAATAACATGATAACATCAGCAATGCAGTTTGGGTTCATATCTAAACAGTCTAGACATCCTTTCATTACTGGTGCAGTGGTACATGAGGTACAGCTACAAGGTAAATTCAGGTGGAATTTGTATTTTTTGCTTTCTCAAAAATCATGTAAATAGAAGTTGGCATATAGATAAAAACAAATGAAAAAAGGGAGGATTTTGAAAGATTTGAGGTGAATAAAAAGGCTTTGACTTAATATTTTCATACATTCTAACATGATTTGTGTATTCACTGAATAATACTGTGTATATGAGTTGGCTCCAATTCAAGATATGCAGCTCAGGAATGATGGTGAGCCTTTTTACAAAGTCAGAACATTGTTGGTAGCTGTCCACCGGTTTCAGCGCTGCAGCTGGCTCCAGCTTTTATAATCCTTCTCATTCAGATCTGAAGCCCACAGCAAAACTATCAGATTAGCGCTGCAGGCTAATCTACACTATGTCAATGAATGAAAACCATCCGCTGCTTTCTGTGCTGCCATGCATGAGTGAAAAAGATATGGCTCTGTGAAACTAGGAAGAGGAGGGGGGGGTCTGTAACATACAAAAAAAGTTTGCACTATGCCATTGTGACGACAGGCCTCATGCTTTCTTTTGTGAACTAGCTCACATGGGAGAGTGTGTGTGGAACATATGAGAACACAAGCACACTCGCAAAGGCCTCATAACTCATAGTTCACATCAATGCAGCAGTCGTGATGCTGCCAGATGTCCCAGCTGCCTCTGTCTCTTGAGGTGAGAGATGGTTGTGTCTCACAGCACAGCAGCCTCAGTGAACCCTCCACCCTGCAGGGTGATGGAGGCCAGAGGGAGGATACAGGCCCTCTGCCAGGACCTCACATGACAGGGAAAAGTTGCTAATTACATTAAGGCACATGCTATACTTACTTTGAGATCATATTACTTAACTTAAATGCAACTTTTTCAAGGCACTCTTTACCTGCAAACCTCTAGGAAGTCCTCCACTGAAAATGACATCCATTCTTACACACTATCAGCTCAACACGATATATATAATTTATAGAAGAAGCTCAAATCCAACAAAATCAGATCAGCAAAGGCAGTTAAAGCTTAAATGAACCAGTAATATCAACTAAATCATGCATCAAATTAACAAACAGAAAGGGACCGTGAATCTGCACGGGGTGATTCAAAGTTTGGTCTTGTTTGAATTTTCCACGTGTAAAATTTTGCAAGAGAAAGGTCAGCTAAGTGGCTATTTGCTCTGGTAAACAAACCTGTAAGAGCTGCTGTTGTGTAAGAACTGGTTCAACTAATGACATCTTCAGCTTGTCCCTCAGCAAAAAAGAACTATTTATTTTGAAGCAGAGGACATTTCTTTCTTTGTTTTGTCTAATGAATAAACTCCTCCACAAAAGTACCTATCCACATGAGCACTTCATAACATGGACCTTCTTTCACAATCCTCCATCAATAACTCGAAGGACAAATGCTCCACCAAGTGGGCAGAAGTGTAAATACTATACATATAAAAACACAAATCTTGATGGATATTTCCTAAAAGATGCCATTAACAACCACACAAGAAAGCCAAAAGGTGTGGATTCTTCCATTAACATGTACAGGAGAAAAGCTCCTGCTGTTTGTTTTTAATGACAGATTATTTTAATGGATTTCGATGACGATGCTGAAATATCACATGCAAAGTCAAGGTCATACACACACACATACAGCACATACATAAGTACACACACTCCCACAGCGCGTCACAGTCCCTCTATTTTATGTTACCATTATTAGGAAGGAGTGAGGGAAGTAAATGTGTCTGGTGATTGATAGAAATAACTTCAACACTATAAGGATTGGGGGATAGCAAACTCTAAAGAACCTTCTTCAAAAGCATTTCTATTTCCATTTGACAAACACATGAAGCTGTACAGATTGTCCCACACAGTGTGTCCACGCTGAGGAGAATTGCGTTGACCTAATTCACTTAACTGGACCACTTAGATATTTGGTCATTGGCCGGCTGAGCCTGAGTTTGATCCTTCGAGCTGAGCTCCAGCAGCTTCTAGCCTCAATATCATCCAAAATCATCCTCCGCCTCTGACAGAACTCATCTCTTGGTGAGTTATTAATACCAACTGAGCGGACAGGATGTTATGCACTGATTCTTCAAGCTTCTCATCAACAAAGCGACATGAGAGGAGAAGAAGGTTGCCCTTTTCTCCCTCTCCTCCATCTGTTCCTCAATACTGTACTCGCATTAGGAGGACTGACAGGACTTGGACAGCTGAGTCAGAAAACTTGACGGCATGAAACAATCTTTTTACTCATAGTTTCTGCAAACATTCACATGCAAATTATGAAAATATTGCACCAATGTCTTTGTACTGCAATGGGCTGTACCTCTACTTTTAAATGACACAAAGACTTCTAAGTAGTCCGACATGGACAGTCAATCTTTGATTTGCATTTACCACTTACAACCATTAGCCATTACATTAAAACACCAAGACAATCTAATGCAGCTGAATACAACAGCCTAACCACAAATCCTTCTCTCAAAAAGCTCCTCAGTTTTCAGCTGCTGTTGACTGGTGACGGTGTGTTTATATCTACTTTTGGAGATTAAGTGGGAGGTGAGAAGCGTCCTATATTAAGAGGTGTTCCTTGTATTTTGTACACTTCATTAAAGCTCCTGTGAGGTGTTTTTCCACACTTATAAAATAAATAAAAATCCAAAAGCAAACAAGACCATCAGCAACATGAATGATGATTATTGTACTATAAATTTTCATACAATTTAAAGAAAACAGCCCTTTAATAGAGGATACCCAGACATGTAGAAAACAAGATAAGCAAAGACTGCTTTTTCTACAGGGGGATGCCACAATGACCCATGTCAGAAGCTCCCCATAAGAGCTTAAAAGTCCTACTCCGATTGTTGTTGTTTTTTTTACACAATTTATTACTAAAATGTTGTCAGTGGTCTTTAAATTGTGATTATGAAGGTTTTAGCCAAAATCACTTTACCTGTGTCATTTTCAAGAGCTTTTTGAGACAGCGCTGCTCTGCACACACCTCTTCATGCTAGCTTGTAGCCTAACAGTAGCTGCGTTTACATGGACACAAATAATCGGAATAAATGCCCGATCGGAATAAAAGTGCGTCATGTAAATGTGTCGACCGGAACATTCTGATCCAATTCAGCTCAATCGGAAAGAAACTGTATTCCGATCGAGAGGGGTGGTTTATGCCAATCATTAGTCCGAAACGCGTCCATGTAAACACTTATTCCGATCGTGACTCTCTTACCTGACTCGATCTTCACTCTTTAGCCTTTGGTTTATTTACTGAGGCCAGTTCAGGCGGTTTCATTTTTAACACTCTGGCATCAAACACACCCGCACGTGCCGTGTCTGCTCCTCCAGTAACATAACACGTCGTACATACAGCGTAATGATGTCACATCTGCACGCACAGTGCAACCTTTGACAGAACAGTAAAATAAGTAAGCAAGGGCGCCATCTAGTGACAACATTTAACAGGGCGGGAAACTCCTGAATTGGATGGAGTGAGCCACAACCAAAAAGCCATAAGATCATACAAGAGCCAATGTTGGTATCTTAGTTTCACCTTTCAAAAATGAAAAATTCACAGTTATAATAAATAAGCCTTAAGCAGGAGCATATCTGCTCTGACACAAGCCACTCATGTTAGCAAACCCCTCTGATGGATGACCAGGTGGGACAGCCTCCAGGGGAGTGGGCCTCTTTTAAGTATTAACATTTATTTTGTAGGTTTACAGGTTAAGTTTGAAACACAAGAGCCTAGCCAGGAAATAGGAGTAAAGATAGCAGCTCTGTTCTGCACTTTATTTGGACAGAGAAGGCTTAGCCCACACTCAAGCAACTCCCGCCAAACCTTGTGTTAGATAACATTACATTTGCCAAACTCATCAATAATTCCTCCTCCTCAAATCCTTTAGAAAGTAGGGCAACATTATAAGCATGAATGTGACCACTGTCCTGCCCGTCTCTGTATTTTTCTTTGACTTTAAGAGGAAAAACATTTACAGTTTCTGTTTTAGTGAAAAGGATTTCAGTAACATGTAGCTTTCCCTTTATTCTTGACGTATTATACAATCGGGAGCAAACACCTGTTTTATTAAGACCTACTCCTGGCCCTTTTTTTCCAAACATTCGAAGACATTATTTCTTAAAAGTCAGCAGGAGTCACAGTCTTAATCAAGTGGCAGGATTTTTTTCACCAGCTTACTTTGGCTAGCTACAGCTGATCATTTGTGGTGGTTAAAGCCTTCATTTAAGCCTGCAGCATAGACAGTAACAAGGTTGAAATGAAACCCTGCTTTTGTTTATTCTTATCTCCAATCAGTGACATACTTAGAAAAACTCTATGAGTACTGGGAGGTTAATATGCCCCATCGTCATGTGACAAAGTAGACAGGTGTTGAAGTTAAAAATGGGAGTGTAAAATTTACTGTCTCTCTGAACTGTGTCATTGGGGTAAAAAAGAGCTCCCAGGTTTGCCCTATATCTGTTAAGACCAAGAGTCACCACATAGTGTGACACAGGCTGGCTGTGCTCCACTTAAATGTTCGAGGGCACATTAACATTTTAACTCATCTTTTGCTCCTCACATTGTTCTCAGAAACCCACGTGGATCCTGATGGTTTTTCAATATACACTCCTCTCTAGGGGCTAAAAACTGTGCTTAGGTTTTCTTAGCCTGCAGAGACAAAACTCCAGCTTTAAGTCTGCATTTTGTATCCAGAGCCAAAACTATGTTTACGCTGGAAAAACATACTAAATATTCTGTTCATTCTTTAAAAAAAAATCGGAGCAATATTTGTCGTTGATTATGTCTAGGATGAGAGACCTAATATATTCTGAGCAAAAAAATTCAAGGCTATAAATAGCTGACATTGAAATTATTTATAACACTATTTTGGGGCATCGCTATTTATGCCAATTAGAAGCAACTTAAAAGAAAGCTGAATTTTGTAGACATGGATGCACATTCACTGTAATGAATCTCCATTTCCTTCCTTTAATTTTTTGTATCCACAAAAAACTAGGAAAATACTGACAGTCAGTGAAAGATATTAAGAAACTATCCAAGCACAATGTCTATTCTGTTAATCAAGGAGAAGGTTGAAGGTTGCAGCTGTTACATTTTCCCTGTTTACCCCAGTCAACTTGACAAGTCAGCACAAAAAAGACAGTCTGTAATTACACAAAGAAGCACTCTGAGGAGTCTATTTATTTTGGGTTTTAAAAATGAAGAATCTGCTCGGAAAAAAAAGATTCAACAAGACACAAGATGGTATCTTCTCAGTTTCCTGGAATGAGTTTTTCACACCTTCACCATACTGTCCTTTTAAGACTCCACTTCTCTTTCTCACTTACATATCCATGCGTGCGTGTGCGCTCACAGGAGAGCACGCGCGCAAACACACGCATTCATTCACACTTTGCTCCTCTCCATACTGTTCTAACACCTTTTGGCGGTTATGATCTTCATGGTACTTTTATAAATCTGCCTCACTGAGCAGAGAAGACAGTAGCACTTCACTTGTGCTTTGTGCGGAAAAATACAGACGAGAGATGTTTATCAGATAATGATGTACAGATGGACAGGGTCAGTTGTTTTTTAGCAAAATAAACCTAACACAGTATACTGTATATCTTTGAATAACAAGTGCATTCAGATTTTCTCATCTACCAATACAAGTCCACAAGAGAAACTGCATCCAGTGTGTCTTCAAGTCTGTATCTAAGTAGTACTTGAGTGTCACAGTATGGCAGTGTTCACAACAGTGCTGCCTCGATCTGAAGAAGCTAAATGCCAACCTATAGTTTGATTTATTAGTTACACCTATTTCCCCGCTGTGACATATCAAAGTGTCTTCCGTGAGAAAGCTCCAATGAACTATGACTCATAATGTTGAATACATTGTGTTTTGTTTTGTTTTTCTGCTGAGGTTTGGTGCTGTTATTTTGTTATGGAGCCCTTAGCTGAGATTTCTCTACACCACAACCATTTACATAATAGAGAACTGAAACCCTTGATTTGAGACACACTTACAAACACACAGCAGGAGAGTAAATAACAGCTCTCTTGAGAGGTTTCTTTGCTGGCTACTTTCATATTTAAGCCACTTATCTGCAAAACATAACGCCATCGAACGACTGATTTCATTCTTTTCACAACTTGCCTTCCAGCCCTACCTGGTCGTGAATACAATAAGAATTCAGCGTAAAACACCTTCACAACAAGTTACATTTACATGTTGAGATGAGCAAGAAACGCTAGCGTGGGGCTCGTGAGAATGAAACTGTCTGTTTTTGCGTCTCAGTCTATTAACTGGAAAATGAAAGTGACAGAGCCTCAAATACAACACGTTTACTCCAGCGGGAAATGTGTAATATCCCCATGAATCAGAGTCCTGGTCTATGGATTTGGACATGTTTGGTTTTCAGGAATCAGTGATAAGTGCAGATGTGTGTGAGGAGGTCAGGGCAGGACTCACTCTTACTGCCGGCTTACTGTCTGAGACTGAGAGCAGGGTTATACCTGACTGAAAATAGTCTGTTAAAACGTGTTAGTATGTGTGTGCATGACTGCATGGGCAGTCAGACAAGACTGCATACCCCGGACAGGAAATCCATCTCTGATTTGGTGCTGTGTGAGTGTGTGTGTGTGGCCTCTGTGCAGAGTGACTGGGCTGCCTCTATCTGATCCCAGCGGGTCGTGAGTATGTCAGCAGCGACTGTCTGCATGCACAGCCACAAATATACACTCCAGTCTGCACTGCATGGAAGTCAAACAGTAATATGACAGCAGAGAGAAAGAACAAAAACCATAGAGAAGGAGGTAAGACGCTGTGCACAAACAGCAGAGTGCTGGAGTATGCTGGCGAAGACCATATTGTAGGGTTGGTAGTTCAATAAACAGACTGATTTTAAAATAGATAGGAGAGGCAGGGAGGCAGAGAATGGACCTGTCTGAGATACATGCACATTAGCATTTAACCCCTCACACATCAGGAGACCATGCTCTCCCTCTGTCAGCAGCTATAACTCAATAATCAATCACATTGATGCAATCCGTGGAAACTCTGAGACCGAGCAGTCAGGGCCAAGAGTGGAGAAGACAAATCCTCTGTGAGCAAACTCGGCAAAGTCCAAAAATAAAAAAAATAAAAATCAGATTCCAGCGCTACTCATGTCCCAGAAAACAAGCTGCTGTAATGCTCATTTCATGGCTGAGGACGCAGCCTCTTATTAGGACTTAAAGCAAAGCCTCAGAGGGTGTGATGATAACCATCTCCTCCGCTGTTCCTTCAATCCAATGTTCTGCTCGTATACAGACGCTGTGTGCTTTTACGCTGGCTGACAGAAGCAGGTCACTCAGTCAACACAGTTGCAGTAAATCCACTGCTGTGCTCAGAAACATTCAAACAAGCCTGGAAGCTTCAGAGGCCACAGATATTACACAAAACACTGCACCGGCTCACAATAACAAAACACTCAGAGGCTCCTCAGAGCACCACTGCGAGAGATATCCACATTATTTTCCAGTCCTAAACTCATGACCATTTTACACACACACACAATTGTAATATGTGTGTGTGTGTGTGTGTGTGTGTGTACATGTGTGTGAAATTAAGGAGGCGGGATTTAAAACATGTATTCTTCAAGGCTGATCATTGTGCACAAGAAGTGAGCAGTAATTGGGCTACAGAGGTCTAATTTTTCACCAGTGTGTAATTACACTATAATAACTGTCTGCACTGGCAGCCAGCAGACTGTGCGAGCGTGCGTGTGTGTGTTTGTGAAGACTATGTGTGTGTGTGCTGCTCAATCTCTACAGCAGCAGCAGCAAAGAGAAAAACATTTCAGATCCACGGCGCAGGCCTGCTGGAGACTCGAGCCCTGTCCTCGACCAGAAGAAGGGGGAAAAACCGCAGGCTGTGGCATGACGCCTAAACGGACACACCCCCTCCAGGCTGTGGCATCGAACCAGCGACACTGAGATAAACAAACGGCGTCTGATCCCGGCTGCAAAATAACCATTATAGTTTCTGATCCTGGTGGACTGACACCATCATTACGGCTCGTGATTGTAATTCAGCAGCACACAGGCCCGAGTGTGGGGTTTGAGCTGGGTCCACTCACACACACATATACACACTCTGCCTGTAGTGCAGACTGACATATGACTGTATAATTGACATCGTAATCAAGCCAGCTACACACACACATACACACACTCACTCCTCCCCTCCTCGTAAACCCTGACCGCCTTCGTATCTCACCTTGTTTGACACATTTGAGTCGGACCGGGTCTTTGCAGTGTTTAATAACGGCGAGCACGTCCCGGATGGTGAGCCCGGCCACCGGCATGTTGTTGACCTCCAGCAGCAGCTCATCCTGGGCCAGTTTGCCGCTCTGGATCAGTCCTTTCCCCTGCTTTACCTCGCCGAAGTAGGGGAACTGGCCGATCTCAGCGCCCCCCTTCAGTTCGAACCCCAGCTCCCCGTCCTTCCCGCGGGTTATCACCGCTTCGTGGACTTTGTTGGTCCAGTGGTTTTTCTTCTTGAGACTCTTAGACATCGTTAGGGCGAGTTAATCACCGCGGGCTGGCCCATAGAAAAGCCTCCTACCGTCTCATCCCTGCCTTTGTGCGACCAGCTGCAGTTTCACAGCGCCCGTGGCTCCAACATGAGCGGTGCACGCTACGCGCAGTGTCCGCTCGGTGAGCCGCGCAGTCGGGCAGAGGGCTGCAGTACAGCACGGCGACGGCGGCGGCGGCGGATGAAATAATTATTACTCTGTCAGACACACAGACGCAAGAGACAGATACTGGCGGATGACCCGGATGTGAAGCCTGAAGGAGGGGAAAGATGAATGGTTCTGGTTCGGCGTAAAAGGATGGAGAGGAGGGGAAATAACACAGGAGGCGCTTCACTCCCGCTACACTGCCAGGGGCGCTTCCTCAGGCTCACTGTGATCCAACAGATGACATGCTCGAGAAACACCACACAATGCACACACATCTCATCCATTATGATTTACCTGCAACCATGATGCATGAGTTAAAGAGCTCTGCAGATGACACTATCTTCGCTTTAAGTCCAGACATGCATTTTATTTAGATTCACGAAATAAGCCTACTTTATTAAAGTTTTTTATTATTATCATTATTTAAGATGACATAGAAGTAGGGGAGACCGGGGCTTGTTATCACACTTTTTACTCTCTTATATATTTCTTGGAATCGATACATCATATTTAAACAACATTTGTACCAAAAGAAAGACCAAAGTCTCAGGTATATATTTTGTATTCATGTCATTTTCATATCTTGTGTCAGTTCAGAGAGTGTGAACATGTGAGATGTTGCCCCACCATCGGGTAAGTTGTCTCACTACATGGAGTAAGATGTCACGGAAGATTTTGCAGCTAATAAAACAAGGACAAAATTATTGTTGTTCTCATTTCTTTTACATGAAATTGAACATTAAAGTCAGGCACAGAAAATGTTTATCATTGAGATAGAAAAAGTCATTAAACAAACGTTTACATAAAATATTATGAAACATGCTCTGGAGTTTGGAGATCTGTCTGACTCTGTATTTCAGGGTGAATGTTTTGCAGTACCAAGTCAAGGTATGGTAGTTGACATTAAAGTCCTTTATTGAATTCCAGATTGATTTATTAGCTAGGGTCACCTGCCTGACTGCCCTCAGCAACACGTCAGGTACTGCACTGCCATGTTCTGTTTTTCTTTTGCAATTCCTGACCATGTCTTCTCTTTCTCCTCTCCTTTAAACCACTCTTTTCTCTGTAAAAATACAGTCAAATTTTCATTATGACAACTGCTGATAATTAGACTCTCTGTGTTAATTTTAATCCCTTTTAAACATGCGACAACTAACCCCAAAATGCCTGAGACATGTTGCCCCAAACTACCATGTTTGCTAATTCTAGCTCTAGCTTAAAGTTAGCTTAAAACAGAACAATGACTGAGGTATGTCAGGATGCCTTAAACTCTCCTCTAACAAGTTCACATGTATCACTGCTAGGATTTTTACCTGGAAGAAGGCTTATAAAATATATAAAGTTAAAAATTTTACTTTGGGTTGTGCAAAACAGTTATTGACACTCATCTCAGCTCACTATGTGCTCTTCTCATCTCAGACAGGACAAGACCCCTGACCATGTAAAGGAATAAAACTAGTATTCCACTTTTTGGTTGCGCCCTCTGGTGGAAAAAATAATTGCAGTGTGACAACTTACCCATGTGACAACAAGCCCTGGTCTCCCCTTTGTTTGCACCTAAAATTGGCCTGAATTGATCTGAATATTCAGAGGGTTGAGGGGTCCAGAGGCATGGTCATCACTCAGTTTGTAAAAATTTATTCCAAATTAACTGCACATATAAACCCCAGTATGATTTTTAAAGCAACGGGGACCAATTAGGTGCTGTCTGTCAGGGTAAGACAGAGCCTTCAGCCTGTCTTACCCTGAGGCAATGTTATTTTTTATGATCCAGAACAAACAGCATGTGATTACGTTTTAAATCCTCTTGTATTACAGGTGTAACTGTGCTTACATGGCGAATGTTACACACCCTCTTTTCATTACTACAACCACATAATCAAAACATTTTGATTACAAGATTCAGCAAAACATAGTTCAGCAAAACAGTGCCCATAATAACTTTGGTGTTTCACAAGAAGAAATCCCCTGGGCTAATTAAAGCTGGTAAATATATATTTTTTGAGTACAGCACTTAAAGAGGGGGGTATTATGCCTATATTTGGCCTGCTGTCTTTGGTAACCCTCATTTCATCCCCTTTCTGACCTTCACTGTCCCTTTAAAGCATCTCAGAAACCAACACTCTGGTAGCCTCTTTCACTGTTGCCTTCCTACAAAGTTTTGTTTCTTTTTAAAAATGACAAATTTTCTCTTATAAGGAGTTAAGAGTCTGTCTGCTGATGTCTAGATTTGAGCAAATCTCACATTGATCTTGTTGAATTCTCGTGTGACTTTTTTAACAAGCCATTCGCAGCACCCTAAGGTCCCATGTGGGAATTACTTCAACACATTTTCACCGTGCAATGTGAAATTTGTTTATGTATAGTGCTGACATTCAACCTTCAAACTTGAAATTTGTTTTCAAAATATACCAAAAAAACATAATGCCACCTCCTAAAGATTTTGATCTGTAAACAGGTAATGACAGTGGAGCTAAATTTCCACTTCTCTGCTCACATATAGAGCTTACGTCGTCTTGTTCAGGTACAGAAGGATGGCTTTAACCGTAATTTATCCAAAACTATTTTTACATGTTCATTATTTCTTGATGGATCACAGATGTCTGAGGGAATGAACAGTAAAAATGGCCTTATTAAGCTGAAACAGTATTTTGTTAATGTCTCCTGATGGCTACGACCCAACAACAATTATCTTACATTTCCTTTAACAAACCTAAACCAGCTCTATCTATACCCTTTCAAATGTTAGCAAGAGTGGCTAAATGCTGACATTTTTTGTCTAGCTGTAACAAATGAGTCATCAAATACGGTGTTATAATTCTCATTAATGTTGTCTAATCAGCCTCCAGATTTCACCTTATTTAAATTTACAATTAGCAAAATCTAACCTCTGTGCAATACACAAGTACATGCTGGAACTTAAAGGGATATTCCAGCGTAAAATTAATTTAGGGTCAAACACATCGTAACACTGAGTTAGACACCCCGTTGAGAGATTAATATTGCTTGCTTCTCCAGTTATACCAACTTTAGTAATGACCGCATGATAGCAATACACAGCGGTCTGAGGAGCCATAAACAAACCTCAACCAAAACGCCACTCTATAGCCACAAATAATGTTCAGAACAGCACCTAACTTCATCAACAGTACATACAGGGTCCCAGCCATAGCACTAGCCACCAAACATCTTTTTAACTTTGCCTGATTTCTTTTGCAAAGAGACTAAACACAACTCACCCACTCTCTTCCAGCAGCCGCTTGTTTGTAGTGAGACCTCTGGGCAAGTCCATTACGGGGTGCTGGGGGGTGACGCAGCTCAAGGAAGAACATGTACGATCATTTCTTTATCATTTCCTCGAAGCAATCATCATCATATTAATCATTTTGCACTGCAGACGCGGTAGTTCTTCTGCCTTAGCATCTCGGTCTGATTGCATTTCCATAAAGAAATAATCATAAATGTTCTTCCTTGAGCTGCGTCACCCCCCAGCACTCCGTAATGGAACTAAACAGTTCAGCTTTAACAGCATTTTACCATGTCATGCCTTGACTTACTCATGACTGTTCAAAATATATAGCGACACTGAGCTGTAAAAAGGGGAGAGGACAGGCTGTCCAGAGGTGCCCATGTTGCCCTTGAGCCCCTACCAAAGGTTTTACTGGCCCTGCGTGTGCTTCCACTCTGCAGGTCTTTTACAGTGTAATGTGCTGTAGAACATGGAGCGCTTTACTTCTATTTGTGCACTGAGTCAAAACAACTGTGCGCCCACACGTCAAGCCCTTGAGACTCTCATGGCTACCTCACCTTGCTCCTGTGTGGTCAATGATAACAGGTGAGTTGTTTATGTACCTCAGTTTATTGAAACATTTCACAGGCTAACTCTGGGAGCATATAAAGGATTGACACAGATTTGAAACATTTGAGACATCAAATTTCTGCTCCTATGTTTTGAAATACTCCCTGTCTCAGAAGGTCAGTGTTGCATAATTACTCTAATGACATAATCCATCAGAAAATGACAAATCCTTTTGTTGTCATTACTTTTTCATGAGTGCACGACTTTTCGGAGCCGGGTGAAGTAACATTTCATTCAATATTTAACACATAAGTCAAGAGCTGCTCCTCCAATTCTACTGAGAACAACAGTCCCTTTTACTGCCACTCTCAGCCACTGTGTGTGTTTTTGTTAGAGAAGAAATGTATGTGTGTCTGTGTGTGTGTCTTAAAGGCATGCGTATGCTTTTGTAATGTGAATATACTCCTTCAAAACAACTTTACTGGACACAACCCCCTGTGCATTTCCTACCCGTAAATAATCCATGAAGAGTGCTGGGTTTACTTTGACTGTCACTTTATTTACTGGAGTTTTCTGAGCATTGAGGTCACACTGGATGTTCTGCTAACAGCAGAAGCTTCTGACACTAACTCAAAGCAGATTACCATAAGGCATACTAGATGTTTATGTGAGACTCACAAACACAGTGCAGAAACTGAACTAGTGAAATCCAGAAAACTATCTGGATTAAGAGATTAAAGGCCTTACTTGTGCCTCTGCTGGTAGATGTCAGACCTGCAGCTTCAAGAGGCCTGCAGTCTGGACAGAAATGCAGTTTGGGGTTGAGGAATTATGTACTTTGTGAAGCTAAGACTGCAGATTTTCCTTCTAACACCAGCTCGTTTAAGGCTACCTGTGCACCGAGGCATAAAATCAGCTGATGCTGCCTTCAAACTGAGCTCAAATCTGGCAGCTCGTAGCTTTTTTTGTGGCATAAACTGCACTTTTTGCTTGTGTACATGACATAAAATGTTGTGTCCCGTGCTCATCTATCTATATCTGGATCACAGTACTTCAGCTATTTTGGACCATCTTTGTGATTTGAAGTGTGATAGAAGAACAAACAGAAAAGCCATCAGCTGTCGAGGCTTTGAGCTGGAGCAGCTAAATTTGGAGTCACTTCAAGCGTCTCATAGCCTCTTTGAGTTTTTCTCCTGTCAGTGTAGAGTACAGCAGTCACTCTGTGGGTCTGTGTGGACTCACACACACGGACAAGAGGTGTGCTTACAGGAGAGCCAACAAGCACTGCAGTGAAAACTATTGGGTTGGATATAATTTCAGGATCTGACAGGGGGGACTTTAGGGAGGAATATTGAAAACAGTGCACTCTATAGTCAGTTTGCAACAACAACACCACATTCTTCTCTGTATATCCTCTTCAGACTGGGTGTAAATGTCTCTGTGAGTGTTTTTGCACACCGGGTAGAGCAGAAAGATGAAAGAAAAGGATATTACTTTATATCATAGTTATAGACAGAAAGTAATGAGCCTCCCAAAGCAGACTGCCAACAACAGAAGGCAAAAATACAATAACACGAGGCAGTCTGCGCGCTCAGAGGGGGAATTTCAATAGAGCTTATATGGATTTAGCTCACTGCCTCCCTCATTGACTCTCTGCATTGTGCATTTGCTGTAAGCAAAGAAATGCACACTAAGTTGTTTTTATTGCTCGGCAGAGACGGAGGGGAGCGGAGTCACCTTCACACAGACACAACGGGGCGAACTCACGTCTCTCGTATTCATCATCTTTATTTCATCCACTAAAGAGGGCCATCTTGTAAAGAGAAAACAACAGATAAACACATTAACCATCACCGAATGTCCACAGCGTTGATGTTTGGACGACATTTTGAATTTTTAAATTAACAAGACAGCAACAGCAGAGAAGCAGCAGAGACAGAGAGAGAGAGAGAGAAAGAGAGAGAGAGAGAGAGAGAGCCAGGAATGTGCTGGACTGAAGCAGCAGTTTAAAACCAGTTTCAAACACACACACACACACACACACACACACACACGCACATACACACACACAAAATTAGTTAATTAGAGTGAATAGCTTGAGGGAATTGGCAACAAAATCATGTTGGCTTTTTCTCCAACTGACTATGAAATTTAATTACTTTGTGAAACTTGTGATGCTGTGAACACCTGCATTAAGTATAAACTGACTAACATTGACTTGTTATTAGCTGGTCATGTGGTGAGGATCATTGTTCGTGTACGCCTATAACTAAAGAGAATCAACATGAAAACCATGTTTGAGGAGAATAAGAAACACATTGTCAAACTGAAATTAATTTGAAAATAAATTAAATCTGAAATTTACTATTTGTGTTTTCTACAAATTGATTTCTATTCTCTAATCCTTCACAAAGTTTTATTTTCTTAGGCAATCCTGTATTGAAAAGCCAACTTTATTTGACAATGAGTTATACAACTTATCAAATAATTGAAGTTAACATAAGGTCAGTAGCGTTTAATCTATGTGTGTAATTTATTTGTGTGTGTCCTTCCATCTTATTGTTGTGGTTAATCTTCACTTTATTTAAGTCCTGTCATCTAAATACCTCTGATTAATTTTCTTATGCTTCACCTGAAACATCAAACTTAGACAAGCTAGTACAGAAACATAATCACTCACCTGATAATGACAATAAACTAAATTTTTGTGGATGTGTAATTATTTTCCCTTGTATTAAAGCTCCTAAGAGGATCTTTAATTTTGTGCTTCCTCTGGTGCCCCCTGTGAACAAAGACTAAAGTCGTGATCTGGCGCTGCTCTGAAAATAACTTTGATTATATTGCTTACAGTCTCATTGGGATGCCAGTATTTACTTCATACCCTGAAATCTCCTCATGGCTTTGCGGTAAAAACAATGAGCATCATCTCAATATGATCCCTATACACTGCTTGAAAAACTTCACTAAGTGAGGTCTGGATCAGTCATTACTGGATATGCCGTGTGTGAAAATACATGTCACTGAAAGTTTGATGAGAAGATTGATATCACTGTTTCTCATTAGGGTCAATTCATCCTGCAAACAGCAAGTCAGCCAATTTTGCGGCGAGCACAACCCCTTCAAACTCCTTTTCATATGTTTGTGCTTAAAATACTAACATGCGTCGAAATATTTCTATAGGAGTTTATATTAGCTGTACAGCATGAATATTGACCTGTATTCAGCCTTTAATCCCAGCCTACATTTACACATTATCATCATATAAAATTCACACTTCTAAATTCTGTTTCTTCTTCTCTCTTCAGAAGTAAAAACTCTTTAAAATGTTAAATATGGAGTCCATTCATCTCCACATCCAAGAGCTGAGTATTAAACATGCAGTTTTCAGAGAGTTCCTTTAAGAGGAAATACATGGTTCGGATTGACTCTGTGGTCAGCTGCAGCCTGCAGTGATGTGCTGTTTGATCACCATCATTAACATCCTCATGCTCTTCTCTCTCTAAAGCTGCACCTTCATTTTGAAGAAGCTTTATATCCACACTGTTTGATCTCCCCGGGAGGGCTTTGGGGATTAGCTAAATGACTCTGCAGTTAGCTTTTAAATCACACAATGCTTCCTAAAATAGCGTCCCTCAGTTAATGCCTCATCATTGTGCTTGAGCACTGATAGCCGGGCTAAGTCTGTAAGACAGGAGTGGCACTGCTGTGACCCGTGTTAGCTGCTGTCATCTCAGCAACTATGGAATATATAAAAAGTGACTGGAGTTCAACAATCATGCTGATAATCTCTCCAGTATCACCCAAACTAATCCCTTTATCAGCTGACCTGCTTATCAATACTTGGGGCCTTTACTCTAACTCCTCTGATGATGAACTTTGTGTTGATTTTGGCGCCCCAAGTGGACAAAGTGATATCTTCTATCTCTTCCTGGACATGTTGTATCCTTAACAATCAAATCAAAATCAAAGACTTTGCTGAATGTTGCCTTACCCTCTTGCAGAAGTTACTGGCATTAAAAGAAATTGTCAAATTGTTTCTTTTTGTAGATGATAGAGCTGCCTGTTAACCTGTCTGTTTCATAACCTGTTAAAAACTCCCTTCAAAATCATTACAGTCCAAAAGAAAAACACTCTTTATAGAATTTCATTACAGCACACATTTTAAGGAACAGCCTACGCAAATTACTCTCACACTGATTTCAAGATTATCCTCAATTCCCCCCAAATCCTGCCTTGATATTTATGAGCAGTTACTAGTAGGGCCACTAGAGGGTAGTGTTCACTACTAGACTGTGCACACATGTAGATGTAAAGCTTTAACATGTTTTCACTCCTGGTGTTAATATTAAAGTCTCCCAAACCTAAAAAATGTTGGTTGCGCTTTAAAAAATATGCTCTATGTGCAGAATTTGAGACCATAAGATCGTCTCCATGTTCAGCTGCTTTACAAGACGAGTTTAAGTGCACTTACTTGACCTTATTTAGGCTGAGAAGTGGGATTTAGCGGGTCAAAACCAACCCAGAAATCAGTCATGAAAACCTGCACACATGCTGTCTGAATCTCTAGGACATAAACAAACAAATAAATAAACAACATTTATAGGAAGTTGGAGACACCTAGTGTCCAGAAGATACATTTCATTCCTTACCGTGGGATATCCACTGACTCAGAGACTGTAGGTTTCTTTGAGTATTTGTGTACATCTCTAGACATCATTACAGGACACCTTTAAGTAGCTCCTGTCTGTAAACATCAATATTAAATGGCCTCATCGGCATGTTTCCATCAAAATAGATAGATTCACAGATTACTGATGTTTACTGAACTACAACTGAGAAAGGCCACAAGGCTTTTCTTTTTGTTGTTATTTTGGACCCAGAGTGACTTTGACATTAAAAGTTTTGATATGTCAGGAAAATTTTATGCATCCAGAACTTAGTTTGAAAAGATTGAGGTGTTTGGTACTGAAAAATATCAGGTAGGAGGGAAAATTCCCCCAAAAAGTTGATCATTTAAATTTAAGCAACTCATACAAAAACGATCATGATAACCTTCTAAAGCGCTACAAGAGATTTAAATGACCTAACACATGCTGATATCTATCAGTGAATGTATCAACAAACCTCTGGTATTCTCACACTGGAGGCCAGTAAACACTCAGCCCTCCCCTGTGAAATAAACATGATTTACTCATTAACATGCAAATTGTTTTCATGTTGGAAACACTGAGTTTAACGTGAGTTGAAAAAAAGCACAGGAGCAAAAACGGTGTATTGCATAAGTTACAATGGTTTCACCAAAGCAACTCTTTTATTAGCAAAATCATGGAGATTAGTCCACTAATGTGCCCATCCAATGAAGGGGTGGGGTTTCAGGAGGGATATGTAACTCAAAACCATTACAGATCCTGATCAGTGACAGTGCACCTGCCTTTCTCTCTGTGCACTGAACACTTCTTCATGTGGTCCTACGGTCTGCTACAAAGCCAAGATTGGCATCCTCTGTTCAAAGCTTCTCTTGAGTTCTCGATTCAATCAGAAATGTGCACCGACAACGTGCACTCGTTAATTAGAGAGTAGTTTCTTTTTGGTCACTTAGAAAAATACAACTTTGAAGGAGGATGACAAGTAAAGGAATAGTCCCTTTGTTTTATAGTCTTTCACTCACACAAACACAAATCATTCACTTTGGCTTTTGGCCTCAATCGAAACAAAGCTCTCACTCACATATACCACACATTCACAAGGGTCAACACACAGCTCTCACAGTATGTCAGAGTCAGAGTGAATTGGTCTATAGAGTGACTTGGTCTTTCTTGGTTTTTCTAACAAGGCAGAAATGATGCCACAATGAAAAAATCAGAGCAAAAAAAAAAAAAAAGATAACATGGCCTTGGGGACTTTGGAGGAGTTCAGCAGTAATATCTACATGAGCCTATTATCTACTTCAACAAAAAAGCAAACACTGCAACTAAGGCATGCAAGGCACAAGCACCTACAAACAAAAAGATAAAAACTGTTCTTTCATGGACAAAAAAAAAGAAAAAAAAAAAAAAAAAAAGAGAACCCCCCTCCCCGCCCACCCCCCTTCATATAAAAATTTAAAATAATGATATTACGGTAAAAGAAGCACATTTTAAAAACTGTGAAAAACCCCCGGCCATGGACAGTTGTACAAATACTTTACACAAAATGTTTTTTTCTACACACCGTCTTTAAAACTTTTAGAGATGAACATAAGTTAATAAGAGGTTAAAAGTGACATTCTCAGCAGGGTGCACAACGTCCCCTCCAGTCAGAGTCCCCTTGGATAAAGTCACTTAGAAAGCTGGCTACCGATCTGCTAGACCAGAGAGAAAACAAGACAAGAAACCATGAGTACTTTGAAAAATATGTGACCCGACAAACATAAACTTTTCAGGTGCAGCTGTTACCTTTAGAAAAGGCCACAGTCCTTCAGGTTGTTTTTGATGATGACGTCGGTGACCGCATCAAACACAAACTGCACGTTCTTGGTGTCGGTGGCACAGGTGAAGTGGGTGTAGATCTCCTTGGTGTCCTTCCTTTTGTTCAGGTCCTCAAACTGGCACTGAATGTAAGCTGCTGCCTCCTCATAGGTGTTGGAGCCTGCAGGAGGAGAGGGAGGAGGATGAGGAAGAGAACAGGGCGCAGAGGATACATTTGTGAGGAAGCAAGATGAGCAGTGTTGTTCGAGTATTATATCACATCCATTTTCAGACTTCAAAATCTCAGGAATCAAAGTATCAAAACAGTGATGGAGACACAAAGAACATATAAAGATATACCTCTATGTCTGATACTATCAAACATGGAGGTGTATCTACTAAACTGACATTTTTCCTTCTCCTCATCCACCTGAGGCTAATGATGCTGCCTCTGTGGAGACACAAATATTCATCCCACCCTCTAATCATCAGCATGTCCCGGCACTGGCCTTGACAGTTAGAAAAGATGGACCTGTTACTGGCAGGACAGAAAGCTAAGATTACTTTTGAAGGAAGCTAAGCTTGTGGTGACTGGAACAGCCAAGTGTTGGGATTAACATCACCAAAGAGAGAGAGAAGGAGATGCTGTGCTGCTCACTTCAAGAAAAAAATCTGTGCCAAACTTATAACTCAGTTAGAATCTGCAGATTTTCTAAAATTGGATAGAGTAATCAAGAACTGGACCTGATATCAAAGCTTGTTACGACATTCTTTTTTTTTTTTCATGCAGGAAAAAAGGCGTGACTGGAAGCTGATCTTGAGCATAACAAATCATAGGCACAACGCTGTTCAGTGTCTTATTATCCTGCAGCCAACATCATATGGTCCTACAAGGCCACGCACAGCCAGTTGCTAAATAGGAACAAGTTGAGTTCAAGCTCAATATAAAAAAACAGCAAGGCTATTGAATGGAAAGTATCATCACATTTCAGTCTGTGGACGCCCTGAGCAGCTGATTTCTCCCCTTCTTTTAAAGTTTGGTTTCATGTATACATACAATCTACAATTCTTTTTGTGCTGAGTGTTCAAAAAAACACACTGACTAAAATGAAACAATAGTATAGGAAGGGCCACAGTAAACAGGACAGGCTGCACCACAAGGGGGACAAAAAACCCGAGAACAACAGTCTCACTTTTACTTTCTCAGCAAAGCATGTGATTGTCAGACGGCTGGCACCTTTGTGCACACCAAAAACTTCCCTTTGGGCTCAGGAGGCCAGAAGCCTGTAATACAGAGGAAACTCTGCATATATTAGGAGACACTTGATGTATTAAAAAAAAAAACAGCTTTATCACCTTCAGCATAACTGAAAAGGTCGAGGCTGTGTACACAGAGAAGTCAAGGTAGAGATGTGCTGAACTGCTTTAGCACTTTAAAAGGTATTTCAAAGGCCTCTGACTTTGAAAGTGTTTCTGCGAGCCTGTGTTGTACTTCATATATCTGCACTGTATGCCTACAAACCGACTGTTTGTGAATTGTCAGTTAACTGACTGGCAGTTTGACCTGCAGGCAGCAGAGCAGCTTTACTAAATTAGCTTTGCTCTTTTTCATCTGACAATGGAGAGACTTGTTACTGTGGGATATCTGAAGGGAAAGGTTAGACTCTTACATAAGTCTGAATCACATGAAAGTCGGATGGTGAAAGGGAAATATCCTTGGTGACAACTTGTACTGAAGCAAAACTTGGTAAATTCCTCATGTAAGAGTTTGTTCTTAATAAAGTACGGAATGAATTTCTTTCAGCTTAGATAAATACCTGAAATGTGTCAACAACTATTAAAAGATCCAACAAGAACATATTGTTCTGAGGATGAAACAGCCCACACAGTTCTAGACCAGAAGAAGAAAGAAACATCTTTGTGTGGTCTGTAGAGATTGCTGCACCCTCCAAGTGCAACAGATTGACCTTGGGTTCGAAAAGTGGAAACCTGAATTTAAGCCAGTGTCCCTTTGGGCCCACAGCACATCATCAAACTACACAAATGTCTGTTCTCTTATGTTTGTCAAAGTGTCCTCATCTTTAGGAATATTACAATTTCTTTTATGATCTGTAGAGAACTCATTTGAGATTTCATTCAAAATAACCTGGTTGACCATTTTTAATACACTGAACAAATCTGAAATCAGACCGGAGACATTATTATTATTATTACGGTATTCGATTTATACTCTTTCATAAATTCACTCTATCCCTCAAACTCTGCTTTCACATTTTTGCCTGGACTTGCAGGCTTACATAAAACACCAATATGAAGCCCAATATTTCCATGAAGTACTCATCAACTCTGATTACTCATGTCTCTATCAGCCTGATTCAAGGATTGAGTGAGTTTTGCGCTTCCTTAACCCTTGTGCACCCCTAGGGACCGTTTTGGTCCTTTGTAACTATACTTTTGTGGATAATTTTGGCTGTGATGATGCAAATGGCATGAAAGTTTGCCAAAGTGTGTAATTTTAGGTGCAATTTAATTTTTTTTCTTTTTTCTTCCTTTAACCTTTTTTGCATGTGAGCAATTTTTATACTTCAGTAAACACCCCTAAGGACCGAAACGGTCCCATTGACTCCCATTAAAACATGTTTTTTTCAATACACTGCCAATGCAGTATAATTTTTGGATTTTTTTTTTTCTCATGTACACCTATTCTTTGAGGGTCAAACTGTTTTTTTTTTTTATGCCGACCAGCAGATGGCGCCATTTTTCTTTTTTCCTGCCATACCCTTTAGAACCAGAGGGGCACTGTTTTCCCTTTGTCACAGAGCTGGTTTATTTCATGCATATAGATAGATAGATTGATAGATATATAATTTATTGATCCCAAACTGGAAAATTCTCATGTTACAGCAGCAAAAAAATACAAAATAGAATTAAATATAAGAAGAAATATGTACAATGCAGACTAAAAATACTAAATATATACATTGAATACAGGCTAAATATACTAAACATCTTTAGAGAGAAAATAAATTTAATAAAAACTATTTAGGTGTGCTTTTGGGACATCATGGATTATGTGCATGTGTTTTCATGAATTACTTGTGTGTGTGTGTGTGTGTGTGTGTGTGTGTGTGTGTGTGTGTGTGCATATGCAGCCATGAGAATAGCCAAAATCCTTCCAGAAACAGCGGCAGTTGTACAATCTGCACCTGCAGTTTCCTTCTGTGTGTGTGTGTGTGTGTGTGTGTCTGATTGTGTGTGTGTGATTGTGTGTCTGATTGTGTGTGTGTGCGCACGTGTGTGAGCAAGCTCATGAGGTTCATAGCGGGCACCTGATCAATGTGAGTGCGTAAAAGCAAGCGAGGAAGGGATGGAGTGTGAGTGTGTGTGTGTGTGTGTGTGTGTGTGTGTGTGTGTGTGTGTGTGTGTGTGTGTGTGTGTGTGTGTGTGTGTGTGTGTGTGTGTGTGTGTGTGTGTGTGTGTGTGTGTGTGTGTGTGAGATTGTGTGTGCGAGCGTGCGTGCGTGTGTGCGTGTGTAAGCGCACGCACGAGGTTCATAGCTGGCACCTGAAGAGGGAGGGCTTCATCAATGTGCTTACGTAAAAGCAAGGGATGGATGGATGGATGGTGTGTGTGTGTGTGTGTGTGTGTGTGTGTGTGTGTCTGATTGTTTGTGTGTGTGTGTGTGTGTGTGTATGTGTGCATGTGTCTGATTGTTTTTGTGTGTGTGTGTGTGTGTGTGTGTGTGTCTGATTGTTTGTGTGTGTGTGTGAGCGAGCGCACGAGGTTCATAGCAGGCACCTGATCGATGTGCGTGCGTAAAAGCAAGCAAGGGATGGATGGTGTGTGTATGTGTGTGTGTGTTTGAGATTGTGTGTGAGATTGTGTGTGCGTGCATGCATGTGTGAGCGCACGCACAAGGTTCATAGCGAGCACCTGAAGAGGGAGGATATCATCGATGTGCGTGCATAAAAGCAAGAGATGGATGGATGGATGGATGGATGGATGGTGTGTGTGTGTGTGTGTGTGTGTGTGTGTGTGTGTGTAATACACTACAGAAAAAAAAAAATCTTTTCAAATTTTCTCATCAATGTTTACCAATCCCATGCTCTAATAATCAAAAGTTTAAAAAAACAATTTGCATATATAGGATGGAAAATAATTCACTAATTGTGTTTTTTGACTTAAGATAATATCAGGTTTTTACAAAAAAGACTGGCATTTATGGGGTTAAAATACACAACCTGAATAAAGTTTTGCTATTTATGATTAGGTTATAAGTCAATGATGGCAGCCAAAAAAAAAAAAAATTTAAATACATTTATTTAGACCATATTTTTACTCCAGCAAAATGGAGGGGACCGTTTCGGTCCCTAGGGGTGTTAATTGAAGTTTTTATTATTATTCAACACTACAGAAAAAATACAAATCCTTTCAAATCCATTTTCTCATCAATGTTTACCAATCCCATGCTCTAATAATCAAAAGTTTAAAAAAACAATTTGCATATATAGGATGGAAAATAATTCACTAATTGTGTTTTTTGACTTAAAATAATATCAGGTTTTTACAAAAAAGACTGGCATTTATGGGGTTAAAATACAAAACCTGAATAAAGTTTTGCTATTTATGATTAGGTTATAAGTCAATGATGGCAGCCAAAAAAAAAAATTTTTAATATATTTATTTAGACAATATTTCTACTGCAGCAAAATGGAGGGGACCGTTTCGGTCCTTAGGGGTCTTAATTGAAGTTTTTATTATTATTCAACACTACAGAAAAAATACAAATCCTTTCAAATCCATTTTCTCATCAATGTTTACCAATCCCATGCTCTAATAATCAAAAGTTTAAAAAAACAATTTGCATATATAGGATGGAAAATAATTCATTAATTGTGTTTTTTGACTTAAAATAATATCAGGTTTTTACAAAAAAGACTGGCATTTATGGGGTTAAAATACAAAACCTGAATAAAGTTTTGCTATTCATGATTAGGTTATAAGTCAATGATGGCAGCCAAAAAAAAAAAAATTTAAATATATTTATTTAGACCATATTTTTACTCCAGCAAAATGGAGGGGACCGTTTCGGTCCTTAGGGGTGTTAAGGGAAGTTTTTCTTAGGGGTGCACAAGGGTTAACCTGTGCAAACAAACCTGAAAGACTGTCCAGTCCACGTAGCACAGGTAGAGGGTTAAATGCGCCACAAACTGCACTGCAGAGCAGAAAGCGTCTTGGCGCGCCAGTGCAGTTTGCATACATTTAAATAGCCATTATGTATTCATTTGGAGCAAAGTATGCCCCTTTTCAATGCAAATAAGGTTGTGCTGGAATAGTTATGAGCATTGATGTCACACTCAAACTCTTCAGGGATCAATTCCACCTGAAAGATTCCTCCTAAAAGTTTGATATCTGTACATCATGTCTACTTTTATTTACAATCACAGGTTACATGAGTCAAGGGCTGTCCGGGATTCGAACACTTCTGCAACTGAACCAAACATGAACTGTGAAATTCATGCCACATCTGTTTTAAATCTCTGTAAAAAAAAGGGGGTAAAGATTTTCCATCTATCAGCTCATCATATATGTGGGTATCATGCAGCCCCTCCATTGCTTTCAGCTTATCTTAGTCGCAGTAAATTGCAAAACTGAAGTAAAGAGCCGTAGAACTTGCAGGCGTTGATGAGCTTTAATATCATCAGTGCTATTCGGTTTGTGATTAAGACCTTGAGATACAGATTGCAGCAAATGACATGGAATTCTTGGTATTAAAAGCAGCTAAAACCCAATTTTAGTCACACCCCCACCCCCTTGTATGTGTGTTTGTCTGTCTCTCACCTGCATATTCTGGGTAGCAGATCGTGAGGGGGCTCTTTTTGATCTTTTCCTCAAACAGATCTTTCTTGTTCAGGAAGAGGATGATGGAGGTGTCTGTGAACCATTTGTTGTTACAGATGGAGTCGAACAGCTTCATGCTCTCATGCATTCGATTCTGAATAAGAGAAGAAAACATACAAATAAAAAAAATATACGTCCACATAACATATAAACATGTTGAGGACAAAAGGGAGGGACAGTTAAGGCAAGTTTATACCATCTCCTCATCCTCAGCCAGGACCAGGTCATAGTCACTCAGAGCCACACAGAAGATGATGGCAGTGACTCCCTCAAAACAATGGATCCACTTCTTCCTCTCTGATCGCTGACCACCTACATCAAACATCCTGTGGAATAATCACAGACACCGTTAAAAAAAAACTCCACACAACAATCACGAGGAAAATTTAATAATCATTCTTATCTACATTTTTCTGAACTACTTTTCCATAAATTCATCTAGTTATAACTCTCCAATTCGATATCCCTCCTACCAAACTCTGATTGGTAGACTGTTGCTCCAGACCTCTGAATCAGCCAATGAGAGCAAAACCAAACTTATTTGAATGACTGAACAAATCTGAAGTGTGGGCTGAGGCTCAGGTGAGCAGACAGACTAAAAGAGCACCACAAATCACTATGTAAATACAGTGAAATGACTAAACACACTGCCCTGCTTGTACTCACTTGAAGTGCAGGTCCTTAAATGTGAAATGTGTTTCCACAATACCAGTGGTTTTCACTCTGGTCCTCAGCACGTCCTGTTGGGTTGGCACATATGCACCGCTGGATATCCTGTCCAAGTCATTCAGGTAGCTTTGGGAAGAGAAAAGGCGTTCATGGGTGGGAACTAAGCAACAGTCATATGAGGTACTGAACAGCTTGAGCAGGGCACAAACAACACTACACACTAAAGGCAAGCTGAGTGAAGAAGGAAGCACAATTAATGCAACCCTGGCAACGACAGTAGATGTGTAATATAAAGTAGATGGAAGCCAGAGTCAATTGAACCCCCTACGTTGATTTGGTGAAACGTACCGACACTGAAATAACAAGGGAAGCATTGAAAAAAAATCTCTACTGCAATGGATGTACTTGGAAGCTAAGCAGCTACCAACAGTTAGCTCTCAGAGTCAGCCATGTTTGTTTACTCTAAAGTCACATTTGACTGAAAGAGATTTCACGGGATTTACAGTTTTGAGAGTTGGGACGCTGGTTGCTTGTGAAACAAAAAAATCTGTCAACATTGGTCGTCATGCGCCGTCTCTATAACATTTAAAAAATCCGCTAAGATTTTCATAACATTTTCATGTGTCCTGGGTTTTAGACGGAAGCGACTGAGGACTCACTATGCGGCAGAGTCGTTGAGCTGGTACTCCCGGGAGCGGCTGAAACACGCCTGGACTCCTCCGTCTTTCCACAGCCGCTGGATGACCCCGGCTAGTTCTCCTGTCATGAAACCTTCTTCTGCTGAACCAGCCAGGACAAACAGCTGCCGCGCATCATCCTACAGAGACAGAGCCCTCTGGTTAACTCTTTTGTACACATAGCTTACACAGTTGTGCATAGAAGCTGAAAACCTGCAGGTGAGTAATAGCTCATGCACATCTTATATCTTAAAAGAAACAGCTTTGGTAACACTTATTTGTGCATTGCTTGGATCATGGGTGAACAATGCTCTCTTTGTCTTATCAGGTATGTGTAAATACCAAATGAATAAATAAGGGCCTCCATAATCAAAGAAAATCCCAGACCGAGTTCTCTGCTGCTGACAAACAAGAGTGTTTGCAGTCAGTGTGAGCCCAGAAATAACAGAGACATTCAAGTATCCAATCTGTTCCTTTGCATGAAAGTACACTGCAAAACCTGCATGGGGTTTTAAGCAGGTCATTGACCAAACCTTTGATGTAGGAGAGAACAAAATCAACAAAAGAATCTTAGGGGGTGTGAAATTGGTAGCCATAACAGAGAAGGCAAATCATGCTGAGGCCATGAGTAAGCCTTTTGTTATGCTAGAACACAGATTAACAATGTGCAAAAGAAACGCATTAGGAGTAAGAATTATAATAAAATACAAAGGAATGTGCGGAGAATATACCTGCAGTATGTAGTAAGAATATACCACAGGAATAAAAAAGAACACAGCAACACTCCACTGAAATACTTAAGGTCCTGATAGTCACTGTAAATATCATCTTTGTTGGCAAGCGGCCCAAACCATCATGAGAGAAACTCTTAAGGATGTCTAGATCTAGATCAACAGGACCTCATCAACTTTATAACTAAAGTAGAGTTCTCATGTCAGGAAGCCTCTGCTGTACTGATATGTTTTAAAGTGATTCTCAACTTATAACCTGCCCTGTCTTACTCGCTGTAGAAGAAGCGTGACAAGAAATTCCTGGTTAAATATGACATGTGACAAAGTGGCTGTTGCCCTTAAAGCGCTGAGCTACATATTTGCATTGAAACACAACCTTAACTGCACCAAGAACTGCGTCAATACCAGCTTCGTCTTCCTGCACCTACCGCTCTGGCTGCATCTGCAAAGTCAATCTTGAGGCGTCCCATAGCTCTGATGATGGCAATGATGGACTGGATGGTGTTGCTGTAGACCACAGCCTTGTACTGCTTGCACTCCTCCTCTGAGTAACCGGCCTCATGGATGATCCTGACAGACAAAGCGAAGAAATGAGGCCCTATTTCTAGGTCAAGGATTTTTACACAACACTGAGAGTTATTATGTTCTTAAACGAAATGCTGTGATCTTCATGCTTAAGTTTCCTGTTACTAAAAATTCACCAAGTAGCAAAAGAAAAAAAAAATGTTTCCAGCTGAAATACACAACTTGTTTCTTAATCCACTGTGGTGTAATGCCCACAAAAGAAATATAACAATGACATAGTTAATTTTTAAGGATAAAAACTAACAACAACTTTATTTAAATGAAAATTTTCCACTGATGACAATAGTTGACAATAGTGTCTGATTTCCTATCTGGTGCTTACATAGGTAAGTGTGTCATTTACTCACTTTGGCATCTGACGTAGGTAAAAGGTACTAAAACACTAGTGTAAGCAGATCCTTCTCTGAACAAACAGTATTTGACATTTCACAGCCACAGTGGGTGTGTTGTTAAACGTGACAATAGCCAACCACACTTACTTCATCTGTTTGACAATTGTACTTTTCCCAGATTCTCCAGCACCTGAAACAAACACAACATTTACAGGTGATAGGGTTAGTTACAACGTACAAGCAGGGACAGTCAAATTCACAACAAACCCAAAACCATAACCAGCTGACTTTGTTTCAATGATTTCAAACTTACTCTTTGTTTTACGCATTTGTTTTATTTCTGTGGTACCTGAGTATTTACAGGTTGTTATCATTTAGGCTTGTACCAGCTGCAAAGGTCTCTTTTGTTATCTAATAATGCTCTTTGAGAGAGAGATCAAGATGGGCTTACAAAAGGTCAAAATCAGACATTAAGTAATTATTCAGTATCCACTACCAACAACTATAAGACAACCATCATAGAAAGAAAAATGTTTCATTAGGAAGCCTGCATCAGATTTTTTTCCCCCCTCAAAACTATAATCTTAAAAGTTTGCAATAACCCTTTGGAGTACACGTTTAAAACCGTGGCTAAAATTATATCATTAACACAGTTTATTTAACTAAAAACTCATGTTTTATGTGTGATCTTTTTACAACAGTTAATTCAACTTTTGGTGTTTTTTTTTTCTCTGACAAAATGACTTTGATAATGAACAAGTCTGCTGTTGCAGGATTACAATTAAAAAAATCCTTTCCCTTTACTCAGACAAAGGAAACGTGTCAAGTCACTTAACTGCAAACACACTTAACTCAACCTGCTATTAAAACACAACAGTCAAAGTAAGAGTTTAGCCATCAAGTGTCATCAACACAAAAGACAAACCTTTGCTACCTTAATAGAAAGCTAACGTTAGCTGCAACATACTACGTGTTGTCCGGTGACAGAAAAACACAGCGAGGATATGTGTAAGGCCTGATTGAGCCAGGTGACACTGCAATTGGATTAATCAACAAGATCCTCCTGGTAATGAGATTACACACCACTTAAATGTCCCTGTGTTAGACACTCATGCTTCATCACACTACCTGCACTAAACGCTGTCAGATTTATCTGATGTGTTTGATTTGTGAAGCCAACAAACAAACAACAAGGACAGAAGCATTTCGTGCATTGCCTTTTGGGTCTCTGGCTCCCTCTGAGATGTAGGCATGTTTTCAGCTGAGCACACAACATTTTAATTACCCTACCTGTGCAGAGACTCTCAGCTCCCTAGTGGGAAGAACTGTTCACCAATTCATTGTCCCACATGATAAACAGCCAAGCACACCAAAAACAAAGCTAAGATTAATGTAAATATCAGAACACACAATCTAAAAGGCTGGATGAATTTTAGGAAAAAGCGGATGACATGAAGCGGTTCAGGTTGGTGACTCAGCTCAGAGGTTTGATCGAGGTACACTGCTGGTGCAGGAAAGACATTTCCCTCAGGCCATAAAAGAGATGCAGATATCTCAACAGAGGACAACAAACACCAGGCCAGCATCTCTTCTGTGTTTCCTTTTATGCTACACAACACAAAAATGCTGTTACACAATAACAAAAGATCAATCTCTTTTATTGTGTGCACATACGGTCTTCATCTGAGGCAGCCCGCCCACTCAAATCACTTTCCTCAGGAGCATATCACATGCAAACAACCCTGGTGGGATGTGGACAGAACACAAACTACGATATGATTGTTTGGTGAAGCTATGTATCTTTGCCCACTACAGGAATACACACTGTATAACAAAACAACAACATAAAAAATACAGAGGTAAAATGGCTTCATATGTTTAAAGCCACAAGGTAATTTCTCCATCAGACAACAAATCCACAAACCAATGTCAGGCATATCATGCAGGTGCTTGTGGGAGCCGTGACAAGGGAACAAAAGCAACCATGAACATTCAAATCAGGTCCTTCTCAAATGACTCAAAAATATACATGAGGCAGCTGGTGCAGCTGAGCAATGTTTAGTGTCTGTGGCTGTGGCAAAATCACATGTCTGAAAACAAACCTGTGATTCTTGTGATGACACACGGACTGGACTGTACCAAAAATACATCATCACACAGACTGGATAGGTTGCATTTTCAAGATGGATGCAGAGTCCATAGAGTGGGGAAACATCCAATTAGCATACACTGGATGTATATGTTGTGTATGTATGTATGTATGTATGTGTGTGTGTGTGTGTGTGTGTGTGTGTGTGTGTTTAATACAGTTGCCATAGATGATTATTGCGGTCAGGAAAGCTGACCAGGTTGCTATGCAACGTCCTGCCTGCCTGTCTTTCCCTGACTGAGGCAGCTACCAGTGGTCATAGGTAGCTAATAAGAGACACAATCAAGACATGGAGAAACAGCCTTCAGGCGGAAAGGCGACATTACACTTCAATGAAACGATTTTACTAATAAGTCTGACAGCTTCAATTTACCCTGCCTGCTTGACCACCGTAGTCAAATCACCAGACACACAAACAGGGTGTGTAAGTACAATTTACCAACCTCATCCTCGCAGGTTTTGGAGGTTCATTGGCTTAACTCTCACCACTATGAGGTTAATACTACTACAGGCCTAAACTTTAACGTTTTAAGGGCGTACATTTATATAAAACCCGAAGAAAAAAAAATCAGAGGTTATTATCGGCTCTGGCATATTTGTTAGATGAACGCAGGCTACAGAGTCAATCGGCCTTTAGTGTAAAATGTTCCTTTATATCATTAAACGCTGGGTATTGGCCTAGAAACTAGATTTTAAAATGCACTAAAGGCGGTATAAGTGGAACTACGAAAGCATTAGAGACATTTTTGAGGTAGACCTGTTGAGAGTTTAGACATTGTTGAAGCTTTACGCAACTTAGCTAAACCCAGGCTAGCGTCGGTATGCTAACCTAGCTCAACAGCTAATTGTTGAGCTGACTGAAACTGCGGATTAGAACTAAACCAATGAAAGGTTTACATCCTGAGCTGAGTTTAGCTAACACAAGACAACAGACTAACTTGAGCATACCTTAATTTTATGCTAATTACAGTATCACCGTGTTATGTAGTATCTACAAAGTTTACAGCGTCAAGTTTCTCCCAGCTCTAAATCAAGCTGGTGTACTCATGATAAATCTGGAAAAGCTCCTGTGTGTTTGCAGAAAACTGAACGGATTTGGGAGGGTCCCTCTCCAGCAAACAGATGTAGACCTGAGTCCCTGTGTCCGTGTGTTTCTCTCACCCAGCAGCAGCAGCTTCACCTCCCGGGCAGCCTTTTCTCCGTCGTCCCTCAGGTTCCTGTCGATCATCTTGCTCCGCTCCTGAGCCGCCTTGTCGTCCGTGCTCAGAGTACATCCCATCTTCTCCCAAGCTTTCGTCAAAAATAAGTTAAAAAAGCAGACTAAAACACAACTCCAAAACTAGGAGGGCGACGACATGCAAAGGGTAACCGAACTAGCATCCAGTTAGAAGAGGGAGGAGGAGGTGGTGGCGGAGGAGGAGGCAGCGTGTCTCTCCAACACTTCAAATTAAAACACGCCCTAACTTTTCAGCCTACAGCCAAGATGTCTAAAGTGAAGGTTAAACACCGACGAAAACTTTCAGGATCTCCTAGTTAAAGCTCGACGACCTGAATGAGTGGAGCACAGCTGAATCCTGAATCACGGAAAGAAGGGAGTCGGCCGAAGCATCTGCGTCGATCGGAGGAGTCTCAAACTGCTGGCTTCCTGTTCTTCTTCGCACATACCTGCGAACTGCGCATGCGCGTCACAGCAATAAGCAACTTTCAAAAATGGAAGTTTCTTTGTCATTGTGCGTCAGCTGTTGATGTAGCGTCATTACAAACAGTGTGTGGGTAAAAAACTTATCGCCACTAGTGGCTAACACCAAGAACATTTCGGTGTGATAGAAGATTAAAACATTTGATAAGCAAAACGCTGACTGACAGAATTATGAAACAGCGGAAATATCAATTTGCAGCACATAATTTTCCCTTTGGTAAGCCTATATCATAAAGCACATTGCTTCTTCTTCACGTCTTTCACACACAGATAATCATCTTATGAGTCAGCCAGTATGACATTTTGTCTGATCAGTATCTCAAAAAGACACTTTGGGTGACATAAACATCTTTTTTTGAACAATTAGGTAACTCAACTTTACTTGTAGGGCACTTTTCATACAAAAAATGCAATTCAAAGTGCCTTACAGAGGCTAAAAACAAGTATAATGATAATAAAACCCAACCCTCCCATCTACACACACACCCATGGACCCACACGCACACAGGGATACACACCCACTCTCACTCACACACACACACACACACACACACACACACACACACACAACCGCACACAGGGTGTGAAATTAAGATATATTGTTAGAGAGACATAGCCTGACACCGAGACAGAGCTACCTTTGGGAAGCACTGGCGATAAAAATAGAGATAAAAATGGTAACAAAAGAAAGAGTAAAACCTGATGATGGACTAAAAAAAGAAAATAATATTAAATGAACAGATAAGTAAAAGCTCTTTACCATATAAAAAGGGGGTAAAAGAAGTAAAAACCTGTGACGGAATTAAGAAAAAGACATAAGATAAACATTAAGAACTTTGGTTAAAATGAACGTTTGCAATAAGAGAAATATAAAATGACAATTAGTAAAAAGCCTGGTTAAAAAAGTGAGTCTTGAGCCTCTTCTCAAAAACATCAACAGTCTCTGCAGCCCTGAGGCTCTCCGGCAGGCTGTTCCACAACCGGGGACCATAAAAACTGAAAGCGGCCTTACCTGTGTGTTTTTGTTTTGACTTTGGTTAAGGTTAAAAGGCCTGTGCTGGAGGACCTCAGGGTCTGCGAGGGTTAATATGGTAAAGTAAGTCAGATAAATAGGAGAGGCCAAGACCATTAATACAGCGAAAAACTAATAAAAGAACCTTAAAATCAATCCTGAAACGGATGGTGAGCCAATGCAGCGATGCTAAAACTGGCGTTTATTGCTCTCGCCCTCTAGCCCTTGTCAGAACTCTTGCAGCTGAGTTCTGTAATAGCTGAAGTGTATGTAAGTTCTTCTTGGGGAGGCCAGAGAACAGGGCATTACAATAATCTAAACGAGAAGAGATAAAAACATGCATCAGCAACTCAGTGACAGTTGTTTCGTATGTTTTTATTCAGCACAGATAGGCAGTAGGCTTATATAGAGTTATGAGTGAAGGCATAGGGTGCAAACGACAAAGTAACTAGGACATAGACAGGTTATAATGTTTAGGGAAAGGTCAAACAGATACAAATTGTCATAAAGAGAACACAGACTAATCATCAACCAGTGATAAAGACAATCTAAGTATACATAAAAAGGAAAGAAACATGATCATAACAAATAATGATGTGTTTAAGACATGATTAGATGAGATTTCAATGATATTTTAAAGGATTTGAAGGATGATATTGATTTTGGAGATGCATCCAGATTATTCCATAGTTTCGGTCCTCTAAAAGTGACATTAGACTGATGACAAGAAGTTTAACAGAAAGGTAACTGAAGTTGGTCATTTTGTCTTGTTGAGTACGGGTGAAGGTCGGATGAAAAGATAAAAAAGTTTCGGAAAGTTTCAGGAAGGGTTGATGAACTTATGGACAAACAAACATGAGTGAAAGACATTGAGTTTGTCAATCAGTAAGATGGAGTAGTTAGAAAAGAGAGGTGCAGAAGTTTCGTGACTGCTGGATCGTGATATCAGTCTTAAGAATCTTTTCTGGATTAATAATATTTTCTTAAGGCAAGTTGGATACGTTGCACACCATACAATATTACGATAGTTCATATAAGGATATATTACAATTTTAACTTCTAAAAACATAACTTTTTGATTGGTGAATCAAACACTGATTCAGATGTAGGAGACCTATCTTTTTTACTGGCCCAATATCCCTCAATATTATTTTGTCTGCCATTATTTATTGTAAGTGTTATGTAATTCAAAGCATCTTTAGACCTCCTCATATCATTTCAGGCTTTTGCATATTGGAGTTACAGGGTTGTCACATCACAATGTAAAGCATTCCTGCAACATGTTTATTGTGTTTAGGTGGGTGTGAGAGAGCTCAGCATACTTCATCCCACTGTCAGTGCTGATTTGCATTGCAGTCCTTTGTTCTGAGCTGCCAAAACTTGGTATCATGTTTGCATGTGTTACATAAAGACACGCAATGCTCAAACAGAGACACCCTTAAAGTCGAAGGGTAAAGCTATTTGAGAGCATAATCATTACGTATATCTGGATTTTATCTTTGCAAATGACTGACTGCTGATATTTATATAAATGCTAGTACTCTGATTTTGGACATGGTGTCTTACCCACCCTCTTCACAGTGTTCTTTTTGTATTCACATCTTTATACCCTGCAGTAATAACACTCAGGAAAGGATGCCTGATTTCTTCAAGCAGCATTATAAAATACATATGATGTTACACAGCTCAAGGCAAAGTATTATTGCTCTTCACCCATTTCATGGAACTTGAAAATCCAGAAGCTGGGTGAGGGCCACTCAGATGACTTAACTACCATTAAGACAATGGTCGCCCTGTCGGCACAGGGGAACAGAGGCCTTATCTATAGAGAAGTGATGCTCAGCTCTTTCTCCCTAAAGGTGGCACTGGTAGCTACATTTAAGTGATACATCCTGGCAAACATAGATGGACATGACTATCTAGCTATACAGAGCTCTGACACATTGGTTCCCTTGCCTCAAGAACTAAGGTTGTTAAATCTCTGGTGTAGTGCACCCTCACCCCAGCTGCTACTGAAGAACTAATTCTTTAATTGGCTTGTCAGATGATGTCCACAACTTTATGAAATCCTCTGGATTTTGACACTGGTTGGCCCAAGGCAGATAAAACCCAACCCATTTTTTTGAATTCCCCTATCCATCACATAGAGACGACAGAGCCCTGACTGGATACAGTGCTGGATGTGCATCCCCACAACCTCCTGAGTGGAGAAAAAAGCATGCAGCTGTACTAATTATTCAAAGTAGGGCCTGAGAGCACCTACGGCAAGAAAGTTGGATTAGGATACAAAGCAACCCTTGTGTCTTTTGGCAGGGATCTACAGCAGCTCTCCTGCACCAACAGAGCCTACAGCTCCCTGCCTCAGTCACTGCAAATACTCTCCTTTGTGAAAAATCCTTTTTTTTTGGTCACTGATTCCAGATGGGCCCCTGCCACAGAACTGGTGCATGGTGCACATCTCTGGGTGCAGAGGTCGTTGTTGTGAGTCCCAGTAGGCAGCCATGACTGTCACCTCCACACCAAGAGAAGTACATAGAGCATTGAACTGTCTCCAAAATGATCTACAACTGCCCTGCCAAAAAGATGCCAGATCTCATAAACTCATTGGGGTCTTCCTGAAAGATCAGGTCTGCTCCGCCTACTAACACAAACCGCTGCCACCATGCTGTCTGTCTACACCAGCACATGGCTCTGCAGATTCAGTAAGCTGTGCTACAGGGTTTGGTGGATGGTTCTCTCTCCAGCCCACTCGTGTGTTGGCTTTTCCTGTTGGTGCCTTGCCTTCAGGCACTCTGCTCAGTGTGTTCAGAAATGTGAATACTAGAATCACCAGGCAACATAGATCTGGTCCAGTATTCACAGCCTCCTCCTCCTGATTGAGATGCAAGGGCCTCTGCAGACAAAGCCTAAACTGTGAAAAGCATCCCATCACAGGGCTCATGGACAGGTGGGCCAATGTGACCCCCTGCACTGCTGCAATGCAAAGACAGCAATGTTTCACCAGCAGGTAGCAAACTAGCTAAGTGTCCAGGTAGTTCACAACCCTGGGCGTCTGATGGTGTAGCTCCTGGGCTTCATCCATAGACCTGGTTAAGGTGCACGGGGTTTGAAAAAAACAATAGAATAACATCAAATCCAGTGGTCCTGCCCTCAGAGACAAATCAGCGGGACATCCCACACTCCAACTAAACTGGCCTGTGGAAGTAAGCAACCCAGTTGTCATTGGCAGCAAACCAACTGTCGGTGATAGTGTTTGTTACCCCTGGGATGGTCAATTTTTGCGTCCAAAGGGTGTGAGGGATTCTTTTAGTCTCCTGAGGTCCAAGAATGGTAGGAGACCTTCATTTCACCATGGAATGAGGATACACCAGTAGTAATGCCAGGTCCCTCCAAGGCCTCATCGCCCTGATGGCCCTCTTGGCCAGGCAGGTGAAGACCACTGTGCACAACCCTTTTTATCTGAGGGGGCGTTGTTACAGTCAACCAAGCAGCCAGTCTTGATGGTTTGCGTACACATGCAACTTCACCAAATGAAGCCATGCATCATAACAAATTTTAATCTTTAAAAGAGATTTAAACATCATTGTTTTGTAAAGTATTTTTTGTGATGGGGACTGCCTCGGCTGTTTGGCTGTCCTTTAGTAGCATCCTCATCAGGTAATTAAAGGACAGATGGATGCTTACTCGCGAGGGCTACACCCTGTGGTCAACCCTCTCCATGACCACATCCAGGAATTCAAATGGCTGGCAGATTGCTTTGTGATCCAGCATTCAGTACTCTATTTTCTAAAGCACCAAAAATCAAGATAGACAATACAAGAACAATCATTATATCGTGTTTTGATTGTAAATGAGAAGTTTAAATGCTGATAAAATCATATTCATGACTGTAGTTCAATACAAGGGTCACACAATCATCTATATAGATGGTATAATAATTCATATTCACAGTCACATGAGGAGC